CCGTCCCTGCTCTTGCTCCTTTAAAACACTGCCTCTTTTATCACTCTATTCATTTTTGGCTCAAATTTCTCCGTTCTAAATGGAGGTAGTGTTGAATAGGACATCTTTGTGGATTTGCATAATCTGATGGCATCACTGGTGAGCACATAGAGAGGTTGTGCCAAGCGCAGAAAGGTGAAGGCCTCATCTCTTGGCAGGGGGCAGGGGAGGAACTCATGCAGATTTTGGAGCTGATATCTTTGCCTCTGTGTCATTTCTTAATTATCGTACATGAGGGAATACAACATCTTTGTGCAGAAAGTTCAGGTTTTCTTTTTGTTCTGTTAATTTTAAGAAATATTTCCTTCATCATCAGATCAAAAAATGTCACTTCTCACACTCCCACACGATCAAAAGGTCCTGATATGTGCCGATTGTTTTCCTCCCCTCCTCACAGACTCCATTCATGTCTGCTCTCCTCTTCTTCTCCTTACAGTGGCCGTCTTTCTTCAGACTCTGCTGGTGCCAAGGCCTTAGCATGGCTGCCTCTCCCTCTCTGATGGGAAACTGTTGCTCATGCGCTGGGTTGGCTGCCAAGTTTTGGCATTATTGGTAGGAGAAGGGGGGGTGGAAGAAGAAGGGAGGAGGGAGGGTGTGCAGAGGGGGCCCTTTCAACCCGATGAGATAGTGCTATCTGTGGTGGGAATGATCTTCATCCCTTTCTTTTCTGCCTTTTTTTCCCCTTAGCTCTCCCTCCATCAGTTTCTGCTTTTCTTACTCAGGCCTCCTTCTCAGTCCACCCCCTCCCTCTCCTTCTCCTCTTCCCTCCCCCATCCCCTCTGTGTCTCTGTCTCTTCATGCAGGAGATCAGACGACCGTCCTGAGGTGAGCCGATGCCACTGCAGGACTTTGATTAGCAACTAGCACTGGCTGTTGAATTTCTCACAGCTTGTATACTTCTTTGGCTTCAGTCCCAAAGTTTCATCATGAAGACAAAAAAAAAAAAAAATCCAAAACACAGATTAGCTTTTGCTGTTTTGGGGGTTGGCTAACTCTGTCTTCTGATCTTTACGGTGCAAAGATTAAAAACAGACGCTGCGGGAGTGTTTGCAAACCTTTTTATTTGTTACATTATAAAAGAAAAGATGAAACTTGAGCCAATTTCTTTTCTTTTTGAGGTCCCATTTCCATTCATAAGAGGCTAGCTAACAGGTGGTTTGCGCCGTTACCATACAGACCAGCAGATGGAAAGAGCTCGCCTGGCTTTGTCAAAAGATAAGATGTTGTTCTTAAATGTTAACAGAAGTGAAATAGACATTAAAGATCGGTTTATATCTATATTCTGCATCTATATGGATGAAATGTTAACTTTTAACCTTTTTACCACGTTTTGTCATTTTTAAATTGTGATTTTTTTATTTTTATTTGGTTTATGTGTATATTTGTATATAGGTGGAATTAGGTGGTGATACACGAAGTAGCTATCTTAAGTTCCTTTTACAGTGTCTATATTACCACATAAATGAACCCACTTACTTTTTTTAGGTATGTGACAAGGTATCTCTTCCAACCCTGAGCAACAGACGGATATTAGATGTCTAGTTATTTTTTTTAGACCTAATTTCAACCGATTCTGTAGATTCCGTATATTTTTAGATGGAATTTAGACGTTTCACTTTAACCCATTGTTCAATAACTATTTATTTAAAAAATCAACTGTGAGTTGCATAACTGATGTCCAAATACTTAACCAAAATAATTATGATAGCCATTGAGCAATATACAGTGTAGTATAGATACAGCCCAGATTTAGACTTGGTCTAAACTTGGTCTAAATGTAGACATCTAAAAAACTGTCATTCTTAGACCTGTAGTAGCCCAATTTTAGACCAGTCGTTCAGGCTACATTTAGACGTCTATTAGACCTCTTTTAGACCAAAAAATGCTCAGTGGGTTGATTTATGTTAATATTCTGCATCTATGTTTATATTCTGCATCTATATATGGATGCAATTTTAACCTTTAACCTTTTCACCATGTTTTGTGATTTTTTAAACGATGTTTTTTTATTATTATTATTTGGTTTATGTGTATATTTGTATATAGGTGGAATTAGGTGGTGATACAGGAAGTAGCTATTTACAGTGTCCATTTTACCACATAAATGAACCCACTTACTTTTTTAGATATGTGACAAGGTATCTCTTCCAACCCTAAGATAAAAATGGTCCACTAAAAATTAACTTTGTTAACATTTTGGTTTATGTAAAGGTTGGACAGATAAGTTGCATTTTATCAGTTAAAGTGAGAATTGTGATTACTGTAGAGAGGTTATCTCCCTCCGTTTCCATTCTCTGTGAAAAGCTCATTGGCTGGTTGCTGCTCTATTTCTGATGAATAGACAGCACATCTCTTCTCTGAGACTTGATTGAAAACACAGTAATCATTTTCCAAAAAGCGAACTATTCCTTTAAAATTGCGCAACAACTTGCCATCAGGTCAAGGCCTGGTAGGTAACACTAGCCTCTGACATCAAACTATTACACAACTGAAACCCTGTATTCTTTCTGTTTCCTCAATGATGTGGAAAACATTTTAGATCTTCTCTATAAGTATAAGATAAAAATACTGAAGTAAAAGTACAAATATATCAGTATGAATGAATTTACTTTGTTTATTAGGAACACACTGAATGCTGCTCCTGATTCTTGATTCACATGGATATCCTTGACCTCAACAAAAATAAAGAAATGTTTTAGTGGAGACAAATTCATTTTGCATCTAATTTATCATTCTTCATCTTTACTTCAATATGAATGAACATGCCCAGGTAAATCATGACAGAAGAAACTCTGAAGGTTTAAAGAAGTGCTATATTCAATCATTGAAAACACAAATCAGGTTGTGACTGTGAATCCAAAAATACACATTTAAGCTTGTGGCTGAAAATCCAACGTGATAATGTGAAGAAAATACCACAAAAACATCCACATCAGTGATTTTCTGCTGAGGAAATGATGAACGCACAAAGCTTTAAAATGATCAAACTTTTAAAAACTGAACTTGTTTTTATATTTTTATGAATTTCTGATCCATTCATAAAACAGAAATGTGTCCGACAAACAACGTCCCATACTTCAAGTCATAATTGTTCTTTTTTTTTGTACAAATTGCTGAAACATCTAATCAACTTGCTTCATGCTCATCTGAGCAGAAAGTAAAACCTTGGTATTTTTCATTGATGCTTCAGGGATGAATAATTTTTCAAAAAGAGGGTATTGTTAAAGTTCAACATGTGATATTAATGTGAAAGACAAACATTCTCGAACTAAAGCTTTACCACCGCTGCTCAGTTTACATGACAAAACACGACCCGAGTCCTTTTTTTATTCCAACTCAATTTATTATAATTCATGTGATGTGCTGCGGATAATGTTCCTTTATCTGAATGGACATCAGTCCTTCCTCCTGCTGCTCAGAGTCACCATTTCAACCAATATTGGGCCTATAGGGATCCAAGTCTTCTTTTAAAGTCTTATTCTTTGATTTCTTTCATTTCTTTGTCACTCTTTTCCCATGTCCTTTTTAGCTCAGGCTGGTTGGTGGGGGTTTATCCATGCTTATCCATGCATTTGCAATCCATCCATCCTCCCAGGATCAATTCATCCATCATATATGTCCATACAAAAACATATGAGGACACCAAAAACACTTGTTGTATGTCGTCTTTTATCAAGACAATCAAGTATTACGGTTTGAAACAGTCAAAGGAGAAGTTTCTGTTTTGATTTTCAAGGGGAAACAGTGAGGAGAGTAAAGAGAAAGCTGTTTTCTTGAAATCCTCTCTGAGAGAAACTTTGATTTCATGCTGATGATTATTTTTCTTCGTAATCACTCAAGGATTAAGCAGAAGGAGGCAGAGATTGTTCCCTTTTCAGACGCTCCACAATAGGCCTGCTTGGTTAAGAAAACAACAAGGAGTTTCCCTCCCTTCTCCTCTTTTTTTTTTTTTTAAAGTTCTCCTTTTACAATCAAACACCATACAACTTACTTAAAGAATCACAGAAGAGCCGGGCCACAGACTAATGCATTTATTGAGATTCTGTGGTCACATATATTAGGCACAAGTTTGGCTGAGACGCTCCTCTTTTGATCAGAGGAACTCCTCATTCAGTGGGAGGCAAAAAGTGTTTTCTGTCAGCAGCTGTACCCAACATGGTGTTTTCTTTAGAAAATGAAGCTCACAGAGATTTTGGTCCAGGTTGAGTAAATTGTTTCAGACGGTTTGACTTTCTTTTAGTTTGAATGACAAAAACAGCAACTTTAACATGTAAAAAACCTCTCATTTTTACTTCTAAGTGAAACATCCCTTCAGACTAATAGTCAACATAATTTCCCTAAACTTGGCTTAAGCTTGCAAAGAAGTCTGCTGCGACTCGGTTTTTGACACTTTTCTCTCTCTCACTGTAACACATTTAATGAAAATCTACTTCTCAGTCATTCACCTTTACTAGGTCAAAATGGTTTCATGTTGAGCAACAGATTTATATTTAAAGGAAAGGGAGGACTGTTTTTCCTGGAGAATAAATGGTTTTGTTAACTGCAGGTTTGTTTAAGTCAGTGAGCGGGTGGCCCAGAGGAAACTTGGAAACTCATGTCTGCGTCCCAGGACCTGCTGTGACACGCATCACACCCACAGATCAGCCTCCAGACAGGACTGGGGCAAACACAGGGCATCTATATGCTATGAAATCAAGTTTGGGGTTTTTCCTTCTCCAAATTCTCACTCTACACTGGTTTCATTTCATGTCATCAAAGATAAGTCAGCTTATCTTATGGGAAAATTAAAAAGATATTTTCATTTCTTTTTCTTTTAATCTCTGAGTTTTACTTGGACATATCTTCAACCCTTTGAGTGTTTTGTGTCCATCACAAACAATCACATCTGACAGAAAGGTGACACGATTCTTCTTCTTTCGATTTACAGATGTAAACCATCACTGATGACAAAACAAGTCAGACTGAATTCAGAAATATTTATTCACAAAATGTACACACTCTCTCTCTGTCCATCACTCAGAAACATATAAATTAAAACATCAACATAAAAGGGAAAAGTCTTTACATGGCATGTTGTGCGCTGTGCAAACTGAACGTGTTTGCGTGCGTGTGCCCGATGAAGTTAAAATAGTGGTGATCGAGTCCCTGCACGGGTGACAAGTACCCCGCGTGCTGCTGTGTGTGCGCGGAGAGCGGCACTGTTGGATACGAGATGCCCGGGCTGCGTGTCGACCCGTGCCAGGAAAAGTGTCCCGGTGGACTCTGTTGGTACACGGACTCGGAAGGACTGTGGCTTTGGTGCTCGGGGGAGGAGTGAAGCTGACTGAGAAAGTCACACGGTTCATGCACTGAGCCCACGGAGCCGAACACAGGATCCGTGACCACTCGGGATTTGGACTGCAGGAAAGCAAGGATCCGCGCGTACTTGATGTCTTTGGTCTCGGCTCTGTCCTCTGTGGTCAGATAGTGCACCAGGTTCTTCATACACTCGTGGTATCCGTAATGGAAGTAGTTTGCAAACTCTGCCAGAAGTTCACCTGAAGAGAACCAAAGTGAGAATCGATTACAACCTTCTCCAAATGACTTTCAAAGAAGTCTGATAGCCTACAGCGCGTTTTTGAGATCTCAACCTGCTGCGTAAAGCTGCAAGTGCTTCATGTTTAAGAAGAAAGAGAAGCGAAGTGATCTCAAAGACGAAAGTTTAAGAATAACTCGTTTCTACAGAGGTGTCTACAGACAAACAAACGCGTACTGGGAATGCGTAAAGGTGTCTGAGCTCTGTGTTTTACGCACCTTTTTCTCTCCCCCTGGGGAAATCTGCTGAGTGGAGTGCGCGCAAATACTGAACTGTCATCTCCAGGATCTCAGCTTTCTCCAGTTTTCCAGAGTTCTAGAAAAAAACCCCAATATTAATTACCAAATTTAAAGAGCAGATATTTATATGTATATCATTTTTTTCCAAAGGAAGAGTGTGTTACAATGAAGTTAAGGTAACTCTAACACAAATATAAATTGTACAATACCTGCTTTGCCAGCGCCATTGGTACAGTTTTCCCTAATTCATTAAGACAGCGGTTAATCCGGTCCCGTCTCCGTTTCTCGATGACTTTGTGTGAGATGGGAGTTCTCTGTAGAAACACGGAGAGAAAACAAAACCCCATAAATACAGTGCAGCATATATCATTATTTCAGCCAGAAACATCAACAACAAATCAGCCACCGACAGAATATTGGTACAAAAATAAATTGCATGCAGAGTTTATGTTGATGTTTGGCGCGTCGCGCGCTGTGATGCTCCAGAGCGCGCGGCTGGCACCTGCGCTCTGATAAGATTCTGTAAATCTGAGGCCTGAAAAGTATTTTATGAAACTTCATTTTAGTAAAATAAGCCTAACATGCTCGCCTGTTACCGGATAAATGACACCTCAATCTTTAGATAATCCGTGAGTGCCAGATTAGATAGAATAAAACACGAAGCGCGCGATAGTTCCCCTGCAACCACAAAACTTGTGGACAAGAGATCCCTCTGCATTGCATGTAAATGGCTCCGAGGTCTAGCTGAACAATATTTCTTTTAAAAACTGAGGTACAAAATTCCACAAAGTCACTAAAAAGTGTCAAAAGTGTCGAGGTGCCAAATGGTTCAGTCCTCGTAGAGCAGAGCGCACGGAGAACGCGTACCTTCCTGTCTTTCATTTTAGATGCCATGGATGAAATTCAGTCCAATTCCTTGAAGATAAATTGAGGTGGATGTTGGGGTGGATTCTTTGCTCCAGCAGGAGATGATGTAGACTGAGGTTTGATGGGAAAGCTGCTCCTTATAAAGGGATCATCCAGGGGACTGTGGCATTCATGGTGTAAATTATTCCATGGGATTAGAGCCATGCATTGGGTAAATGTGTGCATTTAGGATCAGTTAAAGAAATAGTAAAAATCTAAAGCCATGGGCTAGCAGGGGGGCAAACCTGCTTTGTTAATCCACGTGGCTTCTCAAAGGACACGTGATTACTTTTGGAATATTATTTGCATAGTAACAACCCAGGCGGGAAATAAGAAGTGAGCGCTGGGATCGCCTGATCCGGCGGGGCGCACTGTGCGCACTGAAAACAAAGCCGGCGAAAAAAGAAACCCTCTTTCTTCCAACTCGCGTTTCTCACACGATCGCCTGTTTACAAATCCCAGCAAGCGATCTTAACTCTCGTCCAAGCCGGGTCCGAGTTTTAAGGCCTGTCCAGTGTCATTAGAGTAATTAAGTAAGCCTTTAATAGGCTGTTCCGCCAAGTTCAGGGGAGATCTTTTGGAGACGGAGTCCCCCCGTTTGTTCTCGGCGTTTCTCACACGACTTGCTGACACGTCCATCTTTTATGAGAGATGGCAAGCTTTTTGTTTACATTCTTTATTTTGTTGGACTCCTCGGCAGGTGTGTGATTAGCCCTGGCACACGAGCGTCGTCTGCGTCAGGGCCAGCGTCTCCAGCAGCCTCTGGCACACGAGGGTTACCCACCACTGGAGACTCTTTGGAGAGGCTCAATTTGTATCCTATTATCCTATAAGAAAATGTCTATTCAGTCGAATGAATAGTTTCATTGGCCTAAATTTTAATAATGCTGTGAAAGAAAGGGAGAAATAAAGAAGAATGCAGCTGGTGTGAACGCGCATTATTCCCCGTCACCTGCAAGATGGGTAGCCTGGAGACCCCTATTCATTTGCCTAATTTCGGTCAACTTAACAAACTTTGGGAGAAATTATACTGCCATTGTTACGAAGGGTGAAGCTTTCTGATCGAATTAACAGCATGTTTTGATCCGGTAAATGTCATTAGAAAGAAAGAAACAATCGCGTTTAAAGGGGCCTGGGTAATGCGCCAAGTGGAGACGCCAAAGCGCAAACTGCACAAAGGCTGCTAGTAAATGCCACAGGGGACTTTTGTACCCTCACATTGCTCAAGTTTTTACCCCCAAACAAAGGGCATTATTTTATACTTGAATACATTTCATACAACAATTGGCTGTTTTCTTCAAACATATTTTCACAGCAAGGTTAACAACAGGTTTATTGTGTGCGCTCCACACAGACTCAAACTGATCTCATGCGCCAAAACAGTTTGCTCCAATTCTTCTGCTTTCTTTATGTCACTGAGAACGTTTTAATCTGGAAACTTTCTCTGTGCTGGGATATATTTGATCCTGTGAGCGATGTCGAAGAATAAAAAGCAGCGGAGATTGAGAAAGAAAGGCTCACAAGACATCTGAAGAGTTTGGAGAGTTTTTAGAGCACCATGGAGAGAAAAGCACGAGCGAGCGGGACGGGGGCATAAAATCCAATTACTTGACTGTGCAGTTTTTAACACTTTTTATGTGTTTGTCCTTTGAAATATGAGGGGACTTGTGTGCTGGTGCTTTTATTAAAAACTGAATGAAATACTGGAAGCTTTTACTGACCGACTTTGTAACACCAAGTGTTGCGTCAAAACGAGGCCCAACCATGCGCAAGGATTTACTGCACTATGATGTTAAATGTATGTTGAATATTTTAATACAAGGTTCGACAACTGTACTTTTTATAACTAGGTGTCTGATGTGTTTATTTGCAATGAAATGTTTTCCTCTCCTCTGTCGGTTTTTCACATTATAGTTTTTGAAAGATTTTAAGGGTTTACACGTAAAATGGAAACATTCCTGTTGTGGATTAAACTTTTTAGGTTGTTTTGTGAGTTGTGTTTATCATAAATGAATAAAAATATTAATATTTTTGATTAAGACTATTTTTAATTGTTGCGATCTTCACAGACGTGTGATATTGCATTTCTGACGTTTTATCTTTGGCTAATTTAGATTAAATGACGAGATGATAAACTGACCCTCATGAGATTTTATGTATGGTACAGTATTTATTAATACTGTGATAAAAAAATTACATGAGACCCTACTGTATTCTCATCCTGATGAAAGATGATCTCGAAAAGACTGTTGTAAAATAAATGTCATTAAAGGAAACCTGATATTAATACCATTCATGGTAACAGCATCATGTATCAGGTAATAAATGTATAAAATGAGACACCATTTAGAAGTTTGTTTTTGTAATGTACAGATCTCCTTTTTTTTATACCCTGGTAGATCACATGTCTAAAACATCAGAGTAAATTCATCCTTAATAAAAATCAGTTTTACGGTAAATTTTGGTTTTATTAGTCACTTTTCTCTCAGTTTTTGGCTGCACTTTCTGCAAAGACTGGTCCTGTTATTAGTTAGTGACTGATCAGGTCTTCAGTTTTATGATGGTCGTCTGGGCTGAACCAGAACACAGCCAGCAGCCCATCTTAATAAAACAATTAACATTTTTTCTCATATAGCTCAGAGTGGGAAAAAAACAAAAAAAGCAAAACCTGAGTTCAAAATGATTCATTCGTTGTTAGGTCTGATTAAGCAGTCAAGTATTGAAGCAGTGATATCTACAATTAATAATAGTGTCATAAACAGGAAACACTATCCTCCTTATATAAAGTAAATATTAAATGCGTATACAAGAAACTCTTAAAATGAAAATATCAGAATGGAGCGACACACTGTGCTACATCTTTATTTTACTGCAGTTTAATCTTTTATTAGTTCCTACTCAGTTTAAAAAGTGAATTCTGAGTTTGTCTACCAACTAATAACTTGTCATTGCAGTAAAAAGTGGTAATATTTCTATTTTTATGTTCATCACCATGACATCTGCACACTGTCTATAAACAAACATTAAGCAGAGCTTCATTAGTGACACTAACCTCTGTCTCTGTTTGTGTGTGTTATTGTGTGTGTTGTCAGGCACTGCGCTCTGACCCGTGGTGACCTCTGAGGTTCCTGGACACAATCCTTTGGCTTGGCGCGCCCCCCTCAGCCTGAACCACAGCAGTTCACACGGTCTCCATTCAGAGTGTGAACATGGTGTGAGCCGGGTTCACACTGCAGACTGGCCCTTTGAAGCGCAGACACAGCATGAAGACTGGCTGGAGTTTTACTCATTAAAGCTTGTTGACATGCAGAAGTTTGACCAATAACTCTTAATTTATGTTTTCATTAAATTTACAGAAGATAAATGACGGTTATTTATGTCTAACTTATTAAATGATACCAAGAGTAATGTGACTTTATATCTTGAAGGATTCAGAACTGAATACAAACTTTTTCCTGACCTTGAAATGGTCATAAAGGTCTTTAAATCACAGTCTTAATCATTCTGTTTATCAGAATAAAAACAATTTGTCTGAAATGATTTAAAATCTTTAAAAAGTGAGCTTAAAACCAGCAAGACTTGACCAATATGTCTCTAATGGCATCTCCTTTAAATTAAGAAATGATGCCCTCTTGTGGCACTTTGTGGAAACTAGGTGCAGTGAGGCCTTCTTCACTCAAAAATAAAAAAAAGTAAATAAAAAAAAGGAGCACTTCTACAGAAGTCCTATCCATCCACTGCATCCATACACATCTATACATGCTATTCACTCAGGCCTTCAGTATCAAAGTTCCTCTTGTTAAAAATGGTCACCCTCAGCGTGTTGTGGTGTTATTTCATTACGGAATTTATAAAAGGAGCGGTGTTGGAAGGTTCCTAGAAGCCAAAAAAAATCATCCTAAAATATTACTTTTTATTTGTTGGGTTAACTCGCTGTGTTATCTAAAAACGGATCACACTTTTTCAGTAACTGCAGATAAATTGAGAACAAACTCACTCCATATACTCTCTATTTTTCATGAAAGGAAGAAGAGATCTCTTTCCAAGGAGGCTTTTTTTTTTTTGGTTGATTGAAAAAAAAACCCTCTCTGCTACGAGGAATGACATTAAAAGGAGAATTACTGAAAAAGGGGTCAGTGACCTCAGTGTCATCAGTAGAAACTACTGCCAAGCTGGGATGCTTAATCCTGAAAAAGGTTTTTATCTTTTTAGTTCTTCTATCTTTTTATATCTTTTCAGTGAGTGGGGGGAGACTATGGAACATTTCATGGAGTTAAAGCAAAGTTCAAACATGTCACAGTTTAAAAAGAGGTATAAAGACACTATTTTTAAGAGGTACAGGGATGAGGACGGTGTTGGGTAGCGCTAAGTGTTATGAGGTTATTGTTTGTTTTGTGTTTTGTTTGTTTTCCTTTTTGTTTCTTGTTTTATTTTGTTTTGTCATTTTTATGTGTGTGCTGTATTAAGTGGATGTACATTTTGTTTTGTCATACAAAGTCATGAACGTACTTTATTTATTATTATTATTATTATTATCATTATCAGGTACACCTAAACAAGTTGAAAGGAAGCTTGGTGTGGGTACTTATTATTTAAAGGGAAGGGGTGGGAGTTCAAAAGTTATTCTATCTCTCACTCCTTTTCGAATATGTATTTCTGTGTTTTATGTTTTTTGTTTAAATGTTTTGCCTTATTTTTCTTGTTTTATTTTTTATATTTTTGGTTTGCATATTCATAAACTTCAGACAATCAATCAAAAGTTCATCAAACTGAAAGATGGATGGGGATATCTATGATTTAGAGTTACTACGACTGTCTTTAGGGTTAAAAGTGAAGTATCTCCCTCTAAAATCTAGTGAAATAGAATAAAATCATTCAAACACAGAAGTAAAGTTACTTTTGAGCCTCACTGTCACTTCTCATCAAATTTAAACTAATACAACAGAACCACAAATCGATCCATCTGTATTTCTTCCTCTTTGTGCCTTTGTTCAGCTGTTATGGTTAAATCTGAGCCTGTAGGTCTGAAACTAGGACACCCAGAGTAGTGGCCTCTTAATTCTCTTGTGTTAGCTCAAATTCTCTTTAATTTAGGTAATGCCTGTTCAATGTTTGAACTCTATTTCTGGTTTGTTGGTTTTCTTTTGCTGAAAATGTGAATGATCACTGTTACATAAACTTAATCAAGAGCAGTGATAAATTGCGTAACTGTTGACTATTTATATTTATTATCATTTAAGATGAAAATGTGTGAGGGTACCTTTTATTGTCTCTTTTTACTCAAATGCAGGAAAGTGTTTGCCTAACTCTCAGGTCCCTCGCCAAAGTTACTGTACTTGCAATTACATGGGTGGTGTACATTATTATGGGCAAAAAGCTCTGACTTTACAGAGACCACAAATGTTAAAAAGTATCTAAAATTAAATTACATATGTAATGATTTAAATGGGCTATGAGTCTCACCGCTTTCATATACAACCTAAGATAAACATAAATACATACACTGACTTCATTCTGATGTATGGTGCAGTGTTGAGGTCAAAAGTGAAGCTTAACTAAAACTTTTACAATCGAAATACAAATATATTTTTTGCTTTACTTAGCATCTGCTTAATGAGAACCTCCATTTATATATATATATATGTATATACACTTTATTAGGCCTATTTCCAGACAAATAAAGATCTGAGTTCTTCTCCACCTCTGCTCTGTTGTTTCTCAGTTGAGGACTTGGGCCCTGTCTAAGAGAGATAAGGCAGCTGAGCTCCTGTGAGAATTTCCTTTATCAGCCTGCCTTAATAAGTCTTTAAGCTTGTCTAAAATGCTGCAGCTCAAGTATTTGATTAGTGCAAGAAAAATGGAGCACTTCTTCTAATAAAATCAAGGATAGAATATTAAATCCGCTTCTGAACCACAGAGCTTTTAACGGTCAGGCATCATCATATTAATATCCCTCCAGAACATTGCGGTCCCAGCATCGAGCCTGGTCCTACTCTGAGTCTATAAAAGTAGTATGTTAAATACAGCCTCCAGTTTTCTGGCCCCTCTCCTTCATAATCATCTCTCAGTCAGAGTCTATGGGAGGGACACCTGTCTACTTTTAAGAATCGGAAAACGTTACCAATAAGGAAAACCTGATTGTGGTTTAGACTGCCATGAGTTCAGACTGCCAGGGGAACACTGAGTCCGATGTTTCTCTCACTCTCTCCTCTGTATGTCATTATTCACTTGAAATCTTTATGTCCCATTAAAGTGGTTCACCATACATTTTTCTGGGAGCTCCTGCATCTCATATGTTCCTCTGGATTGTTGCTAAAGACAGCTGGCTGCAGAGGATCTGCTACACTCTAGCTGCTATAATCATTATTGATCCCACCACCGTTAACACTGTTATAAAGCTACAACCCTATTTTATTGGATGATTCTAATTACGAGGTTTGTACAACACTATGGAAGTTCTAGTTTTCTTTTGTTTATCATGACCTTTTTGCGAGAACTCAATTGCAAAAACTTGTTTTAAAAACTGAAGTACATAAAGAAGAAATTCAGATGAAAAATGTGATATCTCATGAAGTAATGGCTCAAACTATTAAACAGTGATTGGAGAGTTCACCAACAACTTTTCAACTGAACTAGATTTATTATTCACTGAGCGAAAAGAAGTTATCCCGTTATGTAGAAACTGTTTTTAAAATAGCTTTCAAATTGTTGCTTTTGTGAAAGAAAGGTGGTCATACAAGTATATACTTCATACATAATTGAATTTTGATGGATGAATATAAATATGAATATAACAGGACTTTGATAAAGTCAAATATGTATTTATATGTTTATCACTATGTGTGACAGCTGGTAAAGAAGTTCCTCACTGGGTTGCATTCTAATTCAGATTTAAAGGGATATTCTGGTGTAAAATTAATTTAGGGGCAAACACACTGTAACACTGAGTTAGACATCCCCTCTAGAGATGAATGTTGCCGACCTCTTACTCCTCTAGTTATACCAACTTTGGTAACGACTGCATGATAACAATACAGAGAGCCACACTCAACCAAAAAGCCACTCTATAGCCACAAATAATGCTCAGAACAGCACCAAACTTCATCAACAGTACATATAGGGTCCTAGCCACAGCACTAGCCACCAAACATCTTGCCTGATTTCTTTAGCAAAGAGACTAAACACAACTCATCCACTCTCTTCCAGCAGCCGCTTGTTTGTAGCAAGACCTCAGGCCAGTCCATCACCGACTGCAGTGGGGTGACGCAGCTCAAGAAAGAACATATTTGATTATTTCTTCATGGAAATACAATCAGACCGAGACGCTAAGGCAGAAGAACTACCATGTCTGCGGTGCAAAATGATTAATATGATGATTATTACTTCAAGGAAATGATAAAGAAATTAACATAAATGTTCTTCCTTGAGCTGCGTCACCCCGCTGTAGTCTGTAATGGACTGGCCTGAGGTCTCACTCTCGTCTCTTGAGGGGGTGTCTAACTCAGTGTTACGGTGGGTTTGACCCTAAATTAATTTTACACCGGAATATCCCTTTAAATAATTAACAGGATATAATTGTTGTTAATCTTGTATATTTCCAAGATTTACAAGTGAAATACCTTAAAGTTATAACTTAAATTCATACGTTTTGTTTGTTTTAGTTTTTTTAACCACAAAATCTATAACTTTTACCCTTCCAACAGCGTAAATTGATTGTTACTTTAATCCTATGTGCAACATGTTCTTCCTTAATTGACACCACTGATTAGCCAATTACATTAGGCCTTCCAAACTTCAGCCTCAGCCGCACGTATGCCGTCCTCTGATTGGCTGAGAGCGGCAGCAGCTGAACAAAGCGTATAGCCCGCTGTTGCTGCTGCTGCTTCAAGAATCAGGTCTCCGGGTCTGCTGCTGCCTACAGGTTAGTGCAAACATACCTATCTAATATCTAAGTATACAAATGTCCACGAACGTCAGCTGCTTGTTGAGCCACTGTTTGATTCAGAGAAACACCAAGAGCGTGATGCATTAACGGAGACTCAGAAAAACAACTACTCTCCTCTTACTGTCGGCTTTAAATAGACCGGAGTCTAGCCTCGTTTTATGTCTTTTCTCGATATCACATCTTCATTTCCGTTTATCTGCTAATGTTCACGTCGACTGTGTGTTCAGTCTGTTAAGTGGAACATCGTGTTCATCCCTGCTATCAGTCTTTTTCAGGGGGGAAATGAATGTGTGTCACACGAACATGATCCTCCAAGATTAAAGATATGAACACGTAGCAACAGGACCGATCAGCGTATGAGAGATTGCACTTTGTTTTGAAACATAATGCCTTATTTTTAATCTTCACCTCGCCTACTTTTCAATCTAACTGGCCTGCACACGGGTTGTTTGGTAGTAAAATTAGATTATAATGAGTGGAAAAGGGGGACAATGCCACCATTATCAAGCGCATGTCGTGGCATCCGCGCCATATCAACGAGTTTCAGGATGTGCGTCTGACCTGCTAACCTCAAACTAGGAGGTTACTAGGAAACCATTCAGCAGGAAACCATTTTTTTTCGGGATTTAGTCTCCTCCGTGTATTCAGAGAGTTTCATTCATTTTCCACGCGGCTCGAGGTTATTGTTTCACTCTCATGACACTTGTTTGAGTTTGAGCCACGCCACAGTAAAGTTTAGATGCTGCTTCTCATGTTCAGTGACCCACGGTGAGGCATTCAAGTGTAGTTTTTTCCGCATTTCTTGTGCGACTGATTGTTGGGTTTAGATAGCCTACCTAAAAATATCACAAGAAAACACTGTAGGCCTATCCAAACATGTATTTTTAAACGAGTCTCTGTAATACCACGGCAGCATTGTAAATTGGCCAAACTCACTGATTCTGTTTCAGCCTTTTCCACTTTTATATTAAGTTTACGATATTTTTCTTCAGATATGATCTGAAATATGCCTGTATCATAAAGTCAAGCTGAAATTAAACTTGAAGTTAAAGTTATGGGCCTTGTTAAAAACTAGTCCAAAACATAGCCTAGATCAGTGTTTCTCAACTGGTGGGTCCCGACCCAATAGTGGGTCATGGATAAGTTTTGGATGCAGTGTTGTTTTTTCATTGACGATGATGTTTGAAATATTTCGTCAACGTCGTTGTTAACGAAAACAACACTGCTCCAGTATGTTTAGCGTTTGACTGACGAAATGCTCATGAATTTTGCAACTCTGTTCGTCGTCCACCACTAACTTTTTTGTCTAATCTCATCTCGTCAACGTAAACGCACATTCGTCTCATCACATTTTAGTCATCCAAGACATATGTTTAGCTCGTCAACGTAACGTCTTGGTTGTGGAAAAAAAGGGGTGTTGACGAAATATTTTCATCAATGAAAACAACACTGTTTGGATGGCTTGGGAACAGCTGGTCAAAAAAGTACATATGTAACACACATCTGATCTTTGACATGTCTTTTATTTTGAAAATTAGCTTATTTTGTGCAATTTGATATTTATTTGATATTCAATATTTTCTGTACATGCAACTTTGGTAGTTGCCGGCCTCCGTTCATGTGCTCTGAAATGCACTTTACACAATAAAATGGATGTATTTATGTTAAAGATTAGAGTCTTTAAGGGTTATTTTTATAAAAAATAAATTTGCTGGGATTGAATTTTATAAAAGTGGGTTGCGACTTAAGGACCATGGCAAAATGTGGGTCCCTGAGTGAGACCAGTGGAGAACCACTGGCCTAGATGATATGTTGGTCTGTCTTTGTGTGCTTGCCCACTCTTTATTTTACAGCTTAAACCCACAATATCATTTAATGATATTCCAGATTTATATTATTGCCACTATTCAGCTCCAATCGTGAGAAAGTTTGTCTCTAATCAAATAGGAAAGAATCTTTGTTTGGTGGAGCACTGTGAGGATGATGGGTGTGCTAACAGAGCTAGCGAACAAGTTGGTGAGAGTATGTGTTGATTGTTTTTACAATTTTATTGTTGTGTTTACACGTTGAATACACTACACGTTGAATTATGAACTTAGTTTTTCAAAGGACGGAAGAACAATGATACATTATATTGTGTGCCTTTAGACTGTGCTGCCCACTCTAGAGAGACGGATATTATTCAGTGTAGAGACTGGACTGTCTATTATTTAGCTAGCATACTAGAAGTGACAGGCAGAGGTCAGACTCTGTCAGTGATATGACCAAGTCTAAGATAAGATAGTAAAAAAGACGGGATGCTTTTGTCAGTCTGCACAGTCTGGAAGCTGTCACTTAAACTTGTTTATACATAAATATGAACTTGAGTGGCGGATATGTGTATTTGTGCTGAATAATGGTTTTCTTCAAGGGAGGGCATTTAAGTTCAGCAACATGCTAAGCACTGACGTCTGCGTCTTTATGGAAAAATACCTCTCACGGGAATCTGTGGAATGCTGCTTGTCTTTTTACTTCCCCGTTACCCGGCGTTTTCAAAACACTAGGTAATTTCTTTAAAGTCATGCTGTGTGCAGTCACATGGGCAGTTACAGACAGGACTGCAGTCAAGTAACCACCCAGACTCAATCATGCTTATTTTTGCCCTTGAATATAGGAGGAGCTTTCATCTGAGCAAACAGAGAGGACACTTAGCCGTTGTCGTAGTCATCACTGGTTAAAACCACTATCAAGCGATCTGCCTGTTTTGGGTATGTTAGCATGCAAGCAGACTGTGCTAGCTGATGTTTACAAAACAGTGAAGAGCTTCTCTCATAAGGAGGGAATTTAAGCTCAGGGCAGGCGCTTTGAAAAGTTATCTCACTAGCTTTTTGTGTGGTGACTCATTGATTAAAATTTAAGGAATCCAGTGAAGGCAGTGAGATTAATATACAAAGAGATAAGTATACAGTCTGTCGAGAAGGGTTTGTTCTACCCTAATATTAAAGGGATTACAAATGAGTAACTATAAGTGATGAGATGTGATGCCCCTGCAATAAGATTATTTTCTCTTCAGGCTGCATTTATGCCCACAGGGCCCGGTTTATCAGAAAATCCTCAATTTCAAGAAGGATTAAACCTTGTTGTCCCTGTGAGAAAGTTTGTCTTTTGTTTTCACAAAACAACTTTTTTATTTGATGACAAAGAAATGATAATTGGCAGCTTAAAGTTTCCTCAGATTTGACAGAGGGTGACCTGTGTTTTTTGAACAGACAGTATGTTCTCCCTGACCTGCATTGTTGAGGTTGTGCCTCCTGATGCTGTGCTGGTAACTGTTGAAGGGTGCATGACCTTTGTTCCACTTCACAAATCCCATCCTCCTCCCTCTCTGCCCATGTGCGTTTCTCCACCGAGTGACCATGTGACTGGGAGTGTGCGGTTTCATCAGAAGGGTCAGGACCTGCAGTGTGGAGTCTGGTTGTCTTGTGCAAGGTCAGTCTTTGTGTCCTAAAACCAGGGGGTGAATATGACTGGGAGAGGATGAACAGAAGTCAGACAGATGTAAGATGTCACGTTGAAGATTCGTTAGAAGTAACAGCCATCCAACAGTCGTTTAGGGACAGAACAGCCGTAACCCTATCTTTAATTGACTTGTTGCTGCATGTCACTCATGCGTTCAGAGGCTTCGGGTTGTCTCTCCCAGTTCATGCTGTTACAACTTGCCTTAAGGGTGTAACTCACCCATATTATCAGAGGAACCATGGTCTAGACTCTGGAGTATCCTCATGTCGTGACCCCGTAAACCTACATGTTAGTGGTTTAAAACCTATTCATAATGATTGTATAATGATCAAGACTGTTTGTTCCCGGGCAGCTGTTCTCTTTATCAAATTGTAGAATCCACAATGAGATTTCAGCACCTGAACTGACGCAGGAAAATCCATCATGCCAGATTTTCAGATGTCAACACCTCCTGTGTACATCGGAGCTGGTTTCCATATCAGCAAGTTTATCAAGTTTAGTTTGGCACAAAGAAGACACCAGCATCTAGACTACAGCTGCGGCTTGTGTGGTAACGTGTCTGGGTAGTTTCCTCTTTTTCTATTGAGAAGTTTCATCAGAGTTTCTGAACAAGTTTGGCCTCAGATTGAGAAAAAAATGTGTTGTCTGTATTTAAAGCTTACTGATTTACAGAAATACACAAATAATTTTTCAGAGTCAGAGTAGTTGTCTTTATATCAATAACTTCACCTGATTTGAGGTGAAGATTTGAACTAGTTATGAACAAATTAAAGTTAGTGTCATTCCTCACAACCTCCTGAACTGTTCGAATGTCTCTTTAACTACAGTTCAGAGTATTGACTGACCAAAAAATTGCTTTGGCCATGAGTCGTGCGTAAGAGATTCAGGCAGATCTTTGTCGGCCCTGAGAGAAAGCTGACAGAGATTTAATGGGACTATCTTGTCAAAATGAGATTAAGTGTTGTTTGTTTAAAGTCTCTATGTGTTAATCCTCGAGTGATAAAGTGGTTATAATGAGCTTAAATGATTTAACCCGAGGCTAAGCACCAGAGCTGACTAGCTGCTCGCCATCACTACTTTCAGTTTGAGAGTATTGACTGTCTGATTTTTTTATAAAAAGCGGAAGTGTGGTAAGACAACCCCTGTTTTTTTTGTGTGACTTCCTGGTTGTGGTTTGGGGGGATACTTACAAAACTACAGCCACTGCCTGCTCTCACACTTCAGACTCTGTCATGTATCAAATGAACCAGCTGACCCCCCCCTACTCCCCTCTCCCCCACTTTTTTCCAATGTCTTGTGTGTGTGCCTGGGTGTGGGGTGACTGTCGAGCTGGCCCTGCCATTGGTCTGTCATCCTCACAGGCCAAGTATGGAGAGTGGAGGAGGTGGTGGTGGTGGTAGTGGGGGGTTACTGGAGTACCTTTTGCCTTCAACAACTCTCGGCCAAGCAGGACACAAGTGATATTTGCCTGCTGTTGGCCATCTGACATAAAGATGCATACTGTGGAGACACACACTCAGAGAGGATAGCTGTTATCCTTCGCCGTAATGAAGTGACTTATAAATGACAAAATTATGTCAATTACACAATCGATATGGAAATTCAGGGCTACGTAATCCCAATGAAAGAGCTACATGTTCAAATAGAAAAAGAAGAGAGGGTCCGATTTGTAACTCTAAAAATCACAGAGGTGATAAACAGTATATTAAACTTCTTGAAATGTCTGAGTCTTTGATACTTTTCGATACCACAGTCGCTGTTATATATTTGCGAAACAAAATTGAGAATCACCAAAGTCTATGAAAAAACTAGATCCACGCTCATGTGTTCAAGCATAAGTAATGAAAAGTGAGAACGAGCAACGGAGGTCAGAGGACATGGAGATGAGGTCAAGAGGACTGTATTAAGCTAACGAAGCAGCAAATTAAAACTGAAAAGTTATTTTCTGATTGTTTCAAATCGTTACACTCTTAATAAAGAACTTACAGACATGTTGAGATTTTCTCTCAAAGGATTCAGGACTTGTTCGATTTGGTTTGTTTGCAGCTGAAGTCTCACTGGGTCTGCTTTGGACAGAGAGCAGAGGAATGAGACAACAATAGCGGCCAGTTCCTTTTGTATATTTTTTGTCAGTCCTAACAGGTTGTTGACAGAGCAACTCAACTACACTGAACAATGATTGAGACCATTAAATAATCAAATTTATTAAAAAAAGTAAATACAGACAGAGAAAATACTGCCTGAGTAAATTCTTAGTTTTGGTGCTACATTATTTTCACATTATTTTATTTTATGTTTGATTACAGCAGTCTTTGTAAAGTGACTCCTCTTCCAGCACCATGTGCAGGTCGGTTACAACAACAAAACTAACTATCCTTGGTGCCCAGACATTTATTTTTTGTATTGAAAAAAGTATAAAATTATCATTCATATTTTTCTGGTATCATATAGAAATTCAAAATGCGGATATTGTGACGACAACCCTACTATTGTTTGTTTGTTTGTTTGATTAGGGCTTTACTGGATAATGGCAGTATTGAAGTGTATTCTGTGTGATTAGATACTTGGAATTATCCAATAATGAATATTCTTTTAGACCAGCATTGTGTTATTGTAACACTATAACAGGAAACATCCAGAAAGTGATCTATACAGTATTTAATTTTACGCATATTCAGTAAAGAGATGTATAACAAGGTTGAGAGCAGAATTTATCCACATCCATCTTTACTATGTTTCAACAGAATACACACATCTGTCACACACACACCACTCAGATCCATGTGTATCAATCCACAGTCACAGCCGATCACACTGACTCTGCTCTCAGGCCCACCAGTTTTTACCCTGTCTGTGCTATGGTGGATTACTTTAACAGGAAGTAGTGTTAGTGTGAGCATACTCTAAAATATACGTGTGAAGATAGAGGGACTCTGTTAGCGTATCATGGAGCACATGTAGATCTTGTAATTTGGTGACATACAGCGTGTCCTGATAATATTGTATTAGATAATGCTCAGTTCGTGTGAAATATAGATCACTGAAACTTTGTTTTAGTCGCTCAGATTATCAGTTCTGGGTCAGATAGCGCTGATTGAGTTTATGTCTGCATACGTTTCAGACTACTTTAACACAGAAACATGAGCACAAATCAACGAACAGCCAGTTGTAACCCAGAACAAACAACATGACAGCAAATATTCAGAGGATGAAAACTTTTATGGTCTTAAATCAACATGCTTGTTGAAATCTGCTCCGGTGAGTGGCTGGCTCTGCCTCACACGTCTGTGTGTCTGTTTGGAGGGGGCGTGTTTCTGCTATTCATAGTGGTGAGAACCTCAGAGGTCTATTAGAGGTCAGTTGTGAGTCCCTCTAATAGATACTGCTGCAGCTCTGGGCCTTCAGATAACTACACCTCTCCGCGTCTGGACACAGTCTCTACCTTTCTTCATAAACACACGGCAGGACTGTGAGTACAGAGATTTAATATATATCAAGCTGTTGAGGATAAGTTTTGAATAGTTAAGCTGTGTTTAAGATTGTATAAAAGTTGACTGGAGGGATCTTCTCTGTCAGGGAGACTATAGCAACACTTGCAAGACTCAGAGGAGAGTTTTTGAGGTTTATTTAAGGGATCTTTGTTTCTATAATTTGGTTTTAAAAGGACAAATGGAGTTAAAAAGACTCATAGAATCGTCTTCTTATTTTACATAGTGAAATTAGGAAATTAACCACCGATCTCCTCTTGCTCTTCTGGCATATTAAAGATTGATAATACTATAATTAAAGTGTAACTTAGATTACCAGCTGATAAACTGGTAGTCTGTAACATTTTGCACAACACTTTGTCCCAGTTGGCACTGATCCCATGCATCATGGGCTGCTGGTTAATAATAGAAGTAGGTGAGAAGTCAATTGTTTCTTCCGTGTAGGTGATTTCTTCATTTTCTCTCTCTGTTTTATTCTAAAGGTCAAATAAGGTGAAGTTATTGATATGAAGCCAACTACTCTGACTCTGAAAAATCAGGGTAAAGATAGAAAGCTATTTATTTGTGTATTTCTGTAATCAGATATGCTGATCGAAAAAAAAACCTGACACACCCCATCATCTTCAGATTAGACATTTGGTTATTTTATATTAATATTTAATCAGATGGCACGGACAGCTTCTGAAAATCATTAATTTGAGATATTTAGTTATTCTGTCACATACTGAATTCATTGCTGTGTCATTCGGGCCAAAAAGACTCACTTCCCCTCAGACAGAAGTGTAGTGTGCAGCGTGTCTGTGGTGCTCGTGTCCTTATATCACCGTGGAGACTGGACTGGAGTCATGTTTCCTTCCTGTGTCTTTGTGTCCAAGTGCACAACTGCTGAACAGGCGAGAACATCTTCCTCCGGTACACGACACATGTGGAAGCCGAGAGCAAACACAAACACAAAGAAGAATTATTCAGAGGCGTTTTTCAGCCACGTGTTATTAATGAAGCTTTTAATTTTAAATGTTTGAGTTCGCTCCAGGAACGCTTAGCTTAGTGTATTAACAGTCTCATAAAACAGAGGATGCAGGACATAAAAAGGTTCTGGTCATGTTTGAATGTCCTGTCTTTTTAAACAACACGTTAGTACCGACATTTTATATGGGCTGGGAGTGATGCACTTTGTTTAAACAGCATCTTCGCTGTATAGGCCATATTACACTGTACCGCTGACCCAGAGTTTATAGGGGGTCATAAAACAAAACCTGAACAGGGTCTGAGAAGTAAAATGAATTTATTGAATGGGAAATGAATAGATGATGTCTATTAAAATAACGGCTAATAAAACAAATTGGACCTAACTTTGAAAATGCTGTTCTTTTCTGTAGCTATCATCAGTTTCAACATATTTCACTTCATTTACTGTTGGCCTGGGGAAATCCTGTAGATGTGAAAAACAAAAAAACCAACTGAGATGTCACTTGACCGACTTAAATTATGTGGTGTTACCGTAAAATTGTCTGCGCTAAATTCTGTATCACAGATACATGTAGTTGGATCCATGTTTGGAGTATTATTCATGTCTTAAGCGTACAAGTGGTGTTTTACGAAACCTTCTCATACCAGCGCTGTATCTGATGAGACTTTGCTTGGCAGAAGTGGGGTGTAATCTCAAAATGCTGAATGTTGTCATTCAAAGGTTTTTTTTTACTGCGTAAATAGAAGTTTAGAAACTTGTCCTCTTGGTTCTGACCTCTATGAGCCAAAAGCTAGATAATGATCTGTTGGTTTAAATTCATTTATACTCTTCATTGGTGGATTGACTATCAGCTGAGATAATCCGTCCGTCAATCAACAGAACTAACCTAGGGATGGATCGAGGATTTATCACAGTGTGTGTAACGGCACTGTTTTATATCCTTCTGACGTGTTTCTTTCACTTCCAAACTTAGCACAAGAAAATCTTTTAAAGTAAAAGAAGTTCAAAAAGAGTAAATATGTAGAAATAGAAAATGTCATTTGGGGTTAATTCAGAAATGGGTTTATTTGACATGGGTTGTGAATGGGTCCTCTGTTCTCAGAGTAATGGCAGCTCTAATGTTGCTGTGTAATGCTCTGAAACAAGAGGCCCATTGATAAAGAGATAACTTTACATCCTGCTGCATTGCCACATCCTTGAGGGAGTCAGCGGGATCAGCATTTCAGATGATTTATATAAGATATCTCCGAGCTGAATGAGATCAGATGAGATCAGATACACGCACATGCCGGGAGAGGAGAAAATCAAGACTGAGGGATTCTGTCTGTTTCTTTTTTAGGGTCCATTGAAGAACCACAATGCAGGCTCAGGAAGTCCTGAGACATTTGCGGATTCCAGAGCTAGAAGATCTTCGGCAGTATGTCCGCGGCTTACCCACCAACGCACTCATGGGCATGGGAGCCTTTGCTGCAATCACAACATACTGGTTTGCCACGCGGCCAAAAGCCCTAAAACCAGCATGTGACCTTGGGATGCAGTCTGTGGAAGTGCCTGTAAGTGACCCCCTTTACTATCTGACATAAATGAGTTCTTGCAGTGAGAGTCTTACAGCACAGGCATGACCCGTTCATCAGCCTTCTTATGTTGAAAATTGGGAGGATAACTGAAGCATGATTCAATTTCCGGGAAAGTGAAAGGAAATGAAACGTCATTCAACAGGAATGTGAACTAAATCCTCTGCAGACGCTTGAATCACAGCTGTTTGGAAACTCCTCACAATTACTGTACTCGCCTCCACATCCTTGTTTTTGGTCTCATCAAAGAGCTTAAGAGTTGACCTGGTTATCGCTTTAAGCCCATGTGGGAGTTTTGGGTAGACAACCTAAAATCAAAACAGATGTCTTTTCAGCAGTTATGTTATAATTTTTAATATCTGGACCAGTATGACGGGGTAGGTGTCAGGTGATACAAAGTATGGCATGCTAAAGAAACAGCCTCTATCACTTTTAACTTGACTGGCTATCATAAAGTGAAAGTGAAAGTAGAGGTAACTTATTTTAACAATGGTTTATGGAGAAAGATGTGGTCTACCCCTGATCTATAAAGCACAAATAAATATTTGATGTAAGGGATCCTGTATGGTGAACAGGTATTTGTGGGGTGAGACTAGATTCCAGTGTGGAGCAGAGGGATGTAGTCTGCAGACAGAAGAGCATGTACATGTGTTATGTCTGCAAATAGTGAAAAACTAAATGGGCTTTCTGATGGCGTGTAAAATGTTTCAGTAGCTTACACTTGAAACTAAATGAGCACTTTGGTTAAAGTCACTAAAAATGAGCTAGATTGCTGGGCAGACTTAGTGCTGTATACAGAGAACTGTAACCTAGCTTGCATGCAGTTTCTTATTGACAAAGTAATCTGTCGTCCCACTGAGCAATAGACGGCTAATAGACATCTATTTTTTTGTTGTTGTTTTTTTTAGACCTAATTTCAACTGTCTGGATTCTGTGTATTTTTAGACAGAATTTAGCCGTTACACTTTAACCCATTATTCGATAATTATTTATTTCAAAAAGCAACTGTGAGTTCCAAAACTGATCTCCAAGTACTTCACCAAAATAATTATGATAGCCGTTGAGCAAAATACAGTGTAGTAGATAAAGCCCAGATTTAGACTTGGTCTAAATTTAGACATCTGAAAAACTATTATTTTTAGACCTGTGGTAGCCTGATTTAGATGTCTATTAGACCTCTTTCAGACCAAAAATTGTAACTCATGCAGCCCCACTTTATTAATACCGAACTGTCTCTTTAATTGTCCCATTTCACAGATTTATCCGTTTTTCAACAAACAAGTTGTTTTATATTTTGTATTCATGAAACACCTAATTAATGTCCAAATTTCAGAGTTCAGTTTAGTTGACTAAGCCTAGGTAAGTAATCTATGAAAGTGTTGATGCTTCTAAATTAAATACAGCCAGCATCGTAGATTCAGTTTGGGCATCATGATTAAATGATGTTTACAATTGAAGTTAAAAAAAAAGCTAATTTGAGTCTTATAAGGATAATCAGACTTCATGGTGTGGCGCTCTCAGCGTTAAAATTCTCTGACCTGCTTTGGCCGACTTCTTCACCTTATTTCGTCAACTGCTGATCGAGAACTGTGAAGGATATTTGTTTGTTACTCAGTGTATCACGGAGAAACAATCGTAAATTTAAATCTCTGTAATTAATCTTATAAATTTAGTCAGTGCTTGTTTGAACTTTGAGTTTTGTTGGTTTAGGGGGGTGAGCGTGCCAGGAGGTCTGTACTAAACGACGGCAACGAGCTTATGACACACTTCTACAGCGACGCACGCACAATATATGAGGTGTTCCTACGAGGGCTCAGGGTATCAAGTGAGTGCATCTCTTATACAAGATCAATATTAGCCTTCTTGAAGGTTTGAAACGACAGTTCGTCATTCACATAACCATTAAAGGGAGCTCTACATTTCCTTGCAGATGATGGTCCTTGTCTGGGATCGAGGAAACCAAACCAGCCGTACGAGTGGCAGTCATATAAAGAGGTGAGGCATCTAGAATTTGTCCGTTTGCTACACAAACTGAGTTAAGATTCGTTTTAAATAAGATCTGTTCATTTGCTTTGCACAGGTGGCAGACAGAGCCGAGCATATCGGTTCAGCTCTCCTCCACAGAGGACACTCTCACACAGGAGACAAATACATCGGCATTTTCTCCCAGAACAGACCAGAGGTACGACACATGCCTTCACCCTGAGGCAACCTTCACAGTTTTAAATCTAGGGGCCGACTTTTCACCCCCACAGTTTCATCTTTTCTTATGTCAAATTTTTTTCCCTGTTTCGTCTCTCAGTGGACCATATCAGAGCTGGCCTGTTACACATACTCCTTGGTGGCCGTTCCTTTGTACGACACGCTCGGCAGAGAGGCGATTGGCTATGTTATTGACAAAGGTGCACAGAGGGGAATCGTCACTCACTTAGCCTAAACACACAGCCTTTGGCACAAACACCCCCTACCTAGATCATGCCACAAGCTAATTGAAATTGTGTGCTGTCTTTTTTTTTTCAGCGTCTATCGCAACTGTGATTTGTGACGTCCCTGAGAAAGCCAAGATGATTCTGGACTGTGTTGGAGGAAAAGGAAAAACTGTGAAGACGATTGTGCTTATAGAGGCGTTCGACAGCGACCTGGTGACCCGTGGACAGGAGAACGGGATTGAGATTCTGAGTTTAAAAGAATTTGAAGTGAGAATAACATAATCCTCCTTTTCTTTGTTGATCTTTCAAAGCTGTTGTACGGTGTAACACATTTTCATTGAGCATGGAGGACGGAAATGAAAATTTGCCCTGGCTCCTCTTGATTGTATTTGCGATACACTGCGGTTCAGTCACGTTCTGTTTTGAGCTTCATGGAAACGAGGCCCTGAGGTGTTGTTTATTAGATAATAAGATTGCTTCCTGCAGACAAACCATAGCTCATGTCACATTATTTCTTTTTCCAGGCCTTAGGTGAAGCACATCACCAGAAACCACTGGTGAGTAAGAACCATCTGTTTCATCTCTCAAAGGATAAAAGCTTTTAACCCATGCAAAATTACAAAGATCCACCATAAAGCATCTCACTCATTTAGAGTCTAGCCGTCACATGCATCAGTGTAGATGTGTCTCTTTACAGCCTCCTACACCAGAAGACCTCGCACTTGTCTGCTTCACATCAGGAACCACAGGTAATCACACAACCTGCCACAACTTGAACCTTTTGATAATGTTATTTTATTTCTAACCTCATGAATAATCACGACCATCATATCCCTTTCAGGAAATCCAAAAGGTGCCATGCTTACTCACCAGAATGTAATCTCCAACACTGCCGCTTTCATTAAAATAACCCAGGTAAACAAACACCGGAGCTTGACTTGAAAAATGTCAAATTTAACGTATTTAAAGATGAATAACATGTTTAATCATGAAGGTTGGACTCTGGAGCTTTTTTGTTTTTAAAGGTAGGAAGTTGGTTTGATTCACTCACTTAGTCTCTCTGGACAGTGTCCTCTGTTAATATTTATGTGATATGATAAAAATGGGGATACCTCCAAAAGTCAAGTCACGATGAGATTTAAGTTCAGTCTACTCCGAGGTGAAGCAGCAAATTTAGGGCCACTCACTTCTAGGGCTGGGACGATATGCTTTTCTCCCGATTCGATTCTTCTACGATTTTTTTGGTGCCGATTCGGTTAAATTCTGATTCTACAATATTGTCAATTTTCTCGATCTTTGGTCTGCATTTCTAACACCAGTGAAACAGTTGAATGATTATTACTGCGTTCGAGTTACCTCAGAGGTCAGAGGTCTGAGCTGAAAATGACGTTACACCCGAGTTACCAGCATTTCACTTACCACGTCAGAAAAAAGCAAAATCGGAGGCCTGAAACAAGATGGCTACATCTACAAAAGTAATTCTAGCGCTTGCCTTGTCCGAATATAAGGCAAGCACTAAAAAGGCCTCCAATTTTTCTTTTTTCTGACTTGGTGACTGAAACACTGGGAACTTGGGTGTGACGTCATTTTCAGCTCCGACATCTGACTTCCAAGGTAACTCGAACGCAGCATTGGATTGTCTCCTGACTATTCCAGGAACCATATTTCCCCAAAAAATACACATCACATGTAAGTCAGTTTTTAAGATTTTTTCTTAAATTTGAAAAAAAAAAAAAAAAAAAGTGTTTTTTTAACATAAAAATTGATTTAAAAAATTGTAAAACAAAAAATCGTAATAATTATGTGAATAATTTTTTTAATCCCGCCTCTACTCACTTCATTTGTTTAACTACTAGTGTCGAGTTTAAGTACCAACACTGCAGTACACTGCCACCCTTAAATATGAAATACAGTTATCATAGAGGTGATGTCAAATACAGAGTAAGAAGAAGAAAAAAAAACTACAGCCAGATTCCTTTTCCAGTTTGAGTCACTCCATCATGACCCCAATAAGGTTATCTTCATTTTTCTATTACTCAGTTAATCAGATATGGTGATGTAACATTTTACCACCATCCCGCAATCTATCAACAATCACAGCACGGATGTATTGTGATATTGTTCTTATCAAAGAGCAGATATTGAATATTATTGAGAGTTATCCTGAACTCCTTCACCCCTATTTAAACCATTATTATGTAAATAACAGCAAAGGTTGTCATTTATATTAGTATGAAGTGCTGAAAGAAACATCCTCACCTTTGCTTCTACATCTCCCTTTGCCTGTCTCTTGTAATTTAGATCTCAGGGTAGATAAATGTGCACTGAGCTGTTTGACGGACCCTGTCTGATCTCCTTCATATTTCCTTTCTTACTTGCCTCTGTTACCTCTCCTTTTTCCCCATTCATCCTCCTCCTCCTTCTCCTCCTCTATGTACTTGTGTATGGTGTGGTCCAGGACACACTGAAGCCCAGCAATAAAGATGTCCTGATCTCCTATCTCCCTTTGGCCCACATGTTTGAGAGGGTGGTGGAGGTACAGTACACCATGTGTGACCTGCAAACATGCATGTGTTTTGTTTTGTGTGTCTCCTGCAGGTGCACTGCATGCTGGATCTCCGTGATATTCATATATCCTATCTCCCCCTAGCTCACATGTTTGAGAGGGTTGTACAGGTATGTGTTGGAACTAACATGTTTTTATTCTGAAACTGTAAGAGGAAACTGAGCCATCTGGGGTGTTGAAGAACCCTGTGTTTATGATTTCAGTGACATTTGATGGTGTCCAGTTTGTATATTTTGGTGCTGAGAATTAAACATTTTTTAAATCCAATTTTAATTTTTAAAGGGAGATTCCAGAGTAAAATTACTTTAGGGTCAAACACACCGTAACACCGAGTGGACACCGCCTCGAGAGATGAATTTTCCCGACCGCTTGCTTTTCTAGTTATACCAACTTTAGTAACAACTGTAGGATTGCAATACACAGTGTTCTGAGGAGCCTCAAACAAACCTCAACCAAAACGCCACTGTATAGCCACAAATAATGCTCAGAACAGCACCTAACTTCATCAACAGGACATATAGGGTCCTAGCCACAGCACTAGCCACCAAACATCTTTTAAGCTTTGACTAATTTCTTTATCAAAGAGACTAAACGCAACTCACCTACTCTCTTTCAGCAGCTGCTTTGTTGTAGCGAGACTTCAGGCCAGTCCATTACGGACTGCAGCGAGGTGACGCAGCTCGAGGAAGAACATCTATGATCCTAACTTCTGTAACTAGAGAAGCAAGCGGTCAGCAACATTCATCTCTCGAGAGGGTATCTAACTTGGTGTTAGGGTGTGTTTGACCCTGACTTAATTTTATGCCGGAATATCCCTTTTTAAGTTTGCATCACACCAAGTGAGATGTGTTTTGACTGAAAAATGAAATGCTGATGCTGACGACATGTTTATAACCATTGAAATCAAGCACCAAAATTGCTGCTGTGGCACTGAATCTTGGACCTGGGTGCTGTGGCAAAAGCATTTAAACTTCTTGAAGGACAATGTTTACTTGTGTGTTATGAAGTGAAACTAAAACTGCCTTCCATGTGTCAGTGAACTTCATGTCCTGTACACTTCAGAGGAACCTGGCTTTTAACCCGACCTCTTTGCAGCAGTATTAGTCACGGTCTCTGAATGCACCAAATTCAGGAGCGGATTCGAGCTACTGTTCAAATGTATTCATTCAGATGTGAAATCAAACACTGCCCTCTTGTGGGTGAAATTTAACTTGCACTAAGAATAAACTGTCCTCATCAGGGTGTCATCCTCATTCATGGCGCTCGAATCGGGTACTTTCAAGGAGACATTAGACTTTTGATGGATGATTTGAAAACACTGCAGCCAACAGTCTTTCCTGTGGTCCCACGTCTCCTCAACCGCATGTTTGACAAGGTCAGTCAAAGTCTCTTTTTTTTTAATTTATTTAACAATCATGTACTTTGTTCTGAAAGTCTTAAGCTGTTTTGGAATTTCTAAATATTCTGTTTATTTACTGACTAATTTAGCTTCGGTTTCAATTTCTCTGCTTTTCATGTTTTTATGACACTCGTGATTATTTCTGTCCGATTTCTCCACAGGTCTTCAGTCAAGCAAACACACCTCTGAAGAAATGGCTGCTAGATTTTGCTTTCAGGAGGAAGGAGGCAGACCTTAAAAGTGGTGTGGTCAGAAGAGACAGCATGTGGGACAAACTTATCTTCAAGAAAGTGCAGGTAAACTTGGCCTAACCTTTTCCAGCCAACTCCATTTTGTTCTTAATTTGCCTTTTTCACCAGCTCGACCAAATTTCAGCCAATACTGCTTCTTAAATACTCATCATACTTTTGATTAGCGCAGTAGAGTAGTTATGATTTTGTGTTTAATTTGGTATTAAGTTACAATATTTTCAATTTTTATTTAACAGTCATGTGAAAATAATAGTCGAGTCTGAATTTCTTATTTTGAGTCTTATGTTTGTTCACCCTGTTCAGGCAAGTTTGGGTGGACGTGTCCGACTCATGATCACAGGAGCAGCACCAGTTTCTCCAACCATCCTGACCTTTTTACGAGCTGCACTAGGTTGTCAGGTGAGCCACATCCACGTGCTCTTTTTATTAATAATAAAAAAAAACTATGATTGTCTTGGTTTTACAAATGTCATTAAAAATATGCCTATCACTGCAGTTTTATGAAGGCTACGGTCAAACTGAATGCACCGCTGGCTGCTCCATGTCCATGCCCGGGGACTGGACCGCAGGTAAGAACTACAGGGTTCCTTTGATATTTCCGTACCTATCCGTACCCTACTTTTTAGAATTCTTTTTGGAAATACTTACTTTTCTATTTTAGACAATAGTATTTTAGAACTGTGGTAATCTGGGAACATAAATATTTTTCCACTTGATTTTTAATTTTCCATAAATTTTAAGACCTGGAAGGTGATCAAATGTATTCCATACTTGTGTAAGAATCCTGCAACTAAACGTTTTCAACAAATTGTCTCTTTATTTTCAGGCTTAGTGATAAATTCTGCACAATCATCATCTATTTGAACCAAATTAACTTGATATTCCATGTCTGCAGGTCATGTCGGACCTCCTCTACCCTGCAATACTCTTAAACTGGTTGATGTGGCAGAAATGAACTATCTGGCAGCCAACGGAGAGGGAGAGGTGAGAAGAGAGTCTTCCTCAACATTCAAAAACATGCATCGAATTGGACATTTTGTTTTTGAGCGGTTTGAAACTGTGAATCAGTCCTCTGGTATTACAGATCATTTCAGTTTTAGATGAAATAATTTAAGTCCTGATAGACACCATTAAAATAACCATTCTAGCTGGGAAATGTGATTCCTGAAAAAGTACTTTTGTTTTTTTAAATTAAGCCATAGCAGCATTTGTTGAAAATTAGAAAACAGTAACATCCTCTTATCGCAAGACTGTGAACCATATTCACTCTTTTCACCATAGTTTTTACATAAAATACTAAAGTATCACCACACGAACAAAACAGGATGAGAATTAAGAAAGGTTGTGACTGAATTTTCAAGTTATGTTGCAATTTATTGAGAAGATATTTAGCTTTTTTATAGTGCACAAGAAAAAACTTAAAAAACGTAAATACTGCCCTGTGGTAATCAATGTCTAAGTGCTAAAACATGACACAAGTCTGTCAAATTTGATCAATCAAAAGGTGCCTTATGGTGAAAATGTAATTTTCACACTCCTCCCCATATGCCCCTCTAGGTATGTGTCAAAGGACCAAATGTCTTCAAGGGATACCTGAAGGATCCGGAGAAAACAGCAGAGGCGATCGATGAAGACGGGTGGCTGCACACAGGAGACATTGGGAAATGGCTCCCGGTAGGCGAAACAAAGAGTGCACTTCTGATCTCTGCCGTGTGCAGGACATGCATCGGTTGTAACTCCCATGTGTCCTTGTCTTTTCCTGTTTTGTTGCAGAACGGCACTTTGAAGATCACTGACAGAAAAAAGCACATTTTCAAGCTGGCACAAGGAGAATACATCGCCCCCGAGAAAATAGAAACGGTCTACAGTCTAAGTGATCCAGTAGCTCAGATATTTGTTCATGGTGACAGCTTACAGGTGAGTCATACATTTGAGACTTTCTGTATGGGACAGCGCTGCTCAGTTTCTGTCGCACTGATCTTTTGTCATGGTGTTGTGTTGTGTTGTTCAGGCTTGTCTGGTGGGGGTAGTGGTTCCTGATCCAGACTTTTTGCCTCTTTGGATCAAGAAAAAAGGGATTGAAGGATCCTACTCTGAACTTTGCAAAAACCTGGTGAGATGTCTTCATATCAGCAGTACAAAGAAAAAGCGCCATTTATCCTGCATGCTAACATCTTTCTGTTTTAGGATGTGAAGAATGCCATACTGGAGGACCTGCTCAGGCTGGGAAAAGAAGCTGGACTCAAGTCTTTTGAGCAGGTGATTAATGACATGTAATAACTTAATGTGGCCGAAGAAATGTCTTAAAATCTTCTCAAGTGGTTAGAAACGTATTATTTTCATCTTAAAATTGTAGATGAAGTGAATGTCTCGCTCAACTCTACAAAAATGTAGAAGTTATAATTAGTCAATTGTATCTGGATGCTTTTCTGTGAAGCATTTTAACCCTTTATTGCCTTTTGTATCATATTTGATACATACTTTTATGATACTTATATCAAATCATTATGATCATCTAATTACTAAAATGACACCTGAATACAGTCTGATAAATGATAAAAATATCTGGTGGTTCATCAGTTTCCAAAAAAATTTAATGTATCAAACGAGATAAATAAATATGTTTGTTAAATTTTAAGATCATTTTAATTTTTTTGGTTTTCAGTCGAAAGTGAAATAAACATTTCAGCTCCAAAAAAATAGAATTTTCTGACCATAATTTGTGGTTTCAAGCATTAAAAGGACTAAAGAAAACATCTAAACTTGAAGACTTTGTAGCCTCTTGAGCTAAAAAATGATAAAAGATGTTTTAAACTATATCTAAAATGTAAAACTAGGATAATGCTGTAATAATACATGGATATTACCATACCTCATTTCCTTGTTCTCATGGGCTTTTTCTCCTCTGCAGGTGAGAGATATCACATTACATCCAGAGTTGTTTTCCGTCCAAAACGGCCTGTTGACGCCCACTTTGAAGGCTAAGAGGGCTGAGCTGCGGAGCCGCTTCAGAGAGCTCATTGATGAACTTTACGCCAAAATTAAGATGTAAGGTGGACGTGAGGAACGGTTTTTAGAAAGAGACAATCATTTAGAGCACAAAAAAGCTAAAAAAAAGGAGGGATTCTCTCAACTATCCAGCCAGTGGATACCTGCACCGTGTTAAGGGGGTTGCCTTAAAAAACAACAAAAAAAAACAAGGTGGTAACAACCCTCAATTTGAAGTATGTACTGTCCCTGATTCATCTAAATATTGTGCCACTAATTTTTTCCTGCTATGACTGGGTTAATATTGCAGATTATGTCATCTTTGTGACTGGTATAAATTATTTAAGGTTGAAAAAACACAAAACTCCTGCCTGAACTGCCTTAACTTTCAGTATGACTGAATACTCCACAGTCGGAAAGGTCCAGCAAAACATTTCTGCAAGTTTTTATTCTTGTGTGCTGCAGAATACAAATCTTTTAAGCTCGCTTTGACAACAGTGACAGATATTGAGTATTTATATACCAGACTATTTAATGCTTTGGCCCTGTATTTAAGATGATATTTAATGTAATCATTAAACCTGTAAATAGTGTATCTGCTGAGAAGTCTATTTGTATGCAGAGTATCGTCCCCATTCCTATGTTTTAAGTGCTGTAGGTCATAGGACTGATGAACCTGTTTTGATGCACAATGTAGGTGGTAGCCTCTTTGGGAATCTTGTTGCTCGACAGGCTGTTTTGTGCCTTTTTCGGTTGTGTCTGTTTTCTTTTAAAACTGCATGAAAACTATTGAATGTTGCTGTAGATGCAGTTCTGATGTTTTCAAGTGTCCCATTTCAGTGCCACAGTTTGCAGGATAAAGCTGCACACTGTCATTTGTACAATGCACAACACAGGTATTCAGGGTGAATATTATTGGAACTGTGGTAAACACACAGTTCATGTGAAGTTTTTCCAAAATTAATTTCATGTCCTTGTAAACTTTTTACGGATGGTCTGGACTCTCGAGAAACGGAGCAGCACTTTAGCTGTTTGACAAAAAGTTTTGCTTTGAGTTGAAATATTTCAACTGAATTAGTCACATTGAATCATGCCAACGCTTTGTTAACATTTCAAGCCATATTGTTTTATAACTATTAGAAAATGAAAAGACGAAAGTGCATTTTTGTGCTGCAGTTACCAGTACACTATCTTCATTTGTCAACTGTACCAAATAAATACCTTTAACAGTACAGCTTTGTCGAGTCTTTATCATAAAGAAACATCATGGAAACTCTTAGAAACAGTGTGGTTATAAAAGCTTCAAACATACTGTATTAAAATTAAAACTGCCATGTAGCTGTAAGCAATTAATGAAAGCATTTTTCATATTTTTTTGATGCTTTTGCAAAAATCAGTTTTAACCTCAAAAATTTTCCAAAGTATTAAAACTGCACACTGTTAGACAATAATTTCTGCTAAATACATTAAAGGGATATTCCGGCGTAAAATTATGTTAGGGTCAAACACACCTTAACACCAAGTTAGACACCTCCTGGAGAGATGAATGTTCCCGACCGCTTGCTTCTCTAGTTATACCAACTTTAGTAACGACCACAGGATAGTAATACACAGCGGTCTGAGGAGCCACGCGCTCAACCAAAACTCCACTCTATAGCCACAAATAATGCTCAGAACAGCACCTAACTTCATCAACAGTACATATAGGGTCCTAGCCATAGTACTAGCCACCAAACATCTTTTTAGCTTTGCCTGATTTCTTTAGTGAGGACACTAAACATAACTCACCTACTCTCTTCCAGCAGCTGCTTTTTTATGTAGGGAGACCTCGGGCGAGTCCATCACCGACTGCAGCGGGGTTATGCAGCTCAAGGAAGAACATTTATGTTAATTTCTTTATCATTTCCTTGAAGTAATAATCACCATATTAATAATTTTGCACTACAGACGTGATAGTTCTTCTGCTTTAGTGTCTCGGTCTGATTACATTTCCATGAAGCAATGATCATAAATGTTCTTCCTTGAGCTGCGTCACCCTGCTGCGGTCGATGGACTGGCCTGAGGTCTCCTTACAAACAAGCGGCTGCTGGAAGAGAGTAGGTGAGTTGTATTTAGTCTCTTTGCCAAAAAAATCAGGCAAAGCTAAAAAGCTGTTTGGTGGCTAGTGCTATGGCTGTGACCCTATATGTACTGTTGATGAAGTTAGGTGCTGTTCTGAGCATTATTTGTGGCTATAGAGTGGCGTTTTGGTTGAGGTTTGTTTATGGCTCCTCAGACCGCTGTGTACTGCTATTGTGTGGTTGTTACTAAAGTTGGTATAACTAGAGAAGTAAGCAGTCAGGAACATTCATCTCTCGAGGGGGGTGTCTAACTCAGTGTTAAGGCGTGTTTGACCCTTAATTAATTTCAAGTACTTAGATGTACATTTCCGTTCATGGTGCACCTGTAGGCTATGAATAATAGATTATACTGTATTATGAGTACAAAATAGCAGGATGTAAGTGTTACCAGTATCCTTCATGTTTTCTAGCTGAACCTTACCCTCTTACTTGGAATCAAAATCTGCCATACATTTGAGCAGCAGCTGATCAGAGATTTCTCCACTGTTTTCTTCAAAGTCCTCAAGGCTCTCTAAAAAGTCCTGGTCATTCTGTGCGTCCTCCCACACGTCAGCTGAGTCCTTCTCTGGATGCACTGTGCTCCGAGGAGTCTGCTCTGGTGTCTGGCTCAGCTCAATGTTGCCACAGTCATCCATCAAGTAGGCCTGGTCTTCATCATCCTGTCAGTGAAGAGATAAAATGTTCAGACACAGCTGCAGGTTGTAAAGAACATCTTGGGGATTTTCTGGGTAATATATCTCCTAGTAAAGCTGTGAAGAAGACAAACCAGTGCCAGCAGGTATGAGACGCAGATCTCTCTTGGGAGAGGGTAACCTGAAACAGAAATTGTCACCTCAGACATGTTCAGCTACCAGAGTTGTAAAAGTTATAACCTGTGTGTGGTCTTGAGTTCAGTGCAAAGAGTGCAAAGTGTTTGCTTGTAGGGTCACATACATACTTGTGGACCTAAAGTTCTTGCAGTTTGGATCATGACACTTCTGGTACCACACTTCCTCTTTGAGATCCGCAACAATCCTGCAGAAAAAAGGGACCGAATCAGGTGAGTCAAATGCATTCATACACAGAGAACAAAAATAAATAAACTGTACAGTAAATGAAAAACATACATGATATTGTTGCTTTTGTGAAACCTTTCCACGTTTTCACACCAGCGATATTTTGCGATGTCATAAACGATCCGCTGCTCAGAGGCGAAGTAGTTCCAGTGTCTAATGCCTGTTAAAGTGAATATACCAGCTTTAATCATTCAGCAAAGTCCTACTCAACAAATTAGAGTTTAAACACACAAACTTTACAAATAGTCAAAGATTTAGTGAGCAGGATAACAATCAGGATATCTGCAGCTGAAATGAAACATTTCTGAACTGAGGCTGTGTTGAAGTATTAAACTCTTCTCTACATTTCTGACACACAAAACATCAAACAATACATTACTCTGTCTCAGATTAGACCTGTAAAAACACATACTGTGAATTATGAAACACTTACTTCCTTGTATGCCATCTTTTTTAACCAGAGTTAAAACAAAGTTGTCCACGTCTTGATGAGGGGATGACAGGTAGCCAGAGATCAAGTCTGCAAATGATAAATAAGAAACAGAACCTAAATAACACAGACTTAAAACAATTACACATAAGAATATTAACAGAGGTGTCTATCATCACTTCATTGTTACCTGGTATTTGGGCTGATCCTTGCTGGCTATGAGTCCCCAAGGTTTTCGATTCCTTCATTTCTGGCGTGTCCCAGGAAAGAATCTTCTGACCTGTGAAACTACATCAGAAACAGGCTTGAATACAGTGATGGTGACGCCTTCAGGAAGCAGAAAAGTGGAGTTCAAATGGTTCAACATACCTCACATTACAGACTAAAGAAGCCAAGAATACACTCTCCTCAACAGAACCCCCTTTCTCGGGTTTGGCGGTAAACTTGTTGTCATCTGCAACTGTGAATGCAGCATTTTTTCCCACTTTTGACGACTTGTAAAGGCGGAAATTTCTGTTCTTGGTGTAAACACCTGTTGAAATATAATCGTACATCTTCACAGGTTAAATGCTGGCAAAGTTTACAAATTATTAAAAAATAAGGATATTAATAGGAGGCTGATATGTGAGGAAAACAAACTAATAAAACTCCTACCAAGATCCACAAAGAGGCAGTCTTGACCATCTTTGTTTTTGACTCGGAGGAAACTCAAGTCTGCTTCATCTTTCTTGCACTTCTTCTTCTGTGGGCCTTCAGCGAGCTCATCTGACTTTTCTTCAGGCACATCATGAACTCTGCTGTCAGAACATTAAATGTCAAAGACTTAAAGATAGATAAAAAAAAAAAAGGTTATTCATAGAGGTCCAAAATACAAACCTTATTTCACCATTTTCTGCCCCTGAGTTCATCCCAGCATTCAGCAAACCGCTGCTTTTAGGTGGGCTCAGGACTGGTTGCAGAATTGCGTGAATAAACCTGCCTGTAAAAACAAAACAGACAGAATATATCAACTGTAAGGATATTTTTCAAGTATTTACGACTAACTAAAATTACACATAAATAGGTATCTCAGTTTAGCAAAGAACATACATACCCACATGTACATTATCCTTGAAGGCTGCATTCTGGAGGATGAAGATGAGATGCCGGCTGAACTTTTCTGCTGTGCTGGAGTCCAGGTTGAGGACATCTTTGGAAGAGCATTTAATCCCATAAACTTCCATAAGCTTGTCACAAACATACTGTCAACACATTAAACACATGAGAAGAGAGACTTTATCAAAACCTTTGAATTCAATACACTTCGGATTGATTTTATATGCCATAAGAAACCAAGTTTTACACTTATTGTCTGCTGTTTAAAAACAGCGTTGAACTGTTTGTGGGAGAATATTACCAATTAAAATTGCCAACCTGGATGAGTGATGACACCATAGCTCTCCCATCAGCTGCCGGGTTTGAGGGCTTGTGAAACTCCAAGTCAAAGTAGAGTTTGCAAACAGCACCCTCTGGTATCACCTCATAGCAGTGCATCAAGGACTGTGTGTAAGTCCTGTTTAAAAAAAAGAGGGTCAAACAACTTTTCATGTGAACTGCTGCACTTTTTCTGAATGAAATAAAAGAAGTGTGTCATTTTGCACACAGATATTTACCTGTAGTAATGCCAGAGCTCAGTGTAACTGGTAACCAGGTAGATCCTTTGACCCTGGGGTGTATCCTCTTTTTCAAGTGCAAAAATATGCACAGCCTGAGAATGCATTGAACAAATATCAGCGCTTTCCCTTCATAGGTCGGTTACACAGCCCTACATGTCTCTTGTGTTACCTCTTTGCAGCTCTGAGTGAAGCTGATGGCCATACTTTGCCGAGGGAAGAGCTTCCAGATGGAGGAAGGCTGGCATGGCCACAGCCGAGGTTTGTATCGAGAAGTCAGCGGGTTCAGCTGGAACGACTCAGCGAGCTGCTCGACCTTCTTTAGGCGGTTCTCCCACTTCCTCATCCTAGAGCCTCTAGGTTAAGGTTAAGGTCAAACAAATGTTACTATCCCAGGGAAGGGTTAGATCTAGTAGTTATCAACAACTCAGAAATGTCTATGAAAATTTGAAGACCTAGAGATTTGACAGGCTGGTATTTGGTGGAGCATCAGAAAAATATGGACAATTTGTCGTAGGACTACAATAAATGGTACAATTACAAAATACATGAGTATTTCATCCATGAACACAAAAAACTTGAGTTGTTTCAATACTAAAGAGATAAAGTAATTGATGTAGTGTAGTAAAGAGTAGTATATTATGAAATATGTAAAGTAGAGTACAAAAAGTACAGTACAGTACAAGTATGTTACAAAATGAGCTTTTATAAGGTTATCAATGACTATTCTGGATACTTTTCAAAAGGTAACAAATAACTCAGGCTGCAGAAACTGACATGTTTCTTAGCATAAGTTTAAAACATTCATTAATGTACCATCAACATCAAGTCAACAGGAACTAACAACATCAGCTATTTTTTAATAAAACCATCACATTCAGCGTCAAACAACAGCAAAGTTAATACAGTTGAATACGGAACTTAAAGTTTACCCTCAAATGTCCGGCTGTCACTTGTTTTCCACAGAAAACGGGTCCAGGAGGAAAGTAAACACACAAACTTCTGCCTGGACGTCCTGTTTTCTTTTTTGGCGCGTCTGAATCCGGAAGTACCGCCATTTCCTGTCTGTTTTGTTATCATCCTGCCGCAGATCATTTCAAAATAAAAGCTTGCGACAAAAAAACTGACGAAAACGACTGAAATTGTGATAACACAAAAATGTGGGTATGAAACCATTCCCAAGAACCTTATACAACTTTTAAACCACTTCCTTAAATGTTATTTGTAAAGTGAACCAATGAACACTGTTGTCCAATGTAGGAACACGTAGAATTGCTAATTTTTTTTACAAGTTCAAAACAAAGGGATATTTTTCTTTTCTATTGATTAAATTGTATTTCATTCCTCTCACTGTGAACAATCAAAGCCCCATCCTGCCTTACTTAAATAAGGGTCAGGGTTGGCTGCAAACCAAATCTACAAATCTGTCCTCCAGCAGACTCTTGTTATGGGCCTACGTGAAATGCAGGAAGTGTGTCTGTTTAAGTGGAAGGAAGTGGGACATAACTCCACAGAAGAGGGAAAAAACTGTGAAAAAAAGGGAGCACGCCATCACGGTGAAACAGTGAAAGACAACAACACCATACACTGTACAGTCATCAGGCCAGTATTTGTGCAGGGATAGAGGTTGATGAAGCCTGGGTGAGTCAGTATTTTAAAGCTGGCTCAGATTTTCATCCTTTACAAAAGTCAATGGAATCTAAAATTTTCTTACTTTGTGGGATCAATGGAAGTAAATATGCAACAAAAATGCCTCTTGTGTTTTAACATCCACCGATATATAGACAGTGTAATTTTTAAAACCTGCAGCAGGAGGCCCAAACCAGCTGCAGCTAACACATACAACACAAGCTTCATTCATTTATTTCCTCTTTTTGTAGTGGACTTTTTGGTCTTGAAGTCTTTTGGATCTTTTGGGGTTCCAAGTCAGAACTTTTTTACATATACATCTTAAATAGCTGTAAAAGTGGTAAAGAAAATAAAGAGTGTTCTGTTCTCTCTGCCCAGCGCCCCCTCTTGTTGACTGTCTCAGTGGTCCTTTTGGCGCCTCTCTGAAGAATAACACTCCCTTTTCTCTCCTCACTCCCCTTGTGTTATCAAGTATGTAAACGACTGTTTGACCACAAAGTCAGTGCTCGGTGCCTTTAAAGCTGCCCGGGTATACAGAAGCACTAAGAATTCATGCTTCTTGCTGTCAACCTCCTGTTGTGTCGGATTTTTGGTTGTTTTATTCTGAAGTACTTTCTGTCTGTTTATATCTCCTGCACACACATTTCCTCTGTCATTCTGACTTAGCCAACAAATCAGTAATGCATCAGTGGCTGGTCATTTGAGGCCAAGATTTTGCTGGCCCTTGGACTTTCTAAATTTGTTCATCCCTTACATACTCACCGCTGGCTTATTTATATCTTAAAGTGGGCAAATAGCAACAAGAACCTAACTGAGTCAAAGCAAAATGTTCAGCTGACTCACTGTTTCTTAGAGGTTCATGCTCATTTTGACCTATGTGAAACTCATATTTTACCTGAGATATCTTACACATCTAAATGAAGCTATACTTATATCAACAGTGAGTTTTAAGCTGAATTGCTTGTCTAATTAGATTATAATTTGTTATGTATCAGGATCAATTAAGGCTGGTTAATTTGGTTTACTGAAACACGTGTCAAAACTCTGCAGAAGCTCACCACAGTAACTCAGTAGCTCGAAGAGAACAAAGTAGGACTCCCAATGGTCTGATATTTCCTTCCTCAGGAAAAGAAAAAGAGTTGCTTGCTGAGATAAGATTTTCCACTTCCCATCGCCGACAGAGTTCAGTAGAGAATGATCACACCCTGCAGTCTGTAGTAACTAGCTTCATTTTCAAGTTCCTCCCAGAGATTAATTGTCTCTGTTCAAGGTACGTGCCCTCTCAAATTCTCAACATTTTCAGCTCAGTAAATTACTAAATGATGTATGTTTGGGGTAGAGGGAGGTTGGGATGCTGATAATAATTGTGGGCTTGTCTAAACAGAGTATTTGAGCAACAAGCCAGATCATACCATTTTTGGACATGATCCTGCAATCCTGTTGATCCTGCGGAGTTTAAAGTATTTAAATCTGTTGCAGCTATTCGTGTGCAGACAAGAGGCAGGAAGAGTCTTTCAACATGTGGGATACAAGAAAACTGCCTCTGGCTGTGTTCATCTTCACAGTACTTTCTCATAAAGTGAGTATCATTTCTTTCTGGTATCAAGTTTTTCTGAATTCATATCTCAGTGTCAAACCCTGCTTCTTTTCCAAGGGGATGTCAAAGAGCCCAGAACTGGACATGGCCCCGGACGCTGTCGATGACCTGTACAACGGATGCCGTGAGGAGGCAATGAAGAAGTTCATAGAGTCAGGCGTGTTAAAACAAGAGCTGGAAAAGAATGAGGGATTCAAGACGACATGGACTGAAAAACGCGAGTGCTCCGGACTAATCCCAGGAGGAACAAAAGAACACACTACTGCTCTTTCATTGATGGGCGACGAGTATGGCAGCTTCAAAAAGACCTTCAACAATGCAGTGAAGACGATGGGCACAAATGTGAGCACATATGAAAACTTTGCCTTCAAGTCCCTTCATTTCCTACTTATTGATTCCATGAAGCTTGCACAAAAACTGAATGAAAAGCAGTGCCTAACTGTGTATTATCTCTCAGAGGTTGAACTCACAGCAAAAGAAGGCTCAAAGATCAGATTTGGAGGGTTCACTGTAGCCTCTAATAGCTATGGAGATCTAAAGACATTGGAGGACTGGCATGAACGAACCATTTTTAATATCACTACATGCTTGTATTTCAACCTGGAAAACATTTGCAGTGATGATAAATATATGGTACTCTTATCTCCAGCTGAAGTGTACACTGTCAAGTCTGTGAAAAAAGTCACAGAAGATGATCCTGTATATACTGAGATTGTTTTGGAACAACCAGAGATGGGCAACCAACACAACTGCTACATCTTCTCACGGTAAGACTCGACTTTCTTTGATAAGGATGTAATTTTTAGTTTAATCTATCTAATAATAAGGAAATACAAGTGAGTTTGAGTCAGGATGCTTACTCTATTAGTAAAATTTGCACTGCTGCATACAGAACTTGTCTCGTATTTGCAGCTCAGCAACTCAAAGTTACATCTGAGAGGTCATCTGACATGTTTTGAAGACCTCTGAGACTATGTCTGACTGTTGCAATCATAAAGTAATATTAATGGGCAATCCCTCTTAGTTAACTGGTTGTCACCGTAGGAAGCTGTCAATAAAAGGACCTCATGAGCCTAGAAAAAATTCCTACTTAATGTTTAATTTTATTATTAACAAAAGGAAAATTGTGCTGTTATGATGAGGACTTGAAACTGGCAAGTTGGACCATAAAAGTTATAAGTTAACAGAAGTAATAAATCAACAGGGCCTTTTTTTTCAACTGGTCACCTGACTCTTTTGGAACTTCGTCTATAGAATTAACAGGAGTCTGATTGTGCTGTAAGTACTTCTCCTGATAGTACATGCACATCAACCACCTAAACATGATGGAAGAGCAGCCCTGTTAACTGTCTGAGAGGTAAACTATATAAGAGTTATTGAAAGGGACTTTGCTGATCACTGATTGGTGCTCCTAAGCAGATGACATATCTTAAAGTTAAGCTCCGCCCACATAAAAAAAGAGAGTGAGTGGGGTACAGAAAAAAACACAGAGGGATACATTAGCATATACCGTTTAAATAACCAATGATTTTGAAGCTAAGGTGTGTGTGTGTGTGTGTGTGTGTGTGTGTGTGTGTGTGTGTGTGTGTGTGTGTGTGTGTGTTAGCAGATTTTATATTTCAGGGTATAAAAACATACTGATGCTACAATGTCTCTCACCATTTCTCTCCTCCCCTCTCTGTCCATCAATCCAGGTCCCCAGCTGATGTTTCTACACTGTGGCTGGTGTTGCTGCTGGCTGTTTTACCTCCTCTTTTATAGCCGCCTCAGAGAAATGAAGGAAAAATATAGGGATTTCAGGCTGATCTGAAACACTGCAAAACAATACTGTTTTGTCTGTAAGAACAAACAGTAAACAATACGCTCTCTCTGATTTCTATGGTTAAAGGCGCTGCATGCTTGTAGTCTGCTGTAAAATTAGTCGTATCACTGTTTGATATTTCATCAATCATGAGGTTTTTTTTAGGTTTAACAACAAAAACATTATCCATGATGAATGCCTATTTCTATTTTTTATGTTTACTTTTTTACATTTTATGTTCTAGTTGCAGCTTACATGAGTATAATGGCAGCAAATGAGTGAAGAGGTATAGCAAATGAATGAAGTAGTCAGCACTGTAGCTACAGAAATATGTCAATTTCTGCTGATATTTACAGCTTTTACATATGCCTATGAGGTGAGCTGTAAATGATTAAACTGCTTGAACTATACTGGGGCTTGCTCATTCCTTTCAACCGTGAGTTTGACAGCTGCATTGAATATTAGCAGGATGTCCACTCACATGTACATCAGTGGGCTGACATGTGGTAGAAAGGTGTTTGTTCTCTGACTGCAGCAACAAAGCAGACTTAAAGCCACACCCAATTCCTCTGCCGAAAAAAAAAAAAAACCTTGTAATTTTCAGTTCTTGATCAATAAATACTATTTAACATTTTAATAAAATTTAATGGATTAAACAAAGGATCACAGCTAAAGGCTCTGATACAACCACACATCCTAAATCACCATACAGGAATTTGGACAGATCAGTAATACCAGCATAAACTGCATTCAGCAATTATATTCTTATACGATCTTAAGCTTTTACATGTTATTCCACAGAAATACAAGAATGACTGTCTGTGTTTCTTGTGTTGCTAAGTTGAGTATTTCTGGGTGTGACCCTTAGGAAGAGGGCGTTAACCTGCAGTGCACAGGGTTTGGGTATGACACGTGGAAAAAAAGGGTTGTCATCATGTTGCAGAGGAAGGTATGGTGCCAGTGAGTTAGGGAGGGGTTGTCAAATTGAAATATTTCATAACACATTTAATGAGATTTATTCCCTCTGTCTTTGACTTTATAAGTTGTATTTCAGAAGACACCACAAACATGTTAGTCAGCCACCCCTCACTTCTTAAAGAAAGTTTATTTGTCCAACATGGTGATCATGGCACACTTCAGGTTTGGGTCTCTTGAATATGGAGTGACTTTGGTTTTATATGCCACAAAAGGAACAGCGGAGAGTTTTTTAGGTGTCAGATGTCAGACTGCAAACATATCCCATCTCTATTTCCTTGTGTCAGGTGATACTGAGGTGAATTAATATTGAATAAAACACAGTCACCTATGAGAATATAAAGGCTGTGTCTGAGTGGACATTGAATATATAAAGATAACACTAGTGTAATCCCCTCAGATTCTGACTATGATTAAAGGCAGTGTATTTTTGATGCTTACTGCTCTGCAGGATGACAGCGACAAATATTTTCTGATTGGATGCTGTTGACATTACACACAATCCACTCACAATGAAAAACAACAAACTAGGGAAACCAGCATTTTATGTATTTAACAACATAATACAAGAAAAAAAAGCTTTTTTTTTTCACTTTAAAAGCCATACAATACATGTCTTTGAGTTGACTTTCCACAAAAAGAATATTTTGCACTCTTCAAGAATCACGATAACGGTAAACAGTGACTCTCACATATCACCATTTTTTTTTTTAATGGCACATGGTTTCTCTAACCTCTGACTAACTGGATTTACAGCTGTAAGCACTTGTGAAATTACATTCAGTATGAGGCATCCAGCCCAGATCATATGATATTCCCGTCCATGAACAGATCTAAGAGTATTAATGCTGGTTAAGCAGCATTAATACTGACATTACATATATGACCACAGCTTTTCATCAGATGCACTCACTGCCATGTTATGTAATAGCAGCACGTAACATTAAATAAAATGCCAGAAGCAGCTTAAGTACTTAGTTCATGATGCTGACTCAGCATCTCAAAGAAACATCCTAAAAACAATCATCACAAAGACAGAAGAGGATACGCAATGAGCTCAGTCAGGTACTATGAGTGTATCCATCAAATAAATTACAATATTTATCCATAACATTGAAAATAAACACACTACTATCATGCCTGGGCTTTCCACCAGGGTTCAAAACAAAGGTATGTCAAATTTTTAGATCATCAGAGTCAGAAGAAATCACACCAAAGACAGAGAGAGCACAATTTTTACTTCCTGCTTTGACTTTTTTCTATTTACAGTAACAGACTCAAAATATAATTCAGGACGTATAATCCCCCAGAATAAGGCTGTACATAAATAAATCATTTTTAATCATTTTTAACACTAAGAATAAAATCATTTTTATTGAATTAACCACTGTGTGAACTGCTCCCTCTGCTGTAGAGACCTGCAGACCCTGTGCAGCCATAAAAACCCTGGATTACAGTTCCTGGGGATGACAGCTACAGCCTCTTTCTTCAGCCTGTATTTGTTTATGTTTAATAAATCAGCACCATAAAAAGTATGCCAGTTTAGCCAGGCTGTATGCAGTTCCTGTTTTCAGTGTGTGGATGGACTGATGTACCAACATCACTGGCTGCCACTGACCTTAAGAAAAAAGTCCAAATGTGATGTTTTGAGGTCAAATGATTTCGGAGAACCCAGGAGTGCTCGTTTCAAATTAGATGTGTTTCGCCTCTGCATGTTCAAACTGGCTTGAAGCACCTTGTCATTAGCTGCCTGAATGGATCAGATTATAAGACAAAAACACTATTTCCTAATTTTATCTGGTTTTGTCTTTGTTCTTTGACTTCATGCAGGATACTCACACTCCTGCTCCTCCTACCAGATTCAAAATCTCTGGAGTAGTGACAACCAGATCAACACTGAACAACTCTGTAAACAAAAGACAACTGTGAGAGCATACGTCAGCTCAACATAAGAGTCAATAATCTGTAACACACGTTAAGATAGTAAATGAACTAACTGATTCTTTTGTTGGGCTCAGAATTGAGTCTTGACCTGTTGCCGTGGGAACAAAGACTCTTGTCTTTGCTGAGGATGCTGGTGTCGACTCTAGAGAGGGTGCACATGCTGCCCTGGTTTCCTGGCCGAAGTCTTGTGTTTTGAAGCTCTAGCTCATCGTAGGAAGAGAACCGCACGAAGGGACACCAGCGGAAAGCCCGCTTAAAACCAGCCCTGAATCTGCAGCCAGACAAACCACAGATTTACACAGTTTTTAACCACAAATCTGTATATTTCTGCTCTTTTTAGGAGGCTTTTATTCGACTCACCTGCTGTTGAGGCAGCAGTAGATGATTGGGTTGTACATGGTGGAGCTCATTGCCAGCCATAGCACCGACAGGTAAACCTGCTGGATGTATTTCCACTTGCTCAGACTCTTGTTGAGACCCGTCACAATGAAGTACACATGATAAGGCAGCCAGCAGAGGGCAAAGGTCACCACCACAATGATCATCATCTTCACAGCCTGCAAGAAAAGGAAAACTACAGAATCAGAAAATACAGGAATTTATCTGAAGAACAAGCTAGGCTGGGTCTTGCCAAAAGAGACAAAATCACAAACATGAAGTGAGATAACCAGGCCTCACTGTTTCATCTAAAATTAGTCCAAAATGATGCTGCTCATCTTTTAACCAGCACTAAAAAGTGAGAGCAATTTATTTCCATCCTCAATTCCCAATCTCAGCTCAAAACTCAATTTTAATTCTTAGTGAGGAATAGGAGGAGGTGGAGAGTCATTGTCTATTTTTGGACACAATCAGTGATTCATCTTTTACAGGAAAACATCAATTCAGCATGAGGAGTTACACACTTTAAATATAATTTCATTTCAGATGTAATTCTTTTTGATATCCGCTCATCTTAAGATTCTAAAAATGTCCTCCCGGCGCAGAGTTTGGCCTCGTCAACGAGAGAAAAATCAAATGTACAAACGAAAACTTTCTTTCATAGCAATTAGACTGTGTTTTGATGACATAAAGCCACAGTAGCTTTTCATATCCACATTGTTCTGAAGTGAGAAGTAAGTTGGCTGTTTCCTTCATCCTCTCCACAATAGTAATTCCACTACCAGAACCAAAATGGCTGCCATGTGAAGAAGAAGAAAAAGAGAAAGAGAAGAAAAGGTCAGTGATGACGCAGCAGACGCAGCAGGTTCCACGTGGAGAGGCTGAGAGAGCAGCACAATATGGGGTTAAAAAAAAGAGCAGCTGGCTATTATAACCCCAGCAGAAGCTCATCTGGAGGACGGAGATGAGAACTACTTCCTCTTATCTCCAGCCCAGATGACATTTTGTCAGTGTGGGCCTTTGAATTAGGCCTGATATTATCTTGTAGCTTTGTTTCCTGACATTCATGGATCTCTTTTATCAGCCGCAGCTCAATTTAGCCAGCAATCTGTCCTTCTGATGACTCTTTTCAATAGAGCCCTCAAAAGATTGTAAATGGCAGATCTGCACCTGTGCATCTGTATGTCTCTTTTTTTTTTTTTGGTGCACTGAATATGAACCATGTTTGTGTAAATGTGTGACTGTTGTGTTGAAACATATTAAGTTTACTCAGATAAATCTAATTTCAGTTTTTTTTGTTTGTTTTACATTACAGTTTAGATTAGTTATTGAGCTAATTTTAAAGTACAAATTTAAGTTGTCCCTAAAGCTGAAGAGGATTTGGCCACTAAATTCCATTTCTAGGAAATAATTTGTTAAACATGTTCCTAAAATTTAATCCTGGACATCTTCTAATCACAAAATCTACCAGAGTCTAACCCCTGCACACTTTTAGTCAAATCTAATATGTTAACATGCAGTATTTGTGATGTTTTACCAAACAATTGTATTCTTAAGCATTAATCCACGGCTGTCGTGATAGATGCTCGTCAGTACAGCAGTGATGACCTTAATCCCAGTGTAACTAGATCCTCACAGTAGCTGCAGTGGAGCCCACTGAGCTGACTGACCAATGACGTCCACAAAGTGGAACAAGTCTCTGTGGATACTTTTCACTTCTTCTACATATTGTGACAACACGAAGATATACAACTTCACAAAAGAAAACCTGCACTCCCTCCACCCTGAGTCCTTTTCCTTTGTCCACGGTTTCAGACAGTGTTTGATTTTCTGCATGACACCTGAGTGAGGCTGTGTTTAGGTGGTGTTGATTGCACTCGGTGCTGTTTCTCTTCCCTGTTTAGCACAATGATCTTATTATTTGTAACCTCGATCATTATGGCTTCTGATTGTAATGCTCTAGAAAGATAATAATTAGATTGTTTCTTTGTTTTTGTCATCAAAGATGGTTCAATGCAGGTTGGATACAGAACCAAACGGATAAATGTGGTCTGAAGTGTTTTATTTTTTACCACAGATACTCATCTTTGGATCTTTGTCCTTGTGAGTCTTTTGCACATTTTTAAGAACTGAGGTTATCTAATATTTTATGTAACATTTCTTGAAGGCTCTCGGTGTGCACATGCTTTTCAACCAAACTGAGGTCAGTTTGTGACCTGCCAACACTAGCTCTAGGTTTTGCATTTCTTTTAATAATCTGGATTGTTGATTGGGATTAATGTTAGCTTCCAAAATACCATTCAGAGGTCCTCATAAAAATAGTGATAACAAAAAAAAAGTGGTGTCAGTAAAACAAGAAAAGGTAAGACAAACTAAGATCAGAATACATGCTCTTTAAGTTACTGTGACTAATTGTTTCACACACTGTTAACCTGGGAGTTGAATTCAAACTATAAAATGCTCTATAAAGTGCAATGTCTAATTTGAATGTATTTTCCACCTATGAACAAAAAATCACATGAATAGAGATAAATGCGCTTTTTACCTTCCGCTTTGCCCTGAGCTGTCCGTGATAGTTATCAGATGAGTCTCCTGGGATCTCTCCTCCCCACAGAGTCACTCCCACGATGGTGTAAGTGATGCCCATCACAACCAAAGGCAGCAAATAGACGAGAACTGTCACTATGATATGATACCTGCAGAAGTGGACGAAAGAAAAAACTGAACCAAAGTGTTTTGATGACAAATGTATAAAGACAAAGGATCAGAGGATGAGGATGAGGACGAGTTTGCTCTCACATGAAGGAGTCGTCAGCCATGCGGGGCCAGGCCACATAGCAGAGGGTCCTGCGAGGCAGAGTTCGGATGGTGGAGAAGTAGCAGAGAGGGAAGGCCAGGACCACGGCCAGACTCCAGATACACACGATGACTCCTGTGGTGGCCTTCGCTGACAGACGGGGTTTCAGGGGGTGGATGATGGCCATGTACCTGCAGGATAGAGGTCACAGCATGAGCCTGACTTATGAATACAAAAATTACACCTCACAACATTTTTGATCGATTATATTTAATGTAATTGTTCTTATTATTATTATAACCTATATTTAACCAGGTTTGTCCCATTGAGATCCAAGATCTCTTTTGCAAGAGAGACCTGGCCAAGAATTGCAGCACATATAGTTCCAATACATAATCGCATTAATCATATACAATGCAAAGAATACAAATAATTGAATTTTCCAAATTAGTTAAAATAAAAGAATTTACAAGATTCGTCAAACATTTGCACTCAAATAAAACATTTGCACTCCTGAAGCCTGGATGTAATGGAGTTTATCATGGATTTGGAGAGATACCAGACCTTAGAGAATCATATCTGATCTCAAGATGTTCCATGCACTCGGAGCAGAAAATCTAAACGCTTTCTTCTCCATTTCTGTTCTGACCTTGGGAACAGTAAAAATGATAAAAGTCCTGGGAGTGCAGACTATAGGCCCTATCATTCAAGATTAAAAGGAAAAATAAATAAGATGGAGTCATCTGAAGAATAGCCTTATAAATCAACATGTACTAATGGCCGAGTCGGCGCACATATGAAGATAAAGACTTCACTGTGTGAGACATAATAATGTGTTCGAGCTCCACAGTTTGTAATAAACTTGGTTTATGGCATGGCTGTTATTACAGCTGGATCGTGAAGAATAGGTCACAGTAACTCACTCACAATCAGATGATCGTCAAGCAAGGAAAAATCCAAAGCTGTTTTCAAAATGACTCAGATGCTCAGAAAATGTTCTGACTTATTTTGAAAAACTTAAGAGGCATTTCAAGTCATGAGTCCATACAATCATTTTAAGTCACACTGCTGTTATTGACAGAGATTGACTGTGTGCAAATCTTACTAAAAGGCACAAATTAAGCAGGGCTCTACAACACTGGTAAGACTTTTTCATTAAAATACAACTGAAACAAATTTAAATGTCAACTGTAAAATCTATCAGGATATTAATACAGTGAAGCATGAGGACACTTTTAAAGGGAACAGAGGGAGAAACTTCATGTCACTTTGATGACATCTGTTGGACATGGACCTCTCATACCTGTCTATCGCTATGGCTGTCATGCAGTAGATGCTGGCGAACACCGCGGTGACAGGGAAGAAGTTGTGAAACCTGCAGTAGACCTCTCCAAAGTACCACTCTCCGTGCGCCGCGTAGATGAAATTGATCAGCGTGTTGAAGGCAGCCATAGACGCATCAGAGAAAGCCAAGTTCAGCAAGAAGTAGTTGGTGACAGTTCTCATCCGCTTGTGCGCCAAAATAATCCAAATCACGATTAAGTTTCCGAAAACCGCTACAGCCAGCACAGTGCTGTACAACACCGACCAGAGCGCGATGCGCCACGCGGGCTGCACGAACTGGTTTGTGAGATTACTGGTGGTGTTGGTTTCATTCCGTTCAGAGGCCATTCCTCAGGAAAGCTCACGGTGGACTGACTCTGTTGGCACACTGCACAGACCACTGTGACACCTCTGATGCCGGATAATCGCGCAAAGGGGTTCACGTGTGACTGCAGAGAGAGATGGAGAGAGAGAGAGAGCGGGAGAGAGAGAGAGAGAGAGAGAGAGAGAGAGATGTGCAGCATCAGGATCTCTATCCCAAACCTGCAATTTTTTTGTACAAGCACTTTTACTCTTAATTTTAAGGAAAAATTTACTTAAATCAAGTTTAAGTGAACTCACACAACTATCAAAACTCACGTGGAAGGTAGTCAACTGTATTTTTAGACAAAAAAGTAAACCACTACCTAGTATTTCTCAATACCCATGTCTACAGCATTGTAACTGCCTCAATAGAAATAATGATAAGAGTCTTAAAGCACATGGAAAAAGACAAATAAAAACAAAAAGCTCAGTTAAAACGGAATTGAAGGCCAGACCATACACAAACCATGCAACATAAAATGAGAAAATGAGATGAGAAATGTTAACCCATCTATGGCTGCAAACGTCAAACTTCTTACTCAAAAGAGCTGAAATTTAGAATCCAGATGTCATGGATCGAGATCTGTCCAATTAAAGCTCCCATGAGGAACTTATAGTCTGTGTTTATTTTGGCGCCTCCTGTGGACAAAACAATCCATGCTAATCTTGCCCTCACTAAGGTCGTGTCTTCTGACAAACATGGCTGTTTATCAGCTGCTTGGCTGACACCTTCTCGCTCACACCAGCTTTTGGCAATAAAAATTAAACTTTGGAAATCAGCAATCTGATGGTCTTGTATGCTTTTATGCAAAATGAAATTTATGAATATGAATTTCAGCCTATTTCATGAATTAAAAAAAAAAACCACAGAAGCACTTTTTGGTTCAAACTCATTAAAACATCTAAAGCTCTAACTTAATACAATAAATGAATACATTTGAATTATTTTGACAGATATTTCTTATATACATTTTATACACAATCACTTTTCATATCAGAATTTTTAGGTTTTATGGCAAATTGAAGAAGATACAGCAGGAGGTGTGTGTCCAGACTTGTTTGGCTCAGGTGAGCCTGCTGGGGTATTGACTTACGCGAAGGTGGCATGGTGTAAGAGTGAACCCTAGGGATATCTTCCAGTGTCAATATTTGCTCACTTTAAAATTAACTCAACATTTAGATATCTCAATTTATTTCTTTAATGTAATTAAGCAGAAATTTTGTATTTGCTCTATGCTCACTCCCAGATTGCAGACGCCCTCGGTGTTATAACACAAATTGAGGTCAGTGAAGGCATCTGCCTCACAGAGAAATACCCAATTAGTGCCTTTCCTCCTGCTGAGCAGTACTGCCAATTAGCTTTAAGTCTACCTGCTGTGCTTGTTTTTAGCAGCTGCATTGTGCAAGTGGTACCCTGTCAGTACATACAATATCAAGTCTAATCTACAATCCAGTCAGACATCTGTTAAATGCGTAGAAATTGGTAGTTTGAGTTTAAATCTATTAACTATACATCCTAAAATAAGAGCTTTGACAGACGACAAGAAGGTCAAAAAGTCTGTTTTCCTCCCAGCAAGACCTCATTACCCGGAGACCACCTCTTTCGGGCCACTCCCTGTCTCAAATGTCACGGTTCAAACCTCCTCTTAACACACCCTATCCCCCCCAACAGAAAAGGTCACAAGCCATTAAGAAACATGCTCGTAATATCGTCGGCAGCATTTAAAAAAAAAAATCCCCTCTTCTTATGAATAATTCAGGATTTATTTAATCACATGGGAGGTAACAGCAGGGGAAGGCATGTGTGTCTCTTTTCCTAGTGTCTGATAAGTGTGAGATGGGGTCATGTAGGGTGTGTGTTAAGCAAATAAAAGAAGGGAGTTTACAACACTTAAGTCAATACAGGCCTGTGAAGACGAGTGGACTTGTAAAGATGTTTTACATTATTTTAAATCCTGTGTCAAACCAACAACACAGTGTAAATCTGGGTTACTCTGCTCTGTATAGGAGTGACTACTACATGTGTTTATTCATGTAGTTGTTTTACAGCTGGTTCTTAAATGAGACACAAAATATGATTGCTCTGATGTTCTGTTTCTAGACCTTACTACATTACACTTGATAATGGGAAGTTTTTTGGGGGGAATATTTAAGTTTAAGACTGTTATTGATGTGCAACCCCAATTCCCAAAGCATTGGTCAGTTGTGTATAATGTAAATAAAACAGAATTTGATGATAGCAAATCATGGGACTCCAACTTATCCTCAATATATGATTGACATATGATTTTAGTTTTTGCTTTTATTATGAGATATTAATCTAACCTGGTCATCAGCGACCCTAACACGACAAGTGCCATAGTTTTAATACAAGCATTTTATAATTTAGTCAATTTAATTTTTTAATTTTTATTTTGTTGAAAAAGAGGTTCCTGACAAAGTCAAAAAGTCTTGATGCTCAAAATCTAATTTATGTGGTTCTGTTAAGCATTTAAAAATAAAAACAGGTGCAGACTAACACAGAGGGAGGGATAGAAAACACAATAGATAAAAATCAAGTTGCTGAGGTCATCTCTCAACGCTGACCCTTTATCGGCATCATGGCGCTGCATTCAGGATGACTTAAAACTGTTGATTGATGCTAAAAAAATCTATCAGAAAACCGGCAGAGCTGCCCCCTGCTGGTTGTTGGACAAAACGCCGGACAAGACAGAGGGCACCTCAGCATTAATGTCACTTCTCAGCCTGTATGGGTTTATCCGTGCTTGATCATCAAGTCCTCTGTTTCTACCATTTCAGCATTTAAGCTATAAATACATTAAAATACAGGAATTTATTTTCAGTACACAGTTACGGTAAGACAACCAGGTCACAGAAGGTCAGAAACTCAGCTTAATGGTAACAGAACACATGATTGTTGAGGAAGTGAGAAATAAAAAAATTTAATGACTTTAAGGAATTCTTAGTACAGCCGACTTTCAGTTCTGTGCAGCTTTTCAGAGGGCATTCAAGATTGAGAAGAGGACGAATCTGTCTTTTTTCTGGCAGCTCTTCTGCCATCTTCTGGCAGCAGATATGAAAGAGTGCATGCTTGAATGTGTAACTTCAAAATAAACCGCTCAAAAGAAAAAGCTGAATTTACCTCCAAAGTGAAACACTGACAAAATGTGATCCTTTTTCAAGTGTGATAGAAATTATAAAGGCTGTTACACTTGGTGAAATTCAGATGAACTTCACATTTAAAAGGTCAAAGGTCAACACAGCGAGATAAACACAGATGTCCCTGCTGTCAGCAGGAACAGAACCCTGTTACATCTTGTTGGATTTGTCTGAAATAACCTGAAATGAATTGTAAAGAAATCCACTGGATTTAATGAAGTGGCAGAGAGAACGAGTGGATGAGATACAGAGTGGACAAGCGAAAGGAAGCAGCTTATAATCAAGTGACTGATCCTACAGGATTACACGTCTAAATAGAGCTTTGGCTTCCCTGGAGAAAGAGTGAGAGAGATGGAGAGAGAAAGAGAAAGAGATGAGAGCAGGAGGGTCACACGGAGGGAAAAGATTAAAAAAAGATGTGAGGTAATCAAGATTTTTGACGTTTACTAGATTAGTGGTTTTCCAGCATGCAGGTTCAATCCCTCTTTTTTTCACGCGGTAGATAGTTTTGTTGTTCGTTTATGAAAATAACGCAGTCTGAAATGTTGAGAGGGTCACAGTCACTGATTTTACTGTTGCCGTATGTATAAACTAGGATGACCATATTCTGAATCCCCAAAAAATGGACACTGCAGTCACAGAGTCTCACGTATTAAATTTTGATGGTTTTCGGAATGTTTTTAACATGCTTCTAACTTAGTTATTCCACGCAACACAAACTTGAAACTTATGTACAAAACCGTGGACATTTTAAGGATTTTATAAACTCCCCCAGACAGGCCAGACAGCCCCCCAAAAAGAGGACGTGTTCGGGTAAAAGAGGACGTATGGTCACCCTGGAAAAAGCAGAAAGGTTGACTGCAGATCTGAATCCTGATAGACATGGTCAACAAAAGCCTTTTCATTTGCTATGATAAAGTTCAGCGTTATTCCAGTTGTTGATGATATGACAACAATGAAACACTAAGCTCCTGTGGCCTTTCTATCTCTGTTGATTATGGGACCCTCAGTGGATAAAGTGGCAACACTGCTATTGTTGCTGACTTTGTGTCGTCCTTCTGAAGGTGGTGTTAATCGAACAGAAAATCTCCCCCTGATGTCTTTTTCTGCAGTGAAATTTGTCACTCACTTTGATTATTTGCTGTACAAAAGCAGAAAGAGACAGAAGCTGTTTTCCTCACAGCAGCCAGTCACAGGCATCAACAATTACAATATAGAAACTATTAATCTATAAACTAAAGCCACATTACTGTTTCTTTTAGTCTGTTTGATCATCATTCAAAAACTCCACACATGAGCTTTAACCATATGAAGATCAATCGATTTAGATACAATCACCCTCCAAAAAGATAAAAATGATTGTATTTAACTTTTTGCTAACCACAAAGATCAACTCCTTACAAACAAATTTTTCTTCAGTCCTTGATTAGGTTAAAGTCCTAACTTCTTTTGTATTCATGAACCAAGCAGGGAGGAAGGACCCTGGGATAGGGACTGACATGCCTGCTTCAAGGACTAACGCCTCTGTACATGTGCATGCAATTATCCCACCAGGCCAACTGGCACCTGAAATTCTGGTCCCTGAAAGAGGTTTAAAAAAGACCATGAAAACCGATCACTAATATTAGTGTCTGACGTCAATAACTGCCACTTTTTGCAGAACTCAAACTGTAGAATTGACTTGCAATTTGAGCAAGGAGTGAAATTCACTCACAAAATTAAAAAACCTAATGGTGTATTTTAGGGCGACCATATTCTGACTACCCAAAAAGAGGACATGACTACACGGGGGTGGAGTCACGGAGTCACAAGAAGTTAACTTTGAGAGTTTTTCTGGTCAGATCAAGTGTCCTTTCACGCTTCTAACTCATTAAGTCCACATGACAAAAACTTAAAACTTGCATACAAAACATTTGAAGGATTTTATAAACTTCCCCAGATGAAGGCGGACAGCCCCTAGAAGAAGGGCCATGTCTGGGTAAAAGAGGACATATAGTCACCCTAGTGTATTTTGAATTTCATACTGTCTGATGTTGCGCAGTGCTCTAGTCTAAACCTACAGTTCCAGTTGTAGGTTACGATCCAAACATTAAGTAGTTGTGATAAAGTCAGGCTTTTGACACCACACCTGCTTTTTAAAGTTGACTTGATGAACCAAGAAAGTGACAAACCTGTTTTGTAAATCGTTACAGGAGGTTTAGACAGTGTTGTTGTTGTTGTTGTTTTTCACGGTTGCACCCTGGCCCACGGAGCACTCAGAGCAGCACCTGCTGGTTTAGTGGAGAACAACACTGAGCCGCTTCCTGTTCTTGAAATGTCTTTCTGCTTGAAATTTGATCTTTAAGAACTTTAAGAGGCGGGCCGCAGGACAGAAACTAAACATGAGAAGGCAGGTGGAGCACCTTCAGATGAATACATCCTGTCTCACTTTAGTTTGTATGAACTTGTGTCAGAGCATGCAAATGGTTAACAGCTGGAAAGCAGCTTGAGCAGCTCTGCCCTCATACAACTTCACTCTGAGTTCAAAGGTTGCTGAGTTCTTTGGGAGCTGAACAGAGCTGAAGGACCGAAAGGTAAGATATGTTGTCATGAATATTGTTTCATGCACGCTTCTCCTGTGCATTTTGTTGTTTTCCACATTGATCTTTGTGCGTGTAGTTGATCGTGTAACATGATCGGTGCAGAACAGCTGCTGTGCAAAACATAAACACAGACAGTCAGCTGGTTGCGAAAGATCCACTCAACCATGTTTCCCACTTCCTGTGTGAGCCTGTATATCCTAGTTTCTTTTTGAGTGTGAGCGGGGCAGCTTTTCAAGAGAAGCTCAGTTTTGTAAGGGTATTTTCTTCTTCTGTATGTTGTTGTCTTGCATGACTGTTTAATGAAGATACTTAAAGGCACTCCTCTATTTGAATTTCTGTCTCTGCCGCAGTTGTGGATGTACCTGTCTGCCAGGTTGTGCACACCTGGAGGACATTGACACAGAAGTCATGCTAAAGAAATTCTTTTATATTTACAACATTTATTAACACGTAAAACTGGAGTCAGTCGCTCATTAAAATTAAAGACTAACTAAATCCTGTTCAGCACATCTTATCTGTTGACCGAGGTTTATAGGGGCTGAACCTGATTTCACCTTCTGGTCACTTATTTCTCTTGTCTCTCTAGTTTATGTATAACACGTTTTTCAACAACCACCTATAGACCTCATGAATGTTTACCTGAACTCTTAAATTTGCTGGCTCACTGAGGGTCAGGCAGGAGAGCCAGCATCAGAGAGCAGTCGTGACAGCATCTTCTTCTTCTCCTGTCATCAGATGGAGCATGTTACTGTCCCTCCACTGTCCCGTCTTGCTATTTGCGGTGGCACCCATGGAAATGAGATGTCAGGGGTGTACATGGTGAGGGAGATGCAGAAACACAAGGATGCTCGGGCTGGATCTGTGGCTATAACCACTGTCATGTCAAACCCACGAGCTGTAGATGCCTGTCGGAGATACATAGACAAGGATCTTAACCGCTGTTTTACAGACGCCTTGCTGAGGTAAGAGCATTAACTCCAGATATTTTGTCTGATTGATAAATCTGCTCTAAAAACCAGAAATGCAAAAAACCCTATTCCTCTCGCTTTTAGTTCCCCCATTACAGACTCCACACCCTATGAGTTGCTACGAGCCAAAGAGTTGAATGATCAGCTTGGGCCCAAAGGAGGGGCGGGGGCGGTGGATCTGCTCTGTGACATCCACAACACCACCGCCAACATGGGCCTGTGCCTCATCTTTTACTCTTTAGACTGGGTCACTCTACACATATACAAATACATCCAGGTCAGCACTACAATGTGTTATCAGGACAAATAATCATACATCCATAAACCTACTCCATGACAGGTTGAATTCTGACTTTCACAAGGAGACAAAGATTTAAGAAAACAATAGGAAGTATGAGGTGCTGTAACTGAAGGCAGTGTTAATTTTGCAACTTCATAAAGTATCAGGATCAAAACCATGGTCACACTGGCAGATAAATATGCATGTATATGATATTAAAGCGCAGGAAAGTGCTAAAGTATTCACTGTTTTGGTTTTTGTGGTTTTTCAGAGCAAGATGACCACCCCTGTAAGAGCAATCCAGTTGGACATACCTCTTTCTGAGGCGTATTCATTGGAGTCAGTGGGTAAATACGGTTTTGGTAAGTGCGAGTGGTTTTCTCTGCCTTCCTCTGCATGTCTTTTTTTATCATCTGGGTTATTAAAGGATAAGATATGGGAACGATTTCTCTTATTCTACGCAGCAATTGAAGTCGGGCCCCAACCTGGCGGTGTAGTAAGGGCTGATATCTTCAACATGGTCAAAGAGGCGGTGGATCTCACCATAGAGTGGCTCCAGCGATTCAACTCTGGTGAGAAACAAATTCTGGTACTACAACAAACAGATCAACTAAGAAAACAAGGAGCTTAGTATTACAGAAAAACAGATTTTCTTGAAGTAACGAAGCAGTCTGTGTTGGTCCAGTAAAAGTGAAGTTAAAGCTTTGTGCTCCTTTTAATCCTGGTTTCTACATGTTTCCTGTAAATATGGTTTTAAAGTTATCAGATTTCTGTCTCTAACATAATACAGAAAAGGAGGCAGCACTTTGAGGAATCAGAGACCCCCAAACCTCTAAATCACACCCCAACTCTCTGCATTTGCAGCACACTACTAAGGATTAAAATATTCATGAGCAGTTTGGCAGAACAAATGATCCAATACTCAAAGTCCATTCATTAAACCAACATTGCTTCATATTTCTCACCATGTCCTTCGCAGGAGAGACCTTTGATGGAGGTGAAGTGGAGGCATTCAGTCCAGTGCAGACTGTTGATTACCCCAGGGATCCTACAACCAATGAAATTACTGCTGCCGTACACCCACAGCTGCAGGTAAAGAACAAAGAAGGATTCATTAACTGATAAGCCTCTGATAAAAGCTGCTACTCTTTGTTTCTGAAAACTACCATCCAACAGTGTGATAACACTAAAAAATACAGCTTAATGATGGCTGAATCTGCAGCTCACTCCAACTTTATGGAACAAGCTATTTTTCCGAGTTTAGCTAACAATTTACAGTAATTTTGAGTCCTATCATTAACAAAAATCTTTGAACCCCACTGAGCATTTTTTGGTCTATAAGAGGTCTAATAGACATCTAAATGTAGCCTAAACAACTGGTCTAAAATCAGGCTACCACAGGTCTAAAAATTAAAGTTTTTTTTATACGTCTAAATGTAGACCAAGTTTAGACCAAGTCTAAATCTGGGCTGTATCTATACTACACTGTATATTGCTCAACGGCTATCGTAATTATTTTGGATTAAGTACTTGGAGATCAGTTATACAACTCACAGTTGCTCTTTGAAATAAATAGTTATCGAATGATGGGTTAAAGTGCAACGTCCAAATTCCGTCTTAAATATACAGAATCTAGATGTTGAAATTAAGTCTAAAAAAAACTAGACGTCTATTAGCTGTCTTTTGCTCAGTGGGCCAGTTTACACTCAAAGACACAGCTCATTCCTAACTGGGTAGAGTGTAAAGAAGTTTAAGTCAAAAACAACAACTCCTAATTCATGCTAGTCTTGGGATACAACTTTGTATCAATAAAAATAAAAGTATCAATTACAAGTTTAAATAAATCAATCAGTTTTTATGTTTCTAGCACTAATTCACACCAAGTGTTATCCTAAGATGCTTAATGAAAAAAAGCTGGTTTAGACCATACTCTACTTACAAAGTCCCTATGTAAAGATGGGATAAGACTGAGCCCCATCTTGTAAGGTACAACTCACACCCATCCCATTTTTATACAGTACAAAAACTTTAAATTACATGTATGTTTTTGTTTAGAAAGAAATGATCGTCCTTGGTTGCACTTTGACTCACCAGCTGGCTTTCTCTGCCTTTTCCAGGACAACGACTTCAAGCTGCTCCAACCGGGCGACCCGACATTTCTGTCATTCTCAGGAGAGACAATGAGGCACGAAGGAGCAGCCCTCTACCCTTTCTTTGTAAATGAATGTGCCTACTATGAGAAGAAAATTGCTTACCAGCTAGCCAAGAAAATCACTCTGACCTTCCCATCGATAAGTGTGAAAAAAGACTGAGATTGGAGAGAGTGAAAGGAGAGCAAGATGTATTGTAACCTGATTTTAGATTGAAGATGCAAAAAATAACACAATAATGGCCTCATAGCCTTTTCTACAGGTGCTAACAGCAGTAATGTGATTTTCCACACTGATAAACAAATGCAGGAGTATGACCTCTGTGAGGCATGAAAGTCGACATGTAACACCAAAGATGTTTTTGTACTTGAATTAATGATATTTCGCACATGTCTGAATCATGATCCTCCAACCATTGTATTTTAAACAGACTGGAGCGAAGATTTTGATTTCAGCTGAAGAATCAAAATACTATGTTTGATTAAATATTAACACTGATCACTTATATTTAGATGCTGAGTTTTGACTTTGGTTTTTATACGTTTTTAAAGTTCTCATGCTCAGTCACTTCAGTAACTTTCAGGCTTTATATTGCCTCCATGATAGCTTTACATAATTCACAGTTCAAAAATGATCTCTTATCTCAGATTGGTGACTCTGAAACGTTTCATTTCAGGCACAGTCTCTTTAAGGGTTGATCGCGTCTTGCAAATAATCACAAAAGGACTATTAAGTCACGCACCAGTCAACGAATGACAAATTTATTGATACAGTGTGTACAGTGTGCTTCAGAATACATAACATTTTACAAAAGCCAAAGTGTGTACACATCAAACATGTAACAAAACATTGTGACACAAAAAACATCACAACTTCCTTTTTGGTGCTATGAAGTAGAAAACTCATGAAACCCCTCCTTAAGTGTTAAATGTTACTCATTTCAGTTCATTTTTAACTTTTTTTTTTACTTAAAAAGTTCGTTTTTTAAAATTCAGTTTTTGTTTGAAACAACAGACTCTTAGACCTCAGAAGATGAAAAAGAAACATTTCAGAAACACTTCAACTTCGACCTGGCTGTCAATCAGGTCAGTTGACTTACTGATGAAGCTTAGGTGGGATAAGAAATTCACCTGAAGTACTGCAGCTTTAAACAGTGTATCTTCATGATAACAAATGCTAAACGGCAGTAGTATAATTTAGGCTTCAACATCAAAATTAAATGTCACAAAGAGATCACAAGTTTTTCTTTCTTGAGTGGCATCAAATCTTTTTTTTTTTTTACATTCAAAGCAACGGTATACATAAACATACCTTAAAACACAGTGGGGGGGATAAGTGGTTACAGTTCGAGGAGTGACATTTAGTAAACACATACCACAGACTGAAATCATTTATTGCCACTGGTGACAGAAATACAAGCTTAAAAGGCATGCAAAGCAAAGGCTGAATTCATTTGGATTAACCTAAAAACGAATAATAATAAACCAAACAAATCAAAAACTTAAGAAAAATGGCTCTTAAATATTTCTCATGCACTTAAAAGTAAAAGCTACCCTGGCTTAGATACGTAAATATCTGAAGTTTGTGCAAGTTTAGAACCTGTTATTGATTTAAGGTCAATGTGGTGATGAGCAGCTTTTGAAGCAATGGCAACTGAAATGAAGTAATGCACGGCAACACAGGTCAAGAAAAAATAAACCACTCTGAATATTCTTGCTGATTAATAATAACAAACATGCTTTTCAGATACGTCTGATTTAAAAGGCAAACAGAAAACTCTCAAAGATATGAAACCCCTACATACGAGCACTTATGATGATTAGCTGCAAAATGGTTTGCTTTGTTCCCACTATACCTGATAACATGTGATGGTGTTACCTACTTGAAGATTATTACACAGACGGTGAAAAATTACAACCGGTACATTTCTAGGACTTACATACTTTTTTTTTAAAAACAGAAACAAGACTGTGTAGAAACTCTACTGATCAGTAAGCGGTTTTAAGGTAACGCGTTGTCGCAGTCTCTTTTTAGGCTACTCTGTAAGCAGTCATGCGGGTGTAGTTTTTGCGGTGACTTCTGGCTGCCCACATGAACAAAGCAGCTGCCATCATCTGCAGAGGGAAGGAGATGAGAGCGAGGTAGAGGGACCAGCCCAGGGAGTCCACCACCCCTTCAGGTGGTTTGGAGTACTGGTGGAGCAAATCCACCCCGGCAAGGAAACAGCAAACGCATCCGAGAGTGCACAGACCTGATGAGCGGGAGAGATACAAATGATCCCAACTGCTTGTCCTTTTTGGAAGCTGGTGTGACGACTATTTGCTATTTGGATTAAAATCTTTTCGACTGTAATTTTAGTTGGCTTTCAGTAAAGCTAATCTGGTCTGCTAGCACAGCTTATAGGGATCACGAAATAAACCAGCACATGACCTGAGCAGCATCATCCAAACAAATACATGCTGGTCTGTGCGGGTGTTTTCAGTGTGTTCTTCTGTCGTAACAGTTTGTCACAATCAAAGTGAAATAAATTTGATTTATTCTATGTTAATTCATATTTTATATTTATATGTAGGGTTGAGCGATATGGGAAAAAGTTTATCACGATATATTTTTTTCATATCAGTTGATATCGATATGTATCAAGATATAAAAAATGAAATGTAACTGTGCTTATTGGTAGCATGTCTTTTACAATACAATAAGCTACTGCATCTGTGAGGTCTTTTGTCTCCTCAATATTTTGTTGTAAGGCGTTGCGCTCCAGAAAGTGAGATGAATGATTTGAAAGTATTTGAGGTATTCCCCGACTTTGCGAAAACATATACTAAACATAATTCGCAGTGCACATTACTCTGCTTCATGTCCAACACCAAAATACCAAAATACCTCCACACCACTGACGTTTTTGTGTCAGTGTTGTCAACAATGTTGTCATCTGTGGAGCCTTCACCTGCATTTCTGATGGGGGTAGCACTAATGTTCTTTTTTTCTCACCGACAGTGCTGTCGGCTTCATGTGTTAAAGTGCTATGGTTGCGAGTAGCTGCAGCCTGCTACTACACAGTTGTTTGCTATTTGGTTCTAATTCAGCACATGATTGGTTCAGCGCAGTGTGGACCCGGAGCAACTTCCCTTTCCATTGGCACTTTGTATGGTCTACCAAAACATGGCAAAAAGCCGGTTATCGAAAAGCATATTGACCATGTTTTATATTGATATTAAGGGAAATTAATTTTCGATACATATCTTTATCGTTTTATCCCCCAGCCCTACCCATACACTGTGCCCTCATTAGCCTTCTAAAGTTCAGTTATTCTGTTCTGTGAAATTTGAGAGTTAATATTACCTAAAAAAATAAGAGGAGAAAGACTGGACAGGTTTCCACATTTTCAGCATCCCCAACAGAATGCAAGTAGATGCCTATGTCAAAAATTAGTTTGTGGAAGTGCTGCTGTAATGCTCCATTGTCGGCATTTTAACAGCTCAGTAAGTTTGTGTATTGGCAGGACCAAAACTCTGAACATACAGAGGCCTCTCTAGCAGCAGGTTGGTGTGCAGAAGTATGGTACCAACCATCCTACTGCACCATGCCTTAAGATTTCCTGCCAACACATATTTCAAGATGGAGGTAAAGCTTTGAGCATGTGTGTCCCATCAGAAGCCTGGAGATAACACTCGTACATCAGTCTTTTTTCTGTAGTTTATGTCTGTCTGTCTATATCTATGGCTATAATACGGGGAATATGGAGGCATTTGTCTTACCTGCAAGTAGGTGGAGCACCCCCACACCCAAGGTAGGGGTGAAGCTGCGGCAAAGGCAGGCGCAGACGCCAACAAGGCCACTCAGAAACACCAAAGCCAATGATACTAAGGGCAGGAGAAACTGGCACCTCCACAAGTCTAAATACAAAAACAGATGTAAGATTAACTAGAACACAAGAACAGGAACTTTGTGTATGAAAAGATGGCGGTTGTACACTAAGACAGTAATAAAGCCACAGTTTGAAGAACAGTCTGAAGTGAGAAGTCGTTTCTCAAGAGTACATTTGAGATCTTTTTAGACAGGTGGTGTATGAGAATGAGTACATTTTTTTCTTTAAACTAGTGGTAACACCAGGAAGGGAAAAGAAAAAGTCAGTAAAAACATTTAGACTGCTTTAAAATGTAGGGCCTGGACATTTCAGGTGAAAAAGGATCCTATAAATATAAAAATAACCAACATTGGAGACTCACATGTTCTCAGCAGATCTTCTTGGTCGTTGTTTCCATCCAGTTTGTACTTTGGAGTAAACTGCTGAGGAAGCGTGAAGCTCACACACTGCATCTCCATCTTTGGATCTAAAGTCAGAATTAGAGGAAACAGACTTAAGTCACTGTTATTATTTATCAGCACTCAGATAAGAAACAGGGCAGGTCACCACGACAACACAAAGCAACACCAGACCATAGAAATGTGTCTACTATCAGGCTTACTGAGGAAGCTTCTTCTACTGTAACAAGTGTTTTGGAATTAACACTGCAAAATTGATGGGTAGGAGATGAACGATACTGAGCTATAGCACTGAGAAATTCCACACCTAAAATGTGAATATGTGCCAAAATATTTTCTACCATAAATAATATTTTTCTGTAATGTTTGTAATGTTAAAACTTTTATTTGAGTTTCTGTCTCAAACACTCTCTGTCAGTGTTTAAAGACTGCAGACACCAGCACTCTGAAGGCCTGTTATCATGCTGAAAATACACTTTTACTTTCACTTTGACTGAACTTTAATTCCACAACATTATATTTGAAAAGCTCTACGTTTTTAAGATATCTTCTTCAAAATTTCAATCTCGACTTTGTGTAATGCAGCGAGACATACCGTGTTTGACCACGTAACAGGAAGTCTTACCTGGCTCTTTGAACCAGTGCGTCTCTCCAGGCACCATGATACACCTCCACCACAGTCCCAGGGTGCCGTTTAGGAGGAACATGGGGGTGGTGTATGCTTTCTCACCAAACTCTCCGTTGATGAACTCATCTCTGAGCTTGTCTCTCAGCTCGGTGGCATTGCTCCTGGGTGGACTGCTGTACTGGTACCAGTGCTGAGTTCCCACAGCCACAGAGAGGTAGACTGTGGCCAGCAGACTCAGCACAGAGCCGATGACCAGAGCTGTGGCATAACGGTTGTCTACCATGGTTGATATGGAGATAGACTGTTTTTACCCCGTTTTTAACACAGTGTAAGTGCTTTCTGACAGGAAGGATATATATATACAAGAGGTCTGGTAGAGCCTGGCTGTATGGTCAAAAGTGACACTTTCGTTTGGTGTTTAGGCACCAAGGCATTTCTGTGAACTCGGGTCAGATATGACAGTGTCCGTGTCTGATAAAATCACTGGAGTTCATTCATGCTGCTCCTCCTGGTCTCTCATGACCCGAACACAGGAGCTGTGGAAACATCAGATACACACGACAGCATTAAACCCGTAAACTGCTTTACTTTGAGCATAACTGAGTAGTACTGTGCGATTATCTCTTTGGTAGAGTCGTAGCTAGCAGCTCCAACAGCTCATGACAACAACGACACCTTCCTTTAGTAAGAAACCAGGTGAGCAGATCACAAACCTGCTAATGCTAACCTTACAGAGACACAGCTCCACTTACTCTAAAATAGAAACAGTCAACTGACCGCTGTTCGTGTAAGAAATCAGTAAGTTTCTTTATTTACCTCAAAGTTGATATAAAAACCCCAGTATCCTTTTCTGTTTTGCTTGATTACTCTTTGTCCAAGTAGGCGGAGGTCTGCCTGCCTGCCTACCCTTTTCTTCTTCTACGTTTTTTTTTTTTTTCATTTCCACCGGCGTCACATCCAGTTCGCTGACTTTCACGGAAGCGATGCATTCATTGGAGTCACTGCTTTAAATGTCTGTTTAATAGAAAAATAAAAAATGAAGAACGAAAATTTTAACACTATTAATATTTTTAACCCTAGAACATTATCGTTAAAAGTAGTAACACCATCACTATCGCTGGGTGATTTTTACCTGAAATAAAATACCCAAGAAAAAGGACAATACATGACAAATTAAAGTAGTTTTCTTTTACTTTAACTGTGCAATGTCCAAAGGGAGGGGGGGAAAGTGCCATGAGGGGACCATATAACAAAATAACTGAAATTAGGCATTCATGAACACCCCCCCCCCCCCCCCAAAAAAAAAAAAAAAAAAATAAAAAAAAAAATATATATATATATATATATATATATATATATATATATATATATAGTATGCTGACAGCGAACAGAATGTGAACTATTGTGTCGTCTTCTTCTTCTTCATGTGGTTTTATCCCAAGGTTGCAGCCATGACTTTTAAATATTTTACACTTTATCCTTCAAATAATTTAAATACAGAAGCTTATCCTTACAGATCAAATTATAGCGAAAAATCCAGCGTCATATAGACAGAATCTTTTTCTGTCTTACATGAAAACAAATACTACTCTCTACTTAAAAATACTTTTACAGAAAATAAAATTGTTGATGTGTTATAAAATCTGTTTTTATTTCTTACTTCACACGGAAAATGCTTCACAAGTATTCACTTAAACTGCATTTAAAAAAAAAAATTTAAAACAAGATCACTCATCCCATATTGTGTCTGTAATCATATGATGATACATGTTGTGTTTCCCTGATATCATTTTTCCCACGAATAAAATAAACATTCTCTTAAAATACAGGCCTCTGTGATGTTTTGGCAATAATCACTTTGTGAAAAAGAAAGAAAAAAAAAGAGTCAGTGAGGTAGAGATGACCATAGTGCATTGGAACACCTTCAATCACTGATAACAAGCCCTGAACTCACAGTCTTTAACATATCATACCTTTTGTTCTCCTCAATCAAACATTTACAAGCTCACACAGGTGCTGATTTGAGATCAGTGAAAAGTGCAATATAATTCCTTTTGTGCAGCAGAGAGTCCCCTGAATATCACAGCAAATCCTCTTTTGAGAAGAGCCGCCTGTGTTGTTTGGCGATAGACTTGACTGTTGCATTGAGGACAGGCATGGAGGTAAACTCCACACTGCACATTCCTGAGCTGCATGGAGCCTTCTCCAGCTCCAGGACGGTCACATTGTTGGGTTCAGCTGTACTCAGGATGTTGGCAGGGACAAAGAGTGTCACCTGTGGCCCTCGACTTGGCCAGTAACGTCCCAGGTTAAAGCCGTTGATCCAAACTTGGCCCTGTCAGACATCAAATGCAAAGAGCCAGTTATTAGTTCACTTTATCAATACAACATTTTAATGAATAAATCTTTAATCATATCAAAACATACTCCTTTATGCAATTGCAACTATGCTAGAGGTTATTTTGGCTCATTTTTGGCTCAGTTTAGCCAAACTCCCCCACAAACAAACAGGGTTGTGTTTAAAGGGAAAGTATAATGTACCTTTCTCCACTTTGGCAGCTTGATGTAGGTGTCCTGTGGGAGATCTGGGATACCATCAGGAATGATAAAACTCCCCCCATAAAATGCTGGAAGTGAGAGAGCAGTGGGAGGAGGTGGAGGAGCTGTTGGTTTAGTTTCACCAAGAAGGCCCTGACTGACCGCTTCATCAATATCAAGACTGTACATGGTCCAGCCTTGAAGCGTGTTTGCACCTAGAGACAGGTTAGACACCAGGCCCTGTGAAGCAAAAAGTAAAAATAAAAGCTGTCATTCTTGGCAAGATCACAAGATGTCATCCTTCACAGAAATTAAAAAAATATTATGTAAAAGTAATTTGGTTGTGGTAACCATAACCTTAATTTATAACTTATCCTGACGCACAGTCTTCCCTTTAACACACATATAGATGTAAAAGTTAACAAGAACACAGACAGAATCTTGAGGAAAAGATAACCTTAAAGTCGTTGATGTTCTTTCCATAGTTGATCCGGCCCATGTTCTCCACCAGTAAGTCCACCTGACTGCCGGCTTTCCCCGTCACATTGACAGCTATGGCTTTGTTCCTTTCAAGAATCCCCATGGTCACCTTTAGAAGAAATCAGTCGCTGTATGTCTGAGTATATTGAATACACATTTGGAAATGACACTGGATTAGTTTTTATGTGTAATGTCCCTGTTGTTTAACGCTGTACACTAAATTTCAAGCTGTGAATATAGGAGTCAGAGGCATGACTTGTAAAAATGGGACCATCAGAGGTGCACTTGAATGCAGCATGAGACTCACCCCATCCACCGACACATACGCTCTGTCATGGACCCCGTTCAGTGGAGATGACAGAGGAGTTGGTGTGCTGCAGTCGACAGGCAGATGAGTCCTGTACAGTATGTAGCCAAAGGCCTGCGAGGAAAACAAAAAAAAGAGGAAAAAATCAATAAGATAAAATGCCACCTTTAACTTTTATATAGTTTTGCATTTCAGTCAAGAAAATCACTCAAAGGCACCTGGTTCAGTTCAATGAAAGTCTGAGGAAACACGCTCTTGACGGGTCCTGACAAAGAGAGCGTCTCTAAGGCATCAGATACTGTCTGGAGCTGTGGGGGCAAAAACAAAACATTTTATAACCCAAAGTACTTTATAATTTTAAATAATAGTTTATAGAAAATGACAAATACCTGTTTCATGACAACAGCTCCGTATGCAAACTTTGGGGTTGTTGGTGGTACCGGCCCCTCTGGTATCTTATGGTACTGTTAAGAAAATGTAAAATAAAGTATGCTAAACAAAATGTGGGAAATAAAATTAACCCCTTATGTTTTTGTAGGTTTCAAATGGTTCTTAGTTGCACATATACAGCTTAAGTCTGCCCATCTGAGTGCGCTCACCATTTTAATCACCTCCCGAATGGCAAAGTATTTCTCAGTGAGGTCTCCTGCCTCTGAGAGTGGGGCATCGTAGTCATACGATGTGGGCTGTGGAGCGAATGGTCCATTGGCACCTGAAAAATAATATGTAATGTTTCTTGCTTTGACAACAAAAGATGCCACTGGATATGCTGTGTTAAATGATTATATCATCTGATTAGACCAATCTGTAAAAGTACACTCACCGTTCCAGTATCCAAAGTTTGTTCCTCCTATAAACATGTAACTAAAAGACAAACGTAAATTAATACAAGGAAGTTGAAAAGACTTAAATTCCTTTCATGAATGTATTTCCAGATTTAAGCTATGCAGCATTTCTTTAAAACTGCTTCATCCACAGTTTGTTAATGGTTTTCTTTATCTAAATAAGTCTGTGATTGTTTGAGGAATAGCATCACCCCTCAACACATCGTGAAACCTGTTACAGAAATCTGCAGACTCACAGGTTGACATTTGCCCCCATGGACAGGATTTCATTGAGAGATTTAGCCACTCTGGCAGACGACACAACAGAGTGACGTGACCCCCAGTGATCCAACCAGCCCGTGTAGAACTCTGAGTTCACCTGTAAACACAAGAGAAAACATGAGCTTCAGAGCAGAGAATGGCCTCAAAACCGTGGAGTTCAACTGCATCAAAGGAAATACTTGCCAAAGGTCCATGAGGTTCAGCATGTCTCTGAGCAGCAAAGGCTGCAGTCACATTTCCACCTGACAGATTCAAACCACAAAAAGAAACTCAGATGTTTAGGTGCAGTTTCCTCAAGACTTGTGTCTAATCTGCAATGTGATAGTAAGTCAGAGGGGAAAAACAGGACTGAGGACTCATGTAACCTATCTCTGGAGGCATTTGATTTCATTTGACTGTAAAGCATTCAGGGAATGCTGCCTGTTCTGACTTTTGAACGAATAAAATACTTGGAGAACACAAACTGAACACCTGACACCCACCTGGCCCAAAGTCAACAGTGGCATAGAGACCTTGTATCGAGCCACACTTAAGGTAGCCAACCCCAGCGCCATCTGTGGTGAAAAGCACCACATCATCACCCAGGTAAGAACGGAACAGCTGAGACAGGTGACGCATGTAGTTGTAGTCGCAAGCAAAATAGCTGCCATATTCATTCTCCACCTTTAAAAACAAGAGCAGAGCTGGAGGATTCATTGTGCAAACAACAAAAACAAATCTGCAGAAGTCAGACAAGTACTCAGAGCTCACCTGTACAGTGATGATGGGACCACCGTTCTGGTAAAGAAACGGCTTCATCATTGGCAACAACGTCCCCATCCACTTATCTACTGCTGCTATGTAATCTGATGCAAACAAAAAATACTGTTAGACACAATGCAGCGAGCAAATGTGACCATATTACCTTGTGTTTTTCTCATCTTTGACCTCACCTGGATCTGAAGACCTCAGTACAATATCTTTCTTGTCAAGAAGCCAAGCAGGGAGCCCACCCTAAATGAAGAAAACAATGACAGGAGGTTTGAACCCAAAAACCAAAGAACCGTTACACTTAAGAACTGGACTGTAAAAACTGTAACTGTAGAATAATGTAGAATTAATGCACTCCACTTCAACCTATCCATTCACACAGTAGGCTGCAAATATTCATGTTTTACCAAGTACTGCTAAATGCAAGTTTAATTGACATATTTAGAACAAAAAATAAACAAAACAAAATGATTACTTTTAATATTTTTCTCACTGTGAAACTACATACCTAAACTTTAACTGGCTGATAGATTTCACTGAACTACTGTCCTAGTTCAACTTTAATTGCCAAAAATAATCTACAATTCAAAACTGCACTGTGTTGCCACTCAGCAGTGATGGAGGAGATATAAGGATATTTATTTAGTCAAAGTAGTGACAACAGTCAAAAAATGTTGACACCCTCATGGATTGCTTTTTGAGGATTTTAATGGCAGGGTGTACTGGAGGTTTATGTTTTTAATATTTGGGAATTAATTTTGTTTCAAAGAGATGTAAGAAGTAACCTTAAACATTTCCCTCTGCAATGTTTTGGTGAAGGAATATTGAGTAGCATCAAATAAAAATACTAAAACAAAGATACCTTTCAAATCTTTTTAAATACAGTTCCACAAAAAATATATTTATCTTTATTTTAGGAGGAAGTGCGATGTCTGGAGCAGGACAGCTTTTGTGAAATGATTGAAACGATTGTCACTCCTTCCCTTAAATGGGTTGATCCAGCTTCATACACAGTGTCTGCATTTTTCTACTGAATTCTCCATTTCTGATTATGAAAATACAGAAAAAGTTACAAACACCCTCACCATATCCCACTCTCCACATATGTAGGGTCCAGGCCGCAGGATGACCAGGAGACCAATATCCTGAGCCAGCTGAAGGAAATACTCCACATCCCGGTCCCCGCTAAAGTTGTAGCGACCTGGCGACTCCTCATGGTAGTTCCAAGGGATGTACCTTCAACATAAAAACATCGACCTTGTAGCTAATGCACGCAGGAAACTTGGATCAGACACCTTTTAGAAAGCCCAAAGTGATGTTGAGCAGAAGGCCTTTAATCCTTCAGATATTTTTGGATGATAAACTCTCTGGTGTACAGTAGGTTACAAATCCAAAATACAAATGAGACATGAAGTAAACGTACGTCTGGATGGCGTTCAGCCCTGCCATGTACATCTTCAGGAGTCGGTCCTTCCAGTAAACTCTGGGGATCCTGTTGTAGTGGATGCTCCCTGAGATGTAACGAAACACTTCACCATCCTTCCTAAAGCAGTCATTCTTGTAATCAATGCTGAACGTCGGAGTTTTCCCGAGCTGCAGGTAAAACACACGACAAGATTACTCACATGTAGACAAAAGGTTTTTGTTAATCAACATTTTTGTTTACAGTCAGCTGAGTCAGCTTCCCTTGGGTTTCAATGTTTATGTTTCATGCTTTTATGGCAGAGGGCTGGCATCTCAGCTGACTTTGGACCAGCTGGTAACCTTTACCTTTTACTTTACTTCACACACAACATACAGTCCAATCTGTAATAAAACAATTATGTTTAAAGCTTTTGTGTACAAAATTCATTATCAAAGGCCAGATATGTATTTTAGACCTTGAAGATTAGAGGAACTCTCACACACATTTGATAAACTGTCTTCTGAAAACTTTAAAATCCGGATGAAAATAAAGCAAATATACTTAATTTGTTCTAACTAAAGAAGTGAGTCTGCCTGGGCCCAGCTATGTCAGATCTGCTTATTTCGCCGACATTTTAATGCTTATACCATGGGAGCGCAAACAAAATATATCAATAACTCAGATTTATGAGGCAGACTGGGGACAGGGGTGAGAAATAGCTTTAACAAACAGGCTAGTATGTTGATAAGAGCGAGTAGCTTTGGTTAAACAGTCTTATCGCCTCTTTTCTAACATTTAAGCAGCAGGGCTGACTGCACGGCTCCTTCCTTGTTGAGAAAAAAAAGGTGAAGCAAGTGTAGATACTTACTGAAAATGTAAACAGCAGCGTCAGTGTGACTCCAAATCTGAGCAGAAACATGGTGCGTGGGCTCACACGGGGTCTGTCGTGAAGTGCAGAGTTAAACTAATGTGGCTCTTCATTAAGATTTTGCATTGAAGCTGTAAACTCCGTACACCCGTACTTCCCTGAACAAGGTGTTTTAAATGTTTTGAATGAATGCGGACTCGTGAGGTACGGAAGTAAAATCATGTGATCTCGCGTTGTTTGGATGTAATATCGCATTGTAAGCAGTAGATGGCAGCATCGCGCATTATAATATGGTAACCCGTCTCTACAAGTCTAGGGGAGAGTGGGGTAAGTTGAGCCACCCCCTGTTGCTTGGAAATGGTAAAAGAAATTGATCATGTGACCAAATATTAAGGAGGTGGGCATCAATTCATGGAGTCTGTGAAGGTTAGAAGCACATGGGTGAAGGGGTTAGACATTTATTTACAAAAAAACATTTTTCACTCTTGAAAGTGAATTTAGTTTGTCAGAAGTTTGATTAGAATTGTGTTCAGACCAAAAAAGATCAGATTTTTTTTGCACTGTTTATTGCATTTTTGCCCATCCACATTTTGCACTTTTTCACAGTTTACTAAGGCAGTCATCTTTTCCAGTTTTTGGTATTGGCTCTGGACTGAACATTACTTTTTAGTGATCTTGTGTGTCTGTATAGTGTTCTTTCATTGTGTTGTATTTTTTTTAATCATGTTTGACTTTTAGACCATTCTTACTGTATGTCAATGTGTACCCTGTCTTTGTGTGCTCCGGCTGCAATACTGATTTCCCTTTTGGGACAATAAAGAGATTCTGATAATAGAGACTGCTCTCTTAACAGAGACTCGAGTAAATGAGCAGATGAAATATAACTGCTTGCTCCTGAAACAGACATGGTGCTTTGATTAAGGGACACAAGACTGTAAATAAGCAGATGAAATACAAGTGGATGGCATCATGCCGTCAATTCTCAGAACTTTAGCAGTCTACTCATTTGTACTATCAGGCAGACACCAGGAGTAGGGAAGGCTATGTGTAACTCACTTGAGACTGTTAAACTGAGACGGACTAGAAACAGATAACTGGGATACAATGGGCCAAAAATAATGGTGTTTACATAGCAGATATAAATTCTGTATAACAAAGGCTTGACTGAAAATTATCTGAAGGAAAAGGCTGGCAGCACAGGAATTACTAAAAACTTGCATCTTGTAGACAGATAATTAAAGTGCCAGCGGGTTCTGTGACAGCTCTGTGATCTGCCTGCTTCCTATCAGTGCCTCCCAGGAAGGGGGGGCATCCTGACCAGACCACGCCTTAGGATGTGGCTTCATTAATGAAACGCCGCCTCAGACAGTCTGCTCTTTCTCTCTCAGGTGGTTGAGCAACTGACTGCTGCTAAGGCCTACAGCTTGCTGTATTTTGGTGGTTGTTTGATGAGATACACATAAACACATGAACCCTCACAACCTGCACCCACACACACACACTACACTTGACGCAACACACACACACAGTATGTTCCTTTTGGGTTATTTTTGTTAAATAAACACTTAAGATCCTCAGAGCTCTGTGTGTCCTCTCTCCTTTGTTCCAACCTGACAGCCACGGTTCTAACAGTTCTGATAATACGTTAATCTTAAATACAACTCTCTGCAAGAAGCAGAAAAGATCCTTTTTAAAGCTGTTGTAGCAAAGGGTTAACTTAGGTATGATAGAGAGCAGGTAAGAATAGTTCAAACATCCACTTCAACCACCTTCAACAAAGCTTTTAAAGACGCAGTAACTCGGTGATCTCAAAGGCGAGTGGTTCATAAAGTGCAACTGGGGTTGTATGGGGTTATTAGAGAGGCTTCACTGAAACAGTAGAGAGCTAAGTAGAGTTTGAGAAAAATAAGGTTGAATGTGTAAATCAAGGCTGTAAATCAGCTGGATTGCATCATGTTCACAATGACATAGAGACATTCAGATTTAACGGCCTTTGGCTCCAGATCAGACTGAAGTTTTATCTATTCATCTAAAACTTCTGGTTGATCAGTATCATGGCTGCCTTCACCTGGTTTGACACCCACACAGGGGAAGGCACTGAAGCTGCTAATAGCAACAAGAGAGACAAAGGGGGTGTTGTGCACCTTGAAGGAACTGATGAAAGTGGCATGTCTGAGGTAGATGTGACTCTGGTGCCTGTGCACACAGGAGGGAACAGGACAGAAAAACAGTTAACTTGGAAGAAAGTTCTTTACAACCAGCCGAACAAATGCAGCTCTCAGATCAGACAATGTGTTGGCTGAACATCAATCTCACTTTGGGTATTTTTTCAGTGATTTTTTACTAAAGAAACAAATTTATTTCCAGAACTTCTTATGTACCAGACATTATGCAAAGTATGTCGCAAAAAAAGGGGGAAAAAAAGCAAAATAGAGCTATTCCTGTATGATACCTTTTGCAATCTGTGAAAAGGTTAGGAAAGTGAGTTAAATTTGCCTGGCTGATCTTACAGGGTGTTTTTTTAATTTTTTTTAAGTAACAACCCAGGTTACTCTAGAGTTGACCCTCTACACCTCCCACATTTCTCTGGTATTTCTACTGAAGCTTGATAAACAGCTCCACAAAGCTTTTTCTTTGACATAGTTTTCACCACCACTAAGTACTCTTTAACCGTCACATTTTCTTGTTGGCACCACAGTCATTGCATAAGTGACACAGCAAGTTGTAGATTGTTGCATTGTTTTTCCTGTGAAAATCAGTTTGTCTATTGATCTGTGTCCAATAACCTGCTCCAACTTGAAGATGCAAACTTTTTTTCCCATGAGAGAAACACCGAGACATGTCACAAATCAAAAATGTTTAACAAAGGCAATGAAACGCCCTGTCATATCAACAAAAACAAAAACAAAACAAAAGGATGCACTTGTATGCCAGAATTTTATGTAAGTGTGGTAAAGTGAGTTAAGTAAGCCTGACTGATCTTACAGGGTGTTCTTATCTTAGAGCTAAGTAGAGTTTGAGAAAAATAAGGTTCCCTAAGTTTTGCAGAAATATTCTTCCTCACCCATTATATGTTTCCACTGCTACTGAGCTATGTGTTGAAGGCAGTGATAGATTGACAGAAAGCATGAATAGAGTGAATGTGTAAATCAAGGCTGTAAATCAGCTGTATTGCATCATCTTCACAATGACATAGAGAACAAATGACCACAGGTTAAAGAGCTTGGTGTTAGGTTAAAAGACACGAAAACATTTGATCAGAGGTCAGGGCACACTGTGAATGAAGAGCAACAGACATGTATTTGAAAGCCACCAAGAATGAGAACTTTGTCTTATATTTCTTCTAAACTGTCTAAAAATCATGAATAACCATTTTCTTAAAAAAAAAAAAACAATTCTATCACATCAAGTTATCAATGTCTGGCTGATTCAATAGCAGTGTTGTAGTCATTGTAGTTATTTGCTGCTCAAGTTGGGTCAGAGCAGTGTGGAGAGTTGTGGCCACCGCATCCTCTGTGAACCCGTTTGCTCTGTAGGCAAACTGGCAGGTTTGAAATGATGTGATTCCACACCCTTATTATTTTCTTATTAACTCTCTCAAATGCTTTTATCACCAGATAGTTAAATGTGACATGCATAAAACCAGTAAGTGACTTCAGGGCACTGTGGTTTGGCACAGATCCAACCACAGAGTCTTTCCAGAGAAATTGGACCTTTTGTACATGAAGAGATAAGTTAAAGATAAAACAGTACATGTCTGTCAGTGATACAGCAACGTTTTTTGGAACACAGCCAACAATGTCGTCCAAGCCTAAAGTTTTGTTTTCTTAGCGCATCGGAGAGCTTCTGAACACATCCTTGTTTTCTTACTCCAAGCTTTTTGTTATAACAGCAGTGGAACCAGATAAACTCTTTCCACAGGAGAGAAACACCAAGACGTCAGAAATCAAAAATGTTTAACAAAGGCACTGAAATGCCCCGTCATACCAACAAAAACAAAAAAACAAAAGGATGAGCACTCGTATGCCAAAATCTTATATAAGTGTGGTAAAGCCAAGTGAAGCTGAATTTATGCACGGCCTTTTTAACAATGCTCTTACCTGGTACCATTTACAACAAGCTTAGAGGAGGGAATCATCAGTAGGAGTGCAATGCAAAGTGTGGGAACTCGTAAAGGGCACCCTCCTTCCACACTGCTGACATGTTAGTTCATGTTTATAGCTCTCTCTTTTTGTTCTGTGCCATTGGCATGAGACTTGAGGACCTAGTTCGTTGTTTTTAAACTGATTTATTTACCCATGAATCTGCATTTTAACCATGTAAAACATTGCTTGACAGCCCCCCCAAACACACGCACGCACGCACGCACGCACACACACACAAAGTAGTTCAAATAAACAGGACAATAACTCCTACCTTTGTTTGATGCAACCAGACCACACCTTAGGATGTGGCTTCATTAATAAAACGCCGCCTCAGACGGTCTGCTCTTTCTCTCTCAGGTGGTTGAGCAGCTGACTGCTGCTAAGGCCTACAGCCTGCTGTATTTTGGTGGTTGTTTGATGAGATACACATAAACACATGAACTCACACAACACACACACAAACACACACACACACACACACACACACACACACACACACACACACACACAGTATGTTCCTTTTGGGTTATTTTTGTTAAATAAACACTAAAGATCCTCAGAGCTCTGTGTGTCCTCTCTCCTTTGTTCCAACCTGACGGCCACGGTTCTAACAGTTCTGATAATACGTTAATCTTAAATACAACTCTCTGCAAGAAGCAGAAAAGATCCTTTTTAAAGCTGTTGTAGCAAAGGGTTAACTTAGGTATGATAGAGAGCAGGTAAGAATAGTTCAAACATCCACTTCAACCACCTTCAACAAAGCTTTAAAAGACGCAGTAACTCGGTGATCTCAAAGGCGAGTGGTTCATAAAGTGCAACTGGGGTTGTATAGGGTTATTAGAGAGGCTTCACTGAAACAGTAGAGAGCTAAGTAGAGTTTGAGAAAAATAAGGTTGAATGTGTAAATCAAGGCTGTAAATCAGCTGGATTGCATCATGTTCACAATGACATAGAGACATTCAGATTTAACGGCCTTTGGCTCCAGATCAGAATGAAGTTTTATTCTCTAGTTCTATTCATCTAAAACTTCTGGTTGATCAGTATCATGGCTGCCTTCACCTGATGACAGGTGTGTGCCATGTTATGTAATGCAACAAGTCACTGAGAAAGGCTTTCCACAGAATTTTCTTGAGAACCTTCAGACCTGCTCCAACATGTCAAATGTGTGACAGCAGCAGGTTCAGTTGTAGACTGCAGTCTGTGACTGTTGCAGGGCATGAACTTTCAAGTTTCATTTACTGCAAGCTCAGTGAGGAAATGACGTTAAGAGAACCATGCAAACTGTTAGAGTTGATAAAAAAAACTTTCAAAAAAAGGTTGGGAAAATGGTTGATTTATTCATTCAGACATAATTTCCCTTGGGTTTTGAGTTTTATGTGTAGTGTTCAAGTATCTTCCACTCTACGCCACCCGAGTTTGGTATCACCATGATCTAGACACTCCCACTAGAGTATAAGTATAAAAAGAGCATCCAGTTTTGACTACTTTCATCCAAGGAGTCGTTAATCACAGGACCTTCTATCCTCACTGACTGGTGAATGAGATACCTTACAAACTACTTCAGCTGGTAATGATTGGAACACATGAGAAAAATGTGAAAAGATAAATTGAATTTTGATTATTACAGTGTCATTTCACAATGTCTTTTTTCTTTTAGCAGATTTTTTTTTTCCTTTCTTAATTTATTTCCACAAGTTTGTCATTGTTCTGTGGATTTGAGGTCAGTGTGTTACAATGAGCAGAATCTGTGCTTGAAATTGTTATTTTTCTTCCTCCCTACAGAGATTTTACTGCTCACCAAAGTCAAAATGGTAAATTACGAAGTCACTGTACACACCGGCAAAATATTCCACGCCAACACTTTCAACAATGTCTTCATTAAGTTGGTGGGAACAGCTGGAAACAGTCAGCGTACTCAGCTCACAGATATCAGAGGGCCTTTAACCTTCGCCCCTGGAGCAGTAAGTCTGAAATACCCTTTTCCATCTTCACATGTATTATGTTCATCTAAAAGCAACTTTACCTGAGATAAAAGGTACACTTGAGAAGTTTGTGTAACCAATATATGTGCTCTGCAACTCTTGAGGCTCTGCTCACTAATGTGACAAATACAACAAATTGGTAACACTCTGATGTTTCGTGTAGATGTTTGTGTCACACAATCTTTTTTGAATGTATTTGTATGTTTATTACTAGGATCTTATAGATCTTTTTTTCTTTCTGTTTACAAATGATTTGTCTCTGACCTTATCAATCGATCTGGTCTAATATATTTATAATTACTTAAGGTGTCGAGTTTTATGGTGTCCTGCTTTGAGTCCATTGGAGAAGTGACCATGATCGAGCTGGATAAACAGGCTTCCCCTACTGTGCCTCAGAATAACTGGTTTCCTTCCAAAGTGGAGGTGAAATCTCCTGAGGGAAACACCTACAATTTTCCCATTTACAACTGGATCAATGACAGCGAGGTGCACGTATTCAGAGAGGGAAAAGGTTTGAACTATTCACAGAAAATAAAGACAAGTACTGAAAAATTGATTTATGAAAAAATATATATTATTCATGTTGAGGAATTTAACACCTTATTTTGGTTCTTTCATTAAGCTCTTCTGGTCTATGAAGACACACAACTTGGCAAGACGAGTCGTCAACAGGAGCTGGACCAAAGAAAAGAGGACTACCAGTAAGAGCTGAGAACTTATCCCTTTTTCATTTTTATGAAATCATAGTACTATCCAAAGCTGTTTATCTTACAAATAATGATATTAACTTGGACGACTGTAATTTAAAAAAAAAAAAAAAAACTATGGAATGATTAAACCTATCAGGGTTCATCTGAATCGACTGTAATTCAATTTATAAATTTTATGTGTCAGGTATAAAATCCAGTCAAACTCCATATCAAAACCTGAAATATTATGTTCATGATAACAAGACTTTAAAGTGTTTTTAACTCTGATGTATCCTGTTTATCCAAGATGGAAGGTGTATGCTCCGGGAATCCCTCACTGCATAAAAAATGAGGAGCCGAGCTCACTGCCCGATGAGGTCCGGTTCTCTTTCACCAAGTCTGCAGAGTTTAAATTCACTGCAAAAAAAGGGTAAGGTCCTCAATTTCTGTTAGATGTCTATCAGTACTCCAGTATAACTGCATATCCACCTCTTTATCAAAACTTTTAATGGTATAACATCAACTTTATGACTAAATATTCTAGAAAGTTGGATCTGAAGCTGGACGGATATGACAGTTGCAAGATGCAGTGGACTGACACGGAGAGTATCTACAGCTTGTTCTGCTGCAAACAGACGGACGCAGCAGGTATTACCCTGTCATCAGGCTTTGACAGACAATTTGGCAATTCATGCAAGTCCTGGATGGACCGTATAACCATTAATGTAAAATAAAATAAAATCTGACTTACTAGCAGAGACCAGTGTTGGAACAGCACATTTGATTAGGATTTTTACTGTCCAAAACTGAATAAATGACACTGTGAATCAGGTGCCATGTTACCAACAATCTGCACCTCCACCCACTCTTTCGAAATGAAAATGACCATCATCTGTAATATTCATGATTGAGACTCTAAAGACAATTATAAAAAGAAGCACTTTAGTGTGTGCAGATAGCTGAGCAGGTTAGCGTGCCACATGTATGGAGACCATGGTCACTGCAGTGATTGCGTGCTGCATGCCACCCCCCCCAAACTCTCTACATCTCCCACATTTCACTACTGTCCTGTCAATTAAAGGTGACAGTGCCCCCCCAAAAAACACTGCGATCTATTTTTTTTGTGTAACTGCATGCCCACAATACTTAAAAAGACTTTTATTACCCATTTTTCCAAGCCTATGTCCAGCAACACTGGAAGGAGGATGAGTTTTTCGGCTACCAGTTTCTAAATGGTGTCAACCCTATGATGATCCAACGTTGTTCAGTCCTTCCCGAGAACTTTCCTGTCACTGACAGCATGGTTTCCATCCATGGTGATCACACCCTGGAAGAGGAATTGAAGGTGATTTCCTCACTTTGAATTGTCTCGAAAACAAATAAATTAATTTTCTCAAATGTACACTCCTTGTGTTAACATTTCAAACTGATTTTTGTTGCACTTGTATTGTATGTAAATCAATTCTAATTCGCACTCAAACTTCAAACAGAATGGCAACATATACCTGTGTGACTACAAGCTCTTGGATGGAGTCAAAGCAAACACTGTCAATGAGAAGCAGCAGTACCTGATGGCTCCCCTTGTCCTGCTCCAGAAAACACCTGATGACAAGTTGATGCCGATTGCAATCCAGGTGATAGAAACTGAGATTTAACTAATAATAAAATGTAGGGCTTGATTTTGGTCGTAATCATTTTGGGTGTTAGATGTTTATTCAGAAGATAGCAGCTATTGTCTGTCTGAGGCAGTTAACTTTTTATTTCTGTCAAAGCTGAAACTTCCAGGGGTGGGTATCTTAAGTTTATCTGCAGCAATGGTTTGTGAGCCAAGAGTAAGACTATGAATAACCAACGGCCAAACTAGTCAGGTTTGTCCACCCACAGACTCTTATTCTAGCATGCTGTATTTTTTTTTTCCAAGTAAATGTTTTCAACAGTATCCCACAAGGCTTCAACAGGCAGGTGAACAGCTGACATGATGCTGGCTACAATCAAAATTTAAACATTCATAATCATCTGCTTATGCACCATTTTTGGGTACACTGAAAACAAATGTGAAGTCAAGTTATTGCATGTCCCACAAGAACAAACCACATTTCCCTTTCTTTCTCCTGCAGCTGAAGCAGACTCCAGGAGAAGACAACCCCATCTTTTTTCCTACTGATTCGGAGTACGACTGGTTGTTGGCCAAGATTTTTGTGAGAAGCGCAGATTTCAACTACCATGAACTTTCAACCCACCTGCTGCGCACTCATCTGCTGGCTGAAGTTTTTGCTGTGTCTCTGCTGCGCAACATGCCCATGGTGCATCCCCTGTACAAGGTAACTGCATTGCTAAGTTTTTTACTCTGCCGTAAGAAACCTTGTAGATTTTTAAGATTTATTATCAGGCTTTTTGGCTTTTTGGAAGAGGACAGTGGAGAAACCGAGAAAGGAGAGCAGGGGGTGACATGCAGGAAAGGCTTTAGAAGCAAACTCATGGTTGGCCACTCGAGGCATAACCTTTTGGCCAGCAGCACCCCAACTGGTCTGTCATCTAGTCTGACATCTACCCCCTCACAGCAGTTCCAGGCATAAAAAGGGATATTCCAGCGTAAAATTAATTTAGGTTCAAACAAACTGTAACACCAAGTAAGACACCCCGTTGAGAGATGAATGTTGCCGACCGCTTGCTTCTCTAGTTATACCAACTTTAGTAACGACCACACAATAGCAATACAGAGAGCCACGCACTCAACCTAAACTCCACTCTATAGCCACAAATAATGCTCAGTGTCCTAGCCACATCACTAGCCATCAAACATCTTTTTAGCTTTGCCTAATTTCTTTAGCAAAGAGACTAAACACAACTCGCTCACTCTCTTCCAGCAGCCGCTTGTTTGTAGCGAGACCTCAGGCGAGTCGATCGACTGCAGCGGGGGGACGCAGCTCAAGGAAGAACATTTATTAATCATTTTGCACTGCAGACGCGGTAGTTCTTTTTCCTTAGCGTCTCGATCTGATTGCATTTCCATGAAGAAATGATCATAAATGTTCTTCCTTGAGCTGCGTCCCCCCGCTGCAGTCGATGGACTAGCCCAGAGGTCTCACTACAAACAAGCGGTTACTGGAAGAGAGTGGGTGAGTTGTGTTTAGTCTCTTTGCCAAAGAAATTAGGCAAAGGCTAAAAGATGTTTGGTGGCTAGTGCTATGGCTAGGACCCTATATGTACTGTTGATAAAGTTAGGTGCTGTTCTGAGCATTATTTATGGCTATAGAGTGGCGTTTTGGTTGAGTGCGTGGCTCTCTGTATGGCTATTTGTTCTTGTTACTTAAGTTGGTATAACTACAGAAGCAAGCAGTCGCCAACATTCATCTCTCGACAGGGTATCTAACTCGGTGTGTTACGGTGTGTTTGACCATCACTTAATCTTACGCTGGAATATCCCTTTAAGAATTTAGATATAGAAATTGTCTGCACTGTTACGATGAATTTTTCATGTCTAGTTTAGCATACTTTAATTTTTTTCACAACCAGCAAGAAAACCTTCAGGGGAACTCTGGTTTGCAGAAAACCAATATGTCAGTATGTATATAGATAAGAATTTCACATTGCTGAATAGTATATGTGCATCAAATTTTAAACTTTATTTAAGAATTGTTAATATTACCATAACAGAGTTCATTTTTTCCCTCAGCTCCTCAGCCCTCACATTCGCTACACTCTGCAGATCAACGTCATGGCTCGACTTCTGCTGATTTCCAAGACAGGAGTTTTCACAAACGTAAGAAAACAAGCAAGCTCTGTGGTGTACCCTTCAAACACAGTATTTTTTTCTTGAAGTGTCTCCAGCAATTCCTCATATTGATTATTTTCTAGTTTATTTCATCTGGTGGAAACGGTTTGGACACAATCCTGCAGAGGGCAACGTCCTCAATAACATACAGCTCCATCTGCATACCAGACGACATTGCTGAGCGTGGGCTGGAGGCAATACCCAACTACTACTACAGAGATGATGGAATCGAGCTTTGGAATATCATCCACAAGTACTCATGAGTTCCTATTCTGCAATTTGTTGATCATCTGTATAGTTATCAAGGAAAACTTCTATAAAAGTAATATAGATGGTATCAACTCATCTTTAGGATAGGTGAGAAGATTTCTGTCCACGGTGCAAAAGGGTACTGTCCATGATCAATCATTTCTCTGGGTCAGTTTTTTTTCAGTGACCTAAATCTCATCCCTACAGTTTGGCTTAAAACACGAGCAAGCATCCTGTGAAAATCCTGGACCTGCAGGAAATTCTGCTACTCCTAATGACACCGAAAACTTTGCTGAGACACTCAGCCATTGGTTTAATGAGTTGCCATGATTAAAACATTGTATATATGCTAATACAACAATTTAAAGAGGTGTTTCTTGACTTGATATTAGTCTAATCACTGTACTTAAACTCATGCAGAGGACCTGCAGATGCAAGCTTTAAGCTTCTTTATATCTTCTTTCAACCAAATAATCTAAAGGCAGATTATTAGAGGCAGATCACGAATGGGGTGTCATCTCAGCTCTAACTTTCCCCCAGAGCTGAGCTTCAGAAACTTTCAGGAAACATGCAAGCTAGTTCGAGCTGCTCTGATTTCATACTTGACATGAATCATTCAATAACCTAACTCAAACATTCTTTCAATCTGGGGCTCTAGCTGAGATCTACACTCTCTGCCTCTACTTTGCTATTGCCACCATAGCCACGCAAGAGTGCTGTATTCTAATTTTCAGCCCTACAACCTCCCCAGCATTCATCTGCAGGCTCTAAATGGGGAATTAAGATAATCACTCCTGGATATCTACAAGTAAAATTAAAAGTAAAATGGTTTCTGTTGCTGCTCATACTATAAACAGTTAAAGGGACACTTGATGTGAGCTGTGTGAGCTTGAAATGTCAAACTTCCTGTTTGTTATATTAAATATGGATGGCTTTACAAAAAATGGGCTATTCAAGCCTCAGCTACTAAATCTTGATTGGCTTGACAGGCAGTTGATCCTAAATTGTTGTCAATACTCATGTTTTATCGACAAAAACAAAGATGAGATGAAAGAGCGCAAGTATTCAGCAGGAAGCAATATGTCATTGTCCTTTTGAAGATGCAGAAGCAGACTATCACAGAGTGCACATATGTCCATAAGAAATAAATAAATAGATCTGATTGTTCAAAGAGATGGTCTTTCAATAAACCCAGATAAAACACTCATGCGCCATACAGGGTATGTATTTCATAGATCTTGTCCACTTCTCTTCAAGGTTTGTGAAAGGAATCCTCAGCTTCTACTACAAGACTGATGTAGATGTCGAGAGAGACTCTGAACTGCAGAAGTGGATTTCAGACATTTTTGTGGAGGGATTCCTCTCCAATGCCGACAGTGGTGGGTTTGAAAGAAAAACTCTCTTCATCTTTACAAATATGAGCATCACTTAAACAAAGTGATGCAATTTATTCTCTGCAACTCTCAGGAATTCCAGAGAGATTTACCACAGTGGCCCAGCTGGTCAGGTTTGTCACCATGGTGATCTTCACTTGCTCAGCACAGCATGCAGCTGTAAACTCTGGACAGGTGAGGTATCTTAATTTAGGTTTTCATTGCATTTTTGGCTTTAAATCCTTTAAGTAGATGGATAGGATTGGGAATAACAGTTAGGTAGATCGGCCCGTATTTAGGTATCAAGACTTGGCCATCTGTTTTGAGGACTACAACCTCTGTTACTGGAATGCAGACAATAAAGAGATGAAATTGAACCTTTTCTTTTGACATTTAGAAATATTTCAGTGGACAAAGTAATGAAAAGACTGTATAAGCCTGACATGGGGTTACTAATGTGACTATAACATCCCAAATATCTGTTGCGGTGTATAATGCAGTGCCTTATTCCTTCATCACAGTTTGATTTTGGTGCCTGGATGCCCAACTCTCCCATGTCTCTACAACTTCCTCCACCAACCGTTAAGGGAAAAGCAACTGAGGCCACCATGCTGGAAACGCTCCCTGACGTCAATGGGACAGCTAATGGAATAAGTGTCCTGTATCTTCTTAGCAAGCAGTCCACTGACTTTGTAAGATCCACAAATACTTCATTTGAGATCAAACAAATCAAATGTATGCATAAGATGTGTTAAGTTAGACAACATGAAGGTAAAATTATATTATACGGTCCTGAAAGCTTTACACTCTGCTTATGGTAATGGAATCAAAAACTAACCTTTAAATGTTTCATTGGTGTCACCAGGTCCCTCTTGGCCAGTATCCAGACCAGCTGTTCTTTGAGGAGATTCCCTGCAAGCTGATCAGGACTTTTCAAGGAGAGCTTGAAGTCCTGAGTGTACGCATCAAAGTCAGAAACAGGGAACTGGAGCTCCCATACAACGTAATGAACCCAACTATGGTGGAGAACAGTGTGGCTGTTTAAATACATGTGTGACCTGCTCAGCTCATGGCCAAAACCCAACTTCAGCTTTATCTAAATTTTGAGGGAAAACTGCGATGATATGAAACTTTTCAGCAGGAATATTTTTGTTGCTTCTTCTCAATTATATCCAGCTTTAATCATTCGGGTTTATCAGATGAGTACTGCAGCCAGGTTAAGTTTTCTGTACGCGACAGGAAAGAAATCATTAGACAGGCATCATGTAGTGTATCTCCTTCTTTAGCTTCTGTGTCTTTATTTTCTTTTACAAATAGATGTATTCAGTTGCACTTCAGTTGGTTTTCAAGTTGTATACCTTTTTTTGACAGAGTAAGACCGCTCAGGGTTCCAAGGGCTACTTCCATTTTGCTTATTTTCCCATATTCAAAAGTATGAATTTTTGCAGTCTAAGACAATACTGCACTTTTGATTCTTTAGTGTTTCTTCCAATCCAGCTCCAAATAAAATACCTATCATTTAATCTTCTGTGGTTCTGTGGGTGGTTTTTTTTTTCTTTTAAAATTCATTTCCTCATATTCCAATTTATTTTTAAGGGACAGCAATGACACTTTGCGCTTTCTGCATGAGGTCATGCACCAAAGAAAAAAGAAAGGACAAAGAAACTCAGTATAACACTCTGCAGCATTTAGCAAGTTACAGTGGAGAGGAAAAATTGTCTTTGAATGGGCAGAAACCTTGAGCAGAACCAGATGCATGTAAGACTGTCATCTGCCACCACTGCATTGGGTTTGAAAAGGAGATAGAGAGAGATGCAGAAAGAGAGCGATGGACCCTCTCACTACCTCTCAAAGTGAGAAGAGTGTGCTACCGAACTTCAGCCGGCAGACCCTCGAACTCTAGTAGGTGGACCGCCCTTGGACATTTCTGTGTTTAGCTCATTGAGGAAACATAAAAATGATCAGGACACAGCGCTGAACTTGGCAATACATTCCCCTATGGGAAATTTGAGAAATTTCACGGGAAATCATATCTGACCTCTAGGGGGCAGTCCAAAGTTGGCAACTTTGACAGAAATGAGAGGTGAACTCTACTACTGCCAGGAGCTCACGTCTGGTTGTGCAGTAGTTTTGTTCTGTGGACAACACCCTTCTGCTGCCACACGCTAGAACTTTCTCCTCTCCCCCTTGCAGCTGGGAAAGAACAGCCCCTTTTCCCCAGTCGCTGGCATCAGTATCCAGGAAGAATTCGCCGCTGTCAAGGGGGTAACCAAGAAAGGCACCAATGTATGTCTTTTTTTTTATTTCCTCAAAATGCCCTGACTCTCTGCAGTCCAGTGAAAGCGTGCATACTTCTTTTTAAGTTCATGCAGTGGCTTGGCTAAGGTGGCGAAATTTTCCATGAAATGCCAGTAGTAAGATGCCAAACCGATGAACTGGCGCACCTCTGTCATGTTTTGGGGTATGGGCCACTTTGCCACTTTCCTCAATTTCTCTGGGTTGGCGGCGATGTCCCTGGCGGAGACAATGTGTCCAAGGAAGGCAACCTGTTCTCGAAACAACCAGCACTTTGATGGTTTCAGTTTTAAGTTGGCCTCACAGAGCCTGCTGAACACCTGGTGGAGCAGCTCTATCATCTGAGTGATGTCCTTCCCCAAGACGATGATGTTGTCCAGGTAGACAAAACATGTTGCCTATTGTAGACCCACCAGGACTCTGTCCATGAGCCACTGGAATGTGGCCAGCACCTAAGAGAGTCCAAACATCATCACATTCCACTGAAAAAGCCCCTTGCGGTGCAGAAGGCAGCGGCTTTGCAGGCTCTGGGTGTCATCTCCACCTATCAGTACCCTGATGTTAAGTCCAGCATGGTAAAATACTTGGCAGTGGATAACGTGTCCTGTATGCATTGCAGGGGGTTGGCATCTTTGATGGTGTGCCCATTTAAGGATCTTTAATCTACACACAGGCGTGGGTTCTGGTCCTTTTTGCGCACCATGACAATCAGTGCTGCCCAGCTGCTGTTGCTGGACTGTGCGATACCCGCCTCTAGGCTCTGTTGCAACTGCTGGTCTGCTGCAACTTGCTAATCTCAGGCCATTCTGCGGGGCTGCTGTTTGATTGGAGGCCCTGGTGTAGTCAGGATGTCATGCTTGACGGGGCTGGTGTGGCCTAGGTCAGTGGGCCCAGTGGAGAAAACATTGCTGTAAGATGTTAGCAGTTCAGCCATCCTCCAGTGGTCCTCCTCCAGCAGATTCACACTGCTCTTAGCATACAGTGTCTGCAGGTGGCTGGGGACATGATCAGGGGCTGCTGTGACTTTGGAGGGGCAGGGTTCTGCCTCCTCTAGCATGTCGGTGGGCTGGAGGACACTGGCAACAGTCCCTCTTTTAAGTGTGACGGGCGTTGCGCTGGGGTTTAAAACACTGACGGGAATACCAGCTGCCTGCCGTGCCTGCACAACAGCACGGGCTACAAGCACAAAGTTTCTTTTGACAATTGCTCTTTTGCAGTCCACTCATTTTACCAACGATCAGAAAAGCTTCTGAACACAGACATTATTTTCTTGCTCTGAACTCTTTGTTATAACAGTAGTGGAACCAGATAGGACATATTTTTGTCCAAGGCATTCAGCTTTGGCTCCAGATCAGATTGAAGTTTTATCTATTGCCCTGACTTGAAGTTGTTGGGACCTGAGTGTACTAACTCTAAAACTTCTGGTTGATCAGTATAATGGCTGCCTTGGAAGGTAGAAGGGTTTGAGCTAGGTGTAGGCCTGTCACCATAACAAATTTTGCTGGACGATAATTGTGCTACAAATTATCGCCGATAAACGATATTATTGACACCATTTTTTAAATTATAGATAATGATATTATATGGCATAATAATGCGAGTACACCATGTCAAAAGTGATAAACTTTAATTTCCACACGAGAACAACACTGGTTGTTTTCGCTGACTAAAATATTTCCCTTTTCTCCCACGACGCAGACGTAACGTTGACGAGCTAAACATAAGTCGGAGATGACTAAAATGTGACGAGACGAAAGTGCGTTTACGTTGATGGGACGAGACGAAAATGACGAACAGAGTTGCAAAACTCAGTCAGTTAAACGCTAAACATATAGGAGCAGCTTCAGTCCGCTCTGACAACTCTCATCATCCTGCTGTGCTCCTCCAACACACAGACACACACGCACGCGCGCGCGCGCACACACACACATGGAGTTTTGTGGTTGACGAAAACAAAACTGGTTTAAAGCCGAAATATTCCCACACTTGGGCTGTTGCGTTCGGTTTAGACACCAAAGCTGTCGTGTTCATTCTGTTAGCTTGCTTTTCACTCACGACGCTCACTTGCAGCACTGTATCCAAAAAGTCTGTGTCTGTGTGCCTGTGCGCGCCAGCCCCATCGTGACAAAGACACTGAATGACTGACAGGAGGGTTCACTAACTCCGTTCATTCCGCTATAGAGCAAATGCCCCCAGGTGCCGAGAACAATGCGCAGAGTGAGACCTCTTCTCTCATCCAGCGTGTTTGGTAGCGAGAGAGGAGGAAAACAAACGCACGTCAATTATCGAGGCTGGCAAAGTTATCGACCTCGTTTTTATTTATCGAGCGATAAGGCGATTTATTGATTATCGCGACAGGCCTAGCTAGGTGTAAGAGCAATGACTGAATTCACCTGGTTCGACAAGCACACGCGGGAAGGCACTGAAGCAGCTAATAGCAACAAGAGAGACAAAGGGGGTCTTGTGCACATTGAAGGAGCTGATGAAGGTAGCATGCCTGAGGTTGATGTGACTCTGGTACTTGTGCACACAGAAGGCAGCAGGACAGAAAAACAGTTAACTAGAAAAAAAGTTCTTTACAAGCCAGCCGAAGAAATGCAGCTCTCTTTTTAGCCCAGAAAACCCTTCTGGTCTCTGCTTCACGGGGGGCTACCACCTGAATGGCCAGTACAAATGACAGCCTTTTTTTAAGCTTGTACACCGTGATTTATTTAGCTTGTGACACAAAATTAAAGCCTAGACGATGACACATACAAAAATATTTCCTGTCATCTAAGACAATGTGTTTGCTAAACATCAACCTCACTTCAGGTAATTTTACCAGTGATTTTTACAAGACAGCTTTATTGCAAAACTCCTTATGTACCAAACATTATGCAAAGTATGTAAAAAAAAAAAAAAGGGGTGGGGTGGGGGGGTAGAGCTATTCCTGTATGGTACCTCTTGCAATCTGTGAAAAGGTTAGGATAGTGAGTTAAGTTAGCCTGGCTGATCTTACATGGTGTTGTTGTTTTTTTGGTTTTTTTAGTAACACCGCAGGTTACTCTAGAGTTGACCCTCCAAGCCTCCCACACTTCTCTGGTATTTCTACTGAAGCTTGATAAACGGCTCCACAAAACTTTTCCTTTGACATGTTTCCTTTTACATAAAGTTTACCATTGCCAAAGTTTTCACCATCCCAGAGTACTCTTTAACAATCACATTTTCTTGTTGGCACCACAGTCATTGCACTAGTGGAACAGCAAGTTGTAGATTGTTGATTATGGTTGTTGAATTGCTTTTCCTGTGAAAATCAATCATTAGTTTGTCTATTAATCCATATACGATAACCTGCTCCAACTTGAAGACACAAATCCTTTTCCACTGAAAGAAACATTAAGACATGTCAAAAGTCAAAATGCTTTGAAGTTGTTTTAAAGGTTAAATTTAATCCCCTATTTAATTACGCTTGAAGAAATTTCTCATGGGAGTGTCACTTGGCCCAGTGGTTTGGGCCCTTTGCTGCATGTCCTCCCATTCTCTGCATGCTCCCTTACTCCCCTTAGCTGTCAAGTCTAACAAAGGCAATGAAACGCCCCATCATATCAAAAAAAAAAAAAAAAAGAAAAAAAAAAAGTGAGCGCTTGTGTGCCAGAATTTTATGTAAGTGTGGTAAAGCCATGTGAAGCTGAATTTATACACGTTCTGTTAAAAAATGCTCTTACCTGGTACCATTTACTACAAGCTTAGAGGGGGAAATCATTAGTTGGAGTGCAATGCAAAGTGTGGGAACTAATAAGGGGCACACTCTTTCCACACTGCCGACATGTTACTTTGAGTTTATAGCTCTCTCTTTTTGTTCTATGCACATGGTATGAGACTTAAGGCTCCAGTCTAAATTGTTGGCACAGATTTTGAGCTGTATTTGGTTGGACTCACCTGACATTGACCATGGCCAGTTTTAGGATGTCTAGTTGAAGGCCCCTGAAAGTCATCTGATTCTGGTCACAGGCTGGTTGATTGTTGTATTTCTACCTGTGCTGTTTGTAGATAGCACTACTGTACTTTTCTGTACAGCTCAGTTTTTAAAAGTTATTAGGGGGTTCAAGATTTCTATGATTGACACCTAATACAGCCTATGGGCGTACAAGGATTACGTAGCTCACCCCGGGGGTTATGCTGTTTGAGCCGAGTGTCATCACAGCAACTCTCGGTGACTCTCCCGTCGAATGCGCACAATGCTACTGCGCAAGTGGTGGAGTGCGTACAACGCTACTGCCCAATGTTGGTTTCAGGAAACAGAGAAAAATCGTAGAATTACAGAGAGCTGTTTGGCTTCAAATCCGCATTCCGGTGGAAGGCAGAACCAAGTTGTCCATAGTATATACAGTCTATGGTTGTGTACAAACCTTGGTCATCTGGCAGACTGAAGTCGATTAACAGCTCCATGATCGATAAGGAACCACACAGATAAAATGCAGCGACTACTCTGAGAGAGATTTGACCATATTTTAAGCTTATTAAAAAAAAAAAAACACCACACACACACACACACACACACACACACACACACACACAAAGACACATTTGAAGGCCCATTAGCTAACATCAGAACACAGCTAATGTTTGTTTTTCCTAGTTGGTCGTTTATAAAATTCTACCCATGTTTGTAGCAGCCCAATGAAATAATGCAATACAACAAGTTACTGAGAAAGACATTCCACAGAACCTTCAGACCTGCTCCAACATGTCAAAAAAAAAGGGTTGGGAAAATGGTTGATTTATTCATTCAGACATAATTTCCCTTGGGTTTTGTGTTTTATGTGTAGTGTTCAAGTATCTTCCACTCTACGCCACCCAAGTTTGGTATCACCATGATCTAGACACTCCCACTGGATTATAAGTATAAAAAGAGCATCCAGTTTTGTCTACTTTCATCCAAGGAGCAGTTAACCACAGGACCTTCTATCCTCATTGACTGGTGAGTGAGATACCTTACAAACTACTTCAGCTGGCGACGAGTGGAGCACATGAGAAAAATGTGAAAAAATAAATTGGATTTTGATTATTGCAGTGTTATTTTACAATTTCTTTTTTTTCTTTTATTCTTTTAACAGATGTTTTTTTACTTTCTTAATTTATTACCACAAGTTTGTCAGTGTTCTGTTGATTTGAGGTCAGTGTGTTACAATGAGCAGAATCTGTGCTTGAAATGGTTATTTTTCTTCCTCCCTACAGAGACTTTTCTGCTCACCAAAGTCAAAATGGTAAATTACGAAGTCACTGTACACACCGGCAAAATGGTCCACGCCAACACTTTCAACGATGTCTTCATTAAGTTGGTGGGAACAGCTGGAAACAGTCAGCGTACTCAGCTCAAAGATATCAGAGGGCCTTTAACCTTCGCCCCTGGAGCAGTAAGTCTGAAATACCCTCTTCCATCTTCACATGTATTATGTTCATCTAAAAGCAACTTTACCTGAGATAAAAGGTACATTACAAAGAACACTTGAGAAGTTTGTGTTACCAATATGTGCTCTGTAACTCTTGAGGCTCTGCTCACTAATGGGACAAATACAACAAATTGGTAGCACTCTGATATTTCGTGTAGATGTTTGTGTCACACAATCTTTTTTGAATGTATTTGTATGTTTATTACTAGGATCTTATAGATCTTATTTCTTTCTGTTTGCAAATGATTTGTCTCTGACCTTATAAATGGCTTTGGTCTAATATATTTCTCATTACTTAAGGTGTCAAATTTTACCGTGTCCTGCTTTGAATCCATTGGAGAAGTGACCATGATAGAGCTGGATAAACAGCATTCCCCTACTGTGCCTCAGAATAACTGGTTTCCTTCCAAAGCGGAGGTGAAATCTCCTGAGGGAGACACCTACAATTTTCCCATTTACAACTGGATCAATGACAGCGAGGTGCACGTATTCAGAGAGGGAAAAGGTTTGAACTAGTCACAGAAAATAAAGACAAGTACTGAAAAATAGATTTATGAAAAAATATATATTATTCATGTTGAGGAATTTAACACCTTATTTTGGTTCTTTCATTAAGCTCTTCTGGTCTATGAAGACACACAACTTGGCAAGACGAGTCGTCAACAGGAGCTGGACCAAAGAAAAGAGGACTACCAGTAAGAGCTGAGAACTTATCCCTTTTTCATTTTTATGAAATCATAGTACTATCCAAAGCTGTTTATCTTATAAATAATGATATTAACTTGGACGACTGTAATTTAAAAAAAACCCAAAAAACTATGGAATGATTAAACCTATCAGGGTTCATCTGAATCGACTGTAATTCAATTTATAAATTTTATGTGTCAGGTATAAAATCCAGTCAAACTCCATATCAAAACCTGAAATATTATGTTCATGATAACAAGACTTTAAAGTGTTTTTAACTCTGATGTATCCTGTTTATCCAAGATGGAAGGTGTATGCTCCGGGAATCCCTCACTGCATACAAAATGAGGTTCCGAGCTTACTGCCCGATGAGGTCCGGTTCTCTTTCACCAAGTCTGCAGAGTTTGACTTCACTGCAAAAAAAGGGTGAGGTCCTCAATTTCTGTTAGATGTCTATCACTACTCCAGTATAACTGCATATCCACCTCTTTATCAAAACTTTTAATGGTATAACATCAACTTTATGACTAAATATTCTAGAAAGTTGGATCTGAAGCTGGACGGATTTGACAGTTGCAAGATGAAGTGGACTGACATGGAGAGTATCTACAGCTTGTTCTGCTGCAAACAGACGGACGCAGCAGGTATTACCCTGTCATCAGGCTTTGACAGACAATTTGGCAATTCATGCAAGTCCTGGATGGACCGTATAACCATTAATGTAAAATAAAATAAAATCTGACTTACTAGCAGAGACCAGTGTTGGAACAGCACATTTGATTAGGATTTTTACTGTCCAAAACTGAATAAATGACACTGTGAATCAGGTGCCATGTTACCAACAATCTGCACCTCCACCCACTCTTTCGAAATGAAAATGACCATCATCTGTAATATTCATGATTGAGACTCTAAAGACAATTATAAAAAGAAGCACTTTAGTGTGTGCAGATAGCTGAGCAGGTTAGCGTGCCACATGTATGGAGACCATGGTCACTGCAGTGATTGCGTGCTGCATGCCACCCCCCCCAAGCGCTCTACATCTCCCACATTTCACTACTGTCCTGTCAATTAAAGGTGACAGTGCCCCCCCAAAAAACACTGCGATCTATTTTTTTTGTGTAACTGCATGCCCACAATACTTAAAAAGACTTTTATTACCCATTTTTCCAAGCCTATGTCCAGCAACACTGGAAGGAGGATGAGTTTTTCGGCTACCAGTTTCTAAATGGTGTCAACCCTATGATGATCCAACGTTGTTCAGTCCTTCCCGAGAACTTTCCTGTCACTGACAGCATGGTTTCCATCCATGGTGATCACACCCTGGAAGAGGAATTGAAGGTGATTTCCTCACTTTGAATTGTCTCGAAAACAAATAAATTAATTTTCTCAAATGTACACTCCTTGTGTTAACATTTCAAACTGATTTTTGTTGCACTTGTATTGTATGTAAATCAATTCTAATTCGCACTCAAACTTCAAACAGAATGGCAACATATACCTGTGTGACTACAAGCTCTTGGATGGAGTCAAAGCAAACACTGTCAATGAGAAGCAGCAGTACCTGATGGCTCCCCTTGTCCTGCTCCAGAAAACACCTGATGACAAGTTGATGCCGATTGCAATCCAGGTGATAGAAACTGAGATTTAACTAATAATAAAATGTTGGGCTTGATTTTGGTCTTAATCATTTTGGGTGTTAGATGTTTATTCAGAAGATAGAAGCTTTTGTCTGTCTGAGGCAGTTAAATTTTTATTTCTGTCAAAGCTGAAACTTCCAGGGGTGGGTATCTTAAGTTTATCTGCAGCAATGGTTTGTGAGCCAAGAGTAAGACTATGAATAACCAACGGCCAAACTAGTCAGGTTTGTCCACCCACAGACTCTTATTCTAGCATGCTGTATTTTTTTTTTCCAAGTAAATGTTTTCAACAGTATCCCACAAGGCTTCAACAGGCAGGTGAACAGCTGACACGATGCTGGCTACAATCAAAATTTAAACATTCATAATCATCTGCTTATGCACCATTTTTGGGTACACTGAAAACAAATGTGAAGTCAAGTTATTGCATGTCCCACAAGAACAAACCACATTTCCCTTTCTTTCTCCTGCAGCTGAAGCAGACTCCAGGAGAAGACAACCCCATCTTTTTTCCTACTGATTCGGAGTACGACTGGTTGTTGGCCAAGATTTTTGTGAGAAGTGCAGATTTCAACTACCATGAACTTTCAACCCACCTGCTGCGCACTCATCTGCTGGCTGAAGTTTTTGCTGTGTCTCTGCTGCGCAACATGCCCATGGTGCATCCCCTGTACAAGGTAACTGTATTGCTAAGTTTTTTACTCTGCCGTAAGAAACCTTGTAGATTTTTAAGATTTATTATCAGGCTTTTTGGCTTTTTGGAAGAGGACAGTGGAGAAACCGAGAAAGGAGAGCAGGGGGTGACATGCAGGAAAGGCTTTAGAAGCAAACTCATGGTTGGCCACTCGAGGCATAACCTTTTGGCCAGCAGCACCCCAACTGGTCTGTCATCTAGTCTGACATCTACCCCCTCACAGCAGTTCCAGGCATAAAAAGGGATATTCCAGCGTAAAATTAATTTAGGTTCAAACAAACTGTAACACCAAGTAAGACACCCCGTTGAGAGATGAATGTTGCCGACCGCTTGCTTCTCTAGTTATACCAACTTTAGTAACGACCACACAATAGCAATACAGAGAGCCACGCACTCAACCTAAACTCCACTCTATAGCCACAAATAATGCTCAGTGTCCTAGCCACATCACTAGCCATCAAACATCTTTTTAGCTTTGCCTAATTTCTTTAGCAAAGAGACTAAACACAACTCGCTCACTCTCTTCCAGCAGCCGCTTGTTTGTAGCGAGACCTCAGGCGAGTCGATCGACTGCAGCTCAAGGAAGAACATTTATTAATCATTTTGCACTGCAGACGTGGTAGTTCTTTTTCCTTAGCGTCTCGATCTGATTGCATTTCCATGAAGAAATTATCATAAATGTTCTTCCTTGAGCTGAGTCCCCCCGCTGCAGTCGATGGACTAGCCCAGAGGTCTCGCTACAAACAAGTGGTTGCTGGAAGAGAGTGGGTGAGTTGTGTTTAGTCTCTGCTAAAGAAATTAGGCAAAGCCTAAAAGATGTTTGGTGGCTAGTGCTGTGGCTGGGACGCTACATGTACTGTTGATGAAGTTAGGTGCTGTTCTGAGCATTATTTATGGCTATAGAGTGGCGTTTTGGTTGAGTGCGTGGCTCTCTGTATTGCTAATTGCTCTCGTTACTTAAGTTGGTATAACTAGAGAAGCAAGCAGTCGCCAACATTCATCTCTCGACAGGGTATCTAACTCAGTGTGTTACGGTGTGTTTGACCATCACTTAATTTTACGCTGGAATATCCCTTTAAGAATTTAGATATAGAAATTGTCTGCACTGTTACGATGAATTTTTCATGTCTAGTTTAGCATACTTTAATTTTTTTCACAACCAGCAAGAAAACCTTCAGGGGAACTCTGGTTTGCAGAAAACCAATATGTCAGTATGTATATAGATAAGAATTTCACATTGCTGAATAGTATATGTGCATCAAATTTTAAACTTTATTTAAGAATTGTTAATATTACCATAACAGAGTTCATTTTTTCCCTCAGCTCCTCAGCCCTCACATTCGCTACACTCTGCAGATCAACGTCATGGCTCGACTTCTGCTGATTTCCAAGATAGGAGTTTTCACAAACGTAAGAAAAAAAGCAAGCTCTGTGGTGTACCCTTCAAACACAGTATTTTTTTCTTGAAGTGTCTCCAGCAATTCCTCATATTGATTATTTTCCAGTTTATTTCATCTGGTGGAGACGGTTTGGTCACAATCCTGCAGAGGGCAACGTCCTCAATAACATACAGCTCCATCTGCATACCAGACGACATTGCTGAGCGTGGGCTGGAGGCAATACCCAACTACTACTACAGAGATGATGGAATCGAGCTTTGGAATATCATCCAAAAGTACTCATGAGTTCCTATTCTGCATTTGTTGATCATCTGTATAGTTATCAAGGAAAACTTCTATAAAAGTAATATAGATGGTATCAACTCATCTTTAGGATAGGTGAGAAGATTTCTGTCCACGGTGCAAAAGGATACTGTCCATGATCAATCATTTCTCTGGGTCAGTTTTTTTTCAGTGACCTAAATCTCATCCCTACAGTTTGGCTTAAAACACGAGCAAGCATCCTGTGAAAATCCTGGACCTGCAGGAAATTCTGCTACCCCTAATGACACCGAAAACTTTGCTGAGACACTCAGCCATTGGTTTAATGAGTTGCCATGATTAAAACATTGTATATATGCTAATACAACAATTTAAAGAGGTGTTTCTTGACTTGATATTAGTCTAATCACTGTACTTAAACTCATGCAGAGGACCTGCAGATGCAAGCTTTAAGCTTCTTTATATCTTCTTTCAACCAAATAATCTAAAGGCAGATTATTAGAGGCAGATCACGAATGGGGTGTCATCTCAGCTCTAACTTTCCCCCAGAGCTGAGCTTCAGAAACTTTCAGGAAACATGCAAGCTAGTTCGAGCTGCTCTGATTTCATACTTGACATGAATCATTCAATAACCTAACTCAAACATTCTTTCAATCTGGGGCTCTAGCTGAGATCTACACTCTCTGCCTCTACTTTGCTATTGCCACCATAGCCACGCAAGAGTGCTGTATTCTAATTTTCAGCCCTACAACCTCCCCAGCATTCATCTGCAGGCTCTAAATGGGGAATTAAGATAATCACTCCTGGATATCTACAAGTAAAAGTAAAATGGTTTCTGTTGCTGCTCATACTATAAACAGTTAAAGGGACACTTGATGTGAGCTGTGTGAGCTTGAAATGTCAAACTTCCTGTTTGTTATATTAAATATGGATGGCTTTACAAAAAATGGGCTATTCAAGCCTCAGCTACTAAATCTTGATTGGCTTGACAGGCAGTTGATCCTAAATTGTTGTCAATACTCATGTTTTATCGACAAAAACAAAGATGAGATGAAAGAAAAGAGCGCAAGTATTCAGCAGGAAGCAATATGTCATTGTCCTTTTGAAGATGCAGAAGCAGACTATCACAGAGTGCACATATGTCCATAAGAAATAAATAAATAGATCTGATTGTTCAAAGAGATGGTCTTTCAATAAACCCAGAGAAGACACTCATACGCCATACAGGGTATGTATTTCATAGATCTTGTCCACTTCTCTTCAAGGTTTGTGAAAGGAATCCTCAGCTTCTACTACAAGACTGATGTAGATGTCGAGAGAGACTCTGAACTGCAGAAGTGGATTTCAGACATTTTTGTGGAGGGATTCCTCTCCAATGCCGACAGTGGTGGGTTTGAAAGAAAAACTCTCTTCATCTTTACAAATATGAGCATCACTTAAACAAAATGATGCAATTTATTCTCTGCAACTCTCAGGAATTCCAGAGAGATTTACCACAGTGGCCCAGCTGGTCAGGTTTGTCACCATGGTGATCTTCACTTGCTCAGCACAGCATGCAGCTGTAAACTCTGGACAGGTGAGGTATCTTAATTTAGGTTTTCATTGCATTTTTGGCTTTAAATCCTTTAAGTAGATGGATAGGATTGGGAATAACAGTTAGGTAGATCGGCCCGTATTTAGGTATCAAGACTTGGCCATCTGTTTTGAGGACTATAACCTCTGTTACTGGAATGCAGACAATAAAGAGATGAAATTGAACCTTTTTTTTTGACATTGTGAAATATTTTAGTGGACAAAGTAATGAAAAGACTGTATAAGCCTGACATGGGGTTACTAATGTGACTATAACATCCCAAATATCCGTTGCGGTGTATAATGCAGTGCCTTATTCCTTCATCACAGTTTGATTTTGGTGCCTGGATGCCCAACTCTCCCATGTCTCTACAACTTCCTCCACCGACCGTTAAGGGAAAAGCAACTGAGGCCACCATGCTGGAAACGCTCCCTGACGTCAATGGGACAGCTAATGGAATAAGTGTCCTGTATCTTCTCAGCAAGCAGTCCACTGACTTTGTAAGATCCACAAATACTTCATTTGAGATCAAACAAATCATATGTATGCATAAGATGTGTTAAGTTAGACAACATGAAGGTAAAGTTATATTATACGGTCCTGAAAGCTTTACACACTGCTAATGCTAATGGAATCAAAAACTAACCTTTAAATGTTTCATTGGTGTCACCAGGTCCCTCTTGGCCAGTATCCAGACCAGCTGTTCTTTGAGGAGATTCCCTGCAAACTGATCAGGACTTTTCAAGGAGAGCTTGAAGTCCTGAGTGTACGCATCAAAGTCAGAAACAGGGAACTGGAGCTCCCATACAACGTAATGAACCCAACTATGGTGGAGAACAGTGTGGCTGTTTAAATACATGTGTGACCTGCTCAGCTCATGGCCAAAACCCAACTTCAGCTTTATCTAAATTTTGAGGGAAAACTGCAATGATATGAAACTTTTAGGCAGGAATATTTTTGTTGCTTCTTCTCAATTATATCCAGCTTTAATCATTCGGGTTTATCAGACGAGTACTGCAGCCAGGTTAAGTTTTCTGTACACGACAGGAAAGAAATCATTAGACAGGCATCATGTAGTGTATCTCCTTCTTAAGTCTCTTTGTGTCTTTATTTTCTTTTACAAATAGATGTATTCAGTAGCACTTCAGTTGGTTTTCAAGTTGTATACCTTTTTTTGACAGAGTAATGCCGCTCAGGGTTCCAAGGGCTACTTCCATTTTGCTCATTTTCCCATATTCAAAAGTATGAATTTTTGCAGTCTGAGACAATACTGCACTTTTGATTCTTTAGTGTGTCTTCCAATCCAGCTCCAAATAAAATACCTATCATTTAATCTTCTGTGGTTCTGTGGGTGTTTTTTTTTGTTTCAAAATTCATTTCCATATATTCCAATTTATTTTTAAGGGACAGCAATGACACATTGCTCTGTCTGCATGAGGTCATGCACCAAACAAAAAAGAAAGAGCTCTTTGTTATAACAGTAGTGGAACCAAATAGGACATATTTTTGTCCAAGGCATTCAGCTTTGGCTCCAGATCAGACCGAAGTTTTATCTATTGCCCTGACTTGAAGTTGTTGCGACCTGAGTGTACTAACTCTAAAACTTCTGGTTGATCAGTATCATGGCTGCCTTGGAAGGTAGAAGGGTTTGAGCTAGGTGTAAGAGCAATGACTGACTTCACCTGGTTCGACAAGCACACAGGGGAAGGCACTGAAGCAGCTAATAGCAACAAGATAGACAAAGGGGGTCTTGTGCACCTTGAAGGAGCTAATGAAGGTAGCATGCCTGAGGTTGATGTGACTCTGGTACTTGTGCACACAGAAGGCAGCAGAACAGAAAAACAGTTAACTAGAAAGAAAGTTCTTTACAAGCCAGCCGAAGAAATGCAGCTCTCTTTTTAGCCCAGAAAACCCTTCTGGTCTCTGCTTCACGGGGGGCTACCACCTGAATGGCCAGTACAAATGACAGCCTTTTTTTTAAGCTTGTACACCGTGATTTATTTAGCTTGTGACACAAAATCAAAGCCTAGACGATGACGCATACAAAAATATTTCCTGTCATCTAAGACAATGTGTTTGCTAAACATCAACCTCACTTCAGGTAATTTTACCAGTGATTTTTACAAGACAGCTTTATTGCAAAACTCCTTATGTACCAAACATTATGCAAAGTATGTAAAAAAAAAAAAGGGGTGGGTTGGGGGGTAGAGCTATTCCTGTATGGTACCTCTTGCAATCTGTGAAAGGTTAGGATAGTGAGTTAAGTTAGCCTGGCAGATCTCACAGGGTGTTGTTGTTTATTTTTTTTTTAGTAACAACGCAGGTTACTCTAGTTTTGACCCTCCAAGCCTCCCACACTTCTCTGGTATTTCTACTGAAGCTTGATAAACGGCTCCACAAAACTTTTCCTTTGACATGTTTCCTTTTATTTAAAAGTTTACCATTGCCAAAGTTTTCACCATCCCAAAGTACTCTTTAACAATCACATTTTCTTGTTGGCACCACAGTCATTGCACTAGTGGAACAGCAAGTTGTAGATTGTTGATTATGGTTGTTGAATTGCTTTTCCTGTGAAAATCAATCATTAGTTTGTCTATCAATCTGTGTATGATAACCTGCTCCAACTTGAAGATACAAATTCTTTCCCACTGAAAGAAACATAAAGACATGTCAAAAGTCAAAAATGCTTTGAAGTTGTTTTAAAGGTTAAATTTAATTACGCTTGAAGAAATTTCTTATGGGAGTGTCACTTGGCCCGGTGGTTTGGGCCCTTTGCTGCATGTCCTCCCATTCTCTGCATGCTCCCTTACTCCCCTTAGCTGTCAAGTCTAACAAAGGCAATGAAACGCCCCATCATATCAAAAAAAAAAGAAAAAAAAGGGTGAGCGCTTGTGTGCCAGAATTTTATGTAAGTGTGGTAAAGCCATGTGAAGCTGAATTTATGCACGTTCTGTTGAAAAATGCTCTTACCTGGTACCATTTACTACAAGCTTAGAGGGGGAAATCATTAGTTGGAGTGCAATGCAAAGTGTGGGAACTAATAAAGGGCACATTCTTTACACACTGCCGACATGTTACTTTGCGTTTATAGCTCTCTCTTTAAGTTCTATGCACATGGTATGAGACTTAAGGCTCCAGTCTAAATTGTTGGCACAGATTTTGAGCTGTATTTGGTTGGACTCACCTGACATTGACCATGGCCAGTTTTAGGATGTCTAGTTGAAGGCCCCTGAAAATCATCTGATTCTGGTCACAGGCTGGTTGATTGTTGTATTTCTACCTGTGCTGTTTGTAGATAGCACTACTGTACTTTTCTGTACAGCTCAGTTTTTAAAAGTTATTAGGGGGTTCAAGATTTCTATGATTGACACCTAATACAGCCTATGGGCGTACAAGGATTACGTAGCTCACCCCGGGGGTTATGCTGTTTGAGCCGAGCGTCATCACAGCAACTCTCGGTGACTCTCCCGTCGAATGCGCACAATGCTACTGCGCAAGTGGTGGAGTGCGTACAACGCTACTGCCCAATGTTGGTTTCAGGAAACAGAGAAAAATCGTAGAATTACAGAGAGCTTTTTGGCTTCAAATCCGCATTCCGGTGGAAGGCAGAACCAAGTTGTCCATAGTATATACAGTCTATGGTTGTATGTTGTACAAACCTTGGTCATCTGGCAGACTGAAGTCGATTAACAGCTCCATGATCGATAAGGAACCACACAGATAAAATGCAGCGACTACTCTGAGAGAGATTCGACCATTCTTAAGCTTATAAAAAAAAAAAAAACACCACACACACACACACACACACACACACAAAGACACATTTGAAGGCCCATTAGCTAACATCAGAACACAGCTAATGTTTGTTTTTCCTAGTTGGTCGTTTATAAAATTCTACCCATGTTTGTAGCAGCCCAATGAAATAATGCAATACAACAAGTTGCTGAGAAAGACTTTCCACAGAATTTTCTTAAGAACCTTCAGACCTGCTCCAACATGTCAAAAAAAAAGGGTTGGGAAAATGGTTGATTTATTCATTCAGACATAATTTCCCTTGGGTTTTGTGTTTTATGTGTAGTGTTCAAGTATCTTCCACTCTACGCCACCCAAGTTTGGTATCACCATGATCTAGACACTCCCACTGGATTATAAGTATAAAAAGAGCATCCAGTTTTGACTACTTTCATCCAAGGAGCAGTTAACCACAGGACCTTCTATCCTCATTGACTGGTGAGTGAGATACCTTACAAACTACTTCAGCTGGCGATGATTGGAGCACATGAGAAAAATGTGAAAAGATTAATTGGATTTTGATTATTGCAGTGTTATTTTACAATTTCTTTTTTTTTCTTTTATTCTTTTAACAGATGTTTTTTTACTTTCTTAATTTATTACCACAAGTTTGTCAGTGTTCTGTGGATTTGAGGTCAGTGTGTTACAATGAGCAGAATCTGTGCTTGAAATGGTTATTTTTCTTCCTCCCTACAGAGACTTTTCTGCTCACCAAAGTCAAAATGGTAAATTACGAAGTCACTGTACACACCGGCAAAATGGTCCACGCCAACACTTTCAACGATGTCTTCATTAAGTTGGTGGGAACAGCTGGAAACAGTCAGCGTACTCAGCTCAAAGATATCAGAGGGCCTTTAACCTTCGCCCCTGGAGCAGTAAGTCTGAAATACCCTTTTCCATCTTCACATGTATTATGTTCATCTAAAAGCAACTTTACCTGAGATAAAAGGTACATTACAAAGAACACTTGAGAAGTTTGTGTTACCAATATATGTGCTCTGTAACTCTTGAGGCTCTGCTCACTAATGGGACAAATACAACAAATTGGTAGCACTCTGATATTTCGTGTAGATGTTTGTGTCACACAATCTTTTTTGAATGTATTTGTATGTTTATTACTAGGATCTTATAGATCTTATTTCTTTCTGTTTACAAATGATTTGTCTCTGACCTTATAAATGGCTTTGGTCTAATATATTTTTCATTACTTAAGGTGTCAAATTTTACCGTGTCCTGCTTTGAATCCATTGGAGAAGTGACCATGATAGAGCTGGATAAACAGCATTCCCCTACTGTGCCTCAGAATAACTGGTTTCCTTCCAAAGCGGAGGTGAAATCTCCTGAGGGAAACACCTACAATTTTCCCATTTACAACTGGATCAATGACAGCGAGGTGCACGTATTCAGAGAGGGAAAAGGTTTGAACTATTCACAGAAAATAAAGACAAGTACTGAAAAATAGATTTATGAAAAAATATATATTATTCATGTTGAGGAATTTAACACCTTATTTTGGTTCTTTCATTAAGCTCTTCTGGTCTATGAAGACACACAACTTGGCAAGACGAGTCGTCAACAGGAGCTGGACCAAAGAAAAGAGGACTACCAGTAAGAGCTGAGAACTTATCCCTTTTTCATTTTTATGAAATCATAGTACTATCCAAAGCTGTTTATCTTACAAATAATGATATTAACTTGGACGACTGTAATTTAAAAAAAAAAAAAAAAACTATGGAATGATGAAACCTATCAGGGTTCATCTGAATCGACTGTAATTCAATTTATAAATTTTATGTGTCAGGTATAAAATCCAGTCAAACTCCATATCAAAACCTGAAATACTATGTTCATGATAACAAGACTTTAAAGTGTTTTTAACTCTGATGTATCCTGTTTATCTAAGATGGCGGGTGTATGCTCCAGGAATCCCTCACTGCATAAAAAATGAGGCCCCGAGCTCACTGCCCTTTGAGGTCCAGTTCTCTTTCACCAAGTCTGCAGAGTTTGACTTCACTGCAAAAAAAGGGTGAGGTCCTCAAATTCTGTTAGATGTCTATCACTACTCCAGTATAACTGCATATCCACCTGTTTATCAAAACTTTTAACGGTATAACATCAACTTTATGCCTAAATATTCTAGAATGTTGGATCTGAAGCTGGATGGATATGCCAGTTGCAAGATGCAGTGGACTGACATGGAGAGTATCTACAGCTTGTTCTGCTGCAAACAGACGGACACAGCAGGTATTACCCTGTCATCAGGCTTTGACAGACAATTTGGCAATTCATGCAAGTCCTGGATGGACCGTATAACCATTAATGTAAAATAAAATAAAATCTGACTTACTAGCAGAGACCAATGTTGGAACAGCACATTTGATTAGGATTTTTACTGTCCAAAACTGAAAAAATGACACTGTGAATCAGGTGCCGTGTTACCAACAATCTGCACCTCCACCCACTCTTTCGAAATGAAAATGACCATCATCTGTAATATTCATGATTGAGACTCTAAGGACAATTATAAAAAGAAGCACTTTAGGGTGTGCAGACAGCTGAGCATGTACGGAGACCATGGTCACTGCAGTGATTGCGTGCTGCATGCCCCCCCCCCCCAACTCTCTATATCTCCCACATTTCACCACTGTCCTGTCAATTAAAGGTGACAGTGCCCCCCCAAAAAACACTGCGATCTATTTTTTTTTGTATAACTGCATGCCCACAATACTTATAAGACTTTTATTACCCATTTTTTCCAAGCCTATGTCCAGCAACACTGGAAGGAGGATGAGTTTTTCGGCTACCAGTTTCTAAATGGTGTCGACCCCATGTTGATCCGACGTTGTTCAGTCCTTCCCGAGAACTTTCCTGTCACTGACAGCATGGTTTCCATTCATGGTGATCACACCCTGGAAGAGGAATTGAAGGTGATTTCCTCACTTTGAATTGTCTCGAAAACAAATTAATTTCCTCAAATGTACACTCCTTGTGTTAACATTTCAAACTGATTTTTGTTGCATTTGTATTGTATATAAATCAATGCTAATTCGCACTCAAACTTCAAACAGAATGGCAACATATACCTGTGTGACTACAAGCTCTTGGATGGAGTCAAAGCAAACACTGTCAATAAGAAGCAGCAGTACCTGACGGCTCCCCTTGTCCTGCTCCAGAAAACACCTGATGACAAGTTGATGCCGATTGCAATCCAGGTGAGAGAAACTGAGATATAACTAATGATAAAATTTAGGGCTTGATTTTGGTAGTAATCACTTTGGGGGTTAGATATTAATTCAGAAGATAGCAGCTATTGTCTTTCTGAGGCAGTTAAATTTTTATTTCTGTCAAAGCTGAAACTTCCAGGGGTTGGTTATCTTTAGTTTTGTCTGCACCAGTGGTTTGTGAGCCAAGAGTAAGACTGTGAATAACCAACCGCCAAACTAGTCAGGTTTGTCCACCCACAGACTCTTGTTTTAGCATGCTGTATTTTTTTTTTTTCCAAGTAAATGTTTTCAACAGTATCCCACAAGGCTTCAACAGGCAGGTGAACAGCTGACACGATGCTGGCTACAATCAAAATTTAAACGTTCATAATCATCTGCTTATGCGCCATTTTTGGGTACACTGAAAACAAATGTGAAGTCAAGTTATTGCATGTCCCACAAGAACAAACCACATTTCCCTTTCTTTCTCCTGCAGCTGAAGCAGACTCCAGGAGAGGACAACCCCATCTTTTTTCCTACTGATTCAGAGTACGACTGGTTGTTGGCCAAGATTTTTGTGAGAAGCGCAAGTTTCAGTCAGCATCAACTCAATGTTCATCTGCTGCGCACTCATCTGCTGGCTGAAGTTTTTGCTGTGTCTCTGCTGCGCAACATGCCCATGGTGCATCCCCTGTACAAGGTAACTGTATTGCAAAGTTTTTACTCTGCCGTAAGAAACCTTGTAGATTTTTAAGATTTATTTTCAGACTTTTTGCCTTTTTTGAAGAGGACAGTGGAGAAACCAAGAAAGGAGAGCAGGGGGTGACATACAGGAAAGGCTATGGAAGCAAACTCATGGTTGGCCACTCAAGGCATGACCTTTTAGTCATCTAGTCTAGTCTGACATGTCGAGGTTGCAAGTCTAGGTTAGCACATTTTAATTTTTTTCCCAACCAGCAAGAAACCCTTCAGGGGAACTTTGGTTTGCAGAAAACCGATATGTCAGTATTAGGCCTGTCGCGATAATCAATAAATCGCCTTATCGCTCGGTAAATAAAAACGAGGTTGGTCATTTGCCAGCCTCGATAATTAACGTGCATTTGTTTTCCCTCTTCTCTCGCTACCAAACACGCTGGATGAGAGAAGAGGTCTCACTCTGCGCATTGTTCTCGGCACCTGGGGGCGTTGGCTCTATAGCGGAATGAACGGAGTTAGTGAACCCTCCTGTCAGTCATTCAGTATCTTTGTCACGGGGGGTGACAAGTGAGCGTCGTGAGTGAAAAGCAAGCAAACAGAATGAACACGACAGCTTTGGTGTCTAAACCGAACGCAACAGCCCAAGTGTGCGAATATTTCGGCTTTAAACCAAATGAAAGAGGTGAGCCCACAAATACGGACGAGCCGATATGTCGTATTTGTTCCAAAATTGTGGTGACAAAGAAGGGGAATACGACGAACATGCATGCGCACCTCAAGCACAATCATCCCCTCCATTTTTCCCAACTGAGCAAAAAAAGTACTGCCGGAGGTGCTGCGGAGCCATCGTCCCGACAGGTACCGTTTACTGAAGCGTTTGGCAAGCAAAGCAAATATAAACAAAACACCGCAAAATGGTGCGCGCTGACAGACAGCGGAAATTGAAGTTTATCACTTTTGGCATGGTGTACTCGCATTATTATGCCATATATTATCATTTTCGATAATTTAAAAAACGGTGTCAATTATATCGTTTATCGGCAATAATTTGTAGCACAATTATCGTCCAGCAAAATTTGTTATCGTGACAGGCCTAGTCAGTATGTATCTAGATAAGAATTTTACATTGCTGAATAGTATATGTGCATCAAATTTTAAACGTGATTTAAAGAAGTTTTAATATTACCATAACAGAGTTCATTTTTCCCCCAGCTCCTCAGCCCTCACACTCGCTACACTCTGCAGATCAACGTCATGGCTCGAATTGTGCTGATTTCTGAGAAAGGAGCTTTCACAAACGTAAGAAACAAGCAAGCTTAGTGGTGCATCCTTCAAACATTGTTTTTTTCCTAGAAGTGTCTCCAACAAGTTCTCATATTGATTATTTTCTAGTATTCTGCATCTGGTGGAGAGGGTTTGCTCACAATCCTTCAGAGGGCAACGTCCTCTATAACATACAGCTCCCTCTGCATACCAGACGACATTGCTGAGCGTGGGCTGGAGGCAATACCCAACTACTACTACAGAGATGATGGAATCGAGCTTTGGAATATCATCCACAAGTACTCATGAGTTCCTATTCTGCATTTTGTTGATCATCTGTATAGTTATCAAGGAAAACCTCCATAAAAGTGATATAGATAGGATCAACTCATCTTTAGGATAGGTGAGAAGATTCCTGTCCTGGATGCAAAAGTCAGTATCTGTGAAACAACACATATGGTACAATATTTGTGTTATGACGTGCTTTGACTTCATGGTGTTCTTTAATTTATAAAGGAAAGAGCTACATTGATTCCTATTAGTTAAAAGTCCCATGGCATGCCAATTTCACACAATTTAAAATAGTCCCCTGGTGTGTTAAAAGCATGTCTGTGACGTCCTTCGGTCAAAATTCGATTTGGATCAATTATTTTAGTGCTCTTTTTTTCAGCTAAAAACAGCTCCGCTCAGAATCCTCCGTTTTGGGCGATGTCTCTTTGATGATATGAGCTGCACCTAAGCCACGTCCACTTTACACCCATCTCTCTGGAAGGGGCTGTGGCTGTGCTCCGATAGCCATGTGCTAATGTTTACACTGGCTCGGTCATAGCTGCAAGAAGATCGCTCGTACAACCCTACCAGTTTGAGCCAGAGTCTGACCCAGAGAAAAAACTCTCAGCCGCGTTCAGACGAAACGCGACTTCAAGCGACCAAGTCGACATATCCTGTGTATTATTCAAAGCTGCCAGGTGGGTCACGCGTAGCCGGGACGTCCCGTATTTGAGCCAAAAGAGGCGCGTCGCCGCACGGGTAAATGCTAAAGCTACATGCTGCTCTGGAGGGGCCACCGAAGCGAGCGGCTAAAATACGGAAGGATCCGGTAAACCGGCGCGGATTCGGTGTGTTTATCGAAGCGTGGTGGCCGTGCAGAGGCACCGGGGGAATTTACGCTAAACAGTAAGTCAAAATAAAACGTTCTGTACTTACAGGTGCCACGTTTGTAGCAGGATCACGGATAGTTGGTACGGATCCATTCTTTATCTTCAGACATCTAGCAAATCCAGCGTTGAACTGTCCCTCGTTGATAAAACAGTCCGAAGTGAAATGGTACACACATACGTACAGATATTTTGGAAGTGCCGCGGGTACATTCCCATTATAAATAAAATCCACCCATTGAGTCCTCAAATCCTCCGACGAGGGAGTTTTGTGCTCGTTTGTGCAGCCAACAACAGAGCAAACGCTGCCTCTTTTTCAGATCGTACTTTCGCCATGGTTCTAACCGGAGTAATGCGAGAGAGCGGCCGGGGAAAATGGCGCTGTTTAGATAATCTTTTGGGCAGGGCAGTGGGCGGCTCCATGGGCAGTACCATCAACCCGCCAGCACTGTAATGACGTCATGTCAGTGGAGTTTTCAGAACGGCCAGGTGTTGTGCCGTAGAATGCACCCCTGCCGTAGAATGCACCCCCTGCATCCCATCCACTCGTTAGCTTCTTAAAGTGGAAGAAAATGATCTCATATTTTTAAAAAAAGGAGTATTTGATCGTGACAACTTTCGTTTTGTTTTTATGTGTCTCTAAAATGCACATACGGAGGTGTGCTTGGGTATATAAATTGTATAGTAAACTGTCAAGCTAGCGAACATTATATTTTCGGGACAGCAAATATTCCGAAACAGAGGGCTATTTTTTTGGCTTATCTGAATAGCCTGAATGAGAATATTAAAGGCATACGCTTATGAATTCATCTAATGGTAAGGAAAACTTGGATTATTTTCGCCTTCTTAAGTACTTTCGACCGCGCTCGTCGGGGGTGCATTCTACGGCAGGGGTGCATTCTACGGCACAACACCGGCTCTGAGCACACAGTTCCTAAATACAGAGATAACTAAAAAACGACTGGATGGAATTTTTTCGAACTTGGGGGGGATTGTAGCAGTTTTCTATCCCTGATATGCACCCCCATGGCCCCTTTAAGTTTTCCTCTTCTGTAGTTTATGTTGTTACTAGTTAAAGGCTCACTTGATGTGAGCTGTGTGAGCTTGAAATGTCAAATATCCTGTTTATTATATTAAATATGGATGGCTTTACAAAAAATGGGCTATTCAAGCCTCAGCTACTAAATCATGATTGGCTTGACAGGCAGTTGATCATAAATTGTTGTCAAAACTCATGTTTTGAACAAAGATGAGCTGAAAGAAAAGAGCACAAGCATTTAGCAGGAAGCAATATGTCATTGTCCTTTAGGAGATGCAGAAGCAGACTATCACAGAGTGCACATATGACCATAAGAAATAAATAAATAGATCTGATTGTTCAAAGAGATGGTCTTTCAATAAACCCAGAAAAGACCCTCATACCCCATACAGGGTATGTATTTCATAGATCTTGTCCACTTCTCTTCAAGGTTTGTGAAAGGAATCCTCAGCTTCTACTACAAGACTGATGTAGATGTCCAGAGAGACTCTGAACTGCAGAAGTGGATTTCAGACATTTTTGTGAAGGGATTCCTCTCCAGTGCCAACAGTGGTGGGTTTGAAAGAAAAACTCTCTTCATCTTTACAAATATGAGCATCACTTAAACAAAATGATGCAGTTTATTCTCTGTAACTCTCAGGAATTCCAGAGAGATTTACCACAGTGGCCCAGCTGGTCAAGTTTGTCACCATGGTGATCTTCACTTGCTCAGCACAGCATGCAGCTGTAAACTCTGGACAGGTGAGGTATCTTAATGTAGGTTTTCACTGCATTTTTGGCTTTAAATCCTTTAAGTAGATGGATAGGATTGGGAATAACAGTTAGGTAGATCGGCCCGTATTTAGGTATCAAGACTTGGCCATCTGTTTTGAGGACTATTACCTCTGTTACTGGAATGCAGACAATAAAAGATGAAATTGAACCTTTTCTTTTGACATTTTGAAATATTTCAGTGGACAAAGTAATGAAAAGGCTGTATATAAGCCTGACATGGGGTTTCTCATGTGACTATAACATCCCAAATATCTGTTGCGGTGTATAATGCAGTGCCTTACTCCTTCATCACAGTTTGATTTTGGTGCCTGGATGCCCAACTCTCCCGCGTCCCTACAACTTCCTCCACCGACTATTAAGGGAAAAGCAACTGAGGCCACCATGCTGGAAACGCTCCCTGACGTCGATGGGACAGCTAATGGAATAACTATCCAGCATCTTCTCAGCAAGCAGTCCACTGACTTTGTAAGATCCACAAATACTTCATTTGAAAGTAAATGAATGAAATGTATGCATAAGATGTGTTAAGTTAGACAACATGAAGGTAAAGTTATATTATACGGTCCTGACAGCTTTACACACTGCTGTTCAAAAAAGAGGAATATAAGTGGAGGAGCCAGAGACAATAAAAAAAAAACATCACAACAACAAATACACAGAATTAACCATATGTTCAACATGATTTCTGCATTCCTCATGATTTTTAGGCCAACAATAAACATTCATGCTGATTTCTCACCATTCATTGTTTTGCCAGCAGTCTATGACTGTAAAGATTTAATGCTAATGGAATCAAAAACTAACCTTTAAATGTTTCATTGGTGTCACCAGGTCCCTCTTGGCCAGTATCCAGACCAGCTGTTCTTTGAGGAGATTCCCTGCAAACTGATCAGGACTTTTCAAGGAGAGCTTGAAGTCCTGAGTGTACGCATCAAAGTCAGAAACAGGGAACTGGATCTCCCATACAACTTCATGAACCCAACTATGGTGGAGAACAGTGTGGCTGTTTAAATACATGTGTGACCTGCTCAGCTCATGGCCAAAATTATCTTAATTTTGAGGGAAAACTGTGATGATATGAAACTTTTCAGCAGGAATATTTTTGTTGCTTCTTCTCAATTATATCCAGCTTTAATCATTCGGGTTTATCAGATGAGTACTGCTGCCAGGTTAAGTTTTCTGTACACGACAGGAAAAAAAATCATTAGACAGGCATCATGTAGTGTATCTCCTTCTTTAGCTTCTGTGTGTCTTATTTTCTTTTACAAATAGATGTATTCAGTTGCACTTCAGTTGAATTTCAAGTTATATGCCTTTTTTGACAGAGTAATGCCGCACAGGGTTCAAAGGGCTGCTTCCATTTTGCTTATTTTTCTATATTCGACAGAATGAATTTTTGCAGTCTGAGACAATACTGCACTTTTGATTCTTTGGTGTGTCTTCCAATCTAGTTCCTAATAAAATACCTATCATTTAATCTTCTGTGGTTCTGTGGGTGTTTTTTTTTTCTTTCAAAATTCATTTCCTCATATTCCAATTTATTTTTAAGGGACAGCAATGACACTTTGCACTTTTCTGCATGAGGTCATGCACCAAAGAAAAAAGAAAGGACAGGGAAACTCAAAATTGCTCTCTTCCCCAAAAGGAAAAACTGTGGGCCGATGAAAGGACCTGCTTTTTAAAACAGATAATTCTTTTTTTTCTTGCTTTTATTAAAATTGAGGTTGTATAAAGTACTTGTAAACAGTGAATGTATAACCTGTCGTGGCTAAGTCTAAAACAAGTCTAGACAGGCTAAAAGTAATTGAAGCGCACTTGATTACTGTGAGTTGTGAAATATGAGTCTGGATTGCCTTTTCCCTTGCTATGTTCTTTATTGATCACCATTTGACTAATTTTCCATTCATTTGCAGTCCATAATTCACCAAACCAAACATTTAAAGTGACGTAGAGCGTAGCAGTCAAAAAACTGTGTGCTCCTCCGTCTAGCAACACCTGACATCTGACAGAAGGTTCCTACCCACAAAATACATACCCACCACCATGAGGACACCTGCTGGCCCAATTAGGTAACATACACAAATCACAGAGAGAAAAATGGCTCCTACATAATCACAAGGGATCAACCAATCAATCTACTTTTATAGTGCCAATTCACAGCAAGTAAAAGACACAATTTTAAAGATGGGATCAGCTTGAACCCCATCTTGTAAGGTCAAGCATACTCCCATCCCATTTTCAACCACATCAGTATATTACTCTACAGCATTTAGCAAGTTACAGTGGAGAGGAAAAACTTTCTTTAAAACAGGCAGAGACCTTGAGCAGAACCAGACTCATATAAGACTGTCATCTGCCGCTACTACACTGGGCTTAGAGAACTGATTACCTTACCTCCAAGCAGAGAGCAGGGACTAATCAGTGAAATCACCTGGTGGAGTTTTGGGCTGGAAAGAAAACCTGCAGCCTCTTGGCCCTCCATGGCACATGGTTGCCCACCCCTGAGATACAGGGAGATGCAGAAAGAGAGCGATGGACTCTCTCACTACCTCTTAAAGTGAAATGAATGCTTCACAGAGCAAATAGGTGACAAAAGTGCCATTATAGCTAGTCTATTCCTTGCCACCACCCCATTTGGAAAAAAAATACACTTCTCTATTCAACTGCTTTCTGCTGAATGTTGGTTGACATACAGTGGTACACAACTGCAGCTTAGGGGATAGGCCATTCCTGGTTAAATACAGTTAACTCCTGGTGAAAGTGGCTCGGTCAAATTTATATCTTTATATGAAGTGTGTAACCATAGACTCTATGGACAACTTGGTTCTGCCTTCTGCGAGTGTACGAATTTGAACATAGATATATAAATGCTAGATTGCTTACACATGCTGGTCTAAGGATGAAATGTTTACAAAATGTTTAATGTTTATACTCTGTGTTTGCACTATGTTTTGCTCTCAAGTTTGCACTAAAGTCTTACAAAATCCAAGATTTTGCACTGCTGCCTGAACCAAATAAATTTTATAAAAGTGACTTGAGATTCAAGCAATTGTTTATTCTTTTTAGTGACCAGGTTTGGTAATTTAGCAGATAATCGCTGTAAAATTATATTGAATGTTATTTGTATTTTAATATTTTATAAACAATAACACAGTTGTGTAAAAATTATATAAAACGCAGCTATGGGTAAATTGCATGAAAATAGGAGACAAAGTGCATACACCAATGAAATCTGGTGGTTTGAGCTGGAGTTGAACAAGCGATGTTCGCATCACAGCGCCTCGTAAGAGGAACTTCTTACAGGCATCTGCTCTACCAACTGAGCCATGAAGGTACTTACAGAAACAACCGCGGAAAACATAGTGGCTGAGAAGACACACTTTGCCAACACAACAATTACAACTACATGGTCAATGAAAAAGGTTGAACAGTTCATACAACAATGAAATCTGGTGCTTCAAGCTGGAGTTGAACAAGCGACGTTCGCATCACAGCGTTTCATACGAGGTACTTCTTACAGCCCACAGCTCTACCAACCAAGCTATGAAGTTGCTTATAGACACAACCGCAGAAAACATAGTGGCTGAGATGACACACTTTGCCAACATAACTATTGGAACAACATGGTCAATGAGAAAGGTTGAACAGTGCATACAGCTATGAAATCTGGTGTTTTGAGCTGGAGTTGAACCAGCGACCTTTGGACCACAGCATTTCAGGAACTTCTTACAATCATGTGCTTTACCAACTGAGCTACGAAGGTGCTCATAGACTCAACCGCAGAAAACATAGTGGCTGAGAAGACACACTTTACCAACACAACAATTACAACTACATGGTCAATGAAAAAGCTTGAACAGTGAATACACCAATGAAATCTGGTGCTTTGAGCTGGAGTTGAACCAGCGATGTTCGCATCACAGCGTTTCATACGAGGAACTTCTTACAGTGCTCTGCTCTACCAACTGAGCTATGAAGGTGCTTATAGACACAACCTCAGAAAACATAGTGGCTGAGACGACACACTTTGCCAACATAACTATTGGACCCACATGGTCAATAAAAAGGGTTGAACAGTGCATACACTAATGAAATCTGGTGCTTTGAGTTGGAGTTGAACCAGTGACCTTTGGACCACAGGGTTTCAGGAACTTCTTACAGTCATGTGCTCTACCAACTGTGCTATGAAGGTGCTTATAGACACAACCGCAGAAAACATAGCGTCTGAGACGACACACTTTGCCAACATAACTATTGGAACCACATGGTCAATGAAAAGGGTTCAACAGTGCATACACTAATGAAATCTGGTACTTTGAGTTGGAGTTGAACCAGTGACCTTTGGACCACAGCGTTTCAGGAACTTCTTACAGTCATGTGCTTTACCAAGTGAGCTATTTAGTTTGCTTATGCCTTTGGCCAGCTCTTCAGGTATAGGCTTGAACACAAACCAGTCTTACAGTAACTACAAACAGGGGGGAAGAAAAAAATCTATTCTGCGTCATAAATTTCCAAAGCTTTGCTGGCAGAGGCAGGATTCTTGACCTATACTGCAGCCTGTCACCAGAGGGTGCTGTTCTCACAGTGGCCATATTCTGGATTTAGGTCTAACCTGAGGGCCAAACAGGGTCAACATTTCACCAAAACTGTCAACCTCCTTTTCAAGAAATATGTAACAAAGACAGCAATGATTTTAAATCATTTTGAAACTCAAAAAAGATTTAAAAGATAAATTTAAAAGCAATCTGGGATAGAAAAATTTGTTTTATTTTTTATTCTATTTTTATTTATCAGTTCAAAAGTTCAGAGCATGATATTAAAAAATAGAAAAATAATGCTTTTAAAGAGCAAATACATGAGGAGAACATTGAAATCAGGTTTAAAAGGTCAAAATATGACTTAAAATGTAAAATTGGAGTATAAAAATGACAAGTCTAAATACTGAGTTGAACAAAATCAAAGCATGAAATAAAAAAATCCAATCATGTTTGACTTGTAATATTGAAATGCAAAATTGAAAACATGAAATACCCCCCCCCCCCCCACACACACACACACACACACACACACACATTCTTGACTATTTATCAAATCTTTCTTACTCTTTAATTTCCCAGATTTGTGTGGCTTATTGAGGACATTTTAAATAATGGTGCTAAAGTTTACACTAATATACTGGAGGAAATCTGCAGACTTCATACTGGTTGGCCAATAATAAAACAAATATTATATGATCTTGTGGGCCAGATATAATTGTTCCAAGGTCCAGATTTGGCCCCCGGGCCTTGAGCTTGACACCTGTGCTATATACAGTCTATGTGTTGAACAACCACAATAAATATCACTTTTTAATCATAGATTTGGGTCGCAGTGATAAGTTTTTTGTTTAGTAAAACGCTTAACATTTCAGAGGGTGTAAGGTTTTAAATCTGTCTGCCCTGGTCCGGCCTCTCTGGTCCGCCCCCCTCATTTCTTGACCAGTTCACTGTCAGGGAGTGTCTCTTAAGCGGACTTGTTTACAGTTCACCCTCCAGACCAGTGGGTGTCAGTAGAGTGTTGTTAACTGCCCTCCTGTCAGCGGAAGTACATCAACGTACACAACGCTGATGTCGCTGACACGTGGGTACACATAAGTTTCGGAAGTCATGCGCTTGTGTCTCTAAAATTAATAAAACATGTCGAAAAGGCAGAGAGCTGTATCAGCTGAAAAGACCGGTCCAGATGTGGAGCAAGCAGAGCCGGAAATCCCGGAGACGAGACGGACCCGCAGCGGCCGCCAAGTGCGCACTCCAGCCGCACTGCTGGAATCAGAAGTCCCGGTAAGGACTCCCACCCGGAGGACGAGGAGGTCTGTTCTCCAGGAGCTGCCGGCTATGGAGCAGAAAAACACGGAGGAGGTAGCACCGGTACTCGAGACTGTGGTCGAGGAGAAGCTTGGAACGCCATCAGAACCAGAACCAGTGTCCGTACCCGCGGAGCCCCGCACTGAGGCTGCAGAAGAAACAGACAGGATCGCCAATGATGATAACGGAGACGTGAATCTGCCTGAGCCCACGCCAGCAGAAACGGTACCCACCACGACCGAAACCGTCCCCAAGAAGAAACCTCGTTTGGGGTCAGGTTTGGGAAATCAAAAGCCGGCTGTGCCGCTTGGAAAACCCAAATCAGGAAGGGTGTGGAAGGACCGCAACAAGCAGAGGTGAGGCCAACACCATACAGCACGTTTTATTACGCACGACAGCAGACTTTTAACCTGAACCCTAGAACATCATCACTATCGCCGGGTGATTTTTACCCGAAATAATATACCCAAGAAAAAGGACTTAAAATATATCAAAATAGAACAATACATGACAAAGTAAAGTAGTTTTCTTTAAATAACTGAAATTAGGCATTCATGAACACACACACACACACACACACACACATATATATATATATATATATATATGTGTGTATATATATTTATGTATATATATGACAGAGAGAGAGAGAAACTGTAAACTTATTGTCTTTTCCACCCATTCCTGGGGCATGTGAGTCCTCCCTGGTGAAGACTCAGGGTCCTTGGCATGCAAATTCCAGGACCACTCCTACTGACCTCAATCCCTACATGCACCTATCAAATCCACCCAAACCCACTTACCCTCTTTTAGGTGAAAATCACCCGAACATGTGCCTGTGGGAAAAAGCAGGTTTTGGATCAGGGAAACAATTATGCCTTTAAAGATGTTCAAGGAAATGCCGAAGCTACCCAGAGACCCATGATACTCAGACAAACACAACAAAATGAAAATCACATAAACATGTTTGGTCGGGTGAAAATCACCCGGCGATAGTGTTCTAGGGTTAATGTTGGGGATGGATATAGCCAGGTCACTTACTATACCCTGTACAAGACAAATGTACAGTGTTCTAACTGTCACTGAGACCTCAACTCCTAAGCAGCTTGGATGAGTTATACAATGTACTGCAAGTCTTAACAGATTTGATAGTTACAAATAATTTAAACCTCATAGTTGATAAAAATGCTTCAAATGTTGAAACTGAAAGATCATGGATACTGTGTCCTCTGTGAGGGACCACCTGGCTTAGTATCAGTGCACATTTCAAAAGCCAGCATCTGTGATGGTGTGGAAATGGCCAAGAGATAGTTTCACAGGTGGCACGTTACATATGAGGGGAAGACATGCCTTCTGTTTCATGGTGTGCCAAACACATATGAGAGACAAATGAGGACGGTTGGTAGGCCAGTGTAGTGTGCGGTGACTCCTACTGCGGAGCAATGCTGTTGTAAAAGGTACAGAATGCGGTTTGGAATTTTCATGCAGAAATATGCATTGTCTGGGAGACTTTGAAAGCTGGATTTATAAGATCACAGGGCAGTTGTCTACTCGGGCCAGAGGGTTAGCTGGATCATGTTTATATTAGGTTTCCTCTTTTCATGGTACAATTTTAACCTGCATTTGTGGATAAAGTCACAAATCAAGTTCATAAACAAAGCTATATTTTGTTTTGTTTGTTTTTAAAATCATGTTGATATAAATGTTTTTATTGTGGCAGATGAATAAAAAGTCAGATTGATTTCCTTGAACGAAATGAGAGAAGCAAAATGCATTTTTGTTGCAGGAATTCATGAGAATCTGTCTTGAATGATCTTTTAACCCTCTCTAGTTGATGTTTTTAAATACATTATATATTTTAGGTTCTCTGCTGTGGTACGGGATAAACAATTGTGCACCTCTTGGGAAAAGAAAATGGAGGCCAAACGAGAGAAGCAGCTGGTGCAACAATACTCTTCACAGCTGAAAGAGGAGAAAGCCAGACAGAAAGAAGTAAGTGATAGCTGTTTTGCTGATTTGAGCCTTTCAGTGGTTAAATACTCTGCACTTCTTGGTGTATTTAATGTTTTCTGGATTTTTAGGAAAAGAGGAAAAGGAGAGAGGACAACTTGAAACGCCGAGCAGAGAATGAACGCAAAGCAGAGATCGTGCAAGTGGTATGTCAGATGTTGTTCACAATAAGTATCTAAGAACGTCTTCTAGAGTAGGCGTACGAAGAATTTATTTTTGCTTTAATTTCTGCTGTCTTATTTTTGTCGCAGATCAAGAACACAGCAAAGATTAAGAGGATGAAGAAGAAACAACTGAGAAAAATTGAGAAGAGAGACACGCTGGCTCTGCTGCAGAAGTCACAGATGCAGAGCGGAAAAGGGGCCAAGGGCCAGAAGAGTAAAAATGTTGACAAAGATCAAAACCAAAAGACTGTGAGATAATTACAAAGCGTTATGTTTTCTAAATCCATGACTCATACTGAAATACAACAAACATTATCGTTATTCACACTTCACAAATAAATTACTGTTTGATGTACTTTGTGTAGTTGTATTTTTTTACTCCTTATCAGACTCTAAAAACCTCTTGTGACTCACTTAGAGCACCATACGTGTGATAGGACTGAACCTTTTCCTGTATGATGTAAGCACTGCTGTGTTGATGGACTGGAAAGCTGCAGATACTGTAGGTTTAAAACTACTGAAATACATTTGAATGGAGATACCTGAATTGTAACCACAGACTGTTAGGTGACATTAAAGGGATATTCCGGCGTAAAATTAACTTGGGGTCAAACACACCCTAACGCTGAGTTAGACACCCACCTTGAGAGATGAATGTTGCCGACCGCTTGCTTCTCTAGTTATACCATATATCATTATTTAATTATTTCCTTGAAGTAATTATCATCATATAAATCATTTTGCACTGCAGACACGGTAGTTCTTCTGCCTTAACATCTCGGTCTGATTGTTTTTCCATGAAGAAATTACCAAAATTTTCTTCCTTGAGCTACGTCACCCCGCTGTAGTCCATAATGGACTTGTCCGAGGTCTCCATACAAACAAGCGGCTGCTGGAAGAGAGTAGGTGAGTTGTGTTTAATCTCTTTGCTAAAGAAATCAGGCAAAGTTAAAAAGATGTTTGGCGGCTAGTGCTGTGGCTGGGACCCTATATGTACTTTTGATGAAGTTAGGTGCTGTTCTGAGCATTATTTGTGCCTATAGAGTGGCGTTTTGGTTGAGGTTTGTTTGTGGCTCCTGAGACCGCTGTGTATTGCTCTCCTGCGGTCGTTACTAAAGTTGGTATAACTACAGAAGCAAGCGGTCAGCAACATTCATCTCTGGAGGGGCTGTCTAACTCTGTGTTTTGGTGTGTTTGATCCTAAATTATTTTACACCGGAATGTCCCTTTAACACAGTTAAATCTAAACCCTTATTCCCCTTTTTCCATCATCCTGCATTGAACACTGACAGCTAAAGCCACTTCTCTTCTATAAGGTGGTATAATGAAGGTATAAACATCCACAAACATGCACATATTTACCCTCTCTTTAGATCTTTTTATGACAAAGGACCTCCTGAAACTGGTATTAGCACTGTTGTGCATGGTTACAGTCGGAGAGGGTCAAAAATTCACTATCTCAAAAAGGAACAAAACACCAATCATAAAAATAGGATTTATCTTACAGAAATGTAAACCTCATGGAAAATGATGTTCATTTACACACTCAGTACTTGGACAGGACTCCTTTTGTGCAAATCACTGCATCACTGTAATGTGGCATGGAGGCAATCAGTCTGTGGCTCTGCTGGAATGTTTTGGAAGTCCAGATTTCTTTGATAGCTACCTCAGCTTGTCTGTATTATTCGCACAGCTGTCTTTCTCCTGAGGATACTCCAGAGATCCTCGAGAGAGTAAAACTAACATTACCCTAGATTCTGTCCCTCTCTGATCCTCCAGACTCTGGGATTTTGATTTCCAAATGGGATGCAAAGTAAACTTTCATCTGAAAACAGCATTTTGTACCACTGAGCAACAGTCCAGTTGTCTTTCCTCTTTGTCCGGGTGAGAAAGGTGACGTCTCTGGTTCAGGAGTGGCTTCAGAGTAGGAACACAAGACTTTTGGCCCATTTCCTGGACACGTTTGTGTTCAGTGGCTCTTGATGAATCAGAGTGAGAAAAGAAAGGCTCAGTAAGAGTTAGCTGATGAAAGCTCTGAAATAACTCACAAGAAACTGGACTTTTCCACAATATTGTAATATTTTGAGACAGTAGATTTTTGTGATCTGTAAGTCCTAATCATCAAGATTCAATCCAAAAAAGTCGTGAAATATTTCAATTTATGGAAATTTAACTTTTTAGTTAGATTCTGAGAAAAGAAATGAACTTTTTGGGGGACATTGTGATTTTTGAGCTGCACCTGTTACTTCACCTGTGACCTCAAACAACAACATCCTTCACATACATTTTTAACATAGCATCTACATAAAGAAATGCATCACAAGATGGCGAACTGTATTGTATGTTCGCCAGAAATAGCAGAGTAAATGTTCTATGACAAAGACACCCTGCTTTTTCTCATACCACAAACTCGACTTGAAACAATCATTGTTTGAGTTTTTCCCGAACAGCTATGGACAGATAACTCAAAATTGTCACTCACACACTGCTCTCTTTGTGTCACACTGTCAGACACCTCCTTTGGCTCGTCAGCAGTCTGTTTGCTTTGTTGGCCCTTGCAGTTGTAGTGGACGTATTAACAAAGCAACTTTTTACCAACTGTGGTGAATAAAATGGAAGGAATGATCATCTGTCATGTATGGAGAGAGAAAGGTGTCTCTCACATCATTATTCATGGCTGTCTTTGACTGTATAAAACCAGCCACAAAGTCAGAGAATGAGCTGACAAACCAGAGACGAGAGAGCTGAAGAGGCAGAGTAACACACAGGTAAACGAAACTTCAGAGACTTTGTGCCTTCTTATGTTTATGTGTAAAAAAAAATAGCTGATAATATGTTTATGGCCTGTGCTTTAGGGAAATCGCTGGACCTTTACCTAAATTCCTGAAGATGAAACCAGGATTTACAATGTTTTTGATGATTCTGACACAGCTCTTGATCATGGGTAAGTAAGAAATTTTACTTCTAAATGACAGCTAACAGTGGAAAAAGGATACAGACCTCTCCTATAATGACGTTTTTAATCATCGATGTACACAGCGTCAGTAACCTCAGCAGACACAACAGTTGCAGCCACCACTGCAGGAGGCACCACAGCGGGTGGGACTGCCACAGCCACTAAGAGTGCGGCTGAGACCACAGCAGCGGCCAACACAGCAGCGACTAACACAGCAGCGACCAACACAGCAGCGACCAACACAGCAGCAACAGCAGCCACAGCATCAAACTCCACCACAAACTCCACTGCCAACACTGCTGCTGTGACACATTCAGGGATCACATACACCAGCAGTCTGATTGTGTGTCACTTCATGGTTCTTCTTTACAAGTACTTTTTTACGGTGTGATGCAGTTGTGTTGCCTTTATCTGTCTATCCAGAGTATATAACTTATGTTGAAGTATGGAGCCTTATAACCATGTGAAGCACTTTTGCTGATGGTTTGAGTAAATCCAAATGATGTATCATGTTAGTGTGGACGAATTAAAGCTCCTTTTAAAGCTGTTGTATCTCAAGTGTGTTTATATTGTCGGAACCTTAAAGTTGATCATTTTTGTTCAGCTGTAAATTAGCCAAACATTTAACATGTTTTTTTTTTCTTTTTTAACTTTTGGGAAATAACTAAAACAACCTTTTTCTCTTTAATAGAGCCAAAAGTCCAACTTGAATAATTACCTGGAGTTGAAAGCCATGATTTGAAGTTTTTTAAGGGTTACCAATTATCATAATATAAAATTACAGTATTTTACTGTTTTAACACCAATAAAAACAACTCAATAGAAAATCAAAGGGGAAAAAGTGATATATTTGAGGTAGAGCCCATACTAGTTATGAAGCCTCTGTTTAGCATGGACACATTTAAAACAGTATTTCATCATCAATTGTTCATCCCTGCCCAGTGACTTATTGTTTGCAACCATAAACTTCTAGTCATACCAGATCTAGCTGCAAATCTCTGAAAATTATAGATATAAATATTTTTTTTCAGAGGACTGACTGGTGTCTTTTGGTTGTGTCACAGCACATCACAGGTCAAGAACAAAATGTACAACATAAAAAAAGTTTCAAAGAAAAGGGGAAAACACAAAGTTCTTTTGTTAAGAGACGCATGTTGACTTGTCATCTGAGGCTCCTCTGTTCAAAGAACCAGGGTGTGAAAAGTGCAACAGTGGGCAGGCTCACATCAGTCACTGGGGTAATGTAGATCCAGGATTTCCCTACACATAAACTTTGCCTGAACTGCTCACTTTAACAGCCATCCTAGTATATATTGCAAACTTTTACATCACGCCTCATTATATGTCAGTGAGATGACACTATGTCCAAAAAATAATGTGAATAGTTAAGTGGGATCAATATTGTGATAAAAAAATTCATTATCCTGTAAACGGGTTAATGCATTCATCTCCTCTAGCTTCCAGGAGACAGTGAACCATCTTGGTACTGAGTCCGAAAAACTCACCACGGTCACATCCTTGATGATATCTTTCAGGAGATAACAAACAAGACAGACCTGACCTTCTGAGGATAACAGAGGCAGATGTCTCCCTCCCATGATGTAACCAGACCCTGAGCCGCTTTTCCAGCCAGGAAACTACTTCAGGACAACCCCAGGGCGGTAATGCATGTATGGTACATACTGTAAATACCAAATACACTCTGACAGCTATAAATCTCACAGTTTAATATAGTCTCCAGTCATTGCTACCATTAAATATTTTCAGATTGCACTAATTAAAGCACAATTAACAAAGAATCTGGAAGTATGGATTATCAGTCTGTCATTTTTGGGTATAAATTATTCCACTAGGTGTCTCTGTTGTGCAGCTGTTTTGGCTTCTTCAGGGTTATATTTCACTTTCAGCAATTTGATTCAGTTTGAACTTTTTCAGAAAAATTCTATGCTGTGTTGTTACCATAAAACATCCAGATTTATTTAGTATAGAAAACAGATTTAAATGATAATATCTCCTTCAGACTGCTGAGGCAAGGGATGATTTGACTTGCAGAATTTAAACACTAGGTGGCGATGTTTCACGTTTTTCAGATGAATCTGGTCAGTTTCATAATATAAGAGTTTTATGGTATTTCTGAGCCCATTTCTGACCTTATAAATTAAGAAAACATTTATGTATCTCATAGGAGGATAAAATATGACATTTCTTAAATCCATGTTTTCTGATGACAAACATTTTGATTTTATGCATGAAAAAAAACAAACAAACACAATTTTCCAAAACTTGGAAATTTTTATTTACAGGTCAAGTCAGTCACATGCAACATTTTCTTAATAAACATGAAATTAGCAAAAACAAGAAAAGAAAAAAAATGCATATTATTTTCTCCAAAATAGCAATATACAAAAATAGAGCTTACAAATACTGTACAGCAATTGTCTCCAAAAATATTCTGCTGCAGAATTCTTAGTTTACAAACAATGTCTGTGAGAGTCCACAAACATAATCAGTGTTAACAAACACAGGAAGGGGGGGTTCCGGAAAATGGAAGGGTGCACAGGTAAAGGTGTGAGGGCTTTACTTGGAGAAAGACAGTGAAGTTATTTGTGAGTTGGAAAGGCTACGCTACCGAGGAATAAATAACACACAATTACGAAACAAGAAGAAAGTTCACTTCAGGGAGGCAGTGATAGAAAGTGAAACTCCTAAAGTGGTCTGGTCGCTAACAGCAACCATGGAAATATAATGAAAGCCTTCATATACAGAGAGGATTTGTTTACCACGTTTTTGTCTCTGTTTTTTTTTTCCTTCTAATAAAACAGCCGAGCTTTGTCGTCTCCTCGCAGAGCTGTGGCAGTCTTATGAATGGCTTCCTGATGCAATCATTCAGACAGATTTGACTTCTATTAACTGTTGTGCCGCATCCGGCTGTCCCATCTGCGATTGTGTCTTGTAGGTTTATAAAGGACTATACTCTGAAGCAGCTCTGACGTCAATGGTGGTTTCAGCAGAGGAGTCATTCATCAATTTATTCATGGCAGAGTTTCACTCTTCTTTTGGCCTTATTCCAAAAGACTGCCTCACCTTTCTCCTCTCCTCGAAAGAATGAGCTGAGACTGATCTGTAAATGTTCACTTCAGGGCGGCAGTTTCAATTTAAAGGGGGGAAGAAACGTGGAAGTTAAGGTGGAAAGGCTTAAAGTGTGTACAGTCAAACACAACACTTAAGATGGCTAAATGGCAGGAAGAGTTCAGCTGCCATTCAGTTTACAGGAAGGACCATTATTTGTGCACTTTTGGTATAAACACACCACTAATGACAATACTGTCTACATAGATTTATCAACGGTGATATCAGTGGCAACAGGACTTTGCAAAGTAGCATGCTTTCATATTAAATCTCCTCTAGTTCATTGCCTTCTCTCTAGAACTTTCTATACAGAGACAATACTGTTAGCAGGAGTAACAAAGCTTTGATACTTGTGATCTGAGCTCGAAAACGTGGGCAGGTATACTCAACAAACTACAGTTTGGATAGTGACAGTTTTTGTCATATCTTTATATAAGTGAGTATGTTCATAACCTGTAACATTTAGTGTGAGATAGAAGGTAAATGAAAACAGTCACAGCCTCATCTTATCAGAAGACTTAGAAGAAAAAGAAATATACTTCACACGTCAGACTGCGGGGGGCCCTTATAGTTTTCTTCAACATAAAGCCATAAAGTCACAAACAGACCGAGATCGAAAAACTCTTCTCTGGTCACAAACTCTTGTGTCATTTTTTGTTCGAATAAGGCAAATGAGGACAATATGTGTCGTGAAATCTTAATCATTTTTCCTTCAGGGATAGTAAAAAGCTGAATTTAAGCCAGCGTGAAAAAGACCAAAATGCTCCAAAAAGAAAAGAAAAACAGAATCTGTTTTTGCTCACATTTCACAATTTACATGTTTTTAAAACTATCCACAACACAGTTTATACCTGCGGGGTTTGGAGGCTGAAGATCCAGAAAGATGAAATGTTCAAACCACCACAGGGGCCACAGTAACAGTGATCTCCTGCCACAGACGCTTGAATGCATCATCGCTTTTTAAACCCATCCATGTGTTAAAATCATGCCACACCTCTACACTCAAAATTCAGAATTGAGGTCAATCAAGGATATTAGATTGTGTTGTTCTTCATTTTATATTTGAACATTTTCATAAAGGTACTTGAGTTAGCTTCCATGTAGATAAAATTAAAAGCTTAATCTTCTGAGTCTTGTGAATGAACTATAAACAACACGAGTCTCTTACATCAGTAGAACACGCAGTGAAGCTTAATTCCCATGGGGTCTTACATATTTACTTGTTTTTAAGTTAAAGTTTGAAGCGCCATTCTATTAAAGCTCCTGTGAGAAATTTTCTACTTAACGCCCTCTTTAGATGCACTGCTGTAGTACCTCGTATCTTTGCTGATTTTGTCCCTTTCGTGTGAAAGTACAGCTGTTTCATGCCTTAAAGTCCCACAGATTTTTTTTTTTACTACTTGAAGTGTTCTCAGTGGTCTTTAAATTGTGATTATGAAGTTTTTAGCCAGAATGACATGACCTGTGTCATTTTCAAGGACTTTCTTCTGCAGAGCTCCAGTAGCTCATTAGCAATTCGCCTCTGAGTCGTGGGCGGAGACAGCGCTGCTCTGCACATTCCTCTTCACACTAACTTGCAGCCTAGCGTTGCCAAAGGAGCTATTCAGCCCGCAGACACTAATGTCTTAAGGGGCATGATGAAAGCTAATATCATAATAAGCTTTCTTACGAGCATAGCAATCCGATACAGCACTTGCTTGTTCCGCAATCGTCCTCTCTATTTCTCTGAATCTGGCCTGCATGGCGGGGCTCAGGGGGTGGAGCTTGGATTTGTTATGTAAGAAATCTTACTGTATGAACCTGCCGTTTGGGTCTGCCAGAGGTTCACAGCGATTTGGATGCAGAAATACTCCGAAATGCATGATATGTCCTGTAGCATCAGAAAAATGAACAAGTAAAAAACAAGAAAATCATGATTTTCATCGGAGCAGGTCTTTAAATTGTCTACTCTGACATCCTCCACTTCACAGTGGTTACAGACATTACAGATTATCTCATAGAAAGTCAATCTTGTTTTCTTTTGTAGGTCATAAATAAGTTTTAATATTGATTTCAGTCCGTTTCAGGCTAAAAACTCCTCACAGAAGCTTTAAAATGGGCCTACCTTTAAGTTTTTATAATAACAGTGTGCGATTGTCATTCAATACTACTTCTCACTGATTAAAGACAATCTCTGACAAATCTCAGGTTCATCACTGAGGCAAAGCTTTTTTTTTCTCCTTTAAAACTGACCTTTTACATCAGCAAATGAAACCCTGAGCACGTGCACTTAGTGCTGCCAACAGAGACGGGGACAAAAAAAGCTAGCCACAAAAGGCAACAGGGATCAGAGTTACTGTATGTGTGGCCCAAAACACAAAGCACCCCTTACCATACAGAGACAGAGAGAGAGAGAGAGAGAGAGAGAGAGGAGAGAGGGGGGAGGGAGAGAGAGAAAGAAAGCACCAGAATCCTGAGGCCAAAAAGCAGAACTACCCTGTTTGTATGTGTAAGTGTGAGTGTGTGTTTGTGTGAGTGTGCCCGTGAATAAAAATGCTGCTTCATTGCAACCTGCTGACCACTGACTCTATAGAGTTGGGGGCCCCTCTCTGTGGTGCATCTGTGAATGTGTTTTACAGAGTAGTGGGTAACACGATCGAGAGATATGCCAATGACTAGTTGAAGGCAGTGTATCAGAGGGGAGGTGGCAGTTGGCATTTGCTCTCTGGCCGTACCAAGAAATGGTGATAAATTAAAAAAAATTATGCAAGAAGGGAACTGAAGAGGGAGCAGAAATAACTGCAGCTGTATACGTAACAAAGTTTAAGTAGGAAGCTGAGCAGCACAGGAGGCAGGAGCCTGCCTCTTCCTGGTCTCTGCCTACATCGAATGTTAGTCGCTTTCTGGCAAGATATGTGAGGTGAAGTCAAGGTAAAGCCACGTTAACATTCACACAGCTCGGCCTCAATAAAGTGAAATGAAGCAGCAGCAGAGCAAAGATAAAACTGGAACATTTGTGTGACATTGCTTTGTTTAATATTGCCTCATTCTTTTTGTTTGTTCATTTAAACAGCTCGAAAGATAAAGCCCCAGGTAATCCACACTAATACTGGTTTATATAATCACAGCAGTTTTCGTTCATTTGAAACTCTTGGGAACTCGTGTTGCATTTTTCTGATAAAGAAAGATCATGAGTAATGTCTGGGATACCCAGGTGTACAAACACCGTGTCAATTCTTTTAAAGAAAATATTTTGTTCACTTCATCAGCTTCCTGTGTTGACAAAATAAGAATAAAAAAAAACAGTCACATTGTGAAGAATGACGTAGATGAGAGAAGGGAACCTTACTATGACTGTAGTGTGAAGATATTTGAGGTTTCAACACATTCAAATCATTCACATTTAGTTAGACATAAAGTCTCCAGGTTGCTTTGAGCTTCATTTTGTGTTTTTGTGCAATTACAACACCGAGCACTGTCCATGTGTCCTGATATCTACCGACATGTTGTCCCTTTAAGATATTATTTTTCGTTTAAAAAAAAAAATCAGTGTTTTTAACATGTGGCTTTGTACTGTACACAGAAATAAAAATAAAAATATAAAAATGACCTTGCTACTACGATCACAAGCAATTAAGGTTTGACTTCTCATAAAGTGCTTGTTAAAAGAACAATTTGTATTTTAGTGTATTGTAGTTCTTGGCTTTTGTGTTTTTTTTTTCCTCCTGGTCTTCAGCTGGTGTCCCCAGAAAGTGCTTTGGTTGTGAAAAAGTTTTTGAGGGAAACTTCTTCTATGTCAACTCTTCTTCATTGTCCAACAAAAAAAGGAAGATGAAAATGAGAGCGTTATCAGTCTGAACTGATATCAGGGAGTCATTGAGTGAACCGGTGCCAGGAAAACAGAGGTGATGATGGACGCAGATTCACCGTTTTTGTGAGAAACTGTGCAGTAACACCAGTTTATTTCTTCTCTGTCCACAGACTCATAACAAAGTGTACCTGTACAGGTGGGAGCATGAGCCGTTGGCTGCGTGACTGCGTGTTTCTGTAGTGTAGAATACGTCAGGGTTTAGGAGTCCACTACACCAGGTGCTCGATGCCGGGAAGAGGCTGCTGTATTGGCACTGGGGGATCTGAGCTGCCGGCCTGCTGGGCGAGCTGCAGTACGGGCATGTTGCACAGCGGGCACACTTTCCTCACCTCCAACCACTTAATGAGGCACCTGGAGGATAGAGTCAGCAGTGAGTGGGCGGTTGAGATAAGGTGGACAGGGAGACAAATAGAAGGGATCAGAAAATGTAAGCTTCTGTGAGCTTCGACAAATTCACTACTTGAGCTTTTATAGAGGAACATACACCAGACATTCTCAAAATTCTGTTATAGATAAAAATGTGATATACACTTTGAAAATATTGATAATGTTAAGACATCATTAGGGCTGCAACAATTAGTCGACAAAAATAGGTCAACTATTTTTACCAGACATGTTTTTTCCAGTGGAGTGAGGCATCTTACTACTTTAAGATCTCTGCCTAAAGTCAACACGCGCAATAGTGTCTCCGCCGAGCTGAAGGGTATTGGAACATGGCGGTGCTGGCGTCCCATACAGCAGCTACGAGTACACGCTTAAAAACTTCCAAAGTTTGGGAGCACTTTAACTTAGATAAGTTCATAATCATCATAATTAAGATAAATTTATAATTAACCGATCAGTCAACTAACCCACAATTTGCACTGCATCCGGAACGGCTGCGAAAAGGCAGTGTGCGCCAATCGCAGCCGATCATAACCATTCAAGTTAACGTGTCAATTTCCACCGGCTTCTTTCCGTTCCGCAGCAGATCAGCAGACTCCGCAGCCAATCGCAAGAGTTTTTTTTTCTGGATGCTGCAGCATGACGTAGCATAGCATAGCGGAGCCGTTCCGGATGCGATGGAAATTGGGGGTAATCGTTTCAATGTTCGGTGAGTGGATGACTATCAATACAGTCGTTAGTTGCAGCCCTAGATATCATGATAATCTATTCAGTTTTATTACACAGCAATGTCCTTCAGTCAGTTGTGAAAGACGAGTCCACTAAAGAAACAACTTTAAACTTCAGAAGCTTCTCCTTCACCCTATGCTTCAAAACCCAAAAAAGGTTTTGTGAGGACAAGTCAGAAGTCAGTGATGGTCCATCCATCTATCTCTGTCTTTGCCCACATGCCAACTGAATCACACGATCAGGAGGAGGAAGCCGTTCAGCGTCTAAATACAGTAACTGTGTCAAATTCACACGAGGCCACAAGTTTAACAACCACATCCTACGAGCAAGCTTAATTAAGTGCACGGGTCAAACATGACATGATCTGTCACATCAGCATTGCTGTGAGCTTACTCTGCTCTACAACTGTGTGTTACCACTGTCAGTTACCATCACTGGGATAGAGGCGGTTTGTACCCTATCAACAACTTCTGTTCTCTGGTTTTTATATCACTCTAACTAGTTTCCTGGGATGGAATCAAATACACAACTATTCCTGACAATTGTTTGGGTTTAAGCTACTTTTTCAAGCCATTATGCAAAAACTTCTTAGTCATATGCTCTCTGTACTTAAATATATTGTTTTTTACTGTTATTTACTGCATCAATTAAAAAAGCTGATCTGGGGATAAATCAATAATGATAATCATACTAAAGTACAGCTTTTGGAATAACATGTAAATGTGTAAAGCTGTCTATAAAAAATCCCCAGAAAATGATTTTTAAAAGTACAGAAATGCATTTATTCAGTCAAAGATTTTGACCGAGTTGGACCTCCACTCCAAATGTCTGTGTCTCTCTGAAACAGCTTGGCTTTACTTGCACACACTCTAAAAAGGAGTGTTTGTACAGTGGATTCAGTGAGTGGTCACCACTCTTGCTGCAACTGGGGGGAAAGTAGGCCAAGGGAGGTGTCGTGCTGATATAAACAACTCAGTTGAAATGGTCAGGGCACGGGGAGTGCGTGAGTGGAGGGGGGTGGTGAGTGGGCTCAAACAATCATTCATGTCCCGTACAGTTTATACAAACTACACAAATAGTTTCAGCACAAAGGTCATAATTACTAACTTCCTCTCAGTGTGAGACCCAAGCATGAACTTCGTCCGTGCAGTTACTTGACCACGACTATGCTTTGGAAAATAATAAACTACTTCTGTGCCTATCAATCTGTCCCTGACCCACATATGCTAATTTTGCAATGTGTCTGTGTTGAAACCTGTCCACAATGCCAAGTGGACCACATACTCACTTTCTATGAAAGGCATGTTTGCACGGACAAATCCCCAGCTCGTCTTTCTGCTTGAACTCCTCCAAGCACACTGCGCATATCTGTAAGAAAAAAGTGAAGATAAAGGGTTTGTTTTTTCTCCTGAGGGAGGCAGTGCAGAAAGCTTGACTTTGGTAGTTACTCTCTTAATGCTGAGTTTGTTTACTTCTTATCTAAGCTCTGTGTTGAAGGAATGAAAATATGTTATCCTTACAACCAAGGTCAAGAACTCTTTTACAAAGACCACTGTGGCCTACATCTGTGAAGCATTTGACACAAATTCTAGGGCGGTGACGGACCAGCTATGTTTTGTTGTGCAACACTAAACTGGTCCCCAGTGTGTGTTAAGTCAGTCTGTGTCTGTATTCCTCCTTCGGTCACAGCGTTTTGTTTCCGAGGACTCAAATATCTGCTGAAAAATGATCTTTTCTCAGCTTTTGAATTCTAAGTATGAGTCTTAAAGAAGATTAAAGACAGATAAAGGAAAACAGTGAACAGCACACATGATCAAAAAGAGAAAAACTACAATTCCAGTCCAGCTTTTTTTCTGTCCGAACTGATAAAACTGCACTGATAACCTTGGACTGCATCTCTGGCTGGCCTCCTTTTTAAGGGTCACTAATGCAATCCTGATCGACAAGTCAGAAGAGTTTGTCTTCTCGTGTGTTTGTTTTACACACAAACACATGGACAAACACCCAACCACACGTTTGACACGCGTGACTCTCACAGGTCGTGAACTCCCCAGCCATCGCAGGCTAATAGTTGCAGCTGAGCAAATTTACACCATAGTGCAAAACGTGGAAGGGAGGTCTTAATCAGCTGCTACATTTTTGAACTCTGAACTTGAAGATTCAGCCAGCTGGCTAACTTTGGAAGACTGTTAATTCTACAACAACACCAAACAAATCTTTTTAATCGGCCTGTTGAGTCAGTTTTTTACTGTCAACACCTGGCTACTTAATCACTGTTGTGCTAACCTGTATTTATATATACTGGGCTCGGCAGTGCGACCATTTCACTCGCATTTGCAACTAAAAATAGATGTGTGCGAATTGTAAAATGTATTGAGGGGCACGTGTGCACATAAAAAAAAATCAGCCGAAGCAACAAAAGTTTTTTTCACATAAATACTGTGGTGAAGTTAGTTTTAGGTTGGCTATTCGATGGACATTCACTGCGGATCTACCAGTGTCTTCTCACTCTCCATAACCGGGAATAGCAAACTGCGCGGCAAAGTCTACTCGGCACCCTCGCTGTAAACGTTGGGTGTTGAATAAGGGACCGTCGATAAATTACCGGTTGATGTTCTCAGAAACGGGCTGTTTTCCCTCAATCACTTCCATGTCATGTGACCAATTGACCTAAAATTGATTTCAAATAATAGTACCAAGGTCGGACAATAAGACACACCTCTATTTCCCTCATTTGTCCTCTAAAAATGTTTGTGTTAAATTTAAAGGTAAATTTTGAACATTCTGTTAAATAGCTTCCATGTCATGTGACCAAAAGACGTAAAATTGATTTCAAATACTAGCACTTACAATAACACACATTATTTGTCAATTTTCATTGTGCCCCTAAAGTTAGTGTCAAGCCCTGATATATGACAGATATTAAAATTTGCCTGCTGATGACTAGCAATCCAGTGGATTTATTTTGCATATTCTTGCGGTGGAAAGTACCCAGACCTCACCACAGATCATTCCACCTCCAGCCTGATAATTTACCCTGGCTGTGTATGCCTGCGGGAACACTACAGTCACTCTTGTCCATGTCACTACATTATCCATTCGGTTGGGATGGCTACACAAAGGGGGAGAGTAGTGTGAACCTCTCTGTCAAAGTCACAGCTGGCTGGTGAAAAGAACCAACAGACCACCATCAGAGTAACAATGACAACACGACTGTGCAGAGGTAAGCAAACAGGTCATATTTGAACAACTGTTGGAGAGCCATTTCTTATTCAAACCTAGTCTAGACAGGCTGTCCTTGACTAAACTGTATCCAACCAGGGGATAACACCTAAGTCAAAGAGTTTTAATCTGGCTTCCTGGTTTTTGGCCTGTTTAATCCTGAAACAGTTCCTCCTTTGGCCCCACAGATTCTCTTTTACCCCGCTCTACTTTACGGGGCCTGGATGGACAAGCAAGGATGAAAAGAACAGCATGGGAGCTCTTAGCTTTTCTCCTGATGAATTCGGGGCGCAGGACAATCCGCCGTTAAGATGTCTGCTTTGCTCTCTTTGCTTGTGAATAGATCAGTGTTTTTGTACTTTTTAGAGCCTTGTCTTAAAAGCCACAGCCACAGTTGGATCTGGCACCCTTCGCCAACTCTTGACAGAACCTTTTTCTCCCCATTAAGTGAATAAACCCTGAAAGCCTTTGTTACTATCTCCTTACAAAAACACAAACTTGATATTAAAGAAAGCGGTATCACCAGATCATGGACCTGATCAGAGAAAACTCATTTGAAAATGCCAAGCGCACGTGTCGGGATTTATGTTATATTGTCAATGTAAGGTGGAGTGAGAAACAAGACGAAAAGCCTCAGAATTATCTGTAAACACGTTTTCTTTTGGTCTGGACGAGCAGCAGCTATCTGAAGTGGATGCCAAGAACAAACCCTGTTTGCATCTCATCATACTTTTGGTGCTACTTTTCCACTTAATTCACCCCTTCACTCCACTTATTTACTACTTCCTGTGTTTGAAACGACATTAGGGAAAGATTAACTCTGGCCTGCTGAATCTGTGAATCTCCATCTACTAAATTCCTCTTCATGAGCCGTGTGACCAGTTGCATCTAAAAACCTGCACTTTGGAAATATGGCGTGCGATACAGAAGGGCCAACTTCAAATTCTATTCATTATTTCGCAATTCCCATTGAGTATTGAAAACACTCTGAAGTCCTGCAAGCAACATAAACAGTAATAAATAACTTTGGTGGTGTCGACACAATCAGAAAAATAAAAATGCTGGGGATCAAACTTAATTGTGGACTGGATGAACACAACGCATTAATATCTGTAGATCTACTTTAGAAATAGGGATATACCAAAATTGTCAAGGTATGTTATCAGGCTGATATATCGCATAAAAAGATTAAAGTTGAAAATTTACAAGATTAGCAAGTTAGTAAAGATAGGCTGAACTGAAGTAAAGCCAGTTTAACTTTTTTAATTTGTCAGCTCAAAACAAATCCCAACTTCATCTGCGTGTTTTAATTTTCCCTTATTGCTTTTTTAAATAATAAAACTAAATTAATAAAAAACTTGACTTTGGTTTTCCTTTAAAAAACAACTGTTTTATATACCCATTAACTACTTGTTCACCTGCCATTGAAACCAAAGACACTGCTTTGAAACCTGAATTCTTCACGTTAAAGTCTTACATCGCCCGTGTATGGGCTAAACTCAGTGGGAGGAAAGGTTTCATAGCCAAAATAAAACTGGTCGGATCAGGTTAGACAAACTTTAACCTGACCAGTAAACTGATATCATATTCGCTCTCCAAGTTCAGGTATTCCACTAAATCCTGGATTGATTCTGCGCAGCTGAGTCTTTACTCATACTCCAACCTTCAGGGTGATACTCTGGCGTGGGAGCCTTTAAAACTGGGTCATCCACCCAGGCTGCTGTGTGTGTGATTATTGTTGTCCTTAAACAAATACAGCTTGGTTATTCAGTCACAGTTTCACATGACACCTTCTGATGCTTTCCTTCAGTTTCTCATAACATAAACAACAAAAAAGGGGGCCTCCCGACACAGCGGGGGAATTCCAACTCTGATGACAAGAAAGTGTTGTGCCCGTGTTGGAGTACACATGAAGATGCTATTGTGAAGATTTCATTTGCTCGACGGTGTTAAAAGGATCATGTTCTTGGCTGGGGGGACTGCCGTGTTTTCCAGTGCTGAGCTGGTGCAGCTGCTTTTCTACTGACTGCTGCTTGTATTGTTTCAGCCAGGCTAAGCCAGAAAAACAGCATTACATAATAATGCTAAGGACATAATTCATGACTAAACCACACCACGCTAATTTTCAGAGGGCAGTGTCAAGACTGATGCAGCTATTATCAAATAGCTGAAATGTACATCTCATCACTGTTACAAAACCAGATAAAGCAGAGATAAACTCAAAACGAAAGATGTGTGGAGTACAACTGTACAAATTCAAACATTTCCAAATGTTCCTTTTTGTTCAGACATAGGCCTTTTAAATTAATGGACTGATTCATCCCATAAAGAGAGTGCATTAAAGGGTTTCTATGCCACCAAGACGACAGGAAGCAAATAAGAGTGACCTGAGAAAATGTCAGACATTATCTGTGATAATTGTAGCCTGTGTACTCGTCGGGTTACATCACAGAATGTTCCTCCTTATCAGATCGTTTGTAGAAAGACAATGTTCAGGACAGAAGCGAAAAAGAAAAAGAATGGGTGCTTACCTCATGCAAATTTAGCTCTTTCACTTTTTCTTTCTGAATGACCTGGAAGGCACAATAAGACAGGAAGATATTAGTCATGGTTGAAACACTAACAATGTAATACTGTAAGAGAACAGCGCCCCAGGAGAAATAATTACAGCTTAATAAATAAGTGAGGAAAAAAACACCACAAAGGCTGATGAGGGAGATTAAATTGATATTATTAATGTTATTTTATAGCAAATGCGTGTGTGGGGATTGGAGTGTAGGCTGTTTGTGTGTGTGTGCTACATAAGCTCTTCAGTCTTACATAAGCCAAGAGGAAGCTGAAAAACATCAGTACATTAGTTGGCAGGTATAACCACCTTAAAGGATAAATTACAGACACAAGGGTTCCCGTAGTATCTACTGTGACAGTCTGTGTGTGCACAGGCACACGTATACAAACGTGTTTCATGTGGTACCCAGAATAGGCACTCATTGGTATTACATAATTAAAGAACATGGGAGTCATGTTTATGCCCTTCATCGCTCCTTCTGACTGGCTCTGCAGGCGACACTTCACTGACATACTCGGTCTCAGATTAGTGTGAATCTGATTTAACCAGCTGAGCAGCTTTTCTCCACTCAGCTGCAGTAAAATCTAGAAATTTTGAGCTTGAGTTATATTTTCTGAATTAATTTAGCACTTTTAATACAGCAGAAGAGTCAGGACACAAATACATGCACCAGAAAAAACGATGTTTAAGGACCAGTGGACTTCAAGTATACAGAAAGCATACTTTGACTCACGATCTACTTATGGCATCAGACACAGGACATGTCCTTGGCCCTTCTCCTTTGGAATCACCTGCTTGTCAGGGATTTCAAACAGTAGGCTTAATTTTCCTTTTTGGGAAAGTCCACAGTCTGGTCTAGCTCAGGCTTGGACATCAGTTATGTTGCTGTGTGCTCAAACTGCAGGGGACTGCACTGTCATCAGCGTTAACATATCATCAAAGTAAAAACCTTTATCTATCTGGGAATTTTGGGGTTTCTGTCTCTAAGAGGATCCTGCCTGACTCCAACTGCTAAAATGTTTTTTTTGGTTGTTTTTTTGTTTAACCAGATAAGTTCCACTGAGGATAAAAATCTTTTTAAAAAGGGAGACCTGGCCAAGACAGCACCAAAAGCACAAATCTTACTTTGATTGTCATTGATATAGCTGTAAATGTTAATCTTTGAGCTTTAACATCCCAATAACAAACATCATCAGCCTTTCCATGTTCTTCTCAGTATTGTTGTTTCATCTTAATAGACAAATCAGTCGATTGTCATTCTCCGCCTTAGAATATCATGCTTTCTTTCAGCAGTGTTATCAGCACTGTAACCACAAATCAGCTTTATCTCCTGTGGTTGTTGATGTTATGTTTGCTTGTCTCTATTAATCTCTGTCTGAATCTCCCTCCCGCCCACCATTGAAGCCAATCACAGCCACAGCAGATGGCTGCTGAACACAGACCTAGTTCTGCTCAAGGTTTATGCCTGTTGAAGATGCACTGTATAAAAATGAGTGGCATTTAACAGAACAGGCTTTGTATAAATGTTACATTCACACATGTGTTTAACTTCTTCTATAACTTCTATTAACTTACACCCTCATGCTAGTACAGAAGCACAGAGAGGACAAACTAGGACTGGCCAATAGGGATTGTTGTACACTCAAGAAACTGAATTGGTAGATGTTTCTTTGAGTAAACCTGACAGCAGGTACTTCTGCTTGAAGGCTGTTGTTACGAGTGGAAGTTCTTAAACAGAAGGAGCGAGAGCAAACAGTATTTTGATCTTGAATAGTCCCATATTTTCTAAACACTGTACCTTTAAAATGATTTTTTTCTTTCTTTCTTTTCTTTTCCTTAAGTGTCTTGTAACATGCACAATGAACAGCCACTATACAAGTAAAAACTGTAGTTAAGACCAATATGATAAATACTACTGTGTGTGTTTTTACTTACTTGTTTGTATGCATATAGTTCTTTGTGCGCCTGGTGCCGTAACCTGCGGAGATGTAAAGACAAAATATCTTTTTGATTAGTTTTTGACCTCTTTTAAATAACAACCACAGAAAAACACAAAGATGTAAACATTCTGAAAAAGGAGAAGATTCAGTAAGTAAGGATGTTTGTCTCGTCAATACTGACCATCTGACCCCTGTCCTAGCCTTATTTTGGTACCAAATGGGTGTTTTAATAGATTTTAAATTCTGAGCTGATGGTCCTACTTCAGATTTGAATAAATACTAATTGGATTAACCAATTAGAAAAAGGGGGTAAAATGTAAGGGGAAAAGAACAAACAAATAGAGACACCTTTCAGAGTTTGGTGGAGTTTTTGTCTTGCTTAGTAAAGCAGCGTTGTTATGCATCAACGGATATTGTTTGAAAGGTCTCAGACTGTAGTTTTTATTCAAGACAAACAGAGGTACCATCAAGTAAAATATCAACTCACAGTATTCCTCAAAAACAATGATATAGACATGTAGATAGACATGTACATAAAAAGAGAATATGCAAAGCTTTAACCAATATTCTGAGAGTTTATATACAAACTCTAGCCGTAATTCTCAATAGGCATTGCTCTTGTAAATGACCAAAACAAAAGAAAAAAAACTTAGCAAACAGAGAAAGAACAGAGAGAGCACTGGAAAAAGAGAGGATCTAAAATCTGAGAATAAGAAAACAAAAATGTAGAAAACATTGAAACATCACAAGAGCAATAGAGAAAGGAGAAAATCATAGGACTGTAAGATTTACCTCCATAATAAGTAACCTTAACCTCTCGCAGCAGAGTGAGAGGGATCTGTAAAACAAGCAGCACAGTCTAGGAGAGAAACTGACATTTTCAAAGAGGTCAGCAGGAAAAGGTGCAGAGACTCCCAAGGGTGGGGGGACCATTTGTTGGGGTTGTGGGGTGACTGACGTGGGTTGCTACTTGCTAAGTGGCCAGTAAGTATAACGTCAAAGAAGGCAAGGCGAATTTGGCATTTATTTTCAGCATTTATTTCCCTCTGACATCACTGTGGAAGAGCTGAACATCTGTTCAAATGGTTATCATTGAACTGCTCCTAAATCAGTTGGCAGGCACAAAAGATAATGATCAAGATATTCTTGAGGAATATCTACGCTTTAGTCAAACGATCAACCACTTAGAGTGACGTCAGATGAAAAGGGTAGTGGTGGTCCATAACTGACTGAAAAATGTCAAACAGGTTTCTAAATGACTCTCTGTGGGATTGTGGGATTTGCCTTTTAGCATATCAGCTTGCTAAACATTCATGAACACTAGCTTTAAGTAACACCTTGTGGTCAAGACATACTTGCCAGTCTTTGCAAAGTGTGCCGCACATTTCACACTTGTGTGTGCGTGTGTGAGTGCTGTGAAGATCCACTGACTGAGATGGTTGCGTATTTCTGTGAGAATCTGACTGGTGTCCGTGTGTGTGAATGTGAATGCTTGTTGTCACACGTCAACACTAAAGGAAATTCTTCAGTGCACTTATTCACCTGTCTGTGTAAACATTAGCAAAGATGCTTACTGCACAAAAACTCAAGTTATACATCAAACTGAGCTGTAGCATAACATCTGTAACATGTCAAAATCAATGTAGTATGTCAATAAAACTTTTAACTTGATCTATACGAGTCATACAAGACGGTGCATGCATTGGAAGTCCTTTGGGAGACTGCATCTTTAGATGCCTTTTATAGAGCAAAATCGCTCTTTTTACATTTCGTGACAAACTTGGCAACCTTGACTCTCAGTATTTAATCATGGTACTGCATCAAAGTTTGTTTTTGTTAAATGAGGAATAGGTGGAACACAGTATTACCTACTTACCATTTGCCCTGCAAGATAGGATAGGACAGGGTGGCGAGGGGTGAATTTGTTGGAAACTGCTGCTTCTGGCTGTCTTAGATAAAAAAAATGGTGGACATCATTTTTGCTCACTTCATTGCTGCTGGGAGAAAACCCAGCAGCAGCAGCAGCAGGGACAACTAAATTAAACCATTGGGGTTAAAAAGGGCATGAAGATGACTAGTAACAATTTCCACTTCTCCTTTATGGGAATCAGTCACTGGTTTATACACTAGATGTAATTTATATAAACACATACTCTACCTAAAAAACACTTCAACCAGAGAATAGTAATTGTTGCAAAAGAAAAACTGAAATGAGCAACCAAAAGTAAATCCAATAAATATCTTAAAGTTCATTTGGTCTTATTAAGAATGTGTGGAGAGCATAAAAGAAACACAATGGCTCCTCAGAGCAAGAACAAACCTAAGCCTACTCTCTTTGACGCAAAGTGCCATGATCATAAAAAATGTAGATAAGCAGCTGTGGATGACAGCCTTGGAATATTTCTGCGGACTGTTCAGTTAGAAATTTTGCCAATTGTAGAATCAAAGCAACCTTCTCCAAACTGTGCTGTTGAAAAATGTTCTCATCTCTAACAATCAGCTAGAGAAACACAAAGTAACACTTTCTTAACAAAAGAAAAATAAAAGAGAGGAAAACAATTACTCTTACAATTCAACCATGGAAAGAAGCCACTGTGACCAAGTGCCATACAGTTTGTTGGATGGAAACATGAGATCAAAGGATCACATAAATAGTGGTATCTTCTTCACTCTACTTGCTCATAGAAGTACAGGATGTTTAAAGCTATTTTACACCACAGAGCCTTTTTTGGACAAAGCTCTCTGAATTTCAAATGGAATTTTCGGTCGAGTGTCCAGGACTAATTCTGCGTTCAAGTTACCTCGGAAGTCAGATGTCGGAGCTGAAAATGAGGACGCACCTGAGTAACCAGCGTCTCAGTAACCGAGTCAGACGAAAAGCAAAATCGGAGGCGGAAACAAGATGGCTACATCTACGAAAGTTATTTTAGCGCTTCCCTTGTCCTTGCTTATATTCGGACAAGGCAAGCGCTAAAATATCTTTCAGGTGTGACGTCATTCCCATCTCGGACATCTGACTACTGAGGTAACTCGAATGAAGCATAATTAGCCATCTCTTTTATTTGAACTTTTAGAAGTTTATTTGTTTTTAAATATATCCTAAAACTACATCTTTGCCCCTCCAAAAACACAGTTACTGTTAGCAGTAAATATGCATCATAAAGGATGCATTGTGTAACTTGTTGTCGGCTATTTGGATCAGGTTAGAGGAGGTGCATGTAACAGAGAAACTGTGGGGTGATATGTTAGTCCGCAAGCTGTAATTAGCTCGCACACTAACTCAATTTAACTTTTTCTAGACCTGTTCCCAAAGACCGGGCAGTGTCATAAAAAGTTTGTGAGCACACAGAGAAACAGTTGCAGTGACTTTTACAGGGCACTCAGAGTGCTCTGTATATCACAAGCCTGTACTGTTTAACATGTTACTCGTGTCGCTGCTTCAGCCAACCAATTATAAACTACATAGGGCAGGACTGATCACCCAGGTAGTCAGAAAAAAAATAGATGCAGTGTATGAATATTTAGATAAAATCTATCAATTGTTCTTGTTTTAACTTAATATTCATGAAAACAAATGTTCCCAATGTTCTGTTTTGTTTGAAAATAAAAGACTGTGTGCAATAAAAAGATAATGTTGTATTTTATCCAGAGTCCCAGACATTTCAAAATAACACCTTTCAGTGTGCTGTTATTGCAATGCCACAATTTCTTGAAACTGTTATATTTTTGCTTTAAGTGTCTAATCAGTACAAAACTAATTCTGAAACAACTTTTGTTGAGATGTTGCACCCAGAAAACAGACTATGTTTCCTTGCCAAAAAACTGCTGTATGACACTTACTGTCACAAACACTTACAGCAAAGCAACACCAAACAACACAACGCCTTAGCATGTCCAAGTCTGGAGATTAAAAGTGCATTTCTCTTACCTTATTATGTAGCAGCAAAAGAGGAGGCTGAGGATGAAAACAAAGATGGCGGTCCCAAACACCACAATGTAGATATTGAGGGGAAGGTTCTGGAACCCTATATTTGGCATCCTGAAACTGTAGTGCGGGAAATCGGAGCTCATGGATAGTCTAGATGAAAAGAGACAAAGAAGGTGTTAGTACTAACACACACTTAAGCACAGTTTGTATACAAAACAAAGAAAGAACTGGTAACAGGGCAGGAAAACTAAAACTGAAATTCGAATTCCCCTTAAACGTGTAAGTTTCGCTTTCGATATAAAGTGTAACATTTTTCAGGTTTCTGATTTATGTTTACTGTTAAATGAAAGTGTTGTGGTTATAAGGATGCAAACAGGCCTAACTTTAGGTGACATGTTTGGGTGTATGCTCATTAATATTCTGGGTGGGAATCACTAGTGGATACGATATTATTGCGATACTTGGGCCACGATACGATATTATTGCAATTTTTAACATTTTGCAATACAGAAAGTATTGCGATACAATATATTGCGATTTATACAATTTTTTCAACTGTTAAGCTAATTTAGCATTTTCCTCTTTGTATTATTTACGCAGTATTTTATTTTCATGTAGCACATTTTGCAAACCTTACATATATGTTTGTCATACTAACTTTCTCCTGCTCTATGATGTCTCCTCTGCCAACCTCACTGGACAAACAGTTGATTTTATTTCTTCAGTCATCACTGATTTGACTTCATATTAGCAATTAATTTGAAAAATCGATACTTAGAAAATGAGACGGTACAATACGTCACCAAACAAAATATCGCGATACTATGCTGTACTGATTTTTTCTCCCACCCCTAATTAATATGCCACAGAAAATATTGAAATATTGCAAGAACTTCAATCAACATAGATAAAAATCCAAGAAGAAAACATCTCCACAAGACAAAGAAGAAACATTGAGCTGAGGAGGAAACACAGACCTGTTACACCTCTCTTCAGAGTACTTCTGTTTAAAAATAGCTATTACAGCACTCTCATAAACTGAGTAATAGCCCTGAGTGGAGACTTATGCCATTATTTGACTCTCTTAGCCAAAGTAGAAGTTTACTGGGCTTAAACATTAAAATATCATTAAAATAAGGTGCAGATAGTTGAAGAGAATTACGCATTTCAAGCCATTTCTAACTAATCACCCCCCTCCCTATGGATTCAATGACCCTGTCTGCACAGCTGATGTACAACACTGAAGCTGGTAAGACACTCAAAACTCTGAGAGCAGGACAATTGTGCAATGCATGTCAAGAGGCAACTCTCACAGGAGACAAAGAGTGGCATTGGAGTGAGTCAGGTGCCTGAGTCAGGGTTTCGACTTCAGCGGTTATATTTATATTTAAAAACTTGCCATAGTCAGTTAATTTCTGGATGCATTTACCCCAACTGTACAAAGCAAACCTTTCCAATGCAATCCCAAAGTGTTAAGAAAGATGTAGCACGTGCCTTCTCTGAGACACACAACTGTGTTGTGGCACTGTGCCTTTCAGGGGAACCGTGGCTGCTCGAGTACACGTGGAAAGGATTGGTGAGAAAAGGGTTTTGATCTGTGGTGGTTAAACGCTCTACATAAACAACATGCATTCACAACAGACAATTCTAATGATTTTGATCTGTTAGTTGTGATCTATAGTTTTCATTTAAGCTGGAGGCTGGTTCGTACAACATTATACAGCCTTTTTTTATAAACAGAATGAGTGTCCACAGAGAGAGGGTTCTGCTTCTCGTTTTACAATTTAGGATAACACTCTCAGTTTCACAGCACACTTGCTCATATTGGATGAGAACACCAAGAAACTTGCTTTAAAACAAAAACTGATTCATGAAATCCAAGTTTCACCAACAAGGCTCTAACGGTCAAGAGCTCTTATACAATATACCAAAGGGACATGACTAGACATGTCTTTGCCCACCCACAGGAGTGGGGGAGGGGAGGACAGGAATAACTTTACTCCTTTGGGAACCTCGTCCTGTAACCTCCTCCTTCTCTAAACACCAAGAGATTCATTCTTCCTAACTCCTACAGAAAGAGGAAAGTTTTGTTAGTTCTGTTGAGGCCACTGAACACCCTCTGCTGCTTATGAAAACACCATATGTGCCTCGCAGTCCATCTTCGGTGTCAAGGGTATAGCAGAGCTCTCTGCATTGTCCTCAAAAATCCTCTTATGACATGATTCCAGAGAATATTCACAGTCGCTGTGAGCAGAGAGCTCAGTGAGGATCGACTAGACAGCCACTGGCTGATAATATCACAGAACAGGGCTGTTAAGATTGACATTTGATATTCTTCTGCCTCTTTTTCTTTACACAAAGAACAGCAACAACACGCTGTCAACACGCTTACGTACACATATTAGACCAACAAACCAACAACCTATCTTTCATAGTGTTTAATAAAATGAGAACAGAGACTTCAGAGAAGAGAGAACTTCTGACATGTTTTGCCGAAACTGCAACCCCAGGGGCAGACTCATCAGCCAGACAGTCTGATGGTCAAGAACTGATGGTGACCACCCCCCCTCATTGTTATCTATCTATCTATCTATCTATCTATCTATCTATCTATCTATCACTGCAGCTGACCTACCTACTCTTCTCCACATTAAGAATCTACAGGAATTGATAAGAGCTTCAATAAAGAACTGGATCAATAAGAAGACTTGGAGTGGCAGTGGTTTTAATACAGCTGAACAATTCCCATTCCTACCCCAGGGCACTAAGGATGGGATTCTGGCTCCCAGCTCGACACTTAACTATGCACAAATGAAAAACTCATGTGCTGCGGTGTTCAGGATGAGGAAGAAATGTCAAAAAATACTTTTGGTCATGGTCTTGAAGGTCCTGTGAGAAATTGCGGAGGTTTTGGTTCTGGCACCCTTTCAGAATAAGCAGTACCTCTTTTCTCTTAACTCATTGTGTCCTGTACATTCAAGCTTCAGTGAAATAAAAAGATAACTTGTGTATCACAGTATTATATTTATCTTTTATCAGACTTGACTGTAGATGGTTAAAAAAATAAGAACTGGTGTGAACCATGGTTGATGAGTGGCAAACACACTCAGTGGTGTTTATGCAAAAGCCCTCAAGCTAAATCATGAGCTGGTCCTTGAGTGTCGTGTTAGTGGGTCGCCTCCTGTTGACTTGTTTGGATCACAGCCTTTTCTCCTCCTGTTCAAAACACATGTCCAACTGAGGACCTCTTCAGCCCTGGACTCTGATTTCTTGCTCTTAACTGCAACAATCTCTGCTTGTTTTCTAAACACACAAAAATGCATGCTCTTCCATGAAAGGTAATGAAAAGTTTCAATGAGATGTTTGTCACTGCTATATGCTGCTAAAACAAACTGCATTCACTAAAGCAAAACTCTCCTTCCCATTTGATTACGATTCATATAATGAATAATGATGGTTTGATTTTCTATAATACATTCATCTAATATTGTGGTGATGAACTTGAACTACTCCACTGCACTGCTATGGAATTCCCCCACCAGAGGCAGCTTGAGGAGTGCAAAGAGAAACCAAAAGTTCACTGTTACACAGCTGTTGAACAGACATGTGGGTCATTTAGCTACCATGAATTCAGGATGTTGAAGTTCACTCTTAAATTCAGCTTAGATTGAGAAAAAACAGGCTTTAAAGGGTTCCTTACAGAGTAAATCTTGTACTCTCTCAGTTCTCATAAGGCTTTCCCTTTGCCACTGTCTCTTCACTCATTTAACCCCTAATGTTTAAGGAAAGTTTAATATTCATCATGGAGGATTTTTGTGATGATAAATCCTAAATAATAATTCATTGTCCATCCCTTCAGGTTATAGTTAGAAAACTGTCTTTTCAATGATCTTCATCCTCACGCTTTTGTTATCCTGTAACCTAATAAACTGATTATGAATTGTACGTTATTGTATCTACATGATTCCTACTCCTGGCACATGGCGCTTACCTATCCTGCAAAATGGTCACATAAAAGACAAATGACACGTGAAAGCAATGGTCTATAAACTAAGTATAATTTACAAAGACCTGACAAAATGGTTGAAGTTTAAGAGCAGGAGTTTAGATTAAGAAATATTGGAAAGATCCGTTTTATGAATTTAGAACTTCTTTGACTCATGTGTCAAGCAACACTCTCCGCTGCCACCACCACCACCATCAAACGCTCCATGAGGGGCGATGACTTCAAAGAACCGTGTTAGTCTTTCAAGTTTAGCTCAACACTCACTGCCTCAATGCCAAGGCCTATTGCGGCTTTTCTGGCAGCCAGTATGCAGCCTACATATCACAAAGGCAAAGTTTGAGTTATCCATTTGTACAAAACCCCAGCCGTGACGTTAAAGACTAACCACACTTCAGGCTTAGCACATCCCATCCTGAGCATCTAAAAATATCTCATGCCCCTCTCGCTCTTAGAGACTGAAGGGCCTACTCGCAGGACAAAAGCCAAACCTGCAGTGCATGCTTCAGTGAGTATACTTTTGGTTGCGTCTGTCTGGTTAGGAAGCAGAGACACTATGCAGCAAATGGTGCAAAGCAGTTAGAAATGAGCTCTACTGTAAAAAGTCAAAGTATTGACTTGTCAGTAAAAAGCCTCTCAAGGTTAAAATGGGCAGATGTGATTTGCACTCCCCCTCTGAATCCCAGTGCTTGAGCTTCTCTAATTCAGACATATTCAACTGGCCTTTCCCTTTCAAAGCACATGAGCATGAATGCAAATCCCTCTTTGCATTCATTTTGCATGGTTACCTTAAGTGTCATGGAAAAGTTTTCAATTTCTGTGAAAGTTTCACTACTATCAGCCATTTCCTCTGAGTATTTATTAACCCAGACTACAACCACAAACACTTCCTGAGGAATCTGCCGTTCTTGGGCAATGAGTCTTGACTTAATTGGTAACCAAACGGTTTCATTTTGATCTGTGTCATGTCGACCAAAGTGTGCAGACATCTTTAGGACAAAAAAACAAATATCCCCAGTAGCTCACAGGACAAAGCTTATTTAACAAAACATCCCACCTTTTCAGTATCACATGAACCAGAGCTTAAGATGTTAAAGTTTTTCCCCCTCTTGTTTGCCAGTAACAGTTAAGTAAAGTTAAGTAAAAAAAAAAACAACCCCTTAAACCATACTGCCTAAATTCAACCATCTAACGGGTTCATTTCAGACTGTAAACGTTTCCAACAAACTCAGAACCTTCAAAACATTTGAGGAGAGGGGCCTCTTTCTCTCTTTGCTTGACGATTACGTAACTAATTCATCATACAATGTGATAACTGTAAAGCTCAGTCAACATAATGAACATGTCACTTCCACTTATCAACCTTCCTCCAGCCCTCCCCTCACTTATAATCAATAGTGACTTAAACATTTGTAGACACATCACGTGTACAAAGGAGGTACAGACCAGACTGAGGACTTTTTCCATTTATTTGAAATGTTTTAAAGTCTTGGGAAGCTTTTGAGAACTACTGTCATTGGTTTGTTTTCCCCATTAGACAAAGCAACCAAAGTCTTAATCAAAGAAGCTACCTTCAGTACGCCTGTGTTTTTACAAACCTCGATAATTCCATCCCAAAATTGTCTCTATGCAACCTTCAGGCATTTATTAACCTTTCGTATATAAAATTCCCTTCAAAAGCTGCTCCCAGACTACAGCTTAACGCAGGAGCTCCTCATGCTCATGATCAGCCCACATCATCACATCCTCAAGATGCTATCCAAATGTGTAGTGGAAATTTCCACAAGCAGCGTGGCTGGCCATGAGATTTGCACATCTGAAACTTAATATGCCAAAGGGCAGAAACAAACACCCGGGCCTCAGAGGCAGAGAGAGGGACTCTTCAAAATGTGCTGGCTGTGGTACATGAAATGCTCCCATTTATATAAGAGGGTTTCACTGGCCTTTCACATGGCCGATCACACATAAAAACATGACGACTTCTCCTCACTATGTTTTGGAGGGGCTTGTTGTTACATCATTCTCTCAACAGAAAAAAAGGGGAGAACAGGTCAGCCACAAAGCATACAATTGGACTAGCTGTCAGACATGGGCGTAGAGGCTTTAAAAATATTTTCTCTGTTTAAACTGTCGAACAATTCAGATTTGTATCATTTAACCTCAAAGGACAATTAAGCAGATGATGTTTATGACGATGCATCCCATTCCTTATGAAGGTAGCCAACAGTTTCCACTTGGATGCCTCAAAAGTGGATCACAAATCTTGTTTTTCCAAAGTTGGGCCAAGTTCTGCTGTAAGTAGGTCATTGTAAGTATAACTCCAGTTATGGAGAAGTGCAGGGCATGGGACTGGAGGGGAAATGACTTGGTCATCCTGATATAATTCTACAGTGTGACTTATGTTGAATTTGCCAACTAACACCTGTGTTTAGATTATATCACAAAGCATGCATCCATATTGGCATGTTCTACAAAGCATAGGACAATGATATATCTGGTTTCTAGAGCAACAGATGTTTACCTCAGGCAGGGGTCTGTTGTAAAAAGTGTCAAACGTGACTTTACAGCAGACATCAACAGAGGATGTTAGGTTATGAGCTGCCAAGAGCTACACTAAAGTGAGATAATCGACTTTGAGTGGTCTGATCAAAACTGTATGTTAGTTGACCAGAACCTAGAGAAAATGACCCTCAGTTAGTTCTCAATTAAAGTGTCCATTCCCGTTATATGATTTCCTACACAAACTGCAAGCCAGCATATGTCTCTTCAGCAAGCAATGACTGTATGTAGTTCTCAGGGTTGATCTTCAGTACACAGTTCATCTGAAGTGTCTTACACTTAAGATGAACAGCACCAGAACGAAGTTCCGTAATCACTACACTGATATGCTTACACATGGGAAACCCTAAACGATGTAATACTGGTGCCCCAGTGTGTGATTTCACTTTGCAGAAAAGTGTTGCAGGTGGATAAGACATGTGGCTTGTGAAGACGCAATGGAAGCGCCATATGCACACACAGACATGCAAATACACACAGGACTGTCCTGCCAGCTCTGATGCTACACACAGACACCATCTTCCCCTCATTCCACCTTTATCACTACCTCAGAGGGAGGATTACAGCGGGGACAATTATGTCCCACCATTACGCCTTCCTGTTACACTGCAGAGAAGCTGTACCTGGGACATTAATACCCCACTTTGATTAAAACAGCAGTATCCTGGAGTCTTTAGATTCCCCAACATTCCCCCCACATTATCTTTTCTTAGCTCTGAAAATATACATGTATTTGTATTATGGGAGAAGGTTGGGTTTTGAAAAGTATTCGGTTATGGTATGCTGTTTGAAACTCCTATAATCAAACCTCTGATTTGTAAGACAAACACAGCATCAAAGTTTGCATTATTGATAGATAAAGAGTTTTTATACCACATTTTGAATGAGCAGTTATAGAAAAAGCACCTAACTAACAGCTGAAAATTGGCAGTGACCTCAGACCATAATGAGTGAATGGCACAGATGGAAAAATATCACAAATTAAGAGTCTATGTTTTGCTTGGAGAAGATGATAGGTTTAATTATTCACTGAGATCATAGGCCAAAAGTAAAAAAGTTAATTTTGACCTATATCTGCTCACCCTTTTATTGAAGCCAGTCGTTCCTGAGCAGATTCTGTCAGTAACACAAGCTGACACAAACAAGAGGAACTGACACACACAGCTGTCCCCAAGCACTCATGTCCCCACTACACGCCCAGTACTTTTCACATGAGGTGTTACCTTTTAACTTCTAGGTCGAATGTCTTCTAATTAACCATCTCTGTCTGACCTGCTTTTTTCCACTCTTATAACCTATTTTTTGAATGCTTGTATCTTCTGTTTGGTCAGCAGCTGCTCATACTTGGCAAAACTATCATGGTGAGTGATTTGACTCAAAAATAAAAGCGTCACTATCCCTGTTAATGATTTTTTAAATCATGGTACGACCATTGCCATGTGCCCTACTTTCATCGTTACCTACTTTAGGGGAACAGGACCCTTGGTCTACAAATTGCAGGGTCACAGTCACTCTAAATAAAACCTGCAGTCATGTGAGCATGAGTAAGTCAAGCTGAAACATGAAAACAACTTGAACCAAATACAAGTCATATCAACTCTGGAGGTTATCAGCTACTGACCTGGAGCAGATGAACAAAACAACTAAAGAAAAAAGATGGGACACAAAGGTGTCAAGTTCAGAAACTTTGACAAATTCCAACACAGCAATTCAAGGGTAAAAAAACTGACAGTCATTTCTTCTTTTCCTTACTTTTAATTATTACTTCATATATTTCGTGTTTGAAAGCATATTGTTAAATGATCAATGATTGTAAGCTATTTATATTGCTGTATGTATTCAATTCAAATAATTGATATTTAGCCCCAGCATATTGATACTCATACTACACATGTCAAAATTACAATATACTACCATACTGAAACTTTGTCCCACCTCTACTTTGTAATGCCCAGGCCACTCACAAATACCCAATGGATATGTTTATGGTTTATCAAGTCTCTACAAGTAATTTGACAAGTTATAATTAGCCACCAGTAAGAGAAGTAAAAGGCAACACTGTGTTACAAAGAGGAAAGTTCCTGGATTAAGGAGTGAGTTTGTGGAGTGTTTTTTCAAGCTTTGTGGGTTGCAATGAGACATAAGCCGCTCTATAGTGTATTACGTAATGTGTACTTGAAATGGCATTTAACCTCTGACCTAAATATGAGCAACCAGTGTCCTGGAATCAGCTCTCTATACTTCATAATGCTATTTTCCTCATGAGTAGGAAATTACACAACTGGTTTTCATCTAGTCAGCACAACATTATGTTTCCTTTAGGGTCAATGACTGAAACCTTTGTATTAGGATGTTAAGCGTTAAGTAGCTCCAGTACCAGTGAACCCTTCTGCCACACAAGGTGTTATATGTGGCAATATCTGGTGTCAATTTACACAGCTATTTTCCTGCACTATTTTAAGACCCTTTAGCACTGCCATGGAAATACCTTTACAGGCCTTGCTGTAGCAGAAACCCAATGCTGAACCTACAATGTTATCCTCAAATTAAACTCACTCTACTTCAGTAAGTGACAAAACCTATGAGTTACACAGAATGACTGATTACCATTGCTGCATATCAGTCATACTGGAATCTATCAGTCAGCTACAGCTATGGTGCAATCAACTAAAGACTAGTAATGTGTAGATTTATAATAATAATAATAATGCATTTATGAGCCTAAAATCAGTACTGCGTTGCACTGTTTTGCCATAATGAATCTCATTTATCTATCTGCAATGAGATGGAAAACGATGTCCGATCTATGTCCCATGTGTTTCTTTGGGGACATGCTTTATCAGTCATCTACTTTTCAGCTCCTACAACAGTTGCTGGCAAACCTAGCTGCTGATTTGAAAAAAAAAAAAAGCTCCTTGCTGGAAAGTACTCCAGAATGACGCAAAGCAGTGCGCACATGTGGTTTGTATTCAAATATAAGTTAAAGAAAATGTTGACCCAATGGAAGTTTACAACATTTCTAGGAGCATTCAGGGACAAAATGAGTAAGATGAGGTTAAGTGACCTCTGATAAGGGACATTTCACACAGGAACAGGAACACAACAACTCACGTCTTAGCTTTGAGCAAATATCATCTTTGCACATTACTGTTTGCCCAGAATTTCATTGTTCATCCCTTTTTTATGTACCATTTAATGTAGTTTCTAGTTTCTGCCAATAGTCTCATTACGCCACAGAAAGTTTTAATCAGTGCCTACTGTGTGCCTTGATGAGATTCTTGCCTTATTTAAGAACTTTTGATTAATTTTTCCTAAATTTGGCCAGGAGGTACAGACATGCATTTCTGACCTTATTTGATAGGTCAGCTGAGGAAGGACCCAAAAAGTGGGAGGTTGAGAGGCCTTTCCAGACACGATGTTCACTCATGTTTACAGAGAAGTCAGGGTCATTGCTCACAGTTTCACAACTTATGATGCAGGCCACCACTTGTTGTGATAATGATGTACATGATGCATCATTATCACATATGATGATTAATAATGATGATGTAGAGGGCGGTGGTGGTGGTGTGGTGTACCTTATATTTAGTCTTCCCTCCTTAGGGCAGGGCGATATGGGAAAAAGTTCCTCACAATATATATATTTTTATATCAGTCAATATCTATATATCACAATGTAAAAAAATGAAATTTATCTGTGCTTATTGGTAGCATGTCTTTTGCAATACATTAAGCTACTGCATCTATAAGGTCTTTGTGTCTCTTCAACGTTTTGTCGTACGGCATGCGCTAGAGAAAGCCGTCTGAATGGTCGGCTGTTTCAGCTACACAGGCGCCATGGGCTCCTTGCTCCGCTCAGAGTTTGTAACCTTTTGCATTGTGCGTGCTCTGCTGCGTGGCACTGCTTCAGGTGGTGAAAAAGATTTGAGGTATTCCCCGACTTTGCGAGAACATGTACTCGACATAATTTGTCGGCGTCACGTCTTAAAGTGCTATGGTTGCGTGTAGCTGCAGCCTACTACTACGCAGTTGTTTGCTACTTGGTTCTAATTCAGCACATGATTGGTTCAGCGCGAAGCGGACCTATAGCAACTCCTCTTTTCATTGGCTATTCATATAGTCTACCAAAATATGCTAGAATGCCGACTATCAAAAAGGAAATTGACCATTAATTAATATATTGTTATCGTTTTATCGCCCAGCCCTAACTCTACTGCATTAAAAAACATAGAGGCACCAAGTATGAGAAACATCTTTCAATATAAAACACTCAAGCACAGTAAAAACACCGACTACAATCTTGACAATTATTTAACAAGTTATCACCTGCCACATCATGTCAACAAAAGACTTAAAATTGGAATTTAGGGTAGAGGTATTGTATTAAGTTTCATGAGGATGTCTGTGTGTTCATAACATTAAGGCCGGTCGCTATATTTCTGTTAGAAAACAATGCTGCTTTATTCTTATGCAGACTTTTATCAAACTGGCAACCACACGCTGCGGTTTTCTTGGAAATACAATCTATTCAGGCTCATAATTGGACTGCTGTCAGCCAAACCCCTCTCTATGGATTAGCGTGTTTTAGCTCAGGCGTGTCACAGCCCACACAATGCTGCCAGTGTTGACGGAAACACAGAGAAAAGCCCTACTGTTTCCTCACCACGCGTTTTCACAATGGTCACTGCTGTGTGGATAAAAGTGAAAGACCTTAGCTTTAAATCACGACGGCTGCTACATCACTGTAAAGCACTGGTATGATGATAAAGGCTGGATATTAGCTCTTAAACAGGTGATATGACACAACTGAGCTGAGCTAGATTACTTTTGTAGAGCTATTTACTCTTATGACAGCCAGCTGTAATGATTTTGCACGTTTTTATCTCAATAAGGGTGAAGGTAACATCATAATGCTACAACTAAGGTGAGCCAACTCCTGGTGTGGTTCTTGCTAACGTTTCAGCTGGGCGTGGGCTCGCAAGCTAGCAGCATTAACGGCTAACCGTAACCGTAACGTTGCTTAACGTTATCCAAAAAAAGACACTTTTAGAGTATTGTTAAGCCAGTTCATACAGATATGCATGTCGGTGTGCAAAGTCAATATACATTGTACATAGAGTGACAGGCTAAACTAGTTAACCTGAGAAACGGTGGGATGATATTTAAGTGGAAATGCGGCGGCGGCATCAGCCTCTGTTGCCAAGCACGGTTGAAATAACAGTTAACGGTGAGGGTTTAACGCAGCACCATCTACTCACCGGCGATTTCCCCCTTTAGTATGATCCTCTGCTGATTTCCTTCAAGAACTGGAGATGCTGAAGGTCTCTGGCAAGCGAAAAAAATCGACCCAGAGAGAAGGAGAAGCCTGTCCTGGCAACAAAAATCGTCTTTTGTCTCAACGTAAATTGACCAAACCGCTGCTGCCGCTGCAGGGCGACCTCATCACACAACACCCCGCCTATGATGTTGACGACTGTCGGGGCTTTCGTGAACAGGGACCTCGCTAGATCTGACCAGGATAGGAGGAAACACACAAGCAGTATGGAGGTAGGGATCCCGTGGGCTTTCTCGTCGTGACTTCCCCCTGAAAATCCCGTCGTTGGCAAAGAGAGTCGAGGTTGGCAGTCTGCACGGTCCGCACGTATAAATGTTTGCCAGCCCCCCTAACACCAGAAGCTAGGTCCCTCCTTCTCGTCCTCCTCCTCCTCCTTCTACTTGTCAGCTCAGCACACACAGACCGATGCGGGACTTGCCGCGGGAGGTTTTGAGGACAGCGTGTACGAGCGGAGTGATGCTGGCACGGGAGGGAGGGGATGCTGCACAGGGTCACTTAGGTGATTGTAAGGGAACCATCAGAAGTGAATGTTCAGGTTAAAATCAGTGATATACTTATGGTGATGTTAGGGGAAAGTTTGTTTGTCTTTCATTAATTCTGTCCATTTAGAGTTGTTGAAAATGTTCTATTGGTGTTTCACTAAAGAGCAGGTGAAGCTCTAATAAGAGGGCCATGCAGAAATAACAGTCAGGCAGTTTTAAATGCATAGAACAAAATTACACATAATGATGATGTAGGCCTACAATTACACCAACACATTTAATAAGAACTTAAAGGGATATTCCAGCGTCAAATGAAGTAAGGGTCAGCGTAACACTGAGTTAGATAAATGTTGCCTACTACCGCTTGCTTATGTAGTTATACCAACTTTAGTAACGACTGCTTGATGGCAATACAGAGAGCCACGCGCTCAACCAAAAAGCCACTCTATAGCCACAAATAATGCTCAGAACAGCCTCTAACTTCAGTACAAATAGGGTCCTTGCCATAGTACTAGCCACCAAACATCTTCTTAGCTTTGTCATATATGTTCTTCCTTGATCTGTGTCACCCCGCTGCAGTCGATGGACTCGCCTGAGGTCTCCTTACAAACAAGCAGCTGCTGGAAGAGAGTAGGTGAGCCCTGTTTAGTCTCTTTGCTAAAGAAATCAGGCGAAGCTAAGAAGATATTTGGTGGCTAGTACTATGGCTAGGACCCTATATGTACTGTTGATGAAGTTAGGTGCTGTTCTAAGCATTATTTGTGGCCATAGAGTGGCTTTTTGGTTGAGCACGTCGCTCTCTGTATTGCTAATGTGCGGTCGTTACTAAAGTTGGTATAACTACAGAAGCAAGCGGTCAGCAACATTCATCTCTCCAGGGGATGTCATACTCAGAGTTACACTGTGTTTGACCCTAACTTAATTTTACGCCAGAATATCCCTGTAAATAATCATTTGAAAAATCATACAGGCAACAGCTACATTGCTAAATTGCCTTAGAGTTCCCATCTTACATACCCAATGTCGTTTTGTACTTTCATTTGACAATATATGCAGCAGCTCATGAACTTGGAGATTGGAGATAAATAAGATCCTTTGGTACAGAGACATTATAGTAAGTCTTCGTAATGCAGAGAGGTCCCTTTCTTATCAATTATGACTGTTCTCTTGTGGATTACAGCATTTCACTGCCATGAGGTTATGATTTTGCAGTAAACTAACTGTATATGACTTTTTTGTAATCTCCCAAACACATCATATGGTTTGATATATTTTTGTTTTTCAAATCTTGACATGAAAAGAAACCCCTGCAGTCAATTTACTGAAAAGTTTTGTTCCAAAAATAGTATCTACCCTCTGAAATCAAGTTGGAGTCTTCGGGAGTACAATATAGAGGCTCTCAAAGTACTGTATAGTAGGCATAGGGTTCTAAGGAATGCACCTCTGTACAATGTACTTAGCCACTTTCCTGAGAATAAGCAATCCATTCAGTTCCCATTAATGGTTATAAATAATCCATGAAAAGCTGGTGCATATTCACCATATTAAATCAATTCAAACCACTAAGAACTTCAAGATGGACACTCACCAGGGTAGAGACTTTAAGTATCACTTTAAACTTGTTTCACTGTCTGAGAGAGTAAATGCAATGAGTTGTAGATATCTTAAAATGGAATTCAGCCATAAAACCACATATAGCCCTTATTATCTCTATTTACAGGGTGCAAGACATGGTATTGAAAAAAACTAAAACTAGGAGATATTTGGAACTTCTGTAGATGTTTCATGTTAAAAAAAATCCTGATGATGTCCACATTTTATTACCCAACACAGAAAATTAAACTATGATAATACTTATGTTAAATATATAAGCTTTATTGTCTGTATTCACAATTGTCTGTCATTCTTTGGTCCACAGGATATGAGGTTTCCTCGACAGGCAAGAAGTGGGATCATGATCTCTACAAGCAGCACCTACCTGAACAACACATCACTTTGTAAAGGTAAAGCCAACAATTAATATATTTAATAAAATGTTGTGCGAACCTTTATCCAGAGTAGCTACATGCTTTGATTTCTGCCAGAATTTCCCTGGTTCTTCACCCTGTTACTGTATTATGTCTTGTAAAAGAGGTCAGGGCCCCCACACAGAAACTCATCCTCAACATTTCAATACTATTTTTCAATAGAAATGTTCAATCCTTACATTTATAAGTGTTATATGACAGTTAAAGGTGTAGGAGATTGGTGTTACACATTTGCTGAACCTCACTGCCAACTCCTGACCCACACACACACACCATTTTCAGCACTTCCTCCTAAGAAATATGAATACCAGTATCCAGGAAGCCACACTTTGGCCACCCAGCCCGGCACTTCATTTCCTTTGAAAGAAGTGGAGGAACACAACCATTCCCCAATGCACATCACTATGAGAGCATGTCAATGAGGTGCCAATGACAGGGCTGCATTGTAAGATGGGTCGAGAGTGGGAGTGCCATGTGACACTCCTGAAAGGACTGCCGGGGGTTGACCGGGGGGGAAGGATGGCAGTGTCTACAAAAGCCCATTGAAGGTCTGCAGACGAGGTAAGACTGGCACTGGTCCTCCTTCCCTTCCATAGGAGGGCAGGAGGAGGCTGCTGCTTGGTACTGACTGAATGAAGGGATTATTTCACAAGAATTGGAGAGAGGAGGTTTATTATCACTGAGTTACACTCCCTTCAGTCTGTTGAGGGCCATTGTCTCAACTTCTACACATTGACTACTGTCCTGGGATTTAACACTGTCCCTACAATAGGTCATTGTGTCATTAGCACTACAAAACCCTGAAGTGACTCTAAATTTGAGTCTAGGAAACAGGATTGCATGCTTGTATACAAAGCGAAATCTGCACTTCTTGGTGAGCTTCAAGAAATGAAACCCTTGACAATATTTTCTTGTATCCATTAGCCCTGAAGACATTGTTTAATTAAGTTGTTGTTTAAACAACTTTAAACGAGCAGTGATATAAAACATCCCATTAAAAAGGGGTCAAATGTCAGTAAAAGTTCAAGACTTTCATAGGTCTTAAAATTACTCTTTGAACATTTAAATAAAGCACTATTGTAGGGCATCATACCCAAAAGCAGCGTACCAAGGCTAAATAAATGCTGCCAAACATGTTGTAGACAAAAAAAAGGTCCCAAATTTCAGCTCAAATTACAATGACCAAAACGCATGGATTGGGTTTAAGGGTTTTAGGGAAAGACAAAGAAAGTTATTTCAAATGTTTTACACACAAGATTCTCTTTGTATCAATTAGATGTGTTTAGAATCACTGTTTATATAAGATATCATTCATTATATTGAGGTTAGTGTATTTCTGCAGAGGCAGCTTCTGAAATAGCTGCACTGTCTCAAAAAGCCACAGGGCTGTGTTCAGTATGAGCACCTGCCTGAACAGTACTGTTACACAGTCAGAGTAGGTCCAGTGTGGAACTGTAATACAAAACAATCAAGCCAACTTTAAGATATTCATGTGTCATTTCACAAACGCTTATACATTACATTGGTGGTCGTTCGATGACTTACTTTTGGTTGTACACTGTATGTTGATATGTGTTTTGGTGCGTTTTTACAATAGAAATCGGACATGATATTATTTGTTTAAACAGAACATATCAAACCTCAAAGACGTTTTTTTTTTCTTTCTTTTTTTTTTAAAGTGGTTACAAATACTTCACTTTATGTCCACATTATATTTGCCTATGAGGAGTTTGGATTGGCAGTATTACATGTTAACTGTATTTGTACACCGACACACAATATTACAAATGTCAATTTGCTGCCCTCTAGGGGTTATTATTGTGGATTACATGTTGAGATGACTTGCTTTGAATTCAGCTTTGAAGCTTCTTTCTCTATGTTGTTTCTTGTTGTTTTGAAAATATATATATATGTATATTTTAATTTTAGAAGCCTGTGATTAATATGAGAGATGCCTTGTGAGCTGAGGTGTACCACTGGTGTGTCAAACTGTGTTTTAGATGTAGTTTGTGCTGCTGTTTTGGTTTCTTGTTTGAGGGAAATAAGCTGATCTGGCCAATAGAGCAGTTTGGTGCTGTTTACGAAGACTGGAGTCTACTCTGGAGATCATCTGCAGGGCGTTTACAGATGACATGATTATGTTTCAAGCACTGGCTACAGTAGTTATGAACTGTTTAAAATAGCATTCACACAGTTAAGCCCAGTCAGAACACAGCTACCAAAATTAAAACTAGGACAGAGAGCAGGGCACATAAGAAAATCCACTGTTTAGATGAGAGACAGAGAGCTAATTTTTGTTCAAAAAAATACAAACTCTGTCATTGTCCTGATGTTGACCTCCTTAAAAGAAGCTTTAAGCTGTGGAATTTTCTGATTTTCCTTCTTGAAAATAAAAGTTTTTTAATGACCTTAAACTACATGCAATGTGACTTTCTTTAGTTACATAAATAACATTAGTTTGATCATTAACCAACATCAGACAACAGGCTCACAGGAGTCTGCATTCTTTCCACTCATATTGAAGCCTCACCACTCTGTTGACAGTCCAGTCACAGACAAGTTAACTTTTTTCAATGTTTAGAAGTTTGTCAGCCTGGGTTGAAAATTAGACAAACATCCTCTGAGAGTCAGCCACTCCTGAGGTCTGTGTGACATTTAGAATCAGCGAGGTTGTATGTCTGCACTGTATGTTTTGTAACAGGAGAGGTCCACAGTCACATAACTTCCCCTGCTCTCCCACTGAGACTCACATAGCAGGGTTGCCTGTGACAAGGCAGTGGGTCCAGTGACAAACACAGGCAAGATGGAAACAAGTGTGAGTTCTCTGACCTCACGTGGAGCAAAGTAAGGAGGAGTGTTGCTAGCGGGCAGCTCACAACTGCAGGAATAATTAGCAATAAGAAGAATTCTCTGCAGAGTAACAGCAAATTTACCCTTAAGGCCGTAATGCTGTCTTTTTTTGCAGGGTGTTTAGGAACTGTAGCAAAAGATGGTCATGATTCTGCACAACGTAACTTCTACAAGATCATCTTCATTTGTATTTTCTTAACCTTCCTCCTGTGTTAGCTTTCACTACACACCCAGCATGTTAAGGGTCGGTTTTGACCCGTGTCTTAAATCAGCTGTAAATTACACTAAAAACAATTCTCTACCATCTACTTTTGTTCTCATCTCCAGGTTACCTTGTTAGGCTTCATTATCCATGAAAACATTGCTTAATATATTTTTTTGTTGTGGGCCTCTGGGCTTTTCTTTGTCAGTACACCCCTCACACAGATATCTATACTGAATTGATCTCACATGTCTGGACATGCCCAACGTTTTTTGTGCAGGAAAAAACATGGCAAAATGAGAAACTCCTAAATCTCACATGATTGGAAGAGGATCTGACTGTCAGTGTGGTGGTTAACAGTACACACATTATTTCAGTTTTTGCTCTAATAATTATTAACTAGTAAATTAAATTTTTTGATTTTTATTTGATTAAAATAGAGGTTTCTGACAAAGTCAGAAAGTCATGATTCAAAAAAGCTAATTTAAGTGGTTCTTTTAAGCATTTAAGATCAAAAACAGGTCGGTGCAGACCCTAACACAGAAGGAAGGTTAAACATTTCAGTGTATTCTAGGTCGTTTTTATTTAATTACATTTTTGGCTCAATCATTATAATCATTTTGTAGCAAAATGCTTTCAACAAATGAGCTATGCAAAGAACTGAAAAGCTGAGACACCCAGATAGCAACCAATCCCAATGGATAGGGACTCACAGGGATCATGTATCTCTGCAACCAAGTTGTAAAGTTGTGAGAACACGACTGCTGTTCGGCAGAAGACAGCCAATATATATATGATGACTCAGAAAAATGCTTTGGTGATCCAATATTTTAACTTAAAAAATACATGACTTGTAAAATTCAGGTAATGAAGAAAAATCCCGGCAATACGGAGAACTATTTGGCTTCAAATCCGTATACACGCGGTAGGGGGAACCAAGTTGTCCATAGTATAAACAGTCTATGTGATAGCCCCTCCCTCTAACAGTTGAGGAACCAATAGTGGAACCTTTTTTTACAGAATAAGGGCCATTTTCCTCAGCGGTAGGAGGAAACCAAACAGAGCAAAAACAGATAAAAAAAAAAACTGACATGAGTAGCCGGAATAAAAAAAACATCTAAGTTAATGCCTTCTGAATAGATCAGCAATTTTTTTACATTTGCTTTACATTGTCAAAAGGATAAGTAATTCAGCTACAGATAAGAACATGTGGTTTTTCCAAACCCTATATCTCAGGTATATCAGTATCTTGAGAATGAAAGACATATTAATTGCTGCAAGACAGAGAATGAGGGCGCTGGTCTCCCATCCCTTTCCTGGACTACCAAAATAACCTTCACATGAGTACAGGTCAGGTCAGAGGGTTATCACTCATCTCCCATTCATGTCCTCACTGTAGGACCACCGGATGAGACACAGCAAGGACCTAGACAATAATAATTCAATTTTCAGACATCCTTTATTTTGTTCTGCAGGCCAAAGATAAGGAAGGAAGCTATATTTTTATCCTGCCCCTACCTCTTCATGTCTCACCGTCATGTCTGCTTCCTCCCTCCCAAAAGGATTTCATCTTATATCTTTATCATATGCTCTATGCATGTGAAAGTCCAAATCCAAATACTGGATTAGTTAAGCAAACCAGGAATAACGTTCGCTGGTTATCACATTATATGAAAGTGATAACACAAACAAAGCTTATATACACAGACAACACTAAGACTTTTTTTAAGTTAATGCACCTGGCCACAAAATAACCACTGTAAAGGCTAATACTATGGAGTTAGTATACAACAAAAAAGAGAGATTCAACAACGGCAGCTGCTAAGATAAGAAGTATTTGTAGATGGTTTCCTCTTTTTTTGGAGGGAGCTCAAGTTTCATTGAAAGAGCAACACTTGGAAATCTTGATTGTCAAGGTATTAAGAAATTGTGTTACATAGAGGAAACATCAGCTGAGCACATGACTGAAGTCATTTCATGACACTCCTTAAAATATCTGTCATCACCCTGAAGGATCGAATGAAAGACAGTTAGTGTTAAAAATTGAATTGATTCAGACATTAAGTGGGAGTAAACCTGCCAGTCTGGTATAAGAACTCACTTCTCAGTGCAAGACAGCAGTTTTGTTAACATGCCATCGGTTTAATCATAGTTTTCATTTGACGCACACTCTTATGGAAGCGCCTCTTAGTGAGTAACAGGCTTCCTACTGCCTTGAAAGAACCCCAGCTGAGAAAGAAAACCCAGAAAGGGACACTTCACGGTCCACAGTGAGGTAATCAAACAGTGATTGTTTAAATCAGTCTATGTCTAGTCACTCTATCTCTACATAGTCGCTCTGAAACAGTTTATGTCAATGGACCGCTGTGAACAACTCCAGCAGTAACTTGTTGAAACCTCCAGTAAACTTGCTTACAGAAACTGAATAAGAATCTTGATGCATCTTGCTGATTATGGGGTCTTGAGTAGAGTCAGGAATTTCAATTTCAAGACTTGACAGTGAACTTTTGGAAGAGAGAGACGGTTTTACCTTTCTGCATGAATGAAATCACCCACCTTTGCATTACTGACTCGGCATGATCGCCATTGAGCTGCCCATACTTTTGTAGGCTTTTGTCCTGGCGGCAGTGTACAGATATATGTAAACACCACCTAACTGTAGACCTGTATATGACTTAGCAGTTTAAGCTACTGAAGTATGCTGTCTAAGGGTCAGGCGCAGAACTTAGCTAGGTCTTTTTGTGCTTGTCAGGTGATGTAAATACACCTCAATCTGAAGAGATGGATTATCAACAAGCCCGTGCTGCCTCCAGGCCTTCTTTTTATTTAGTTCGTTTTGCTCTCACCACTCCTCTATGAATCGTCATGGCTGTTTCAATCAAGCGATGGACATGATGAGTGAGTGAGAGCCTCTGTTTTGTGCTCTTTGTGACTTCTCATCTCAGTATTTATAGGGGCTTGTGACTCTTACAAATAATCTAATCCTCACTATGACAGTTTGTAACCAGCTGTGTTTAGTTTGGACTGGATAAAGTGTTTATAAAGCTTAAGTGGATCTAATTTTTATTTGTAGCTGGGATTGTGGTTTAGTCTAATCTTTGAAGGAGGTTTGTTTTTCTCTGTATGTGAGTTTATCTACATTTCTTTGAACATAGATGGTCAGCAGATGTGAATGATTTGTTAGTGGTCTCAATAAAAAGGAGATGTGGAACAATATTCATGTGTAAAATCTGAGAAAGTCACTGACTTGCTCAGAGTGCATAAATTTTACAAGAAAAGTGAACAATAATGGACTTCTACTCCTTCCCCCCTCTCCTTTTCCTTTCCTTACAACCCCCCTAAACATTTCACCCTTTTTATGACCAGCAGACTATATCAAAGGAAAGAGAATCGACCATAATACTTCGCATGCACATTGCTCGACTGCAGTTAGAAAGGCAGCTTACTGGTTAACAGTGAGATCGACTTGAGAATGGAGGAGGGAGTGACAGAGGGGGAGGCTAGCATCAGTTTCAATGAAGGGGGAAGGATTTGGCCAAAGCACTTGTGACAGGGCTCCTTGTTACACTACAACAACAGAAAACTTAGACCTACGGCCAAGACCTGTTGCGCAACCGGTGGTGTGATAGTGTACACAAAAGAGAGAGAAATAGAGTAAGGGGCAACAGAGACGAAGGGATTGGAGAGGAGAAAATTGTCCATGGAAGTAAACATGAAATAGCTCCAGTATTGTTAAACGTCTTGCGTCTGTTTCTGCTCAGTTTAACATTTTTACACAAATTTCATCTTTGTCTTTTTTCTTTGTTCATCTAATTCCACCATCAAGTGAATCATCTACTTTAAATATAAAATCTCTCTTCTAAACAGTAGTAAAAATCTAAAGCTATGTCTTTAATGTTTAAATGGCTGAACAGTTAACATTTAACAGAAAAGAAGACATGTCTCAGAGGTCATAACCTCACTGTTTTCTTGGACTTTCAGGGTAAGCGGTATGTAATGGGGTTTTATAACTCAATAGAGACTAATGAACAGGGTGTTTAATGGTACTAAATGTAATCAAGTGTTACTACAATTTTAAATATAGATTAAACATTTTTGACAAAAAAGTGCAATTACATTTAGCATATTCCCATGAAAATGTTTTTCCTCTTCATGAACAGATTTTTTTCGGGGTTCAAGACACACTTGGATGCCACAAATACATTAAAGTTCTATATATACAATGCACTGTATTCAAAATGGTGGCTTTGAATATCAAACGTGTTTACATGAAGTTTAAAAAAGTGGTTTAATGCGGGTGACCAATGACATACCAAATAATCGATAAAATGTGTTAATAAGAGGCTAAAGATGTAAACACCGTCACTTTGACAGTACCATACCATTTTGATTGTTTGTTTTTGGACAATGGGAAAGTTTCATCACTTTTTGTCTTTTCTTCAAAGTCCTTTTGTCTTGTATTTTACATAAGTCGTTGAAATGTCTTGACATCAAGCTGCTGTAGTAACTAAAGGTTTCTCTCAAAGCTTAAGTGAATGTAATTAAGCAATTAAATAAGAGGCTGTTACCAATGTTTGGATTTAAAAAAAATTAGTATGACACATTGTAAAGTGGTACAAATACAGTATGAAGCAACGAGCCAAAGAGGATTTGATTCAAATCTGTAGCAACTCCTCTGCTCCTGCTTAAGTTTAGAATAAGCCCCTTGTTGATACGTGCGCTCCTTTACATTCCTATGGGGTGTATGTGCGAACACAAATAGCTAAATCTGCCCTGCTTTATCCTTACTTTGTCCCGCTAGCTTTGAAGTAAAATGTCTTAGTGAAAACAAGGTGAGCCAGCGTCCCACACAGATAAACACCAACTGTGAGATGCATATGTGAAACGTAAATTCCTGTAAATGACAGTGCTTGAATGTCCTAGAATTATGAAAAAAAAAGGTTAGCAGTTCATATTTGAAAAGTCGTCTCCGTCGTCTCAGATTCCTGAATTAGGATTTATAGCTTGCAGCTTAAACATTTGATATACTCAGTATTTTTACAAGACACCAGACAAAGACCAAAATTAAGATACTTAGACCCAAAAAGCAGACAAATCTGGTCATTAGCTTACAATTTTGTAGAGCGTTTAGGAGCTAATGAGATCAATAATTCCTGCGGGATTTGGTCAGGACCACAGAGTCAAAGGAAAGTCTTTGTTGCAGCCAAAATGTGTATTTCATTCATCTTTTATGAGGACACAGAGTAGAACTGCGTTGTGTGTTGTGTGTGTAATTCCTGCATGGAACACCTGATGAAGCCTTGGCTTGGTTTGCTTAAAGCTAATGGCTCTGAGTGATTGGAACCAGGTGTGAATTGAGAGTATACATGTTTTTGACCATGCTGATGTATTGAGGAGGTCTATGCCTTGAATTGATCCGTTTTGATGTTTTATTTCTGGACTTACTTTGATGAAAGCTTTGATTATGGAAAAAGGTAGTGGGTAAAGGTGTCCTTCTGTGCCGGCATTTACACTGTGGGTGACAAAAAAGGACACTTGCAGTGTGCCCACATTGCAGCATATTTAGTTGTCTGGTACTTTTTGAAGAAAACTGTCCTCGAACTCTTTGGAAAACACTAATGTCCTTGGCACGACAGCTAGCCAACCGGATGTTCCATGGCAGGTCACAACAGTATGATGAACTGGACTAGCTATGCAACAGCCACACCACAAGAGGTTGAAATTTGCCCAATGATGTTTAGACCTGATTTCACACTTTTTAACCAAATGTCAATGTTGAGATCTGATTGGTCCACTGTAGCCCGCCCCATTGCTTCCTGGTGTCAGGGGTGGTAATGAGTCACTCTGTAGCATTCATGCAGGTTGCTGGGTAAGGCTCTGGATCATGAATGGAAGTTGTAGCCAGTTGGCTGACTCCCCTCTTCACTAAGTTCCTGTTCATGCTCCAACCAACCCAATCAATGAAACAACACTTTCTTCCTCCTCTCTGGTGCATGGCTGTGCAGGAGAGTAAAGGGGGGGTGGGACAAAGATGGACAATACAGTAACCCAACTCTGGCTGGTCTCACAATGTGAGGTCTCTGTGCCCGAGTGGACCAACAAACAGAGGGGCCTTTCTCATGGTCCAACCGCTTCACCAATCCCACGCCAGCATTCCTCAGCACCTTCATTATGCAGCAAACACATGCATATTCACGTGCTGATCACGTCAACTTGGCCGGGACACCCTGTAAAGTAATTTAGATAGCAGGAACACGTGATTCAAGGGAATTAATGCATTAAAAGGACATTAGTGTCTTGTGATTGCATAATCCTGTCAATAAGAAGTCTGGCTCGTGTTTAATCAGTGTTGACATATCAAGTGAGAACCCAATGGAGTCCCTGCTGTCCCTGAGCAATTTTAGCTCAAGTGAGCTCAGCATGGCTTCATCTTTGGTTGAAGTAGCTATTTCGTTAACACAGACCATGTTTAGGAAAATGCCAGAGATGGTTATGTAGACACGTTAAACTACAGCTGTTGCAATCTTGCATTGGATTTTACCTTTTGTTTCATGTTAGTTTTATGCTTCAAACATTTACGGTTTCCTCTCATTTGAAATCTTACTGTCTTTTGAATCTCATGTCAGCATCATGGATGAACAAAGCATTTACCGGTTAATGAATAACTTTTCTCAACAAAGCTGTGTACCTCTACTGATTTGTTTAAAATGTAGTCAACAGTTAAATATTGAAAAACATGGTCTTGGAGAGCAAATTGCTCTTTATATCAATTCTTATCTGTACAAAACAATATTAGTTTATTTTATTTTGATAAAAAAAACATTTTTGTTTTTGATAAATTTTGGATTTTCCATCTTAGGCCTGTTAATCCTGCAGAAACCAGTAGTTCTTTCAATCATCTCTCCCCCTCTTTATTCAGTAGAACAAGGAATCTATTCAAGTTGCACTTACACAGTCATGGTATTAATTATTTTCAGATCTAATCAGGTATTTACACTTAAGAGAAAAAAAAATCAGCTGTTTTCTGACAAAAAGATAACTATCTCAGAATTATGAGACAACATTTTTGTAAGTTAAAAAATTTCACAGTTTGGTGAATTAACAAAATAATGATCCCAGTACATCAGAGAAACTAAGCAATTTTTTATTCATAATATTTTCTCAGAATTGTGAGCTCTAACTTATTTAACCTATCAAATGCAGGTATCAATGTTGTAGACTTTTTCATGCATTGATGCCTTTTTTGGAGATTTACTTTGAGAAAGACGTTTACTAAGATTAACAGTATTAGGCATTGGCTGCTCTAGATGTTACCCTGTCATTTCTGTTTGTGGCCATCCAAAGACTCTTTGTCCAGTATCAGTTTTGCTCTCTACCAACTCCTGAGGGAAATATCTGACTTTTTACACTTTTGATTGTTCAACCACTGCCTTTTCACCCAAATAAATAATAGTAATAATTATATATTTGTCCAAACAATCAGATTGAAAACTGTGTATTAGGGTTGTTGTCTGTATTTCATTTAGGTATGATGATAAAAACCTTTGTGTCCTATTTCAACTAATTTTCTGCTGATTATTCAAATGATTGTCAAACTTCCTCCTCTCAACAAAACAAGGACAAAGCAGAACGGGAAGGGAGGGAACCTGCAAGATGAACTTGAGTGATTATTGGCTTGTACAGAGACAAAGGCTGATGACATCCGAGAGGTGTACCCCACCAATGAATCATCCACACGACTTCCTGTTGGTTTATGGGTTTGGACCTGTAGACAAAACAGCTCAGGATGGCCTTTTGGTGAAGGTAAAGGGTCAACTCTCCTAAAAAAAAAACAGAGCCTTCTTCCTGAGGGGTTTCCTGCCCAATAACATGAAACAAATCCTTCATATTCACCATCAACACTTCAAAACACTGCCCCATGTCAAACAGCTAAAAAAACAGACAACAAAAGCATGTGAAAAGTGGATTGATGTCTATGAAAAGCAACAGCGCATGTGTAATTTTAATAAACAAGTTGGTCACTGTAAATTATGAAGACTGGGAAGAACATTGTTGTGAAAAGTACTAGGATCTTTTACTCTAGTGAAAAAGAGACACAGTCACTGTCTGGCTAAAGCTTAAGCTACCATTTGTTATAAATTTACTACAGTTCTATCAAACTGTAAACAGCTTTTCTAGCTTAGAACTAACTAAATGCAAATGTGAACTTCTTCTTAGCACTGAACTGTGAAATGAAAATGTTGTTTCCAAAAATATTAGGACACATAGAAATCAAATTATAAGCTACATGTAGATGTCCCTCTGGATTACTTCTTTTGTTGATCAGAAGGCATCAAACAAATAGGTTAGTTAACGTCCCACTCAACAACAAGTGATTTAGCCTTGATAGCAATGTCCCTGAAAAGCAGCCACCCTGTGAAAATAAGCTTAAAGAGTTTTAAAATTTGCAATAGGGGAGACCGGGGCTTGTTGTCACATGGGTAAGTTGTCACATTGCAATTATTTTTGCCACCAGAGGGCGCAACTAAAAAGTGGGATACTAGTTTTCTTCCTTTACATGGTCAGGGGTCGTGTCCTGTCTGAGAAGAGAAGAGCACATTGTGAGTCAAGCTATGCACCAATTAACCATTTTTCACAACCCAAAGTTAAAAATTTTAACTTTTTATATTTTAAAATAAGCTTCTTCCTAGCAGTCTCAGTCATTGTTCTGTTTTAAGATAACTTAAAGCTAGAATTAGCAAACATGGTAGTTTGGGGCAACACATCTCAGTCATTTTGGGGTTAGTTGTCACATGTTTAAAAGGGATTAAAATTAACATAGAGAGTCTGCTTATCAGCAGTTGTCATACAGAAATTTCGACTTTATTTTTACAGAGAAAATAGTAGTTTAAAGGAGAGAAAAGGGCGAGAAAACATGGTCAGGTATTACAAAAGAAAAACTGAACGTGGCAGTGCAGTACCTGACGTGATTTTGAGGGCAGTCAGACAGGTGATCCTAGCTAATAAATCAATCTAGAGTACAATAAAGGACTTGAATGACAACTACCATACCTTGGCTCGGTACTGCAAAACATTCACCCCAGCCGAAATACAGAGTCAGACAGCTCTCCAAACTCCAGAGCATGTTGATAATATTTTATGTCAATGTTTGTTCAGTGACTTTTTGTAGCTCAGTGATAAACATTTTCTGTGCCCGACTATGATGTTAATTTTTATAGAAGAAAAGGGGAGCAACATTAATTTTGTCCTTTTTTTAATAGCTGCAAAATCCACTGTGACATCTTACCCCATATAGTGAGACAACTTACCCAATGGTGGGGCAACATGTCACATGTTCACACTCTCTATTTGATAACTTATATCTCTGCACTGACACAAGATATGAAAATGACATGATTATGACATATATACCTGAGACTTTGGTCTTTCATCAGGTACACATTTTGTTAATGTATGATGTATTGATTACAAGAAATATATAAGAATGTAAAAAGTGTGACAACAAGCCCCGGTCTCCCCTAAACGGAACTCGAAAATTGTGATTAGAAAATCAGTCAGAGTGTAGCACCGAGTTATGTCCCACCAGTTAATGTAGGGCTCTGTGTTGAAAGGTTAGGGCGTGCTTGGATTAGATTTGACCACGGCGACCATAAAGGAAGATAAGGGAGTGCGCGCGTAATGGTGTGCGCCGCCGCGCTGTGGCAGTAGGCTGAGCGAGTGCAGGGGGGCCGGTCTTTGTCGTCATCTCTGCTCATATTTAATCAATGAGGAGGCAGCGGCCACCGGAGAAACTGGCTGCTTCTGGTTTCCAGGCATAAATACAAAGCGGAGCCGGTCTGAGGGAAAAACGGCACAAAGGAAAGCGGAGCCCCGTGAGGTTTTAAAGCTGAAGACTAAGAGAGTCAGGTAACCCGCTGCTCAAGCTCACTACACTTACATTTGTAGAGATATCCGCATATTCTTAAGAGTGAGTCGCTGATAGTGAACATTAGATGTGAAGCAGAATAACAGCTTGTGTTTGTTGTGACTGAAAATTCAGTGAGGACAGTTTATTTACTGAAGTTATCACCGGTGACAGAGACTTTACACATTAAGGTAGATTCACACTGAGTTATGTGTGTAAATAAGAGAATGAAAGTTCCAACCTGTGTGTAAACAGAGCAGATCAAATGTTAGTCTCACTGATGTATTATTGTAGGTCGCTGTGCGTGTTTTTAAAGAGAGGCTGCTGTGACTAAAGCACAGAGGTCTTTCGTTGTCTTTCGTTCATTTTCACCGGTTTGTTCCGACCTGTCTGAGGTTATCTTCACGTTGTCTTTCTCAGACAATAAGTGAGTAAGTCTGTGATGTTGTTTCAAACTGCTGCCACTTTGGCATCACAGCTTATACGTGGCAGCTCGTCCTAAACAGTTCACTCCATCAGCCAGCCAGCTGAGGACTGAAGCAGGAGCTCATCTCCATACGTTTTTTTCTCCTTATCTTTTTCACACTTGATACCAGTTATATACAAGGCATCTTTTTGCAAACTGATGTGTGTATATTGGCTGATCAATTCTACACAAGTACTCAATTGATCCATCATGATTTTGGAAAGGTCAGTTTAGGACAAGGAGATTACTTTCAACATTTTTTTTACTCTTATTCGAGCGGTGTATTTTGGCATTCAGTCAGTGTCAATAATATAATAATAACTTAATTTGTATAGCACTCTTAAAAATAGAGGTTTACAAAGTGCTTTGACATATAGTCATAAAGCATATGGGGAAAGACAGATATAAACAAAAAGCTCAGTTAAAACAGAATTGAAGGCCATTTTCATGTCATAAGGACGTGTGTTAAAAATCACAAATAAAGAGATTTGTTGATGTAGTCTTAAGACGTTATCAAAAAGTATGCAAGAAAAAAGTGTTTCTGTCTAAATAATTAATGTAGATAAAAAATTTGCCTCCATCACCTGCTCATCCAAGATCTACAAGACCCACTTTATCATTTTTTTTATTATAAAATCAGCACCAACAACTTATGTTCATTCCAGATGTATTTACAAAGATTGAGAAGTTGTACTGAACACATATGTTTTGTAAAGAAGCTATAAGAACTGATTTTGTTATAGAAATATATATTTATTTTTTATTTTGAAATTCTCTGTTGTTAATTAATCTCAGTGTCCTGGTTTCATGTGGTGAGTTTGCTGTAACTTATGTTATCTTAAGGACCACTACTAGTATTGCAGTGCTCTCTTCTCTTTATCTGCACAAGGAGAATATCAAGTGTGGTGCAGAGTCGGACAACTGCAGTGTGTGTATGTGTACTGCTGTGTTATGTGTGTGTGTGGCACTTCCACTCCAGTATCCCAGCTTGGGAAAATCTGAGTTGGGAGAGAAGTGTGGAATGCCTGGCCTTTGGCACAGAGTCCCTGAACTACACAGTGATTTCTCTTCTCTTTACGTAAGGATGTGGAGATGTTAGTTAGCATGCTAATGCTCGCATGGGACTGATAAAGGAAATGCAGATGTGCGTGTGGACATAGCTGGGAACAAGCAAAGACGAGAGGCCTTGGCTCAGACACAGCAATAAAAAGATATGCCTGCCTTCAAAAAGACCACCGGCGGATGCACTGTACTGTTGCCATTTCTAGGTCAGTGGTAGCCCCTCCACCCCACCCCCCTTCCTCATTACTCCACCCCACCCTAAGCCACCTATCCACCCAAGGCCAGCCCACCCACACATTAATCTGTGGTGTTGGTGTACAGCGTGAGGCAATGGCATGTGGCGAGTAACTTAACCAGACGTGGAATTACAAGTGATCAGGAAGGGATGCACAATCTGTTTGCAGGTCTGGATTGTCAAGTGAACGCATCTATGAAACACATCTGCTTCATTCAAGGAGTTGAGCTTATTCTTCACTGAAATAGACATTCTTTCATGTTTCCACGTCAAAGACTCATTGTGAGTAAACCTTGAGTTGAATCTATCACAAAAGGAAACCACACGATTTCATCAAGAGGATGCAATAATGAAACAAATGTTTGTCATTACACACAAGAAACACACATTACTGAGCTGATTTGACCTATTTTAAAAAGAGTCAAACAGCTTCTTAATCCTTTTTCTGTAAATAGAATGGAAGGCAACCAAGGACAAGGGCTATACTGTAGTCTGAGGCGCTCTCCAGGACAGCTCGCAGTATGAGGAGCAGATTAAAAACACCGAGCAGTTGTGTTTTGTTGACACTTGTACTGCTGTGGTGTTATCACCTTTATGCAACTGGTTTCCAAAGATTTCTCACACTTCTGAGTCTTTTTCTACCCCCAAAAGGGATCTACTAACTCATGATTATGAAATGATACGTGTCAAACCAACACAGCTAAAGCCTCCCGGCAGGACTCACTTTTTCATGCTTCTGTTGGTTGCCCTTTCTACATCAAAGTAGTAATATTATCATTTGGTTACAGCATGTATTTTAATTTTAACTTGCTTCCTACCAGATTTGACTTTATTGCTTGCAGGTGGTAAAACCAGCACTGATCCACCGTAATAGATTTGCTGCCATGGTTGTTAGAAATCAAATACGCAAACAAACAGAGAGCTTGTAATCATGGCCCTGGTTGACCGAGCATTAAAGCATGCACCATATGTACATGCGCCCACACAGAGGGTATGACTATACAGCAGTTGCTGGTTCCACAGTTTACCCCCTCATTTACTGTTTCTCTGTAGCTTTTCTGCCCAATAAAGACAAAGATGCCCCCAAAATACTTTAAAAGTTGTTGATTCTGACACCTGCTGACAACTTAATTAGGTGTCAACTTAAACAAACACACTTAAGATAATCCCTACATGATTTACTTACAGTCCAGTCAGTAAACAATAACAGGGAAAAGATGTCCCTGTAAATACTTTGCTGTCAACAGTACAAACACAGCAACCCCTGCATCCTCATATTGTCAGATATGTTGTCTACATTTGTTGTTGGTCACAAAGCAGCGTCCTCTGTGACCCTCATCTCTACCGGCAGTGGAGGATAAAAGAGCAGCAGTCATAAAGCAGAGAGTGCTGAAACACTCACTAAAGAGACACCACAATTTAAACCATCTAGTCTTTGTCTTACTGCACATGTAAACAAACATGTTAACCTGGATTCAACACCTCAGATTTAATGAACTCACACCACCTCACTGTCACAAAAGCTTTTGTTTGGGCGTTGTTTGTGTGATCATAAGTCAGCTGTACGGACCCTATCATTCAAGTTATTCTGCTTTTGTTGTTGTTTTTTTTTTGTTACTTTTACAGATTACAAAGTCAAACCCACAACACCAAGACTGTGTCACACACATTCCTGCTGCATCACCATCCAAGGTCCTGAAATCTAAGTCATGATTATTAACCCTGTAATTGCCGTGTGCTTAGAATTAACAGTAGTCTCTATGGCTCTTTGGTACAGAAAACAAAACTGGAAAGGTCTTATTTAGTTTTACAAACTTGTAATTCAGCGTTATTTGGTGGAAATTTGAAGTGCAGACTGACTTTGCAATGTAAATCTATTTTTAAACCATCAAATGATGAACCAACTCTTCTGAATCACCAGAAGTAGTACTTGATGATATCAAAATCATGATTAATTGAACATTTTACCTGGGTTATGATTATCTGAAGTTTTATTCAGTATTTTTGCTTTAAAGCACTTGTCAGTCTCTCATTTTTTGATTTGTGAGCACTGTTTGTGTATTGTTCCTGCTCGTAACATGACTGTGCTTTAAGTGTGAAAACAGATCGGTGATCATTGAAGCTGTTTTCCGCAGTGTTTACATCTGACTTCTTTTTGTTCAGTGTCATCTTCCCTGAGCCAAAATGTGCTTCAAACAACAGACACAGCATGTTTTTCTGATGCTGCTGGAAGTGCTCAGTTGGTTCGGTGTTGGAGTTCTCCTCTGTGTCACAGACTGAGACGAGGTCAGGTGATGACACACGGCACGCTGTAGTATGTTTACGAGGGGACAGTTCACGAACGCCCAGAGTGGGGAACAGAATTTTAAAAACGTTTTGACATGAGCACGATTGCACTGGTTAGAGATTCTGAATGTTGGTTGAAGATGAAAGGTATAACTGCTCTTTATATTATTGAATTCACTGAACAGTAATACTGCCCAAGAGAAGTCAGGAGCATTGATTAGAAATAGTGCTCAGAACCATGTTCATCAGTCTTTACACAAATCCTGTCCCACATACGTGTTAGAGGTCGGCGTTAAGACTCTAGCGGACTTCGAAACAGGAAGTTATAGAGATTTGCAGAAATCCCTACATATGACCTCTTGACTTCCTCACTCTCTGACATATATCCTCCCCTTACACATCTTGCAGTGTTAGCTGGTGGTTTCCTCCCTATCCCTCCTTTTCAGCGCTTGCTGTTCATGTGACTCGACAGCTGAGCCATCATAATTCATGACTTGTTTGGACACACCGTTTCTCAGAGGTCAAAGTTGAGCCAAGGTTCAAAACACGTGGGAGGGGTTTCCCATTGTCACCGATAACTGTCTTTGTTGTTTATGTAATTGTGTTGTTCTTTTGTTGAGAGGTGGATGACCTGCTGTGATTTAAAATCAGGGATGATGCCTGACCTCAACCTGTCAGATAAACAAACATTGTGTATTTTCTACAGTGTACCATATGTGCTGCCCTGTGTCTGGTGTTGCTGTAGAAACAAAGAAGGACAACATCAGAATATTACTACCTTACCTCAGAGGGCTTGGAATTATATTTAATGTATTCCAGGAATGAAAAAAACAGACAATTTTAGAGCGAAAACCCTCAGATTACGGTTTTAACTGTTAACATCATCACCCAACAAAATAAGCCTGCCTCCGACTGTTACTTCTTTGAGAGTATCCTTTTTCATCGGGTTAACAGAAATGTTTTCAGAAAAGGCTCCCACTGTGTTATCCTCACGCGCAGCTGTCCATACATTCACAACAAGCAGCCTTGTGAACTGGAAAAACAAGGTCGCTTGTGTGCTCTCCGCTCTGATGATTCAATCCGAATGTTTGTGTCCTTAAGCAGTTCCCTGAGTAATTCAAGATAGTTCAAAAAGAATCCATTTGAGTTTGTTTACACTCTGGTAGGAAGAAGGAGGGTAGTATCAGGACTTTGTATTTGGTCGTGTGATTGATGAACAGTGATTACTCAGCAGGTGAATTGAATAATGATGACACCCTACCATGGAAACGAGCCTATATTAGTTAAATCGATCTTAAACAGAGCTGTAAATGGCATAATGAGGATGATGTCTTTATTGAACACTTATCAGCTCAGAACGGTTATAAGTAGACAGCAATTAATCAGGAACACTAGCCTTCAAGGGGTCAGATTATTCCAGAGGAGATCAAGTGCAGTAACAAAGTTCACTCGCTACGTGCAGAAGGTTCCTTTACATTCAGGGTACCCTATATGGACTTGTACAGCACTTGAACACTACTTACACTGCATTAATACACTGAAGATCACTGCAGGGGATCATCAGAATCAGCAAGCCCCAATGTAAAGGATTTTATTGATCCTTTACGTCTGTTTCCTAGCAACAGTTGTTATGTATACAAGTATTGTCTGACAACAGTTCAGTGCCTGTACCACAGTCTCTCTTCGGTGCTGTATCAAGTTTTCTCTGACCTACAGGTGAGATATTTCAACTGAGATGATGAGAAGGTTTTCATGTTTTGTCCATCTTAGATTAGATGTGCTGTGGTCACGTTCAAATGGCGGTGTATTGATTTTAATGGAAAACACTCATCTGTCATGCTAATTTTTGTACTAAAGAGACTGATCGAGTTGAAGACACATTCGTATTTTTCCAATTGAGCTTAAGTAGGGGAAAATGTAAACATATTGACAGAATTCAGTTTCCTCTTGATTTTTCGAAAAAAAATGTAACATGTTCTTATATTGATCTATTTGTTGAAAAGGTCCTGACAGTTTATAGGATCTTGAAAACATCAACCAAGACAGGAGAACTGCATCAGCAGAGAGAAGCAGTGATCTGTTGCTTAAAATACTTGGCAGAGATATGATACAGGTGGGAGCGTATTGCTAACTGGTATGCGACCCAGTACAACCCATCAAACCAGCTATGTGTATAGTCATTGATAAGATGCTGCCCCATTTACCAGTATGTGTTCTTTCCCAAGTATCTCTATGTGTCACTTAAAAATCAAAGACCAGGTTGTGTCTCTGTATGAGTGTCTGTCACCTGCTTGCCTGCTTTAACATGGTGCCTTTTCTTTCATTTGTGAACAGACTCCATCGAAGAGGAGCTTGGACGGCATGCAAAGTTGTGAAATTTCGTCAGACAGCACTGATGATCCTCTTAGTAGCGGCCTACGCACTCATCGGCAGCCTCGAATAGTAGTGATTGGTGCTGGCTTGGCCGGCCTTTCTGCAGCTAGAGTCCTACTGAAAAACAGCTTCACGGATGTTACTGTCCTAGAGGCTTCAGACCACATCGGAGGGAGAGTTCAGAGTGTTCAGCACGGTGAGACAAAGACTGCCTGTTGACCAGTATATTTGTGATGACAACACGACTCTTTCTCTGCCAAATTAGCATGGGTAATTGAAACACATTCACAGCAGACCTGCTGCATAGAAAATTATCTCTCTTGACTTTTCAACTTTTCCCCAAACATAAAACTCAGCATTTTTAATAAATGATACTTTCACAAACCCTTATGTAACCCCTGTGACTGATTTAAAAGTAGTTGCCTCTAAAATGTCCCAATATTTAACAGGCATTTTCCCATGAACAGCAACAAAAGGTGCTTTCTTTGAAAGCCTAGATAAAAATTGTGTGAGCACTTAAATTCTGCTTGATAAATGGAATTGTTTACCAACCCCATCTGCCTGTACACTCTTCCCTTTTTGTGCATTAGCAGGGATCAAAAATGGCAGACAAAAGTTAGCTGGATACAACCAAAGATGACTAGACGACTCTTAGCTGCTTACTCTTGAATATTGTTTTAGTCACAGACTAAACATATTTGACTGTGTGCTACTCAGCACCTGTAACTCAGATTTACCTTTAGACACACCCAAGCTGTTTCTAATCTCTGTGCAAAGTTGTTATCTTTCCTCTGGTTGCTCATGAAGCCAAAAGGCAGGGATGAGCTCAAACGGATAAATTTGATGGTATGCAATTGTAATTTTCTGGAGCTGTCCCAGCTTTAATTCATTTTATTGTTGAGCCAAAACATTCTGCTTTTTAAATAACTGTTTTTGTGTTCGTTGTGCATTTTCAAAGAGATTGCACACCTGTAAAGACATTAGATTAAAAAGAAAAAATAAACAAATGGAAATGTGGTTATGCTCACCATGGAATATACCCTTTTTATGGGTGTATTACTTCCTCTGAAAAAGTCTCCTTCCAATCCTTGGAAGCTTTGGCATCTTTTTCTGTTTGTTTGTTTGTTTGTTTGTGTTCCTTTTGTTTTCGTAGTTGCTTAAACTACTTTGCCGCTGTGGTAGCTTGCCTCAGACAAACCAGTTGTATGTAAGTTGGATATAAAATACAACCCTGTTATTCAGTTTGTTGCCAACATAGATAAAAAAAGATATTTATGGTCACCATGGATACCAAATTTTAGATCGCAGGTGAACAGAAAATACAGAGACTTCTGTGAAGGCTTATGTGTGGGGCAAAGGTCATACTGTAATAGACTTTCATTTAGCTGTGATTATGTTCTGTTCATACTTACTCAGAAAATATAATATTCTGTTATTATGTTTTGTAATCAGGCATTTAGCTTTATTAGCCTTAATAACCTGGGCAAATAACCATATCAGAAAATAATCAAGCTTTTCCTTCAGTAAACTGGAGTGAAGCTTGTCGATTTTCCCAACAATGTAAAATGAAGTGCAGGTCTTACGTCAGTTAACATTGTCTGTCGCTGGTTTTCATGATGACAATTTTTTCTTGGCAAGAACGTAAAAAACGGGAGCAGCATCCACTATTGCACTGATACTGCATGAACATAAGAGATCACATGTGATCACACACTCATACTGCTCTCTTTAATGTAATCCTGCAGGTCAGTTCATGTATATCTGCCTCTGTTATGTAAACGCCTTTTTTATACGCCGAGACATTATGTAATCCTGAAGCATCATGAAGCTATTTTAGTCTTAGGCCCGTTTCTATTATATAAAGTAGAAACATCAAATTTGATGCCATTATAATCTGGATGATTATTAAACTAAACCTGCTTTTCGTCTTTTCAGGTGCAGAATCGTTATTGAAACGGTTCTCATTTATAAACCAATCAAGTTATCGAACACATGAGGTTTGGTGATGCTCAAAAAGATGCAGGTTTTTCTGACTTTCAAAGATCTCTGTTTTTAACATTTTTAGGAACTGCTACTTTGGAGCTTGGAGCCACCTGGATACATGGCGCCAATGGGAACCCGGTGTATCACCTGGCAGAGGAGAATGGGCTGCTGGAGCACACCACAGATGGGGAGAAGAGCGAAGGGCGCATCAGCTTGTACACCAAAAATGGTGTAGCCCATTACCAGACCAGCACAGGGAGGAGAATCCCCAAGGATCTGGTGGAGGAGTTCAGTGACCTGTACAACGAGGTGAGGGGTACACACATGAACTCACTGTTACGTGCACAAAGCGATTCAAGCATGGGAAATAGCACATTGTCAGAATATGTGTATGCACATAGAAGAACCATAAAGAAAACGATTTCTTTGATTTTAGTAGCAGTGTTGAACTTTCAACAGGCATTTTGTCAGAATTAAATATGAGTAAAAAGGCCAGTTATCAAAAAAAATCAATCTTATTTTAGCAACCTTTAAGCTACTTTATACAAGGTGAGAGAGGAAAGGTTGCACATGTAATGTTTCCTCCATGCCTTGCATCCATGTACAAATCTCTTAATCTTAAGGGAACCACTGAAATTATCCTCAATCCGTGCTGTAATTTCCCTGAAATGTCCATCTTTGTCAGTCCATCTTTCTTCTCTGTGCTCTGTAGTAGTCCCTGTTAGTGTGATTATCAAGCTGTAAGTAGGTCACCTCTGGAAAAGTGGTTACAGAGGGAAAGTATAGGCCACATAAAAGGCGTTTTGTTTTCATTGACCCGTGTACTTCTATGTTTTCTGAGTTGACCTCAGGGTCTAGCTAATAAACCCCGCCATGTGTACATGCAGTAAACTTGTGTTAAATGTCTTTCAATGGAATTTCACACTTCGAGCAGTTTCAGAATCCCAAAGACTGGAAATGTTTTGGCCTTTAATACATTTAGCATCTCTGCTCGGCCATCATCATCAGTCTACTGTTTATATCCTCCTGTTATCTTTTTACAGCTCTTATAAATTTGGTTGTATTTAATAAAGGACCTGGTCATCAATCCTGCTGAAAGTGTTCATAAATTTAAGTATTTACGACTGGGATGTGTAGTTTTTGCCCCTGTGTCTCCCTCTTTCCTCCTTTTTGTGGCTGCCATCATCAGTGGTCTGTCTAATAGTTTTACCATTTGTTAAAGTCGAGCACCGACCCGACCAACCATGTAATGAACTTTTCTTCTTTCACCCTCTTTGCTTTCTTCACTTTCTTCCTCATTCCCCTTCCTCCTGATGAACCCTCTGTCTCCTGCCTTTTGCTCTTCTTTAGGTGTACGAGCTGACTCAGGAGTTCTTCCAGAACGGGAAGCCGGTTTGTGCTGAGAGCCAGAACAGCGTTGGCGTCTTCACACGAGACTTGGTGCGCAAGAGGATCATGTTGGATCCTGACGACTCTGAGAGCACCAAGAAGCTCAAACTGTCCATGCTTCAGCAGTACCTCAAGGTGTGAATGTGCGTCCATCCACAGCATGTCTTTGAATAGGAAGAGGCCTCACCTTTACTTTACAAACACAAAAATCAGTAAGAAATGATGTTGAAGGTGTGGAACATAGAGTAAAAAAACATTAAATCTCATGGAGGGAGAGAGAGCAGTTTGTTGGCTAATTACTGATCTCTTTAAAATATTAATTGGGAAGAGATCAGTTGGCTAATGAAAGTGTAGTAATGACTGTTGACATAATTATTCTGATACATTAATCATGTTAATCCCTGATGACAGGCAATTATGGTAAGGTTGGTAAATTTGGGTCAAGATATGTTGTGAAATGCACCTGGTAACACCAACCTGACTGTCCCCCTCATTTGTAAGACCGCACAGCAGGGCTGATTGCCTCATTTACATAAAACCTGACAGTGATCAACACTTGTAGGGGACGGTGCTGTGCGTCTATTTATCATACGCTAAATGTAAGGAGAAAACTTATATGGGACGCTGACACCAGGCGCAAGTAAAATCATCAACTCGCTTAATTCAATTCACGTGAATCCAGACGCGTGAATGAATAGTGTTTACTCGCTTTAATCATGCGTCAACAGTAATTTCAACGGTAATCCCTGCCAATTCAACCGGCGGGATCAAGTGATATAGTTTTTTACAATTTACCAGGTAATCCGACCTCCTCACTCACTTGCCTCCAAGCGAGCTCCTTTTTATTCCAGTTTCGGTAATAAAAAAAAAAAGGTATAATTCAGGGCACCCACACACCGACACGATCAGTTTAATCAGCATGAAGATTGCCGGGTGATGTATGAAAATGGACGGTTGTTCGCTGGTATCTAAAATGGAGGACAGTTATCGTGATGCGAATATCCGCTCAAGTTGAGACATTTTCAGCTTGACACAATTTGCGTCATTTGCGCCGCCAGTGTAGTAGGGGCGTCTAATCGCGTCTTTACATTGACTTAAAATGTAATTCATTCGCTCAAATGATTTTACTCGCTCTTGGTATGTGGAGACAGTTGGATCTAGTTGAGTTGTAACTGTCAGCTCCAAGTCAAATATAAGGTTTCATTCAGCTGGTGCATTTGGCCCCTGGAGCTTGTTTGCAAAGGGTTACAAAGCCCGTTTAAATTGTCTGTGGTAATGTGGCTGCAGGTATCACAACTGCCCTTGTGTCAATATTTTCTTTGTTTAAGGTGGAGAGTTGTGAAAGCAGTTCTCCAAGTATGGATGAAGTGTCTCTGAGCGAGTTTGGTGAGTGGACAGAGATCCCTGGCGCACATTATGTCATTCCCGAAGGTTTCATGAAGATCGTGGAGCTCTTGGCCCAGGACATCCCGTCCCACACCATCTGCCTTAGAAAACCTGTCCGCCGCCTCCACTGGAACTACTCCGCTCAGCACCAGGAGATGATCGCAAAATGCATCGACACCAACCGTGACAACCACAACGAAAAGCCCCACGGCTGTCAACCTCATGAAGACCCTCTGATCCGGGGTCATCCCATCTACGTGGAGTGCGAGGATGAGGAGTGGATTGCGGCCGACCATGTGATCGTTACGGCCTCTCTGGGAGTCCTGAAGCAGAACCACGAGGTCATGTTCTCGCCCTCTCTGCCTGAGGACAAAGTTCTTGCGATTGAGAAGCTGGGCATCAGCACCACCGACAAGATCTTCTTAGAGTATGAGGAGCCATTTTGGAGTCCTGAGTGTAACAGCATCCAGTTTGTGTGGGAAGACGAGGCTCAGCTGGAGCAGTTGGCTTACCCTGAGGAGCTGTGGTACAAGAAGATCTGCAGCTTTGACGTCCTGTACCCGCCAGAGCGCTACGGCTACATGCTAAGTGGCTGGATCTGTGGACAGGAGGCTCTACACATGGAGCGCTGCGATGATGAAACTGTGGCTGAGACCTGCACTGAGCTGCTCAGGCGCTTCACAGGTGAGGATACATGAAAACACGATACAGGGTTATGAATCACTGGCAAAGGTTATCAATCATGTATCTTGTTTCTTCCATCAATGGGCGTGTCAGGGTTTTACGACTGGGGGGGACTTTCAGAGCTGGGGTGTTTATTGCAGTTGGTAAAAACTTTGACAAGCAAATCATTAAACTAGATAAGATCTACTGTCAACGTTGGTGCTCAAGACACACAAAGGTGGATCTGATCTATACATCACAGCAGTCGATTCACGAGCCTGAAACACAGAGAGGCAATGGTCTCAGAAGCAATGGTTTTACTGCACAAAGTCAGCTGTATTTTGATGCTTTTCTACTTCATTGGATGATAATCGGGTATTTCTTTGTCAATTCTGTTAGTGGCGAAGCTCAACCACTGTTAGGTGGTTTGCAGGGTGGCGATACTGATGGTACTTGAAAGAGTTACACGTGTGTGGAAATGGAAGACTACTCACAGGATGATAGTTTAACCCTTCCCCCCCTGAATTTGTGGTAATTATCTCAGAAAAATGATTGATTAAATAACGATTATTGAGCAATACAAGTAAAATTAATGCTGCGTTCGAGTTACCTCGGATGTTAGACGTCGTACACGTAAATAACGTCACATCCAAGTTACCAGCATTTCACTTAACAAGTCAGAAAAAAGCAAACTCAGAGACAGAAATGGCTACATCTACGAAAGTTATTTTAGCGCTTGGCTTGTCCTTGTTATATTCGGACACTACAATAACTTTCATAGATGTAGCCATCCTGTTTCCGCCTCCGGTTTTGCTTTTTTCCGACTTTGTAACTGAAATGTCGCTAACTCGGGTGTGACGTCATTTTCAGCTCCGACATCTGACTTCTGAGGTAACTCGAATGCAGCATAACCTCAAACAAACAATCAAAATTCGAATTAGGGTCACAAATGACACTTTCTTAGAATATACCAAATGCTTAAGCTCAGTCAGACAGACCTCCTTTACATCCTTTTAATTGTTGTCATAACCTCCTTTTTCAGCAACCCGATATCTCAGCTCTATCCAACAGCCGGTCTTAACATAGTAACTTTGCAGAGCTGAGTCTGTGTGCTTTATGACTCATGAAGAAGGGCTGGGTCATTGCATTTTATACAAAGGATATGACATAAGCTTCAGCTGTGATGTAAGTGGCTTTTTTTCGAGAAAAAGGTTGACGTATAATACAGCTGAATGACTCGCCTGTCTGCCTTTGTGTTCAGCGAGCAGCAGCCAACTGGTCTCCTGTCACTAACACAAAAGTAACCCTGAGCCGTAATGATGTGTTAGATAACAAGGGGAAGAGGCTTTCACTGTGTCGCAAATTATCACACAAATGACACAAGTTATATTTTCTTTGAGGTCTATTCTGAGTCAACACAAAAACACTAAAAAAGCAAAGACATAGATATTGCAGCGTTCATTGTAATACATGACTACAAGTTGACTCATGTTTGTAGTTTGGTAGAAGATTGAGCGTGAGCGGATAGAAATGGCTCAGATTATTGCGTTGTATAGTGATTGCCTCAGAAATAGGTCACACAGTGAGTGTCACTTCATGATGAGGTCAGGGGACCTCCTATAGACGCAGACCAGGAAACCGCACACACACTCATACGCTTTGCTCATTTAGGTCAGAGGGCTTTAATCCCCTCAGCTGCTGCTTAATTACATATGGACTAACTGGAGCCCCACGTAGGGTCACCAGTTGATTAGTGTTGGCAGATTAAAAATCCCATTTTAAAGCTGTAATTTACAGTCATTTGGATTGCCGTGATACTGTAACCCACAGGATTATTCAAACAGCAGTCTGTGCGCTGTTATCGCTGAGTTTCGCCCTCTTTTATTCGTCCTTTTAACGCTGTCCCTCTCGTCTGTCCACAGGAAACCCTGACATTCCAAAGCCCTGGCGTGTCCTGCGCTCGTCGTGGGGCAGTAACCCCTATATCCGAGGGTCCTACTCCTTTACCAGGGTGGGCTCCAGTGGAGGGGACTGTGAGAGACTGGCCATGCCACTGCCTTACGCCAACAGCACCAAGGCTCCCGTAAGACAACTACAAAATGACACAACACGAAAAGATGTTATGGAAATTTATATGATATATACTTTTCTGAGTATGTGTCTTTTTTTTATCCACTAAGTTAAAGCTGGAAGTATGCATTATTTCTGATATTAATATTTAATATTCTGATGTATTACAGTTTATCAGATAGAAATACAGTAAAATTTGAGAATTTATAGCCCTGAAGAATATATAGTGCTACATTTCATTCATTTGCCATTCCCTGATATATATTTTTTTAAGAGAATGACTCAGTGTGCTACTTTTAGAGAAAATTATAGCCAAGCTTTTATTCATTATTTGAGTTGATTGCTTTTCAGATTTTTTCCTTTTACAATAAAGCCAAACTAAATGATCAAGTATTTCTTTATCAGGGGAGACTATCTTCTAATAAAGTCATCTTTATGCCTTTTCAAAACCAACCTTTTTTTTACATTTCAGTCAGCTTCAATTTGATTTGATTATTTGATTCCAATAAGATACATTTGGCGGTCATGCTCTATTACATGCGTATGTAGAATAGCAGAGCTTGAGGCAGGTAGAACACACCTCCGCCTCTGTTTTATCTGTGTACTGTACATGAAGAGTCATGGTTGGGGGGGCAGCAGAAAAGACCCCAACATGTATAACAGTAGTAAAAATGGATTTTGTGGCCTGTCTGAACTAATGCCAGCTGTCCACAGATCGTTAACCATCGTTCTAGTTGAGCTGATTCAGTAGTTCAAACTGTATTTACTATAAATTGCCATTTTCCCAGTTATACTCATCAAATTACACGATTCTTACTTGAAACTACACATGAGTGAGTGGTTACACTCCCTTGTTATGAAATGTTGTATATTTTAATTCAATCTCTGGGGGTTTCAGTCCTTTGAAAATGTAAGTTGAAGCTTCCTCTGCAGCTGCGTTTCCCCCTGTACAGTACATTTGGTTGTTTACACTCTCTGCCTGCTAACTGAGAGCATCTGTCTTAACTCGGCTGTGTCATCACTACCATGTTACATGGCAGCATACTCAGAGCAAATACAGCTGGTGTGTGTGTGTGTGTGTGTGTGTGTGTGTGTGTGTGTGTGTGTGTGTGTGTGTGTGTGTGTGTGTGTGTGTGTGTGTGTAGGGGAGTTGATTCTTGGCCCAAAGTCTAGACCAGGAAACCTGAGGCGTTCTGTGTGGAGGGGGGTAAGGGGTGGGTTTGTGTGCACACTTGACACTGCTGAAGGAACGGCATGACCCGACACTGAACTGCAGCTCTTCAGAGGTGTCAAACTGTAATCTTCAGACTAAAGTTACTGTAGCCTCCTGAACATGCAGAACACCAACAAGAGAATAAGTGAGGAAATAAAAACTGTGAAGGGTTAAAAAAAAACTTTACAATAACCATAATTTATAAATAGTAGATAGATAGTTTATTAATGTAAGTTAATAGTTTCTTTACCATTAACATGCAATAAAGTTATGGTTAATAATTTTCATGAATTATTAATGGACTGTTTATTAAAGGTTTATAATATTGGTTGTAAAACATCTAGATTAAAATGTGTGTCAGTAGCACTTTGTAAATGGTTCATATTTGGTTTTTAATCCATCTATAAACATTACTTAGATCGTTAATGTAAAGTTGCAACTGATGTTTGTAATATTTTGTAAATGATTAATAAATGGTTTATAAACCACCTATAAACATTACTTAGATGGTTATTGTAAAGTTAGGTTTAGGGTTAGGTTCTTAAAATTGTAAAATTCACAAATTCATAATGGTCTATATGCTATTTATAAATGATGACTAAACGTTAATAAACTACTTGCTTAACATTTATAAATGGTCTATTTACCGTTTATAAGTTATGGTTATTGTAAAGTGTTACCAAAAAAACTCTACCTCCTTTTCATCTCGGCTCATTTGACCTTTTCTCCATCCTCAGCCTCTGCAGATCTTGTTCGCTGGAGAGGCTACCCACAGAAAATACTATTCCACTACCCATGGTGCTTTGCTGTCAGGACAGAGAGAAGCCACTCGCCTCGCAGAGTTGTACCAGGACTTGCACAGGGGAGACACCACAAAGCCTAATCTGTAAAATAAACTGAACCTCTGACTAGTGAAAAAAGAGAAACTGTTGAGTTTTACACTTTTTATCTTGATGATTAAGTTATACTTAAAAGCATAGCTCGGGCATTATGACATTGATAACAAATGAGTATTGTTTCTATTGTACTGTAGACTGAAATCATGCTAAATTTTATTTGAAATGTACTGTTAAAAGTTGCCAATGGTGCTGTCATTTCTTGTTGTTATCATTCTATCATGTTTTTTTAATCAGTAAGTTAATGTTTATAACAACAACATCTGTAATTTAACATTGTTTTTTGTAAGTGCCTTCTGTACGTTAAGTTATGTTATTTCAAAATTATGGAAATACTAAATAAAACTGATAAAGTTTTAACAAAATTAAAATAATATCATGATATAACATGAGCGCTTTAGCCTTTTTAAGTCATCAAACTCAGGCGTCCTCTTCTCTTTTCATTCGCTTCTGTCCTCCTGAGTATTTTCCAGAAAAGTCCGACCACAGACAGAAGCTGTTTCCATGCTTTCATCATTCTTAAGTGATTTTAAGTCTATGAGAGGAAGTGCAATCGGGAAGGAAAGAAAAAAAAAACTCTGAGTCCATAAAGCTGTGCCAAAGTGACAGATGGTGAAAGAACAGACTTCAACCCTGTGTCTACTCCTGTTTGACAGCAGTTTGATAGTTTGTCTAAAGAAACCAACATGATCAGGCTGAAAGGAGCAAACTTAGAAGGTTTCAACCGGCCTAAAAATGAAGGAAAATCAGTTTTAAAAATAATCCTCTTCCCGTTCAATTTTATCTGCAGTTTGTTTCATCTTAATATGGTCAGGATAAGCCTACCATCCTCAACTAGGGAAATGACATCCCAAAATCCTCTGAGTTTATTTCAGATTGAGAGAAATGAAGACAAAATGCTTTACAATATTTTTTCTAAGTGACTCAGACTGGATCTTTCTTGTCTTAGAGCCTAAATCCATCTTCAGTGTACCTTGATTTCCTTTGGTAGCTGCATAAAGTTGGAGTGTTGTGTCTTTGTCTGTGTGATCAACAAAAAGCATAAACTTTTCTCCATAGTGGACAAACTTTTCCATGTTATAAAAGTAAAAATAGGACAGAGACTTGAGCACAAAGGTCCTGTTTTTCATCATCTTGGCCACACAAAAGCTTGAATTTTCCCTCCTTCAAAAGGTCTCAGATGTGTGTTGGTATGGTACAGGAACAGATCATAAGAAAGAAGTGCTATATAATCGGACTTTAAGTGCTGAATTGCAGTCTACTGGCCAAATGATTCTGTGCCAAGGACACAGAAGTGAAACTTTCTGGATGTCAACTTGTTGCCAGTTATGAATATGAAGAAGCATCAGATGGTAACATGCTGAAAAAGAAAAGAGAGAGCAAAGTCGTGGTGTGAGAATGACAACTTTGTCGAAGCTTTTACAAAGCCAAGTAGAAAGAGAAGACAACAGCTCTAACACAGTTTATGTTTCTGATCCGCTGATGGAGAAACAAGATTCAACAAAAAAGAAAAAAAAAGTCTCTTGGGGGGGGGGGGGAAACAGACAGACAGAGCCTGAAAAATATTTAACACACTCTGGTTGACAGTGTGTTATGGTGAACAAATGAATATTTGACTTTCTGTGCATGTGACATAATGTATTTTGCATTATCCCTGCTTGAATGTTTGGAGTTTGGAGCATGCAGTCAGTATGGTATATAATTAGTATGTAGTCGGGGTTTGGGAAACTGGGCAAACCTAACCAATAATTCAATCCTTATTTATTTATTTAGTTAGTTATTTACAAAGCACCAAAATGATCAGAGAAGTTACTTAACAAGAAAGTTCTCAACATTATTGTTTGTCACGTTATTTGGTGATAAGAAAACACTTTCCAAATATAGCAAGGACAAACCTCTCATCAGGCAGAAACTTCAAGCAGAGCCAGAGTCATCAGTGTACAGCCATCTGCCAGGACTGACAGGATGAAGGAGTCTCTAAAATCTTTTGGTTTAAAGGAATAAAAAGTCATGGGAAAAAATCATACAGTGGGACTGAATAAAAACTCGAGTCATTCACCCACTATTCACAGATTCACAGATAAAGTCAGTGTTACAAAAATAATGTGTGACAGCTCTGACTCAAGGTTGTACTTCTCAACATACAGTGAAAATTTCAACCTAATTTTCTATCCTCTCACGCACAGATATTTCAAACGACATGGTTGTCCAAAAAATAGCACCTTTGTCAATGAGACACTGAAACAGGCTTCACATTTCTGATTTGTTGTGGCCCAAATCTGTTATCTCGCCTCAGAGCAAAATGTCGGTAATCTACTCGAAGATGAAAAAGACCTTTTGATACAACTGTTTTCACCAACTTCATGTGTTTCTACTCCGCCACATAGTGACCTTATTCTGTCTAATATTTGGCACAAGGTGTTTCATGCCATCATTACCTAAACTTTTTTTTTTTCCAAGTAATGACTCCATAAAGGCACTGCAGAAAATGTGCTTTTCACTCATACGTTTTTCTTCTTTTTTCAAGTCATGTAAGCAAATGATTGAACTAAAAAGAGGCTTAACTCTGCAGTCACTTATTTACTGTTATATAATTGTTTTGAGCAAGCCCCTTCAAATTACACTGAAACATAAGATAAGATATTGATAAGCAGGTTAAATGTTTAGTTTTTCATTGAGAAAGGTTACATAATCTTCTGGACAGGGGGCTTTTAGTATTGTGATTATGTGCACAAGGCTTTAAAAGTGAGACTCTGTTTTCTGTGGGCTGTGTTCTCTCCCCCTCCTCCTCCTCCTCCTCCTCCTCCTCCTCCTCTTCCTCCTCCCCTCAGACAGAGAGGGAAACTTGGGGACAAAGTTCTGGCAGGAGGCCCAGTCCAGCTGGGGAATAGAAGAGACTTTGGAGGGCTTAACCATTCAGCTACAGATGGCAAAGTTTCCTGGGTTTTTTCTTTTCACTGTTTTGGCTAAAGTGAGGGAGTACAGTCAACTGATTTTTAAAATCTTTGAAATCAGGACAAATGGTTTTTCAGGGGGTGCAAATCAACAGATTCAGCTTCTATACAAAAAAAAAAAAAAGAAAATAGAATTACTAAAGCATTTGTTTATGGTTGAAATACATTATTGGCCTTTAATTTGAAAAGGCTTTTGTCATTATTCAATGAGTATTCATATTTCTTTTTAATACCCCCAGTTTATAGCCCTTCTACACATTTCTTACCACTTTAAGTGTCCTAAAAATCTTCTTTGAACATATGAGGATTAAAGAAAAAATTACTTAAAAATATTATCAAATGGTTTTTATATTGTTGACCACCAGGGGGCAGAAGAACTGTAACTAATGTCTGATAAGCTAGCAGCAGACCCTACCCAACTTTCTCACCTTGTTAACACATTTTAACCACAGTTCAGTGTCATTGAAGGTAATAGTTTTATATTTTCCTGTCTAGTTTTTAAGCAGAAAAACTTACATTTTTTGTTTGATTTAGTCGACCTCCTTCTGAGAGATGCGAACATTAGTTCAAGCTGTTTATACTGACCGGCTAGCATGATGTTAGTTTGTTAAAGTGACACACACAAAAAATAAAACACCTCGCTACTGTGGCAGATAAACCCTGTCCTACAGAAAATATGACAAAGGAAGAAAAAAATGTTAACACTGAACAGAAGCTGGGACTAAATCAGGCTGAAGATGGTGCAGAGTACCAGAAAGAAAAGAAACGATTCCTTTCTTTCATTGTTTTTTGAGCTATTTTTACAACTTATAAGTGTTACCTATCTGCGTATTTTCTTCCACGTATTTAATTTGTTTTGGGCTTGTGAAAAGGTTACTTTCGTGTCCATGCCTTGGAAAATCACAGTCACAGATTTATAGTTCAACATGTTTTAAAAAGACATAATTACGTTTTTGTGCACAACCTAAAGTGCTTTTGAAGCCTCTTTGTGGACCCTCGTAGGCTACAATTATTTTTTCAACCATTTCACAATGTGTCTGCGAAGACGTACAATTTGAGGCCATTTCACTGACGCTGATGACATCAACTGAGTGACAATAAGTATTAAGACATTTCCATCTATTGCAGTCTCTGTAGAAAGTTGATCATCTTTTGGGAAAGTTTTATTCAGCAACAGAATCCATTGTGTCGTCAAAGCAACATAGATGAAGTTCATGGATTGACTGGCGATCACTGGTCAATGAATGTCAAAAATGAGAAATTACAAAGACAAACTGCACACTTAATTGCCCAGATAAGTGTTGAGGTAATGTGTAAAATACTATTCAGATGGATGGGCAGAGTACAATCATTCAGACATAAAATATGTACAAAGAGGTACACTCAGACATTGTTTCTCGATGCACGGATCAATGTTACGTGGCTATAACTGCAACAAAGAAAGAGAGAAATAGAACTGAAACAGAAAAACCATGGGACAGCTGAAGTAGAGAGCACTGTGGTTTGTAAGTGCTTCAGTTTCTGAATGTAAATATAATATAAATTATTCTGCTTTACATCTTGAGAGGTGGAGGATGGAGATGTAAGCCAGGAATGATTCTGACATACTTGGCACCTCTAATCTGCAGCTTATGAGGCTCTGCAGCAGCTTCAGCAGGTCCATTTTCACAATAAAGCAAATGTGCTGTTGGTATGAATCTACAACATAAAGTAAAGTAAACAGCAACAGACACAAACGGGAGCATAAGGTCATATTGGCAACAAACCTAAAAAAAAAGCACTTGAATGTAGCTGAATCATTCTCGAACTTCCTGACCAATGAGATGTGACGGATGATGACGAAGAAAAGAGGCTGACTGCACGTCTGTTCAGTCACAGAAGTTCACATGTGATCGCTGTCTTTCCAAAAAATTCTCCTTGTCCATGAAATCGAACATGTGAGCGAACAGTTGGTTTCATACGACAACACAAACCTCTGCCAGGCGCCCCGCCGACAGAGAAGATGACGGACGAGTCAAAGTGTTCAGGAAAAAAAGTGCATCATATTTTGTCAAATACTGAGAAATAGCTGAACATTAAAAACAACACCCTTATAATAAACATCTGAAATATCTTTTTTTTCTCACTAGTGCAACAACAGACTGGATCAAAATAATGAAATTATTAACCTGCAGGCAATCAAAGCTCTTTAAACATCGAATAAATTTTTCGTCACAGTAGCAGAACAGTTAAGAAGGCAACTTAATGATTGATGCTTGAACACAAACATGCCAACATTATACACATCGCTCTTTTTTATAGAAATAAATAGCTGAGTTTTCAACTTTATCCTCTTCTTAAATAATTTCCATCTCTATATGACTCTGATGCACATTTAATATAAAGTATCTAATACACAACTGCAATTTCAACACTACTGTTATACATAATATAGTTCTCTATGTTCATCTTTCATTCAACTTTGGAGAGAAAATGCTTACAGAATGAACACCTGTAAACTTCCACTGTTTCCACTCAGAAGGATAACCTTATAATATTATATAACATCAATGTTGATCCTTTTTTCTTTTTTTTCTGATATTTTTTAACAAATATTATGTACAGAGGAGCTGATAGCGAAGGCAGGATTGTCTAAAAATTAAAATCAACAAGTGCTTTGTGTTTTCGATAATTAGTCTGCAAAGTTTTACATGTTTCCCCTTCAACGAACCCGCATGGACAATCAGTACCGGTGTGAGACAATAGTAATTGTAAGAGTTTGCAGTACTGGTAGAACATGAAGAAATGAGCGTCCACAGATTGACATCACCACAATATGCGTTTAAACAGGTCTTCCGAACATGTTTGAGTGTTAAGCAGAGAGCAGAATCAGAAGCTTTCGCTGTCTGTGAGGTTTTGAAGCCCGAACGACAATTTCTACTCCTTGTCACCTTGCTCTCATGCTCTTGAATGTTAAAAAAATGGCGTTGAGACAGGCCGTATTGATCTCTGACAAATACGGGTGGCCAGGTGAAAGGATAGACCTGTTAAGCGACCTGCTGAAAACCTTTGGCGAGGAAAGACAGGACGTGTGGATCATTTCCCAACCTGCTGGGAACGGTGTGCAACATGATAAATGAGCATCGACAAGTCTACTCCTGTGATATTATATTGCACTTTCATGATGTTCAGGGAACTCGCAACGGACTGATTCTAGTTCAAACGATGCAGCAAATACACTAACCCAGACTTTTGGTCACTTGTCCAAACACATAGCTCGAAAAACTCTGGATTATCTCCATATTTTTTTTTCTTAAAGACTTTCATTGCCTTGTAAAAGCATTACCCCAACATTTTCAAACTATGTGCCTCCTGTTTGTAATGAAGGTTTATGTGCTGTTAATCTGATTTAAGTTCAAATAAACTCGGGACCATTGAGAGAGTTAATTTCTTAAACTTCACAAAACTCTTTCAGAGCCACAGGAAACACTAAATGTGCATTTTCACTGGCTTAGTAGCACATCTTCAGGAAATACAAACTGATCTTCGTGTAAAATTGTTGGACTCCCTCTTGGTTATCTGCAGCACAGAGGAAGCGTCACCCCTTTTTAGTATTGCTACTCATACCTCTTGAGAATTTCTTATCCGTAGAAAAACTAAACTGGAGCCACAAATTGCACCAAATGAACATTGAAACTCAACGCAGATTCCAAAGGCCTGATCTTAAAGCTTTGAGCTCTGCAGAACGGTACTGATGACATGTTTCATGCTGCACAGGACAGTTAGTGTGCAATTGTTTGTACAAACCAGCAGAGGGAGCCAGAGGACCTCAGCTGGAAAAGCAACCGTGGGCGACAAGAGCCTCAGTCATGATGAGCAGTATTAAAAGGAATGGCACGGTTTAGTTTGTTATTCTATGAAAGTCACATGACATATAAAGATCATGACACCTGTAAATACCTGAAGACCATGTCCCGTACTCACTCTGTTCAGTACGAGCTGCTTAAATAAAATTTTGATGTTACTTCTGAAAGGATTTGAAACGATCCAACACCTGCCTGAAATGGTCCCTCCTCCAGCATTAATGGCACATTGGAGAAAAACAGAATGAGAACAGACACAAATGGCACCAGTGTTACGTTGAAATGCATCATGGATCATCCTCCAGCCTTCCTCTTAACTAGAAACATTAGATACTGCATCCTGTTCTTTGAGACGGACAAATTTAAGGGGGGTACAACAACCGTGTAAAAGTCGGAGTTTGTTTTGAAGTGAGGAAGCGGAGGATGGTAAAAGAGGCTAAATGCATCGTTGCCATGCTGTGGCTAGAAGACTGTCAAGGTTTGTATGTTTCGTGGAGCTCTGTCCTCGCTCCCCTCGCTCCGCCTGGAGCTCCTGCAGCATGTTTCTGTTCTGGGTGGAAGCAATAAGTGTTGAAAGATACACCGGCATGTATTAGTGCACGGCAAGGCAGGATGAAAACCGTTTATTCAAGCCCCAGCTGAATGCGCTCGCAAACACAAAGCTCCTGCCTCGAGACTCTTAACCTTGTACTTCTGATGGAAATTCTATATGTTTTAAAATGCACTCCCGCCCACCAGCTACCGGCGTCGAAGGTAGTCTGGAGTAAATGTCAAGCATAATGGAGTTTAGACAGTTAAATACAGCGCTGTCACCTGGCTGCAGGCATTTCAATAGAAGGATCTGGACCTCTGCAGCAACATTTTTCATTTTAAGTTGAAAGCAAAAAGAGACGGAGAGACAGGAAACTGTCTGGCCTGTTAACATAAAAACAGTCCTGTCATGATGGGATTGAAGTGCCAGTTATTTCAAATACAACCCCCCTGATTGGGTGTTAAATCTTCACCAACATGAGGAAGATATTGACCATCCTTTTCAGGAGTACAAATATTATTTTCTGTTTGAACGTTGTTCTTGTGAAGTTTGCACACTTAGCCTCGGTCCTGGTTCCTCATGACGGTCTCCTGGTGTTTCTGCCAGTACAGAAGTCATAGTCTCCCACGTTGAGTAGCTCAAAAACAGCTGGGTCTTTTTCATTGACTGAAGCAAAGATGGGGTCTCTCCAAGAAAAGATGTTAGCAGAGACTGTCTGCTTTCACGTGGAGGATTTTGGAGAAGCCGGGTCTCTTCTTCAGCGCCTGTAAGAAAGAAGCGCTTAGCCGACTTTCTGAGAGAAATCAAGACCAATGTTTTCAAAATATTTGTAATCCCAATTCTCATTTTACTCTGCCACATTCCTTCTTTTTTTTGCTTCCTCCTGTTAACAGAAAGGTTGTACTGTGACTCATGGATGACAGAAAGTTAAAAATGAGCAGTTCAGCACTGAGCTGCAGTGGGTTAAGGATGACTCTTGATTCATGAGTTTCACCTCTACAGAAGTCCCTTCGAAAACACATAATTAAACACACAAGGGGATTTTTACTTCCTTTTCACAGCAACTATAAAGAGAGGAGGGATAAATATAAATCATAGCTGTTTGCAGCTTTTGAAAAAGTTACCTAACTGCTGTGAGCAATGCCACCATCCTGAGGGTGAGATCCAGGAAGAACACAGTTAACTGAGTCATAGAAAACAAAACATAAATAAAGCCTTAGATTTCACTGCCTTTGTGTGTGTGTGTGTGTGTGTGTGTGTGTGTGTGTGTGTGTGTGTGTGTGTGTGTGTGTGTGTGTGTGTGTGTGTGTGTGTGTTTGTATCCTTGTTTGTATATTCTTGTAAGGACTAACTCTTGTTGGACAATCTTTCTTTTGGGGACATTTTTGTCTCTTACATATCAAACACTCAATTTAGTTCTTTTTCTCCTCTGATGACTTTTCCGTTTTTCCAAGTGACATTTTAATTCTCTACTTTAGATACCAGGTTCATTTCTTACATTTTAGCTTCACTAAACAAAGCTACACACAAAAAAAAACAAGTACTCACAAAGTATTAAATACATATACAAATCCTTGATGGCTGATCTTTCTTTGAGGACATTTCCTCACTAAGGCTGTCAGTATATGAGTTTTTTACCTCATGGTTTTCATGGCAATAAAATACCTGGCAACAATATTATTGGGATATTTGTGTAAAAATCTGACAATAACAAAATGAGTCAAAGAAAAGGCAAGGCAAGAGTGAAGCGTAACACTATTTGATAAGCTTGACTAATCGTCACAATTAACTTACATGTCATTATTAATTTCTAATCATGTTCAAATCTCTGATTGAGCCACATCTCCAGGACTGTGATCAAAACTTATATGGAGAAAACATTGCCTCATGAACTGAATGTTTGTCATGTTTTTTTTTTTTTTCAACTTTGTTTAAGTCATGTATTTCAGTTGCTTTATATCTTGCACTGTAAAACTATGTTTTTGTTTTGAAGTGTACTGCTTCTGGTAAATTTTAAGTTGCAGAAATTAATGAAAACAGTTAAAAGAATGGTTGAAAAGTATAAATGTATAAAGTGTGAATTGGTAAACCCCAACCCTAACCTTATCCCCAACCCTAACACTAACACTATAACCATAACCCTTACCCTAACACTATAACCATAACCCTAACTTTTTTTTTTTTTTTTTACATGTATCCAAATTCTTTTTTGTACTAAATGACTCCAAATGGTCTGAAACGTGCTCCTAATAAAAGGTCCTGGACAGTGATTTTAACCCTAACCCCAACCCTTAACCCTAACCCTAATGCCATAACCAAAACCCCACCCCAAAAATATTTTGACATTTTTCCTAATTTCTTTGTTGAAAACAGTTAAAATAATGGTTGGAAAGTATAAATGTATAAAGTGTGAATTTGTAAACTGTCAATGCAAAAGCTCTTGATTGTCAGGTTTACCAATCCCTGAGAGAAATACAGAGAGAGAGAAGAGAGAGAGAGAGAGAGAGAGAGAGAGAGAGAGAGAGAGAGAGAGCAAAGTGTAGCAGAATGACCTGAGCCTCTCACGGTGACTGACACAGCAACACAACAGCCTCAACCAGCCATCACCTGGACCAACAGAATTTAGTCATGCTTTACATGGTGTGCATTTGTTATAAAAACAGGCCTATTTTTATCCTCCAATTAACTGCTGGCCAAGCTGTTAGCCACGTACATACAGGAGTAAAAAGCTCTAAAGGTGGGATGACTGCAGTTGTACAGCTGTAGAATAAATAGGTCATGTCTGAAATGGCACCAAGTGCTACTCTGAGCCGAGTATGCGAAAAGCTTAACTGCTCATCTGACAACAAAAAGTTCAGCAAGTCTGAGGCCGCTCAAGAAAAGTCATGGTTTTCAGAAGGTGTTTCCATGTAGATACTTCAATACACATGAAAAATAAAAGTGGGCATGTCTGCCAAAGGTTTTGTTCATTATGGTATGGATTTCATTTGGTGATCAGACTGTAAAAACATGTGTGCTGGATGTGCTGTGAGCAACAGTGATGTTTTTACCTGCAGCTTGTTGACCATCTCATCAAATAGTTTTCTAGCTTCAGGGCTGTTAGGGTCCTCAAAGTAGTCCTCTATACCAATCTGGACCACAATAGACTTCAAGTTGCGGCAAACACCTGTATGATTGGAGAGGGTTTGGACAGCACTGATCAATCTGTTCATATGTTATCTATCTACTGCTTGCTCTAACTGTGGGTGGCAAAGGCTGACACATACAAACAACCAGACACACTAAAATTTGCACCTACAAGCAAATTAGAGTCACCAATTGATTGATTGCAGGAGAAAGCTGAGAGAGAGAGCCCAGACACGCAGAGGGAGACCATTCAAAATCATCACAGTAAAGCCCCTAGATCAAACCAGACACTCTCTTACCCCTAACCACGGCACAGCTGCAGCATCATTTATCAAAGTCAAATGGCAATAGTTTCTTTTTCATGTCAATTAATTTTAGAATAACAGTGGTGATTATAGCTACCAATGAAGCATTAATCTAGACTCTAGTAACAAACATTTTTAACATCTGGTTTTAGTAATTGCTGAAATCTTTTTGTTTCTCTTCTTGAGGTTCAATTCACCTAAAACTTATGTGTTTATTTTATGTATAGTGGTATAAACTCACTGTTGAAGTGTAGCAGGGCTTTAGGGGTGACAGGCGTAGAGGTCAGCACCAGCATCTCCAGTCCCTTCAGTCCCTCTCTGCAAACCTCTGCTGCCACCTCCTGGTTGATCTCGCTCACATGATCCAACTCAAGTACCTGCAGGCGCATGCAGTTTCTTGCTGGAGGGGTAAGACACAGAGATCAATAGATCAGTTTTTAGACACTGGTAGCTCATAACATATTCTATCTAAATAGACTCAAATTACAACTAATAATAATGACAACGACAGTAATAATAATGTTTATTATTATAATAACAACAATTAATTAATTTGTTTAACACTCAGGAAAAGAGGTTTGTATGTAGATGTCCCAGGAAAGATTCAACATCCATCTGTAGGACATTACAGATTGCTCAAGTTCAGAATCAGTGGCTGGTCTGCTCTAGTTTATGTCCTTTAATAATTTTCACTACTTTATCACTTTATCTTAGCTCCTGCTCAGATTTGTAGCCAGCCTTTTAATCAAATAAAAACAGTGCTCATGATGATACTGGAGAAATTCATCAAAATCAAAATTAATGAAGGTTGGTGTTATAGCTAAAATCACAACATGAAATGTAAAGAAAAACTATTTTTTCTTTTTAGGAAAAATGAGTATTTTTCCTGCAACTCTGTACCTAGAGATGCCAGGCCCTGAATGCCACATCCGGCCCCACCCACTCCCAGAGCACGGAGGTGTGGCCAACACCTTCCAATCGTTTGCAGGCATCTGTTACTGAAACGCGCTGGCTGTTGGCTAAAGGAGACAAAATATGAATCAAATCACTTAGTATTCTTTAACTTGATTTTACAGCACAGTGCGGTATTAATGGTATTAATCGAAAGCTATTGAGTAACAATGTCTTCATCTTTTACCATGGGTGTAGTGGTGCCACTTGTAGGGAGATGATGTCTCTACAACCTGCACCAAGTGCCCAGATCACCTCCTGGCCGACTGGATCAGTAGCACTCCTGGAACACAATGCAATACTGTTAGGATAATACACATATGATAATGTTCAGCTAAAGCAAACTGTGGACTCACAGTGGAGAGCAAGGTAGACAGAAGTGACATTTTTATAAGGACAGATGGCTGGAATATTCTACCTGTAGGTTACAGCCTGCAGAGCTCGGCAGTAGCAGCTGGCCAGCCAGAGAGAGCGATCCGTCAGCAGGTTGGGGCAGTGAGAAATCTTCAGGATCAGCAGGTTACTTCCTGTGGCCTTTAACAACGCCTCCAGACCTTCTTCCAGACAGCCACTTAGACGAAGAAGTGTGGAGAGATCAGCAAAAAAAAACAGCCAAAGAAAGCCTGAGCTGGGGAAGCAATTCTCCTGTCCTTAAGAGCAGCACTTCTGCCTCAACTCAACCCATCTGAGCTTTATATAGAGAGCAGATTTTACCAATATGAAACCGACAACCAAGTGTGCTCTTTAAAGATGCAAAAAGCAGCACAGAAAGTTAATAATAAACTCTGAATGTAATTTAGTAGGTATTCTAACTACAACAATAACACAATATAGTATAAAAACATAGTGTAGAACCAATTCATCCATGAAAAAACAATAATTACAACTCTAAATAAACAGAAATAATAACCTGACACCTGAAGTGAAATTCAGGCGTAAACATTTCTCTTATGGTTTCTTTACTGCACAGAACAAAATGTTCCCCCAGTGCAGAAATATATGCAGGGAGCAGTATGTCTATATATTTGCAGCAATATTTCACAGCAGCACTTGAGCTGTGATATACTGTCTCTGTATGGAAAACTCTGCTTTTCCTCAGGAAACAAAAACTGATATGGTACAGGACGACTGCGCGCAGACAGCATTAAAAAGCTGCATCAATCCCTCATCTGTTCCTCGCAAGCTTCAATATATCGTCTGTTTAATGATTTTGGATACGACTTAGATTGCAACGTGCAAAGCAAATTATTATAATTACAAAGTAAAAAAGGAGTGTAAAGTAGTCACAAGTGCCTTAAAAGTGTTTTTTCTTAACTTTGAGTTGCTGTATCATCATATGTCTACTATGTTTCTGCATGTGTCTCACCGTGTGCTTTTCAGGTAGTCCTCCTTTGATTCCTTCTTGCCTCGCTGTCTTGGTTTGAGGTTTTGCAGGATGAGTGAGTGCGTCTGAGTGCACCACTGAGACATTATGCTGAGGAACTAAGGGGGAAAAGAAATACATATTTATGAAAACACAGAGAGGAAGTAGAGTTCATGCTCCCAACCGCTGACCTCATACAGTTTCCTAAAGTCCTTTACGCACCTTGGAAGAGATGCGTGCGTTCTCCAGCAGCACTCTGGTCCACACAGCAGGATGACGGGCCACAAACTTCCAGTCCCTACAGACCTCTGCGGCTCTCAGCAGAGTTTTAGTGTCCAGGTAGGTGAAGATACAGAAGAGCGCTGCCCGCATCTTCAGGATCTCTGGACTGATCACCTCAGTGGATTTCGATGGGCTCTTTTCATGGCGACATGGCTTGTTGTAAACTACATCTGTACGTCCTGCCAGGATGAAAAGGTTTTTAACTGTAAAATTCTTTTAAAACGGTCCATTCTTCCCAAAAATGATCACTGTTAAGGCAAAAATAAGACTCTGACTTGAACTTAAAGCTCTAGTGAGTAGTTTTTCAGCATTTATGAAATAGACTGACATTCGTGTTGATGCCGTTTTATGACGAACAAAGCAAACAAGAACATCAGAAACAAGATTGCTGAATTTTACTCTGTATTTCTGTGCATTTCATTTGCTTTGCAAATCTTTGCTTTATTATTTACCTGATTTTGATGATAAAAACTTCATCTAAACTTTCTCTCTTCATCTAAACTATCTGCTTCTGCAGTGTTTTTTGTTTTTTTTACCTGGCATGCATCTGAAAAAAAAAAATAGAAACCCCACATTTGTCTAAAAATCTCTTGGATGCAAGACTCTTGACAAAACAAGGAAACGAGAAATATACTGTACTCCCCCATTTAAGATCCTGCAACCCAGAATCCCAGAGAGCCGTAAATTAGAAATGTTTCAACTTATTACTTGAAGTTTTTTATTGCCTGGCAGCAGATGAGATCTCTGGGTTATTCTCTATTTAATAATCTCCAATGATTCTGAAAGCAGGAACCTGTTAGTTTTTTGAACAGCAGGTGTAACATTTAACCAAAAAAAAAAAAAAAAACATTATGAGCATATTTTTCAATAAATATTATCCAAATCTAAAAATACATTTCTATAACTATTTCCCTTGATCTTTACTGTAGATTCATCCCTAAGAATTATGGGAAATAAATGCCACACAGGAACTTTTTCATGTTCTGTCACATGGTGGCGCCAACTGTCAACAAGACACTTAACAAGATTACATAATTTTTTTTCTCCATATATTCATCTTTTCATTCTCTCTAAAGCTATCTATTGGCCGAGACTGTCTGTCCAATCGAAGCCTGTCTTTTACCTCACAGCATGACTCATTTCATCTTTGGCCTTGGAAGTAGTCTGTATGAAACCATCAGGGCTATGAACCATTACTTACACTCTTCCTCTGTTTTCCTGTTCCTCTCTCTCTCTCTCTCTCTCTCTTTTTATCACTCTTTCACACACACCGCCCACGCTCAACACGGCCAAAAGCACTAAAAAAGCCGAGCTGTGTGTTACATGCTGGGAAAAAACTGTGTGCTGGTAGAAACATACCATCTGATACAAGCTGGCAGAGACTCTCCCAATAAGGAAAACTACGTCAGAGCTGCGGCACGCCAGTAACATGTTGAGTGCTATGAGGGGTAATAATGGGGCAGTTCATACGCATGTATCATAGGACCCTGACCATGTCCTACTCATTCACTGGCCACCTGTTTTAGAGTAGAAACTTGACAGCAGGTGGAGAGAGACGGAGGGGAGCAGCAGTGTGAGTTTGAGGATCTTGGCAGGGTGGGGAGTTAAGGAAGAGACGTACAATCTGTGATGGATCTGGAGGTTTGTGCTGGTTGTGAAACTGACTGTCTAACTCGGCTCGGGCGTAGATTCAAAGCTCAGCGTGAGATGAAGAACTGGGATGATGGAACGAGCAAACTCTAAAATACAAATATGTTCAACATATACCAAAAAAACAGGCAGTATATGAAGTGTACAGCAACAGCAGCTATTAATGACACACAGAACTGACTAAGTTACCAAGAAAGCTGTCCTCCTAAAAATACACCTCTTCCTCTTTTGCTCTCTGTGAACTCTGACCTTAAAGGTAACACTGTAACACCGAGTTAGACACCCCCTTGAGAGATGAATGTTGCCGACCACTTGCTTCTCTAGTTATACCAACTTTAGTAACGACGGCACGATAGCAATACACAGCAGTCTCAGGAGCCACGTGCTCAACCAAAATGCCACTATATAGCCACAAATAATGCTCAGAACAGCACCTAACTTCATCAACAGCACATGTATGGGTCCCAGCCAAAGAACTAGCCACCAAACATCTTTTTAGCTTTGCCTAATTTCTTTAGCAAAGAGACTGAACACAACTCACCGTCTCTCTTCCAGCAGCCGCTTGTTTGTACGGAGACCTCGGGCAAGTCCATCGACTGCAGCGGGGTGACACAGCTCAAGATAGAAAATTTATGATAATTTCTTTATCATTTCCTTAAAGTAATAATCATCATATTAATCATCTTGAACTGCAGATGTGGTAGTTCTTCTGCCTTAGCGTCTCGGTCTGATTGCATTTCCATGAAGAAATAATCATAAATGTTCTTTCTTGAGCTGCATCACCACATTGCAGTCCGTAATGGACTAGCTCGTTGTCTCCATACAAACAGGCGGCTGCTGGAAGAGAGTAGGTGAGTTGTGTTTAGTCTTTTTGCCTAAGAAATTAGGCAAAGTTAAAAAGATGTTTGGTTGCTTGTGCTATGGCTAGGACTAACTTTATCCCTTTAAAGAGCTGCTCACTGACCTTAAATCCCTCATTTTGTTAATTTAAATTTGTCCAAACTCAAACCCATACGTTATTCATAACAAAAATAAAATTAAGATTGTCTTGGGCACATAAGATTTTTTTTTTTTTATAGAAAGGAAAACATCCAAGACACTTTGTAGCTGTGTTTGTGTTCCTGAGCTACCTCCGAGTTTCAGTCATTATTCATGTGTGTTGACACTGTAGTGTGTACACACAGCTGCAGCTATGGGGCATCTTTGCTCCATGTTTACCATACATGCTCATCCACAGTCACTTTGTGAAGTTACACAACTCCAGCAGCAATTCAGCAACAGTATCTCAAACTGACCCAGATCTACATCAATCCCTGCCCTCCTGGGATCACTTTAAGGCTTTTGCTCTGTGAATGCCGGCTCCCATGAGTCTGACTGGATGTCAGACTGAAGCAATGTGTGGCAGAAGAAGCATTTCTAAGAATAAAACTCACCTGCGCTGGGGCGATATCCTGCCCTGCCATGCTGTGGATATGGAGCTGCAGATTGCTGGACTTCAGCCACAGCTCTTCTCTCTTGTTCCCACATCTCCACTTCAGACTCAGTGGTCCTGGAGCCCACATCGGACACGTCTCCTTCCTCCCCTTCTGTGCTGTTCCTGTAAGGTCGCCGCTGCCAGTTCTGGATCGCCTGTTTACGGAGACCCCAGTTCCTTGATCCACATCCAGGAGAGCGCTCGTACCCTGCTTCACCCATTCGGCACTGCATGTGATAATACTGAGCTTCAGGACACTCCTCCATGGGGTGCATCTCCACGCTGTCGCTGTCATAACCTCCAGAGCCCTGTGAGACCGACTTGATCCGCCCTGATGCTCTGCAGGAAAAGAGAAGGAAGCAGCTTGCAAGGTTCATACTTCATTTGACAACACCTGAAGCCGATCACAAGTTATCTGAGAGTTTGCTACATATATTTGATGCAAAAAGAATCAAATGCAAGTTCTTGTTTTTTAACTTTCAGATACGTAAAGCTCTCTTTCTTCATCTCCTTGCTCAGCTAGGCTAACCAGCTTCTTGATGTAGCTTCATTAGGGCAGTTGTTACCAATTCGATTCTTCTGTGTCTTTTTGGAAGCCGATGCGATTTTAACTGCAATTCTACAATATTGTCAATTTTCTCGATCTTTAGTTTGCATTTTTAACACCGGTAAAACACTTGAATAATTATGATTGTCAACTGACTATTCCAGGAACCATATTTTCCCCAAAAATACACATCACATGCAAGTCAGTTTTTAATTTTTTTTTCCTAAATTTGAAAAAAAAAAAAAGATTTTTGAACATAAAAATCGATTTAAAAATTGTAAAACAAAAAATCACAATACTTATGTGAATCAATTTTCCCTCCCACCCCTAGGCCTCATGCATAATTATCACATTTCAAATGTTATTGATTGACATTAGGCTTCCTCTAAATCCTTCAGTGATCATATTATGTAATATCTCTGGTATCTTTTTTTATAGAGACCTCCATCTCCTCAGATGACTAGTTTGTTCTAGAGAGCCACAGAATCACAGAGCAGTATGTATATTTAATCTGATTTGAGCAGATGCACTTCTGGAATCACAATGAGCCACAAACATGAACTGTATGCTCTACAACAAAGTGCTGCATTTCTAAAGGGGGGTCATAGCAGATCAACAGCAGCTTTTGCACGATTGTACTGCAACAGTGCTTAAAAATAATCATCCATTCATTGCAAGTAACGAGAAGATACAAATAACAGTCTCTGCAAAAGTAGGGCATATTTCTCTCCTGTTATTCATTTCTCCCTCATCAGTTCTCTCTCCTCTTTCTTACAGTGTAATATAGAGAGTAGAACATTTGCATTTATCGTTTCAGAGGGAAAAAGGATCACAGATAGTGCTGCGGGTCCCATTTATCTTAGCTTACCAGGGGAAAACATAGGCAAAGGATGAGATCCAGGTTATGCAGCATACTATATGTGACATAAGATTATGTAAAACAATAACAGAAAGGTGTGTGTGTGTGTTTATTTATACTAACAAACCTGGATTTTTTTAATAGTTTAAGGACCTCTTAGTGAGACAGCAACCTGCTAAAGCTGCTTTAATCTTTTGTCAACATTTAAATTTGTAACACCGTGTAATGATTTGACTCGATCCAGATCATGGGAATCTCATTATACCCTGTTTGATGATTAATTATTGTGCAGAGTGTACACAGAATACAAAGCAGCATCATGATATAAACACAAAACAACTCAGTGATTGGTGGGAGTTCAAATCAATATGAAAACTTTATCCATTGTTCAGTTTTGGGTTCTGGAAATATATGCAAATTAGTTCATTTTTAATTAGAGAGTGCCTCATTTACATATTCAAACATAACATTTGACAAAACTTGTAATACAAAAAATAATCGTCTTCATGTAAGTTATAAACTTGGGAAGTTTCATGGTGATATCTGTTAGTTAAAAATTTACCCTATTCACCTGGGGTGTCTCCCCGAGCTTCCTACCTATCATGAGCGCCATGTTGAAAATGACACCTTTCTAGTGGTCAAACTTTGGTCAACTTTTAGTATGTTAATTAAGGACGCCTAATACTATTAAAAAAAAACAGCTGAGAAACCTTTTGTTAGAATTTTTTAGGATTAGGTGTTTTTTTTCATATGCACCCGCCTACTTAGGTAGATTGGCAAACGGGATTGGCTGTTCCTTCAATCACGGCTAATAGAGGTGTGACTGGATGAAGTAAATGAGTGGAGATGAAGCTCAAACTTTCACACATTTCATATCATGACCTCATCTAAATCTACTAACAAACACATGATCTCTGACGAAGAGCTATCAATAACTGAAGACAGGCGGCTGCGGTGTCTGTTTTTGTGTGTTGTGCCGTCGGTGACTCAACGGGGAAGGCCTGTCAGGGTTCATGTGACGTCACGTAAGGAATCACATTCACGTACCATTTGGACGTGACGGTGGGGTTGGTCAGAGTTTGGTGGCACAGCCGTGTGTGTCTGCGATCTCCAGCAGGGAGCCAGAAATACTTCAGTCACACCTCAGGAGGAGAGACAGCTGACCTGCACCTCACTGCTGCTGCCGATCAGAGCTTGACTAAAAACTAAGATCTTTTCAATTTTATACAACTATACAACGCTGTATCCAGTTAAATTATACTAATGAGGATGTCTTAGAGAAGATACACTATTCTAAATATTGAACAAAACTAATCTGTCTAAATACATACAGGTATTTTAGACGTTAATAAGCATTTTTAAAACGATGTAGCAGTCAACAAAACTCACACAACAGTCCTTAGTTATTATCTGCTTGTTTGTTAAGCTGAGTAGACAGTATATTTTTAGTTTTTCACAAGTATAAAACTGGAAACGCAGCAAATCATTTTGTTAGACTGCCCCGACTCAAAAAAATTCACTTTTTATTGAAATGAATAATTTAATAACTTTCTGCTCGATTAGGAGTACAGAAAAATTCAGATTTCTCAATAGATAAAAACAGCATTTTTCTTAGCATGGAGTATTATTGAATAATACATAAAGGAGTAATTGTGTGCGACTGCCTTTCTGGCAAACCCATCTATATTTAAATGCTACAGAAACTATTAGATATCATCTACTATTTCACTTTATTCTCAGTTTAACTTGGAATTGCAAAATCCACAAAGTGTCACTAAACAGGCAGGTTGTAAATGAAGCACTTTTAAATGTTTTATTGTGTTTTTCAGAGAGGATAAAAAAAACGCCCAAAGGTCTGAGGCAGAGAGCTGAAGAAGGCAAACTGACACAGAGTGATTTCTCTTCAAATACTCTCAAACAGTAAAAAAAGAGGAGATGAACTAAATTCACTTGACAGGTAATAGCCACAAAATCTCCTGCTGGTTAAAAAATAAAACTGCTTCGTCTTCAAGAGAAGAAAGAGGAGAAGGACCGAGGGAAAGGTCCTCCTAAAAAGTTAAAGGATGCTTTATTAAACCACATGTAATGTGACAGTTATGAGCCCGTATAATCCTCTCTCCTCCTCAGGGTGGTATCACCTGTGCAATAAACCTCTTTATGACGGGTTGGTGGTCAGGATGTATTTCTGAGGAGTGAAATCATTTGTACATGTGGATTAAGAGGCAGTGTGTGTGTGTGTGTGTGTGTGTGTGTGTGTGTGGGGACTTACCCTGTGCTGGGAGAGGACCGCCGCTCTGACACTTGGTACATGCCTCTTGTGCTTCCAGAGAGGCTGGAGTTCCTCTGTACAGACAAAGACGGGAAGAGTTTAGAGAAATAAAAGGAAAATAAGCTCCACACTTAAATTTTATCAGTGATGTGATGAGTATTTGAAGGTCAGCTCATAAAAAGTCCATTTTAGCTGTAGATACTATTTTTGTCCTCTATACACATTAAATTTAAGCTGCTTTTCATACCTGAGGCCTTTTGTAAACTATAAACCAAAAGAATATGCTCTAAACTGAAGTGTGTTATTTTTTATTTTTAACATCACTGATATAAAACTCTACTATCTTTGTTGTTTTATCAGTAAGTTCAATGTGTCTATTGTTAGTCCAGCAATGCTAGCAGCCAGGTTGCTTCTGCACATGCCACAATATCACAACATTGACATCTGTGGGTCAGTGTTTTTGGCTTTAATGGGCTCAGATAAAATGACATCCATGTGTTCAGTCAGCAGTGGGGACACTTGTGGTTTGAGACTTTTGCAGTCTCAAACCACATTCATCTTTTACTGGATGAATTTCTCAGTCCGACACTGAAACCCTTCAAACCCTCGGCACATTTACCTTTTACCTGAAATGTCTGTTCTGAAAGCAGATGAGCATTTGGTTGTGGCTGAGCACTCTATCATACAGCGATCAAAGCTTTGTGTGCACTCAAGTATGCACTGTGAGTTGTGTCTGTGAGTGTGTTTATATCCACGTGTGTGTTTGTGTTTGTGAAGCAGCACCAGGTGGGACTCTGTGTACAAGTATACATGCCACAGAGGGATTTAATATGCACAAACACAGACACTGTCACTCCTCTCTCTCTCTCTCTCTCTCTCTTGCACACTCTTTCTCTGTGTTCTGCATTTCCTCACAGCTTGGTCCTGAACCCGTGCCAGAGAAAATGGACCATGGAGAATACAAGTGAACTTCCCTATGGCTCTCATTTTGGACAACTCTATGGTTAAAGCCATCACTCTGACTGTTAAAGATGGACAATACGTCTCGACCTTTTACTATTGTACAAAAATGAAGCCAAACACCATGTTGTGACATGACGTGCTTCAAAACTATCTGGGTGTTAACTAAGAATTAAAATATGCACATGAATCAAACTGTAAACTTTTGTTTTACCAAAATAATGATTTGGGATTTATCATGACAAATGAAGCATAGCGTTAGTTCTGGCAGGTCACGACGTCAAGCGCTGATCCGCAGCCAATGGCAAGTAGCCACCTCAACCAGCTGATGGCCAGCTATTTCCTCCTAGCTCCTATTGGTCCTATGCCTTTAGAGCGCCCTATTTAAAACTGCCCTAACCCAACCTCTTCCTCTGCTTCGACAGCCAACCAGCAACCCACCTCCACCCTTGTGTCGGCCAAACTGCTCCACTACCTTCAAAGTGCCCTGATCTGTGGGGCAGGTTCTGTTCATCGCTGCTCTACCCCCCGTTGTTTCTGCCTTCATGATGCCTCGTGAAGGGTGGGAAGGTGCTCTTCCTGCCACTAGCCTTTCACGCATGATTGCGTGGAGCACGGGGGGTCCCGGATAGAACCTTGTGTGCGTGCCCTGCTATCGCCTTTTCATGATGGGTCATGAAGGGCAGGAAGGGGCTCTTCCTGCCTCTGGCTTCCAAGCGCATGGAAGGGCAGGGACACAGAACAGAACTATGCTGCCAAATTTAACTTTGCACAATAAAGCTGAATTTTGACAAAGTGATCCTGACTGAATTATTGATATCAGCTGAACAATTCTTCTGTATCATTTTTAACCATATCCCCCAACACTAGCTGTAGCAAGTGCTTTCCTTCAACAGAAAGGCTGTTGGGGATTAATTCATCAGTCTGGTTGAGTGTCAAAAGTGATTTGTTGTTCAAAAAGGAAAAAAAAAAAACACTGATCCAGGTCCAAAAACTTTTGCCTTCAAATGAAAAAGTGATATGATGAAAACGAGGGTAGAAGGATAAGTGAAATGGTCAACAGGAAATTATCAGAGCTTACCAAAACCCATCGTCTCTGACTACACATCCCGAAACCACACCCCTCAGTGTCGGTCCCCAGAAGTGACATATCTATCAGAAATCATACCCTGAACAAATACATTTTGGCTTCTACACTTGCTGAACCTGACAAAAACAACCTTGGCAAAGATCTTTGGCGCTGAACACTTAGACTTATAAAAACTTCAGTGACTCCTTTGTTAGTGTTTGTAACATCATCTCTGACTGTTTCAATAGCAAGCTGCCAATCAAAGAATTAGACTCCATTTTTTAGTATGAAATGGCAAATATATACTTAACATCTCTCAATATTAATCTATTAAAAATTAGGGTGACCATACGTCCTCTTTTACCTGAACATGTCCTCTTTTTGGGGGGCTGTCCGGCCTTGTCCGGCTTTGTCCGAGGAAGTTTATAAAATCCTTCAAATGTCCGGGGTTTTGTATGGAAGTTTCGAGTTTGTGTAACGTGGACTTGCTGAGTTACAAGAGCGTAAAAGACACTTGATCCGACCTGAAAACTCTCAAAATTAACCTTATCTGACTCCATGACTTCACCCCTGCGTAGTCGTGTCCCCCTTTTTGGGATTCAGAATATGGTCACCCTATTAGAAATACATCCTTTTTGACCTGTGCTTCAAATCTATTGGCTTTGGTAACGCATGACAGTCTATAACTTGAGCCATTCTTCATTTCTCTTACTCACTGTATATATTTGCCACTATATTAAGGTCAAAGCTTCCTTCACCTTGCACTTCCTGTGAAGAAATGTATTAGTCTCAGCTGTGATTGAACTAGAGTGTGAGCAGGAAATAAGTCATCCATCCTTTCCCTCACTGTCAGTCCTAAAATACCTCTGCGGCTCTAAAGCTCGTCTCCCGGGAAACAAGGGTGACCTCTCTGATGAGGTGACAGGGAGAGGGAGAGGGAGGTCATGGGGGCGTGAGCTCGGACGGGTGATATCTCTGGGCTTTCCTTGACAGTGGATGAAGGTGCCAACCAGTCTGTGACTCCCCACATGTACTTGTCAAGTAGATTATTCACAGTGCTGCACACAAAGATGAAACTGGCTGTTCCCAAAGAGAGGATGTCTAAATTTAGGCAGCAGTGTTTCAGGTCAATCACAGGCCAAACAGCCCAGTTTATGGAAAACTAAAGGAAGTAATCTACATCTAAAGAGAGTTATCGCAGCATTACAAACGAGCTTTCACCAAGATTACACACTGTACAGTAAGACTACACTTAGTGACTAAGCCAAGTATGTTGACCGTGTCCCTGAACTCAGTGATAGTGATCTGTGGAGAACATAAATGCTGAACATTTGGAGTGAAAAAATGAAAGAGCTATTTTCTCTCAGGCAGATCTACATCTGATTCAAAATCATGTAGGAGCTCGGACTGGTTTCCATGGCAGCACACAAATGTGTGCAACAAAACAGGCTGCCTCTTCGTTTGGAAAAGGTGTTTGATCATTTTAAGTGACATTTTTAAGAGGAGAAGGGGTTTGATTTTGTGGATTTATTGTTTGATGAAACAAGACTTGATCAGGGTGGGAAAATTAAACAATGGGAGATGTAGAGAGCCAAAGAGAAAGAGGTGTATGATGACAACTTTTACAGTTCTGAATCGGACTGTAAAGATAGGACTGTATCCTCGAAGTCAGGGCTTTATGATCCAACAGGGGAACATATAACTAAAACTGAGCAGAGCAGTTGTACAGGTAGTCAAGCTCTGCCCACAGAACATCAGCTGATCTTACTGTGAACACATATCAGCTGACAGCTCAGCTGATCACCTTCTATCCCATTGGACAATGTCACAATGAGCATCCTATTTAAACCACCACAGCCTGCCCACAGTCGCTGCCTCCTCTGCAAACCTCTCTGCAACCTTCCTCTGCCTCAGCTCCTCTCTCTTTATGCCGTGTCTGTTTTTTTTTTTTGAAGTGATGTTTTAGGGCTTTTTTTTCATTCCTATTCCTTTTTTATTTTCATTTTTGCTCTGTTTTTTTAAGACAAGACAGCTGAGGAGAGACAGGAAATGTGAAGTGTGAGGAGCAGCAGGGGAAAGAACACAGTAAAGAGTCATGGCCAGGAGCCGAAACAGTGACAGCTGGGACGAGGACTACGGCCCCTGTATGTAGGGCGCATGCTTAGACTGCTAAACCCAACTGTGTCTGATATTACCAGTGTCATGTGAATTGTTCCTGATTGTTTCTGTTCTATATATGAGGGGTCTTTGCTGCAGCTCTCCCTGCTTTGGATTTCATGTATGCTCATAAAACAGAAGGGAGGTGTACTCTTCCTACTACTGGTCTATCTCTCCACATATGTGCATGAAAGGGCAGGGAGCCCTCAGAACAGAGACATACTGCTGTATATAATAAACTGCATTTGAATAATGTAAATAATCAACTCTCTATGACAAATGTGGTTAATCCCTAAACGTATTTGTATAAATATCTACACAGTATTTTGAGACACCTTTGGTCAGGGAGCTGCTTTTAAGGGTAATATCAGAGCGATATTACATAATACACTACAGCTTGAGTGTGTTTTTGTGTCCAAACTTCAGTCTTAACTAGGGTGACCATGCGTCCTCTTTTTGGGGGGGCTGTCCAACTTGTCTGGGTTTGTCCAGGGAAGTTTAAAGAATCCTTCAAATGTCTGCGGTTTTGTACGTAAGTTTTGAAATTTGTGTCACATGGACCTACCGAGTTAGAAGTGCATAAAAGACACTTGATCTGACCCTAAAACTCTCAAAATTAACTTTGTGCGACTTCTTGACTCCACCCCCAAGTAGTCGTGTCCTCTTTGAAGTCAGAATATGGTCACCCTAGTCTTAACGGAAACAGATTTTTCCATTTTTTTAAGTGGACCTTCATGAATCTTACAAGGACTTCAAAACGCCTTTTTGAAAATGTATTGTCACATTATAACAAAATTTCTGCTCTGGGTGGGAGATACAGGGGCCCCAAATCTTTCTTCAGGTTATCTTGTAGTACAGGTAAGTGTTAGGTCCTGATTCAAGGAGGCCCCTCTGATATATCCCTGCCATGAGAATGAACTAGATTGATGGAAAACAGCAAACACAACATCCCTGGACATGGCTATGACTGGTGTGGAGTTAAACGCTGCGTTCCAGGTACCTCGGAAGTCGGAGCTGGGGATGACGCTACACCCGAGTTGATGGCGTTCGAGTAAACAAATCGGAAAACCAAGATGGACGCCTACTGTTAGCCACTGTTAGCTGTTGTTTACAATTGTCAGCTGTCGTTAGCTGTTGTCAGCTATACCAGTTGTAAAAAAACGCATTGTCATCAAGTTGGGGTTGGTGAGGATCATCTGACTTCCCGGGTCGGAAATCCGACTTAAGGGGTGGGTTCCTGATGAATTTCCGACTTGGAGCTTGAAAATTCTGACTTCCGGGTACAACTAGAACGCAGCATAACACCAGTATCAGACATGAACCATGCACCATCATTTCATGAAATGCACCCCGCTTTATCTTTTCTTTTCCATTTATCAGAATCATCCGATAATCAGATTTAAAGGTGACTCTTGTTTGTGAAAGTTTCTCTCTGTGAGGAAATGCTGCCGTCTGCATTGGTGAACTTGAATAATGAACTAAAGCAATGTTAAGAGGAGCAGAAATCTAGTCGTGAGGTTCTTTAAGCCCATTATGTGTGTGACCTATGGTGCTTAAGAGCGAGGTTACTCAATATAATCAATGCTTATGCACTATTCAAAAGCCGAGAGCTGCTGTGTCAAGGCCTGTCTGGGAATTTCTCTCTAAACAAGTCTCACAGTGAAGTGAAGCTGAGTGGTTCGAAACAAGTCGAAAAAATAAGATTATAAATGTTATACATAAGTCACAGTTTTTGTTTTTTAAAGGCTGATTTCAGAGAGTTCATAAGATCAGAAAGTTTCAATATTCGGTTCTGTGTTTCGTAATTTAACTTATATCGCAAGTATTTTTATTTTCTTCTTACAGTCTGTTTTTTGTGAAGTGGATTTGACAAATCACTTAAAACGCTGAAATATTTGACTCTCTATTTTGTGCTGTGTTGTCAGTACGGACAGGTCACTGTATCCTCACCTGGCGTCCGTTCCCCTTCGAGGCCTGGAGGCTGCAGCGGCCCAGGCTGCCGTTGGGTGTGGTGCCACAGCTGCTGATAATCTGCAGCTGTTTTTCTGCACGGTCCGCTCGATCCAGCAGCTCCTCGATGAACTGCTGCAGACGCACCTTGGCATTGGCTTCACGCGCCGCTGTCTCCTGGAGGAATTGGTCGATCTGAGCGACTTCCCTGAGGACAGAGAAAGAGGTAACGTTATCAAATTTTCACTGTGCTGTCTTGTAGCTGTGTGTGAATCCATTTCATCAGAAGGTAATACTGCTGATGTACTGCGTATAACTCCTGGCAAATGGCCTTTACTTAATTGCAGCTGTCTTGTCCTTTTGTACATGGAGACCACACACACACACTGACACTTGGTGAAAGACAAATATACCGAGCGGACACAAAGGAGGAGAGCGAGGGGGGGAGCGAGAATAGAAAGTGAGAGAGCAGCTGGATACATTCACCACATTTGGTACAGCGGGTCCAAGTTTAAGGCGGCACTGAGAATCAAAGGAAAAACATGCCAGGGAGTCAGACAGTGTTTGAAACTGCCTGCAGCATGCTACCCCTGCTGTGTATTTGTAGCATTGCTGCAAAGATTGTCTCCACTGTCATCTAATCAAAAAACAGACTAATGAGGAGCCTTTCATGTAAAGTTTCTGCATTGTTTGGAAATGGGCGTGGTTTGATGTTAGTCTTAACCAGCCTAAAGTCAATAATGTCAGCAAAGTGTTCACTGTTTACAGGAAACTAAAACAGATCAGCTGATGCCACCTCAATCCTCTTTTAAACCACTTGGGGGCAGCAGAAACAAGTCATGAGCGCCTTTCATGTTTTAGTTCAGAGCACATCTACATATCAGCTGTTAAGTCTATATGCTTGCCAACCAACAGTTGCTTATTTCCATATACAGCAGTCAATCAGTATGCTCGCTATGACTGGAAACAACGCGGATGGGAGCAGCGAGACTGCACCACAACAAGCTGCGGGCCATAATAAACACGAGCAGCTAGATGCATAAATCAGTAACTCCCAGAGAGATGTGGAACTTCATATTGCTAAAGAAAAAAGAAAAGAAGTGACATGTTAATCATTATTATCTGAGTCTAGGACATCTGCAGGTGCTCATTTGGTCTGACCAACCATCCAAAAAAAACAGATATGCATTTTTGCACCATACAGGTAATAAAAGCTGATGTGTTTCAACACCAGTTTTCATTAGACAAGCCTTTTCAAATCTAAAAACATCCAACTTGTATCCTCTGCAGAGCTGTCGTCTCCCTTTTTTCTGCTTTTCATGGGTAACTGTCTTCATACGGGACTTCCTTCATCCCCTGAGCATGTTTGTCTGACACTCCACTGTCCGGACAAAGCAGAAAGGAGAGCTTAATGTAATGACACAGACATCTGACCTTGACAAAGACTGAAAAGCTATTAGAAGGATCAGACTGTCACTGCGGACAGGACACACGGACATAAATCTGAGTGCTTCCAGTTTGAAAACGAAGCAGCTCATCAGTATGGATACATTCATGTCCAGCTGCTGTGGAGCATGCACTCCTCTTAACCATTATTGAATGCAGAGCCTGTTTAAAAACAGTAACAGCACACACACACACACACACACACACACACTCCGGGTTTTCTTGAAATGGGGGCACTGTGAGATAAGAATAGTTGGAGTCTGGCACAGTTCTTATCCTCCGGCAAAGATCACAAAAAATACAACTCCAAAATTAGAGAGTTTGACCTTCAGGGAGAAATGGAAACTCATGTGCTATTATATCTGTGAATAAACAACAGCTTAAATGAAGGCAAACTCATTACCATAATGTCTTTTACAGTCCCGGTTCAGGTTTAGTTCTCACAGTAGTCACTTTTCTGTTGGTATCACACTCAGGAGGGTTATATGATCTATTGCTGTTTATGTGAAATGTTTTTCAAAGGCTCTTTTCTATGTGAAAGACGTTTAAAATCTAAAGACAGTTGTTTTGTAAGATGAAAAAAAAAAAGACCCCATCCTTGCAGAAGAGGACACTCACTGAGGAGATTTACAGACAACAACAAAAAGCACAAAAACCGCCTCAGTTCCAACTCCTTTCATCCATCATACTTCCGTTGAATGATGAACTTTCCTTTTCACAATCCGAAAAGAAATGAGAGATTTCAGCTCAAATAGCCACTTCAGGAAGTTTTCAGCAAAGATCTTTCAGGGACAAAGCTCAACACAAGAACAGCAGACATCCACATAAAGAGATGTCATAAGTATAATCAGTTACGTTTTGAACTTGCTCTATTTTGATCTATTTAACACTGTTGGATAAGACGTCCGTGTCCTCAAGCTAATATAGCTGTATAACTACCAGACAAAACAGCTTTCTCATAATGAAATTACAACATTGAAAAAAAAGTCAGTCTTATTTCTTTTGTTGGTCATAAAGAGGCATCTCTTTCAGTCAGTTTCCCAACCAGTTAAAAACTCCTCATAGTAGCTTTTAAGTTGAGCTTTGTTAGTTTTGTTATTTGATGCAATAAAAGGGGCACAACAGCACCAGCCATGTTTACATGTGCAAAATTTCTTGATACGACTAAAAATCTGAGGGATCAGATAATCCACTGTTTATATGGATGCAAAATCAAATAATCTGATCATGCCGTGCGTATACATGCACCAAGTTTTATTCAGATTAGAAGCATTTGGACATGCGCAGAGTTGTCTGATTTTGCTAAAACAAACGCAGAAGAAGAGTTGTATTTACGCCTGTGCTGTCAACAAACCAACAAACGCAGTAGTGGCTCACCCCATCCAATTCAGGAGTTTTCCCCTGTTAAATGTTGTCACTAGATGGCGCCCTTGCTTACTTATTTTACTGTTCTGTCAAAGGTTGCTCTGTGCTTACAGATGTGACAGATGTTATCAGAGGAGCAGACACGGCATCTGTGGTTCTGTTTTATGCCAGAGTGTCAGGTACTGACCTCAGTAAATAAGCCAAAGGCTAAAGGGTGGAAATCGAGTCAGGTAAGAAAGTCACGATCGCAGAGGTGGGAATTGTGGAGTCAGCAAGCCATCTTCATGCCATGTATTTGTTCTGCTCGGTTACTGAACCAGGTGCCTTCATTAATGAGCTCACCTTCCTGGCTGCTCATTGGAAGCAGCTGGTTCAGTAACTGAGCAGAACAAATACATGGCATGGAGGTGACTTGCTGACTCCACTATTCCCACCTCTGCACAATCGGAATACATGTTTACATGGACAGGTTTCGGAATAACGATCAGCATAAACCCCTCTCGATCGAACAAAATTTCTTTCCAATTGAGCCGAATTGTATCAGAATCTTCCGATCGACATGTTTACATGACGTATTTTATCCCGATCGGGCATTCGTTCCGATTATTTGTGCCGATGTAAACGCAGCTAGTGACCGACACCTCTGTTGACCTGTGTCTTCTGCTGTGTGCACATTTAAAAAGGAACAGAGGAAAAACCTCTTCATCTACAGTCACTGGGCTCTCTAGCTGCTAAATAATGTTCACAAAGCAGTCAGTAACATATTCTTTTCTGGAGAATGTGATAAAAATTCAAGGTGAATATGACAAGTGACAAGATTGCAGAGACTAAAACTCCTGTTCTTCTATTATGCATACATATGGTATGGATATGAAAGAAAACAGATGCTGGTCAGAAGTGCTCTTGTCAAAACAACACGCATAGCCAAAAAAAAAAAAAAAATCAGCACAATAAATCATTGAGTCATCCCGCTCTAGAAAATGCAAATCACTAATGAGCCCAGGCATCGTTTATTTGAATTACATGAATGGAGCTGTACTTAACATGATGCATGTTATAGCCTGAAGCTCAAGTTTTCCTCTTATTATTCAACACAAGAGAACAATGACTGAGCGCTGCTTTAACTCCAGCCCCCAGTCATGAGAACATAAAACTTCCTTAAAGCTGCTATTAGCTGAAGAGCTGCATGTGGTTTAACTGCACCATACATGAGGCAATTTGCATTTTGCAAAGCATCTGTAATTTGTCTCGGTTAATTATTCATCGTATCAGATTTTTGTTGTTACTGCAGACAGATTTATCAATCCCATGAGGGGGGGATGTGTTGGAAGCAACACAGGAAAGACTTCTCCCTCCCTGTCTCTGTGTTATTGATGCACCAGAGTACCGAGCGAGCTCACAGCATCTTCATGGAGAAGGGAGGGAATCGGGAATTTGATTGAAAGGCCTAAGATGGGAGTTGGATGAAGGGCTACAGGGAAGAAGAAGAAGAAGAAAAAAAGCTCTACTCGACCCAAATGGACATGCAAGAGGCAGAAATGAAGAGAAGTGATAAAAAAAATCCACTGGAGGAGAGAATAGACTCTAAAGCTGTGAGGAGAAAACACTGCAGATGCTAAAGCAACAGACGGCAAACAGAAATCTGCAGTCATGTGGAAGCAGAAAGCAAAGGAGGGTTTGGCAGAGGAGTGGAGAGAAATGGGATGTGGCCGCTTCCTGTTGTCAATCCTAATTTTAACACATGCCCCTCACTCTAACAGCCTGACTCACTCTTAGACACCTCAAATATAGAGCCTGAAGGTGAGAAACACGCCTGCCTGTTTAACCCAGACTGTGAGGAAGTGCTATCTTTCCTGAGTGATGAACACGGAGGTCATTAGTCTGGAGCGATATTCAAAGAAATTGACTCAGTGGCGGATCTTCAGTGCTCTGACACTGTCATCAAAGCAGAGTCATGTCTGAGGATAAGGAGAAACAACAAATGTGGCCCTTGTGAAGGAAGTTTCCTGATGGTGCTGTGGAGTTTCATCTCCCTTCTGTTTGTTTTCTGCTCACATACACCTACAGCTCCAGCTCCAGCTTTAATAATGCATGAATAAACTTGGCTGTGATACAGTTCAGCACATAAATTACATTTTCTATAACAAGTCCAGTTTTATGCGGGGGAATGGACAACATAAAACTTCTAAAACAGTAGGCTATCATGGTAAATTTGTGCAATAACACTCTCTCAAGTACACATACTCCTATGAATGGAAGTGACCCAGTGGTTAAGTCACTTAAGCTGCGAACATAACTGTTTGTAACAGTGATGTGTTGTCAGGGGAGGCAGGAGAGGCCGTGCCTGACCTGTCATTATGGAGAGAAAAAAATGTAAACGGTTATATTTATCGAGTGATTTGCACTATAAAGGTATTTTCCATTTAACTTTTTGATTATTTTTTATTCAAAAACTCTGAGTTTTCACATTTACTGTTCAGATCATAGACTATATAGAATGGACAGAGTCTGCCTCCTCACAGGATGAAGCCACCCTGAGAACAGCACCCTCTGGTGACAGGCTGAAGTTTAAGTCATAAATCCCGCCTCCGCCAGCAATTCCTATGGAGCTGTGGACAAACTTTAGAAACTTATTACACAGAACATACATTTTTTCTCTCCCCTGCTTGCGACGTTGACATATAGTTATTGTCAGACTGGTTTGTGTTCAGGTCCTCTTTTTTTCTGTACAGCTCCATTTTTAAAAGTTATTAGGGGGTTCATGTTTTCTATGATTGACACTTGATACAGCCTATGGGTGTACGAAGATTGCGTAGCTCACTGGGGGACACGCTGTTTGAGCTGAGCGTCATCACTGCGATTCTAATGCTGAATTCGCACAATGCTACTGCACAAGTGCTGGAGAGTGTACAACGCTACAATGTTGGTTTAGCTGATATGAGATTTTAAACATAACCCGTTAACTTCTGCCAATCAAATGGTCAATAAACTTCTCTGTAGGGTTCATATGTTTGAAAATCTGATTGTGATGAAGTCAGTGCCTCACCAACCATGATCCTCACCGCACGTCACTGGTTTGTAAGTTGACTTTGGTGCCTCACCTACATTTTTGATGTCTGTTTAACTATAAGAAATTTGTCTTCTTTTACACGCCGCACAAGTTATGCTCCTCTATCTTGTATTTACAGTGAAAGCAAAATTGTTGCACCTCCTCAAACTTTCTGACAGGACCTGTTGTTGAACAAGATGGCATGAACATGAATGCAGAGTCAGGTAAAAACAGGAGTCAGTCCCTATGTGATATGGACAAAATCATAAATCACTATTACCTCATTTATTTTCAGAAGCTCCTGTCTTCTATACGCTGTCTTAACTCAACCAGCACCTGAACTCTGTCCTATCTCGTATCTTCATCTTGTTTTACAGCTTCTATTGATGTGCTATATTGAATTACATACGAGTGATAAGCTCTGATGCAAACACTGTGCCTCACTTAATCCTTTCATGAACACAAACAGCAGAGATTTGATCAATAGCTCTGATTAGAAGGAACAAGGTCAAAGTTCTTTGTTTTATTCTACCACACATTCAGCATCCGTACAACAAACCCCAGTCCTGCTCTCTGCTGGTTTCTCTGATAAGACACAAACACTTTACATGCATTTATCTGATGCCTTGTTGTCCGTTTCAGCCCTTGCAATACTGAAAAATACTGAATTTATTCATTCTATGCTGGATTTGGGGCACGAGAGCTTGTAAACATCCTTCTGATTTTTTTCATCACACAATAGAAAATGAGCTTTGAAGACCTAAATTAAAGCTCAGTGCTTCTGCTCGGGTTCAGAGAAATAATGAATAGCTAAGCAGAGCGTGTTAAATTTCCCTTCCACTTAACAACCATAACAAATAGTGAAGTGCTGCAGAGACATTCAGCTGCGCAGAGCCTGATTAATAAGGAATGATCTTCTGAATGATTCTCCTTAAATGTTAATTACAATCACTGGTCAGCCTCCTTTCACAGTTGTCATCATCTCTGTCCATTAATTCAAAATTATGCCTCATTAATATTTAAAAGCAGGGATGACTGACTGGAATGCCTGGATGAGGAAGATAAAGGTGTTGCATGCCACTCTGAGGAAGGACAGCTGCTTGCTTGCGTGTTGCTTTGTTTGACACCTGGATCAAATAGCGTTTTTTTAAGTCGACTACTGCATGTTTTCTTTCAGAATGTCACACATGCAGTATTCTGGAATAACATACAAGAACACAAAGGGGTGGCATGAGGAGAAATATAGGGAATATTGCTGCATTTACGGAGAAGAAAGGCCTGAAAGGATGCGAGAAAAAATGACGAGGCATAGGGTGAAAAACACAGTCGCCAAAGCCTCCGAAAAAGGGAAGAGTAATAATTAGTTTAGGCTTTAGAGAAGAAAACACAGATAACAACGTCAGGAGAAAAATACATATTCCGAATACTGTTGGTAGTGGCGAAAAAGGCCATTACTAGAAATTGGCTCAAAACAGATGCACCAAAAATAGAGGATTGGGTAGAGGTAATGATCAATATATAAATATAGAATGGAGAAGCTGACTTTCTCATCTAGACTAAAAACAGATATTTTTAAAAATTACTGGAAAAATTTTGTGTCTCAATTGAGAGTGGACTTTGTGCAGTAAAGGCATTGCGTATTGTAGATTATTGATACCCTTGGTTCAGGCTACAAACTTGTTAATTGTTCATATTTTTAGTATGTTTATCCTCTAACAGGAGAAAAGGGACAATGCAAGAGAGGCGTGAAAATAAGGACATGAGTGAAAAGTGTTTCATTTTACTTCACAGTTATTCTGCTGTAACTTTACTTGAGAATTTATGTCTACGTCTCTGCTCTGTGATGCAGAAGTATGCAGATATTCTATACAGTTGGAAATTTGTTCAGTATATGTAAAATGTTGATATGTAAAATCAATAAAAAAAGAAATTGAAAAAGAAAGAAAAAGAAAACACAAACTGCCGAGTCCTTCAACTAAATAACCGATGATGTGTGCGATACAACAACTGAATCATTCATTCATTTGACGGGCTGCAGCCATGTCCAGCCGAGAGAAGTCACATGAATTCTCACCACTACACTACTGTACCATGGGAAAAATCGAAAGCTCCAAAGCAACGCTGTCAGATTTTTTCAGGATTTATTCTAATTTATTTTTAGACTAGACTCAAACAGAGAAGCTTCAAAGCTACTGTAGACGTATGTAAGGGATACATACATTTCACATATACACTGGGGAACTCCTCATCCGGTTGATTCTGTTTGACAGCTCCAATGGAAAGAGAAATACATCATGACAGCATTGTCTCGATATCAGGTTTCATCTTGAGAACCAAACACGTCCTGACACTAAACCCCCTCTGCATCATACGAGCGTCGTTCACTCCCATAATCAGAGTGAATCTCCACGCAGCGGTTACTTCAACCTTTCATGTCAGCTATAACAAAACGAGAGAGAAGAGACACGTGTCCACTGGAAGCTTGGCTACAGCCTCCTTCCTGTTTCCTTTTTGAGTTTCATCCGGCCTCAAGGACGCACATGTCAGTTTTTCTTCTATTAAATGATCGACATGAACAGGCATCTGCTTATAAATCCAGCTCTAACCGAAGGCGAATGTCCACTAGATAATCCATGTGCTTCAATCTGTGTTATCTGATAATATGCAGAATACTTTCTTATCGTGAGCCACTTCATATTACTGCTGGAAATCTGGATGCTGTTTCTGCTCACATCATTTTGTTGTAAACTGTATAATTTTCTCTAAGTAGCACTAAATTAAAGTCTTTGAATATCAAACCGCAGATATCCACAACCAGTAGACGAGCTCTTTTTGAGTTCCTGACAATGCTGATACACACCTCTTTTAAATCATTGTGCAAAGCTGCAGGAAATGACCTCTTGACGAAGGTCATTCACAGTGAATTGCATGCTGTAAATTCACTTTTCATTGCATTGAAGTGTTTTTCAATCCAAACCATGTTTATACACAATATAAGAACAGGAGTTTTAGTCTCTTCAATTTTATCACTTGTCAGATTCACCTTGAATTTTTATCACATTCTCTTCAAGAATATGTTATGAGCCTAGTTATCATATGACTAAATATGGAGCTGGAGATGTTTTTTCCATTAGAGGGATATTCCGGCTTAAAATTAATTTAGGGTCAAACACACCGTAACACCGAGTTAGACATTCTGTCGAGAGATGAATGTTGCTGATCGCTTGCTTCTCTAGTTATACCAACTTTAGTAACGGCCGCACAATAGCAATACACAGCGATCTCAGGAGCCACGCGCTCAACTAAAAAGCCACTCTATAGCCAGCAGCCGCTTGTTTGTACGGAGACTTTAGACTAGTCCATCACAGACTGCTATGGGGTGACGCAGCTCAAGGAAGAACATGTATGAACATTTCTTCATGGAAATGTAATCAGACCGTGATGCTAAGGCAGAAGAACTACCACATCTGCAGTGCAAAATTATAAATATGGTGATTATTACTTCAAGGAAATGATTAAGTAATTATCATAAATGTTCTTCCTTGAGCTGCGTCACCCCGCAGCAATCTGTGATGGACTCATCTGAGGTCTCCGTACAAACAAGCGGCTGCTGGAAGAGAGTAGGTGAGTTGTGTTTAGTCTCTTTGCTAAAGAAATTCGGCAAAGCTAAATAGATGTTTGGTGGCTAGTACTATGGGTAGGCCCCTATATGTGCTGTTGATGAAGTTAGGTGCTGCTCTGACCATTATTTGTGGCTTTTTGGTTGAGGTTTGTTTATGTCTCCTCAGATCGCTGTGTACTACTATTGTGCGGTCGTTACTAAAGTTGGTATAACTAGAGAAGCAAGCAGTCAGCAACATTCATCTCTCGAAAGGGTGTCTAACTCAGTGTTATGGTGTGTTTGACCCTAAATTAATTTTATGCCGGAATATCCCTTTAAACAGTGCATATAGCTCTGCAGAAGCCACGGGTCAACAGAGGTGTCAATCCAGGCATGTTTAGTTTTTTTCGTTAACCCAACTATCCACTAACCTCTCTGACATCTGTCTCTGCAGTGCTTGGCTGGATATTTCTCTACTGCCCTGTGCTTCATCTTATTCTGACACACACAGTTTTAACATTAATACTCCAGGACAGAGCCCAGATTACATCTATCTTCATGGCAGGTGTCAAACTCATATTAAGGTGCAGCCTCTTCACATTCTTAGACGTCCTCAGATCACGTTTTTACTCTGATTTCTTTTCATCAGAAAGCCTTCAGATGTCCTGCTATCCTAATACTTCCCGCTCCATTCTCTCTCTTGGTCGTACTGTTAATGAGGCGAGTTAGCTGAGCCCCGACAGCTTCACTCTGCATTTAAAACAGCTGCTTGGGGAGAGACGCCCTTTTATTTTTTAAAGGAAGACACAGTGACAGCAAATAGAAAGAATTTTTCATGTTCCTCAGAGCTGTCAGCTCTCTGATGCAGCACAGGGAAACTTCCTTTATCACAACTGCTGATAGGAATAAATCAAGCCTTTGTGTCCAGGCTGTCTGCAGCAACTGTGTGTGTTCATGTGTGTGTTTTTATGTGTGTGTGAGTGCTGTATATGATTTCAAACCTCACAGGACTTTTCTCTGCACTGCTCTCCTCCCTTTTTCTGATCATGACCACCTGCAAAATGTACAACCAGCAACTGCAATGCTGCAACATTTACTTCTCCTGTTTACACAGCAAAAGATAGTAAAAAATACAGTTTACCTTTACAGCAATTGAAAAAGTGTGGCTACAAAATTATTGTAAATACTCCCTTTTATCAACACAAGCTCAACAAAAATGGCAAAGAAGTATTACAAAAGTATTTCAAAGATCTGTAAACATGAATATTTCAAGTACTTCAAGTTTTTACAAAAGTGTCCGAAAATTAAACAGAAATAAGCCTAAAATTGTCCCAAAGCCAATTATGTGTCTACAAAATAAAGCCGCAGAGGCTTAAATGTAGAAGACTTTAATCCCTGAAAAAGACAAGCCAGTCTCCAGATGAAGGAACTATAGACCAGGAACCATAGGAACCATGGACTGTGCCTATCATAAAGATAGTCTTACTGTCTTCACACACCAAGTGTTAGTACAATCATTCGCGTGACTGAATTACATGTTAAGTCAATGCAAAGACGTGATTAGACGCTCCTACTCCTCTGGCGGCGCAAATGACGCGAATTGGGCGGGAGCTGAAAACGTCTCAACTTGAGTGGATATTCGCGGTCATGATAACCAATCAGCATGAGGGTTGCCAGGTGGCGTATGAAATGGGCGGTTGTTCACTGGTATCTAAAATGGAGGACAAACTGATTACGTCGGTGTGTGGGTGCCCTGAATTATAGGATACCTTTTCTTTTAATTATCAAACCAGAATAAAAAGGAGCTCGCCTGGAGGCAAGTGAGTGAAGAGGTCGGATTACCTGGTAAATTGCAAAAAAAAAAAAAAAACTTTGTCTATCACTTGATCTCGCCGTTTGAATAGGCAGGAATTATGGTTGAAATTACTGTTGATGCACAAATGCAGTGAGTAAATACTGTTCATTCACACGTCTACATGTGCGCGAATTAAGTGAGTAGATGATTTTACCTGCGCTTGGTGTGAGCGCCCAATCAGTTTGTTCAACTTGTAAGGGTCATATTGGTAATACTGACTAAAAAAAATCAGCAACGCCCCTAATTTTGCATGAATCTTAACCATCGAAATCACTCCATCTGTAGTTGTCACTGATAATGTAACAGATATGAGCAACTGGAATCAAATTTGTTCCTTGGGCCAGGCTGTGAGCAGGTTTAATTCTGCTGTAAAAACTGAGTTTTTTTTCTGGCTTTTGAAGCCAACCTCAAGTGGAGACCGGAGGAACTGCAGCCTCTGTGTTGGCTTCAATTTCCAACACCAGTTTGCTGCTTGAAAGAGTAAACATTAGCCAGCCAACATCAGCTCTTTTTAAATTACCTTGCATGAATCCTAATTGGTCATTTGAACACTAAGTGGGAGATAATTGGTCTCATTCATAAATAATCACCTAAAAGAAATAAATAACTCCAACAAGTAAGGGTATAGATTTCTGGTCCTTGATTCTGCTTTGCACTTTATATCATTCCAATAACAATGAATAAATACTTTACTTGTATAGCACTTTTCAATAGAGATAACAAGGTACTTCACAACTGCAATAAATACCAAACAATGAAACAAATGTAAACCATACAAAGCAGACAACTGAGTAAAATCAAAGTCTGTAATGAAAAATGGAATAAAATCCCAAAGTATATGAACGAACAAATCTATAAATTAACTGATTGTTTGAGCTCTTATTTGTGTCACTCGATTGTAAGGATTAAACAGGTGTAAATGGCACTGTATTATCCCCCTGTACAACTCACACACACACCTGTCCCATGAGATAAAGCAGGATTAAGAAAGAAAAGAAGCGCCTGATAATCCGGCAGCTGCTGGGGCACAGGGCAGTATAATGTCCTGCTGCAGGAGCGCTCAGTGAGGCCAGCCATCATTAAAACAGATCACAAACTGTGCTGTATTAAATGTTACAGACAAGATCAAAGTTAATTAGAGAGCTCTTCAAAATAATCTACTGGAACAATAATAAGACAATTGGCCTATTAGTGAATGTAATAATATGATTGTGGCTAAATGAACCTTGCTGTAGTTCTTCAAGACATCCATAATAGCTGGAAAGATTCAGACAGTATTGGGAGCATTTCTGTGACAGCCACAAAATGAGGTTGTTTGCCTAATGTGAGAGAGAATCTGTAGCTCGCTGAAATGATGGAGATAACCGCCCCACCATTTCTCATTCCTCCTCAGGCTGCAGTTTCTGCTGATTACAGCTGCTCGCGTTTCTTCCAGCTGCCACTGAACCACTTAACAGCCACGCTCCAGGGACTCTGTTATTCATTTAGTGTAGATGCTACAGAGTGGAGTGATGTTTATCAGTATGCATTTTCTGTGACTGTCACAGAGGAGGCGGTGTGGCTTTCTTTGCGTATTGTTGTTGTTTGTGAATGAATTTTGCTGCAAACTCGAACTGCACACTGAGATTACAGTCTAAAGACTTACTGTACCTGCGGCATTTTGCGTGCTCCTCATAAATGTTTACAGTGTTCCTGTGTGCTGAATAAATTATTATGTTGTGTCACATTTTATGCATACTGATCCTCACAGTGAAAGCCGGTCGTAGGAGTTTCCTCTGGTTGCATAGCAACTCAAAGGGAGGTGACTCACATTTTTAGCATTTGCCACCATGGATGTGCAAACATGATGCACATTTCTTTGAAGGAGTTTCACAGATTCCCCAAAAGCCACTTTTGAGCTTTAACAGTGCTTTAAAAAATCAGCTGGGTGAATTAGACGGACAGATTTGACTCAATAAGCTGCTCTGTGTCTGCTAACTACTGCTTAGTCATCAACCCCGCTGAACATTCACCGACTGTGATGCTCTTTTTCCACATCAGACTCTGCGTTTTAGAGTCTGAATGAGCTTTTTGTTTGACTGCCAGCTTCTCCTCAAAGGCACAGACGAAGGAGAGTAAGGAGAAGGAGAGACGGGGCTGCTGGCACAGCTAGGAGGCAAACAGGAGTTTAAGGGAATGACCTTCCCAGTTTGACACTGCCAAGTTTGGATAACACAAGCGCAGACACTGTGACCTTTAGAGGAGAAGAGCTGGACTAAACAGAAGAAAAGAACACTTTTTTTTCTCCTCCTTTTTATTCACTGCATTGAAACACTGTTTGTTTCATTCTGTCACAAGATTAGATAAGCCAGCTTTTATTACAGGTTGAACCATCTCTCTCTGATAATGGAAAAAGAAAAAAATAACAGCTATTTGACACTAAAGACACAAAGAGGATATTCATAGGAAATTATTGAAGGAGCTGTGAAAAACTTAGAGTGTGGGATTTTAAAGGTAGACTTTTAGAAGCTGAGCTCAGAGGATGCTGGGAAAAAGACAGCAATAGATAATATGGACTGTGGGTAAACACCTAAACACAATCAAGGGGATCAAATAACACTTAAAAACATTGACTCTGTAGAGCAACTTTAAGGTCGGAGTCTCACATTCAACTGTCACGGAGTCTGAGGTAGTAACAGAGGAGTCACCAGGTGAGACAGGATTTATGTAAGGTTGAAGATCAATCCACCCACAATCAATGCGGGGCAGAGCAGCGCTGTGTGTGCATGCCTGAGTGTGGTTCAGCTTCGCGGTGTGCCTACTGAACTCCCAGAACGTTGTATTCAAATGTGAGATTACAGGGAACTCGATATCGCACCTCTGTGGATTCATTCAAAAGTACAAGGGTGTAAAAACAGACCGTGGCCCGGTTATGTGGGCTCAAGATGTAAAAACGGCTCCAACCTGGGCCAGGTTCATTAGACAGGTGGTAAATTTTGAATGTCTGTTGCAGTGTTGTGGCAATACCAAAATTTTGACTATGACACTGATACCAAAGATGGTACAATGACTTGAAACTGAAACAACACTGGTTTCAGTTCACTGTAAATCAGTAAAGGACATATCCACAGGCCTGTACATACAGACACACACACACACAGTGCACTGATATGTGCTGTTGTCTGTGAATAGATAGAGGCCAAGCGCCTTACAGTCTCTGACCTGCTGACATTGGGCTGATAAAGAAACTGAGGGGAAGTGATAAAAACCAGAGAGAAGATAGAGAGAAGAGGCTGGCTGTCCTGTCAGATAAAAACACAATACAGACACCAGATGACTTCAATACGAGCTTTGGCTGATAGTTCGGATCACGAGAGCCTGTGTTAGTGCATGTAGAGACCATAAAAGTACCATGGCCTCAACTATAAAAGAGGACAATAACTATATGTTTTGAATGTCAATGGCAGTGTTTGAGCAAAGAGCCCAATCCAATCCCAGAAAGAAAAAAAAAGGAGAAATATTATGTTAAATCTAGAAAATGAATGCACTGCTTTGTTTCCGTCCATTATTATGTTTGCATTGCTTCTAGCTTTCCAAACAAACTAAAATTAGAGCTGATGTTTGGCACACACGATAAATGACTGAGATTAATTAAAACTACTCTGCCTTTCATACTTTTTGCACCATGCTGCGGGAGAACTGCAAATCATGCTTATCCGATTCAAAACCAACAATAACGTGCATCCCCACGCTGTGATTTACATTCAAGGACTTCTTCTATTTCCAGCGGCTGCACTTTAACAACCTCATGAAGCAGCATGGCAACTTTACAGAGGGACAGGCCCGAGACAGAGACAGGTGGAGGAGTAACCAGACATCTCTGCTGCAGACCCAGCTGTTCCCGAGTCTCCCTTTCAGCCTGAGCAGCTAACTGGCGCTGCAGGGTATGGGTAAATGGAGACAGCAGTGGGACAGATGCTGACCACATCTGGTGGGAGGATATGACTGAGAATTACTCCTTCACAGAGAGACAGAGGTGAAGGAGAGAAGGGAAATGTGCATGACAATGTGTTCAGAAGAGAGAAGGTAATGAATATATAAGAGCTGTCTGTACTGACACCAAGGGTACTGATTTTCAAGGGTGTTCACTTTTTACTCCTTTCCTGAAATAGGTTTATTAAAAGACAAGTTTTCAATCTTTCTCAATCTTATGTCAAGTCTGCCAGATGGTGCAAAAGTTAGTGGTGTTCATTTAATCCGGGACTGTTTTAATGACTCGTAAAAGTAGAAGACATATATTTTAGGACTGAGTTTTAAATTCATGGCCTCTTCATTCTCCTTAGCCCTTTTCACACGTGCACTTCTCTCTGAAAGTTCCACGACACTGAACACCCAAATCTTTTTAGTTTGAAGATAGCGTGAAAGGCAGTTATGGAGATCATGAATGTTTTTGAATCGAGAGAAAGTCAGCAGCTTCTTTGTGACAATGTCGAGAACTTTCCAGGAGGGAAGTGCATGTGTGAAAGGGGCTGATTGGAGTAGAATAAAGATGTCATGAATTTAGGCTCAGTCCTAAAAAAATTCACATTTAAGAGGCATTACTTTGAGATTTTAGGGCATTTTTGCTTCAATAGTAACTTGATCCCTGTAATATATCAGCTTAGTACTAAGTTATTGAACAGGCAGTCCAGCTTTTAATGACACATCTTTCTTGATTTACACACGTTGCAAAAAAGCACAGCAACAGATCAGCAGCAGCTCTAAACCCGCTCCAGGTCAGAAATAAATCACTTACTGTTGCTTGTGAGTGAGCTCCTCCTCCTTGTTCACGAGGTCCTGCTTCAGGCTGGCTAACATTTCCACAGAGACGTCCACCTGCCGGGAGAGCTCTGAGGCCTTGTCCTCCAGGTCCTGTTTCTCCTGGCTCAGCCGCTCGCTCTCCTGTTTGGCTCGCTCCAGCTCGGAGCTCTTCCTCTCCAGCTCCGCCTGAAGACGACCTACGCGGGCCGCTATTTTCTGCTCCACCTACAGGACAAGAAGCATATGAGCCGCCTAATGTCCAACTTTAATCAGTAGAAAATAACTTGCAATGCAAATGAGGCATCTAAAATTATAACAACACCAGAACAGGCTTAATTCTTTTGGATCATCTTAACCACACAGTTGTTCCCTAATGTCTGCAAAATCTCTCTGGATCAGAACGGCATCATGCATGCATGAATCATCTTTGTAGAAATGAAGAATTAAAAATGACCATGCCTTTTCAAGAAGCCTCATCTTTGTTAACCTTCAGTTTTTGGGACTTTCTGAGTCCTCATCATGCAATCTTGAGTGTCAACACCATTATTGGATGGTTTATTATTCTGATCTGAGAGGTGAGTATTCTTTTAGGTGTAGTTATTGACTTTAACTTGTACTGAGGATGATGTCTTTCAAAGAAATCTGTTAGAAAACTTCTTTATGTGGACGGGTTTTAAAGATACAGCACGTGTTTCTTTTATCTCAGAGAAATCTTCGAGTTCTGTCAAATTTAAAGGTTTCCTGTATCAAATACTTCAAGATCTATTTTTACCATTATGTTTTCACCGCCTTTTGTATGAAGAACAAAGTAGCAATGTACCAAGTAAGTTGTCAGTGTCCAGCTCTGGCTCATAAACTTTGTATTTTAAAGTTTGCTGATGTCTGCTGAGCTTGTATTCCTTTATTTAGCCATATGCCGGTGTAGTTATGCTCTGTACCTCTTCAGAAAGCTTCTCCAGCCTTTCATCCAGCTCCAGTCGTTCAAACGCCCGAGCCTTCAGCCTGGCCAGACCTTCCTCATAAGCCGCCTCTACAGCACTGGCCGCTACATTAGCTGCCACCGCTACAGCTGTGCTGGGGTTTCCATGGGGACCAGGGTCTGTGGATGTCATGGCTTTCTTCATGAAAATCTCCCCAAGGGGAAACTCCACATTGGGGATATACCTGGCCGCGGTGTTGGAGTTGGCTGGGGTCAAACTCAAGTCGTCGGGACAGGGAAGCTCACGGCAGGGGAAGCGCCGCTCCTTTAAAGCTGAAGGCCGCAGCGGCTCAAATGGTTCGTTGTTGTTGGCGGGCGTGAGGAGAGCTCCTTCTGCCACAAGGGGCAGCAAAGCTGCGGCGTCACACACACTGTTGGACTTAGAGAGGACGTAGAGGGTCTCGTATGTGTGGTTGTACTCCAGGTGGGCACGCAAGGACGACAGGCTTCGGAAGCGCTTGTGCTCCCCACAGCGAGGACAGCGGTATGGCAGGTCCAGAGAGGCCATTCCTCGCAGTAACTGCCAGAGGAGGGCGGGCGCTCACGCGGCACAACGGCGGTGCCAGTATGAGGGCACAGAGGTCGAGCACCAGACAGAGCCTCTCATGGTGAAAACTGGGCAACTAAGGTAAGTCAGAGGGAGGAAGAAGAGCGATCCCATGTGCAGTGGAGGAGCCCAGCTCGTCACATGACTTGACATGGTGTCAACATTCAGTTGGTGGATTCACGCCATCCTTCATGGTTCCCCTGCATGAAGTCCTAAAAACAGAGCAAAGACACTGTGGATGTTCATTCTCACCAGATGAGGATAACAAACATAACCAATCAATCAATCAACCAATCAGTCAATCAAACTTTATTTTTAAAACACTTTTCATGCATGAAATGTAGCACAAAGTGCTGTCCATACGTGCTGAATATTACAAAACAATGAAGTAAAATAAAAATACAAATACCAAACCCCACCCACGCTCCCAACCCCAATTCAATACATACAGCACTCACACACTTACACACAGACACACACTCCAAAGACCAGGTGAGGACTCTTCAACTTGCCACAATGACTGAGGAAACACCATCTTGAGTCAAAAAAATGAGGAAACACTGGCCCTAGGACTAAAACGATAAAACCATAATAAAATATAATAAAGGTGATAAACCTTCAAAAGCTAATTAAATAAAACAGTCTTAAATTCAAGCAATAAAAGAAATTAAATTAAAAAAGGGATCATAAAACACAAAATCGTTACTCTAGGACTAAAATCGCGTAAAATCACATAATGCAGATTAAAAGTTTAAAACAAAATTGAACTACAACCAAGTTAAATGGATTTCTGAAACAAAGTTAATGACAAAAATACAAAGAACATACTGAGGAACCAGCAGGGGTGAAAGTAGGGTAAGGTTCTTGCAGGTACTGGACCATAGGCTTTGTACAAGAGGAGCACACCCAAGTTTAACAAGGTGTTGACTCTGATGCCACAGTATCATCATCTGCTCCATCTCTCTTTCTCCTTAACATAAAATCAACTTTTCTCTGCATTTTGTTTTATTTCCGCATTAAGATTGAAGAAGCTGCCTCTTTAAAAGTTCCCTCCTTCCGCAAAAGGCGGGAAGCGATCCCCAGCGCCTAGGCAACGTCCAATCAAAAGTGCGCCCTGAGCGCTTCTACTTCCGGAATTGTTTGGACGCAAATACGACTCACTCACACGCAGCGCGGTCCTATTGGATTACTATGATTACAACGCAGACTACAGACTGAAGCGCGGCAACACGGTAAGCAAATGAAGCCTACTTACATTGCAGAGGTGAAAGTTTGTGTACCTGCTGTAAACTGCTGTTTATGTCTTTCCGATACGGTGTACCTACGTGTACCTGTGTGCCGCTGCGTACCGCTGTGTATCGGCTTACTTTCACCCCTGGGAACCAGGACACGTTCAGTTTAAGAGTCTTTTTTGAAAATGATTTTCCTGTTTGTCTGTGGAGTTGTGTTTTCAATAGTTTTTGATAATCTGGCTCCTCACATGGTAAACTGTGCATCTGCAGCTGTGCTCTGGTTGACATTTGATGATCTGATGTTAACATATTAATTTTTAAATGGTGTGGATGGTTGTGTTTCAGTTTCCTTATCTAAGAGACTTGTACGGAGTAAACAAAGTTGGCTGAATATGATTTCAAATATGGAACACAAGGTTTTCCTCCAAAGTATTGTATTTAAAACGTTTTTGAAGTTTATTTTTTACTTATTTTCTCTCTCTGAGCAAAAAGGCAACCATGAATCAAAGCAAATAAGACAGTTTTATGTTTGCCTCCATCTCCAAAAAAACAAAGAGGAATCTTTAGCAAGATGTGGTTTTTTTTATAGCTTCATTTTTCAATTACCTTTCTTGTTACCATGTTCACTGGAGTAATGCACTGAGATCTAATAGACCTTTTTTGTTGTTGCAGTCCATACCTCAGTATCCTCGATTAGTTTGGCTGACTGGACACTGAAACATAAAAACCACTTGTGTCCGAAACAATTGAAGGAGGAGTATTGATCTGTGAGTTTAGTGGTCAAGAAATATGAAACCTGTAATTTTCTAAGGGGTTTAAAGCAAACTCCTACACCCGGTCGCCCTGGAAGAAGTGAGGGGGGAAGGAAATGGCTCCATTAGTAAGAGTGCTTGTCAGCGCCAACATCATCTACTACATCTAGCCTGAGGTCTGTAGGAGGTCACAGCTGGACAATACTCTCAGGCCTTTATGGCAGATCTTCAAGCTTTGTCAGAATTTTGTTCTGGTGCTCTTAAGTCTCATAATCAACCGTGTAGTTATACCAAAGAAGAAAATGAAAGAGGGACGAGACTTTCTGAAACACGAATGAAGACAAAGTGCTCTGTTCAACTATCCTTAGAGACACTCATTTGACAGTGAACCTTGCCAATACATGCTACTTAAGTCTGGCAAACTACTTTTGATACTGTTTGTAATCAGTTTTCAATTTGCTCTGCTACTTTGATGCTGAGATAAATCAAGCAGCTGCAAGAACATTGCTTGGCTGTGTTTCTTTTCACATCACCAGCAGTCGATGCTGCTGGTGAAATAAATATTCAGAAGGGCGGCCTCTGCTGATTCCCCAGATTCAGGTCCTTTAATCAAAGCGCAATCCCCCGATCGAACTGAAAGTGTTTTTGATCTTCAGGTCAGACTCAGAAATCATGTGCGCATTGACTATGAGGAACCCATCAAGGAATATTTTCTCATTGCCTTATCATCAGGAGCTGTTTAGTTTGTGGCAAAATAGTTTCAAACCATAGCTGATAGGAACTAAATACACCAGAGTATTTCTGTGCTTAAGTATCCAAGTGATAGTGGAAAAAACTAATAAGAGCACATCAGCTCAAAATGCCTCAAATATTCAGTCGAACGTCTTGTACAGAGGTTTACTGAGCTTTCCGAGTTCCTTCTTTTTAGACGTGAGTAGATTTTTACAGGCTGCTGTTGAATAATATATGCTCTCTATTTAAAAGAGGAATGTCATGTGACCTGAAAACTTCCTGGTCTTAATAGTTTTGTTCATGAGCAATCAAGCTTAGCTGAACTTAACCCACATCATATCTAATGACATCCAATTTTCACCTCACAATTATCATGGCCACAAAAGATTGCAATAACAATATTAGTGCAATATTTATGGAAAACTTAAAATAAGACAGCTCAATCTTTATTGATTGATTGATTTGATTTATTTGTCCTTTAGGGACAAATACAATGATGACAAACTTAAATGACAACACAATAGTGGACAGACAGATCAGCAGGGCCTGCTGTTCAGGGTGGCTATGGCTGCAGAGTTCAGGCTCCTGAACTTGATGGTTTTATACCTGCGCCCTGAGGGTAGTGGGATGATTTGTTTAGTGGGTGAGTACTGTCTTGCGCTATGGAGTTTGCTATGCGAGTGATGGACTTGTGATTTAGTTCTGTTAGGTTGGTGTGGGGAGACCAATGATTTTAGCGGCTGTGTTTGGCCTGGTTGGCGACAGAAAGCATACTGAAATAACATGTGGAACAGTACAGAAGGATGGGTTGAATGATGCTATTTAAACTTAACTAATCAATGCAGTTAAGTTACCTTTCATCATCCATTTCTAATAGTATTAAAATGCCATGCGACCAAAACTTCTTTGGACAAAGCTTCACCTCATTATACAATTGTTCGTCCTGCTTTTGTTTTGATACTTTTTCTGTCGTGCTTTTAGGTCAATACATCCTGTACTGTGAATTTTTGTGCTTTTTATTTTGAAGTATTCCACTTCCAGTAGATTGTAGGTTGCAGAAAAAGTGACAAAAGTTGAAAGAACAGTCAGAAAGTTGCCTCTTTCCTGTATGTCAACCCCCACTCTCTGCTCGATCCACTGTCCTCTATCTGTCATTAAAGGGCAAAAAATGCTGGAAAACAAACAAGAAGGTATGAATTCGGTGGAGACACAATGTAGAAATCTATTGGTTTTTCCTAATATACATACAGTACTACAGCTAACAATGCCAACCCGATGAGGTCAACATGTCTCATGTCAGGTCCCTTTCAAAACCATAAACTTTGACTGATCTTCATGTTCTGGTGTCCAGTATAGTTTTTACAGGTTGTAAATTCTGGACACCAATTCCAAGACAGAAGCTCAAACACGACAAGACCCTCCCTCAGAACTTTCTCCAGCAGCTATTAATGAGAGAAGCAGTAGGCAAAGACATGTGGGGCTGTAATCCCTGATCACAGATGCAGACCAGTCCCCACAGAGAGCTTCTTTACCCTGGAAATCCCCGCAAGTCACTGAGACTGTTATTAGTCGTCTGGGAGGCTGGAACAGGGAGTGAGCTGGCAAGGCCTGTTCACTTATTAAAAAAGGAGGATCTCACAGATGCAGTCACTATTCTGTAGACAGCACGCACTCCCATCTGCTTAAAATTACTGAGGGCAGTATTTCAGCGGGCTAGCTATGGAAGGAAGTCAAGCTGTTTAGTAGCCACATGTCATATACTGCCAGTAAAGCCCAGTAAAACTCAGCTAAGAGAGGTTTCATTGAGGCTGTCGTATAACGGGCATACGTGCAGTATGTACAGCTATATCCTGAAGGACCCTCATTTTGACCAGCACCAGAAAGTCACATTTGTTAGCTTCAGGCACAACTAGATAGTATTACTGTTACATCTTAAAGGGATATTCCGGCATAAAATTAATTTAGGGTCAAACACACCGTAACAACGAGTTAGATACCTCTCATTTCTTCATGGTAATGGAAAAGGCAAAAGAACTATCGTGTCTGCAGTGCAAAATGATTAATATGATGATTATTACTTCAAGAAAATGATAAAGTAATTATCATAAATGTTCTTCCTTGAGCTGTGTCACCCCCCGCTGCAGCTACAAACAAGCAGTTGCTGGAAGAGAGTAGGTAAGTTGTGTTTAGTCTCTTTGCTAAAGAAATCAGGCAAAGTTAAAAAGATGTTTGGTAGCTAGTGCTA